TGCACACACAGCATGAGTCATTCTGCAAAGAAGTTTATGCAAAAGTCATGAAATGAATTACAGAAGGACAAAGTCATGTCTTCGCTTATCAGTCTGGTGTTATTTGTTTTGAGCTGGTCATTTGGCTTTGCACGACATCAGAAACCAGCTATAATTAAGTCAGAAATAACAAGGGTCAAAGGGCAAAAAATACCCAAAAATTCACCAATTTTCCCCCTAAGGACAAGTGAAAATCCCCCCAAAAGAACTATAGATGTAATAAATATATTTTCTTTTAATTCTGAAAAGTTCATATAGCTAAACATATTCTTACAAATTTACATTGTTTGTGTATTTTGCAAAGTGCCTATAAAAATGTAAATAAAATGAGGTTTAAGAAAAACTCAGTATACATATATGACAAATTATTTGGACAGCTCTTCTACTTAGCATTCCTTTAGAATTTACTCTATATAAATTTCTGCAGTTTGTATAGGGTCCGCTCATTACTGACACAGGTTCAATTTCGCACAAGACTTGTATAATCTCCACAGAAAAGCACTGGCCAATAGAATGGGACACTCTGGAGCAGCTGCACAAGAAGGTCACCATGTCCAGTGTCAAGCGTGGACTAGAGGGGTATAAATCCCCCCAGTATTGGGCTGTGGAGCAGTGGAGCTATGTTCTCTGGAGTGATGGAGCTCCATCCAGTACCTTTGGGATGAGTTGGAGTGTCCAGAACTGACCGTCTAACATCAGTACCTGACCTCACTAATGCTCTTATGGCTACAATCAAATTCTCACAGCAATGTTCCAACATCTAGTGTACCTACATGCTTAAGTACATTCTAACAGTGCAGTGATAATACTGTAAACTCTGTCATTTTAGACACAGATATCATGACAGACATCATACTGCCCTGTTCGTGAACACCATAATGCAATATAATATACATATACAACCCCAATTCCAAAAAACGTAGGATGCTGTGTAAAATGTAAATAAATGAAAAAGGTCACGGCATCCATGGTTTCCAAAAAGAATTTCAAATTTTGAATCATCTGACCGGTTTTCTATTTTGGCTCACTCTATTTTAAATAAGCTTTGGCCCAGAGAAGACGGCGGCGTTTCCGGATTGTGTTGACATATGGCTTCTTCTTTGCATGATACAGCTTTAACTTGCATTTGTGGATTGCATGGTGAACTGTGTTCACAGGCAATGATTTCTGGAAGTGTTCCTGAGCCCATGCAGTGATTTCCAGTACAGAATCATGCCTGTTTTTAATGCAGTGCCATCTGAGGGCCCAAAGATCACAAGCATCCAATGTTAACCATCGGCCTTGTCCCTTGCGTACAGGGATTTCCCCAGATTCTCTGAACCTTCTGATGATGTTATGTACTGTAGATGGTGGGATATCCTCAGTCTTCACAATTTTACGTTGAGGAGCATTTTTCTGAAATTGTTGTACAATTTTTAGACATAGTTTTTTGCAGATTGGTGAACCTCTGCCCATCTTTGCTTCTGAGAGACTGTGCCTCTCTAAAATGCCCTTTTAGTACCCAGTCATGTGAGTTAGTAAGCAAATTGCTTCTCCAGCAGTTTTTCATTACTACCACTTACTTTTCCAGCCTTTTGTTGCCCCTGTCCCAACTTTTTTGACATGCGTTGCTGCTCTAAATGAGCTAATGTTTTTCATGAAATGGTAAAATGTCTCTCTTTCAGCATCTGATATGTGTTCTGTGTTCTATTGTGAATAAAATATGGGTCTATGAGATTTGCAAATCATTGCATTCTGTTTTCATTTACATTTATTTACATTTTAGAACTTTGGAATTGGGGTTGTACAATATAATGCACTTTCCTAAACTACGGACCACGGTGAGCCTTCCTTTGCTTGCAGCTGTACCTTCCTGCCAAATTTTATAATTTCCGTAATAAAACTGAATATAAATTCTTACTGGAAAGTGTTTACTATCGTGAACTTCCTGGTTTCTTGACCTCACCTGTAAAATCTCTATAGATTCATTCCAGCTTCCTTAGAATTTTATTTCACTATATGGTTGTTTACTGTTTTGAGTACTTTATGCTCCAAACAAGTGTAGAGAGAGAAATGAGAGACAAGGAAAGAGAGAGAAAGGAAGATCAGAGAAAGAGAGAGGGAGAGAGATCAGAGAAAGAGAATGGAGGGGAGATTGAGAGAAAGGAAGAGAAGCTAAACCATCTCGAGAGGCGGCGAGAGGGTCCAGCTGGGTCTGACTTTGTGGAGACAGGTTGCCATAGTTACAGGAAGTGAATAATGAAATGTCTCTCTCTCTCTCTGTCTCTCTCTCTCTCTCAACCCTTACCCTTTTCCCCTTTCACTCTGTCACTCCAACTCTCTCTCTCCATCTCTTTCTCCACCTTTTCACTATGTCATGTTTCTACCATAAACTTGCTGCTGACTTTTTATTCGTCTGTTTGCTTTCAGCCTCATTTTTTGTTGTTGTTTATATGTGGCTCTTCAGATAGGCTTTATGATTTTATACTGAAATATTGCTTATGGTAGACCAACATACATCCTTTCCCCTCTCTCTGCCATTCTCTCTCTCTCTCTCTCTCTCTCTCCTTTCTCTTTCTGCCTGTCATCCCTCTCTCTCCTTTCTCTGTCTCTTTCCCTCTCTCTCTCTCTTCCTCTCTCTCTCATTCTCTCTCTCTCTCTGTTATCTCTCTGTCGTTTCTTTCTCTCTCTTCTTTCTATTCCTGTCTCTGTCATTCCTCTTTCTCCTTTCTGTTTCTCTCTTTCCCCCTCTCTTTCTTTTATTCCCCCTCTCTTTCTCTCTCTCTCTTTCTTTCTCTCTCTGTCATTTCTCTCTCCATCTATCCTTTCTGTTTCTCTCTCTCCCTCTTTTTTGTCTTGCTCTTTCTCTCACTTATCTCAGTTCCTTTCTCTTTTATCTCACTGCCCCCCACTTTCCCCATCTCTAGCTCCCTTTATTTTTCCTTTATTCCTCTGTTTCCATCTTTATTCTTATCTCCTCTGCCTCTCCTATTCTTTCTTTTTCTCTCTTTCTCAGGTCTCTCTCTTTTACTCACGTCACTCTCCCTTTCTCATTCTCCTTCACTGTCTGTCTGTCCTCCACCCAGGTCTACCTTTTGTCTTCACCCCTCTTCATTTTCTCTCACTCCATCTTTTCCTCCCTCCATCTCTCTCTCTCTCTCTCTCTCTCTCTCTCTCTCTCTCTCTCTCTCTCTCTCCCCCCTCAGTAGTGGTTTTGTTGATCCACCTCCAGGGAACTCATCAAATGGAATCATTCCCTTCACTCCGACTCTGATTCGCTCAGTTCTGCTTTAATGCCTCCTCTTCTCCTCTCTTTTTTTTTCCTCCTCTCCATCTCTCTGCCTGAATACAAAGCTCCAGGCGGGCGTTTACCTGCGCCTCCAGCCCACCTCCAATCCCTCCTCCACTCCCTCCTCATGAGGGGAGCATAGTAATGCACAGCATGTGTGCAGAATAAAACTGGTCCATACAGCCCCCTGGTGGCCAGGAGTGGGTACAGATCTCCATTAATCTAGAGAACTGGACAGTGAGAAAAAGACTGATTGCTTTGTTCAGTTCTTGCTTTGTCTAGTTGTGCTCAATATCACAACCCTGCCTGAGGTACAGACAGAAAACAGCAGCAGACAATAACAAAGAGGCAAATCAATTAAATAAAAGAAATGGTGGTGAAAGAATAACCAGCATATGTATGTTAAAAGTAAATGTAGCTCTTGTTGCTTAGTATTATCATTATTATTATTATTTGTATGATTATTGTTGTTATCATTGTAATTGTTGCTGTTGTAACGCTACAGTCATGCCAGTTAAATGAAAGATAGAGCAAGAATTACATGACAAAGAGAGAGAGAGAGCCAGCATGGCAAAGAAAATATTTTGTGTTTCTTTCTGAATCTGGTTGTCAAGACCTTATTATTACTATTATTCCCATATTTTAAAGAGCCCATATCATGGAAAAGCAAATTTTCCTAGCTTTTTTGGAATAAAATGGTTTAATGTGGTATGTAAACGTTATTTAAGTTCCAAAATGCATCATTCAGTCCATAGACCACACAGTCTATATATGGAAACTAAGCTGCAAAACAGGCTTTTTTGAATTCATTATTTTTGTGATGTCACAGTCAAACAAATGTACGTATATGCACTTATTTGGCCTACAGCAGTTTAGCCCCACCCATACACGCTGAAGTATAAGGAGTGTTTCAGCCCAGATTGCTTTTTGGAAAAGACACAATGCAGGGCAGCCAGTCAAAACAGAGCTCATTTACATACATCAGTCTTAAAGGCATAGTAACAAAAACTGCCTAATTCTAAGAGATAAAGAGTGGTTGGAAAGTGGTTGTGTAAAATTGAATTCTGGCTGGTTTTGGTACTCAAAACTGCACAAAGATCATAAGTGAACCTCAGGAAAAAATTAAAGACAAGAAAAGTGTATTATATGGGCTCTTTCATAAAATTTGCTCAGCACTGTAATGAAATAAACGCTTGTATTGAAGAAATAGTTTGGGGGGACACAGTTTAACCCTTTACCCTAAATAAAGCTGTATAAATGTATGTAAGCACTTACAGCATAACTGAAAATAGTAATAGAGGCCACCCTGAAGCTCAAATTTTGTCCATGTTTATAGATGACTGTGTGTTATGCTGTGTCAGAAACTACATAAACATGTCTATTACTTAAAAACTCCACACAGCTTGAGGCAAGTGTGTGATGTTTCTAGCATATAGTTTATTTGGTGGGGTATTACTTCAACCCACATTGCTTGTTAGTTACATTACCCTCACAGCACCAGTGCAAAACTAAGGAAGAATACTTCAGACACCAAACACGTCTTGGTTGATCAGCTACATCTGGAGTAGGGGAGATTCTGAGTAAATTTTCTTTTTTTGCTGGACTGTTCCTTTAATACAGCTCCTAAAGGGGAAACCATATGTTCGCAGATCCTGAACAACTGTGTGTTTGTGTTTTTTGTTTAACCAAACAGGTAAAGCCTCATCCAACGACGATGATGTCCAGAAAGCTGACGTATCCTCCACGGGTCAGGGGGTTATTGACAAAGATCATCTGGGGCCACTTTTACTGCAGGTGAGCGAGAGAAGTCAGTATTTTTGCATCTGATTGCAAAAGGCTGGTGATGTGGAGGAGCTACCAGACTTTATATGAGATTAGAGAAGAGGCCAGTTAGCATTTCCAATATGGTCAGTCAGGAATTACTGATGTTTTTTGGTGTATAGGGGTGCCATGTCCTCTCCAGCATTGAAGAGGAATTCCTTATTGAGGAATATCATGTATTGTACATCAACAATAAAAGTTGACTTCGTAAAAGTGCAGTGGCACCTTTTAGAGGGCGGTGCTGAGAAATGTTTGTTTATTTGAGCTCGATTAGACATTAGACATCGATTTTGTCAACAAGGCTATTGGCTTTTTTATTAAATGGTGGGAATTTCCAGAGGACAGCCGCCATGTAGAGCGTTACAAGCTATTCTATTCGTTTTTTCATCAGTGAACTGTCTCTTTTATAATGTCTCTGGTGACATATGTGATTGAAGCTGTTATTATTGAGAAACTGTCAGGAACACAATTTAGAGAATTCTTAACTCCTTCAGGTGGGATAGTCACCAAGCACTATAACATGAACATGAATGCACCAGAACGTAAGCTAGAATGGTAGAATTAAAACTAGAATTTTTAGAATGATCTCTTAGTGTTTGCTATGTTAGAGCGTGTTTACATGCACTTTATAATCTGATCATAGTTGGATTTCTGCAGTTATCTGATTATTCAAATGGTCATGGAAACAGGACACTCTGATTTCTTAGATCAGAGTAAGGACTAGAAATCCAAGAATTAAGAAATCCGATAAAGAGGCTGGATTTTAAATAAGTAATCAGGTTTCTCAGTGCATGTAAACTCTTACTCTGATTTCTTTCTTAAAATGTGGTAAATGTTTAAATATAAAGCTGCGGTATGACATTTGAGTTTTGCATTACGTTTATGTCACGTCTTCTTCTGTGAGTTTATTGGCCAGCTGCAAAGCAGAGATCCGATTACTGCCTGACTCAAGTAGACCCTGAGTTTCCCCATTATCTGATTACTCAAGCACATGTAAACATGTTTATTGGATTACTCCAAAAATCAGATTTTCTGCAGTTATCGGATTACGAAGTGCATGGAAATGGAAGTGCTAGCTATCTATGTTGCTAATATTTGGTTCACAACGAACCAAAAACAATGCTAATGTTGGCTTGATGTGAAATGGTTCATTGTAGAGAAATTTAGATTCTCAGATGTCTTTACAGTGGTGGTGATGGGAACCAGGGGTCACAATATCTATAACACAAATATAGACATTTACATGTGACCTCTGAGTCATATATGATTTTAAAATAGTCAGACATATATGTTTTCTTTCTTACTATCTCAAAACTATCATAAAACAATGTTACAGGCATCAGGCAGAGTATTTGGAACCATTCTGTGTAATAACTCTGTGAGGGAGCTTTTAGCGACATTAAACTGTTCAGATGTCTGGTTCCTATCACCACCACTGTGAAAAATTCTGACTGCAAGTTTCTCTAAAACAGAGCATTTCAGTCTCTCTGTTTAATTAAATCACTCTGAGTGACTCTGTTAACATATTAACCATTTAATCCTGCAAAACATTAAGAAAATTAAGAGAATTCCTTTTTAACAGTTTTGCTCTTGGTCTAACTGATTGAGAGAGTGAGGTTTCCAACAGGAGGCAACCCAAGAAATAAAGATTGTTGCCAAACACATCTATTGCTGACTGCAAAGAGTTTTTTGCTTCACATTCCTTGATTATGACTTTATATCTAATATGTTCGGTCCATTACCCACGTACCTGGGCCAGGTAACTAAGAGCTATGGATCTGGATTTGAGGGTAGTGATTAAACTGTATTGCTTTCGGAATGTTAGAATCAATTATATTTGATTCAGGATGCATTCCCTGAAGAACTGTAATCAAAGCCAATCGATGCAAGGTGAGAGATTATACCCCAGCTGAGTGCTCCTTTCTTTTCTCCCTGTAGGCCCTGGATGGCTTCCTGTTTGTGGTGAACAGGGAGGGAAGCATTGTCTTTGTATCAGATAACGTTACTCAGTACCTGCAGTACAAACAAGAGGAGCTCATCAACACCAGCGTCTACAACATCCTCCACGAGGAGGACCGCGAGGAATTCCACAAGAACCTGCCCAGGAACAATGGTTAGACCCACACACACGTTAGGCCTGGTTAAAGTACAGGAGTTTGATGTAGTGTGTAAACGCTGTTAAAGTTTTCAAAATGTATTGTTCACCCCCCAGACCACGTGATCCATATACAGTTGTAGGCGAAAAGATTCTCTACAGAAAATGATTTTAAAATATAACATTTTTCAAAATCGAAAAAAGTATAAATACTTTATACGCAGTGGCTTGTTAGCATGCTAAAGGCTACATGGCTAACAACAACAAAAAGAAAGGCACTACACCAAGTGTATAACTAGACAAAGCAGTAACTCACATATTTTATGGATGTTACGTTGAAACATCTCCAAAAAACAATTTGAACTACAAAGTTTGCATGGCTAGCTAATTAGCTCACCGAGGCTGACCTAGCTGAGGTTCATCCCATTTGAATAATCGGCTCCTCATGGGCTCCTCCTGCCCTTTGCCCATGAGTGGACACTTGAGTATCAGAGTGGGAAAGGGCACGTTAAAAAAAGTGTTGAAACAGCGCCCTGCATGCATTTGCATTCACTTCTCCATTCTTGTGTAGTCTAGTGTGTAGGCACCCTAATGCAGGCCATGAGCCCACCCACTGCTGAGTGGGCAGTGAGTGGGCTCAAAGGCCTGGACTTTTTTGTGAAGACACATAAATTCTATTTGAGACATTTTATTTATCTCTCCTGTCAAAATAGAGCTGTGTAGAATCAAGACTTTATCCCTTAAGGGACCATATATAAGCCCACACTGTAGTTTCTCTTACATTTTATAGTAGTTATTGAATCATCTGTAGAAAAAAAAATCTTTATTATTTTATTTATTGTTCATATTTCATCTTTATTTTCATGTTTTAAGACTCAAGAGTTAGCAAGTCAAGAGTTCAACATCAGACATCGCTAGCACATCGAAAACTTAACCAAATTTTGATCTTAGACTCAAAAGTAGTCTTATATCTTAAAATCTGTTTGTTGTTACAGCCCTACAGGCCATTCCTCTGATTTGTGCACAATTGCTGCTGAATATACTGCCTCTTCATCATTAACATGATGACCAATGACAGTAGCAGCATTTACATGCAACTTGATAGTCTGTTAATAATCCGACTAATAGCTCAATCGGAATAGAATGTGTCTATGCATACGCCTCGATCGAACTAGTCTAGTTCGGAAGCCATTGGAAATACTATTTCTATCCGATTGAACGAGGTGGGTAATCCTGTAAATATTCTGTTAAATAGAAGAATAATAATCATGTAAACGCCTGTATCCGGTTACATTCCCAATCGGAAAGTTTCAGTATGTTCTGCACATGTGCGTCGCGTCATAGCAAAAGTTTATAACATTCAACAGGGAGCAGAAACTGGTCTGCAGAGTTTATGCTGTGAACTTTAAAAGACAGCAGTGGGACGGGCGTCCAGCTTTTGTGTTTCAGAGCATGACGCCCAAATACAATCACTCCTTTTTGCCAATCATTAACATCTGCTCTGCGACCCATTTTCTACACACTGATCGAGACAGTAACTACACTGTACCACCTTTTCTCAATCTATGAATCCCATCACACACTCTGCAGTTGTTTAAACCCCGATCATCCTCGTGCAACACCATTTGCAACTTAAACACGCAAGGTCACTAATTTTGTATTTACTATTTAATCATGTAGGCAAAAAACATAGTGTTCTTTTACAGTGTGGTGTGAGTTTCGCAACCCTGTTTAGTTCTAAAGTTTCTTTCAGTTACAAGGCTGATGTAGCTAACATGCAGAGGAAGCTTTGTAGCCACCAGTTTGGTGTAGTGCAAACTGCACGTCCAAATTATTACTTGATTACTTGAACTGTATGATTTGTTTAATAATTTCAGATACACTTGCTTATGTTGGTTCTGTCGTCTATTAAAATGGTCAAAAGTACATTAGCTAGCTAAAACGACAGTCATCTTCAAGCCTGAAGTTTGGACATTTTTATAGATGAGGGAAGATTTGTGTCAGATTTTTCACCAAGCTAGTTCTTTAGTTTTTATCCATCATTAGACGCATTAACACATTAACCATAGTTTTGGAGCATGTCTTTGGGTGTCGGTGGCTGCAGAGGCTCTGTGGCGCTCATGTGAAGCAGCTCTGCTGAAGGTGACTCCACACACATCCGTGTTTGAGCTCTAATGAAAACAGATGGCTCCCTGCGCTCCCACACGCAGCTCGGCTATCGGAAATCGACAGCCCTTGCTGCATTCAGACCATGCTTCATTAGCCCAGCGAAGAGGAGCAGCAAAGAGAGAGCAGCACTTTTTTCTTTTAGTGTCATTGAGGTTAGAGAAGGAGGGCAGCTCTCTCAGCTGCTTACTGTTTAGTTACATTTCACACTGCACAGCAGCACCGAAACAGGGTTCCCACTCATTCTGGAAAACCTGGAAGTATGTCATAGAAATATTAGTGAAGTCCTGGAAAAGTGTAACAGTGGAGTGTTAATGCTACTAAGATTTCATATTTTCGCATATCTTTAGCTGCTAATGCCCAGTTTGGGTGTCCATTCATGCATATTGTGGTTTAGAATTCTGCTGTGTGGCATACAGAGAGATACATGGACGCTATGTCAGAACACTCAGTAGAGTGTGGCTTCTCTCCTTTCCTCTTCATTTCCTCTGCTCTAACCTGTTTCTACATGCTACATCGTTGCTCTCATTTTTCTTTACATTCAGTAGACATAATTAAATGTCATTATAGGACTAATTATACAGTTGCATAATTAATTACATTTGCATAATTCTTGAATACAATAATAAATAATACAATCTAGGGTAATTTAGTGTTGCTATAATATTTGTTTTACATCACTTAATTTAATCATTTGAAGCGATTTATTGGAAAACGCATTAAAAGTTATTTGTGACTTTTTTTTTCCATTATGTGATGTTTGGGGTGGACTTGCCTCATATATCAGTGCTATGATTTTTACTTTTATCTTATATACTTCTTTTTATCTTAATTAGAGAAATGAAAATGCCTTTTTTGTTATTCTGTTATTTTTAAAATAAAAAAATGTTAAAAATAGATAGCATTTCAAACTCTCCATTTATGTGAAATGACATAATGACATAGTCCAGTACAAAATTATTTACACTTGTACTCTGTATTGACAGATTATTATCAGTTTTAACAGTATTAACAGTATATTTTGATGCTAAAAATAACAAAAACATGATTAAAATGTAAAGCAGGCAAAACAAGACTGTATACCCAACAGTAACTTTCCATCAATTCAAATTAACGTAAAATACCTCCTCTTCTACTTACAAACAGAAAATGTGATACAGACACAAAAACAAAACATGGTATGGACCAAATGTCTAGAATCTGCGCTTTACACAGAATTTCAGATTGTTTCAATAAACTATGAGTGAGAAATGATTAATACAATAATATAAAATTACAACTTTCTTTTGTTATTACTCCCAAATATCCCCTGGAGATCAATGAAGTATGTGTTTCTGTCTATTTGTGTATTTATCTACTTATCGATGAATCAGTCAATCTGTCCAGTCAGTTATTTACTGTATTTTTTTTGTCATGTACTTTTTTGTGCTATGTTATTATTCTATTTTTTATTCTGCTTTATTTATATTTATGTGGACTTCATTGTCTTTCATGTACACTGGTGTGCAACAAAATAAAAAAATAAGACAATTGACATTTGAACTATAAATAATTGATGAATAATTGGTCTTTCCTCCTTCTCCTCCTCCCTCAGTGAACGGCGTGTCGTGGGGGGGTGAAGCTCCTCGGCAGAAGAGCCACACTTTTAACTGCCGGATGCTGGTGAAGTTTGGCCATGGCCCCGGACCCACCGACGAGGCTCCTGGGGGCCCGCGCTATGAGACCATGCAGTGTTTCGCCCTCACACAACCCAAAGCCATGATGGAGGAGGGTGAAGGTAAGACTGTCCTCAACAGAGCGCTCGGGGCACTGACATATTACTGTGGTCATCATCCAGAATGGGCAGCAGGTCAGCAGTAGCTTTAATTTGATGATAAAATGTGTGCAGGTTTTTTCAAGGCACAGACAGATGTAATGACAGATATGAGTCACATGCACACACACATGTGAACCATCTGAGCAAGAAATACTGGAATTAAGTGGTAAAGCTTGTAATGTGAGCCTCACCGAAGTGGCTGCTACGCGAGGTTTCTGTGGATGGCTTCACTTTAATCCTATAAGCCTCCCACTGAGTAAAGAAATCTCACATAATAAAGAGTGAAATTAGGAATCAATATGTGAAATTGAATTCCCCGCCAACTGCAACAATTGATTATAATAAAGTGCCGTGAAGAGTTGATAGTTATTTGTACAGTGCCAGTCAAAGGTTTGAGCACACCAATGTGACTGAATGTGTGTTTTGAATAAGATTTTTATGGATGTGGAGGAGTTCTGTAATCTGAGTGTCCGTGTTTGTGTTCTCAGACCTGCAGTCGTGTATGATCTGCGTGGCGCGGCGTGTGACTGCTGTGGAGAGGACCGAGAGTTTCAACACCAGACATGAGCTCTCAGGTCAGAAGACCATGCTGACAGAACACACATGTTCACACTGCTAACATGCCTTTATTCTTCAGTCTACACACACAGACCACATCAGACCAAATCTATATCTGTCTTACACATAGAGGCTGTTTTCACATAGTCTCGTGGGTGATCTTATCATGAGAACACCTGGGAACAATAATGAGAATTTTGGGCTACATGTGAGGGGAACGTAGACTTATTAGGGTGGGAACAAACTAAGTGTGGATTGTTTATATCCAATCCTACGTCTCATGAAGGAGGAGCTCAAGGTCAGGGGGCAACGGACATCAAGACTGTCGTCAGCCCATGGATGTAATGCAAGTTAGCATGGCTGAAAAGTCCTCTAGAAAACTCCAATTGTGGAGAACATATTACATGTAATAAACATAAACATCACAGCTTGAAAGGGTTTAGTTAGCTAAAGATAGTGTTTCACTAGCTAGCTTGTTTTGCTTGTGTTACTGTTTGGGGGTGGGTTTAAGAGGGGACATACCTTTGTTAGCAACAGATTTCACCTCAATCCTCCACAGAAAGTTTTACAATGAGAGCTGAAACAGTTATTCAACATTATAAATAAAGTTGACCATAAAAAAAAATCATCTACAAATATTTCCGTTGTTGATTTTTAGTTTACATGTTCAAAGCAGCGTCCAACTTAGTGTGTTAATGACGTAACCTGTAGTGTACAGCAGTTTCCTTAAGGCGAAATCACCACATACAACATATGCAAGTCCACAAAAGCACATTTCCTTCGAGCACTGGAAAAGAAAACATGCTGAAACAGCAGAACGGTCGGTAAATAGTACCTTTTCCTTCATTCAGGTGTTCTGACAAACCAAAGTCATTCCTAATGTACTGTAAGTGACTCACTAAAGCGCATCATGTTACATTACTAACGTTAGTCACTGGAATACTATAAGCACTATCAGTTTCTGTCAGTTAAGTGTTTAGCAGGTACATCAATTGAACTATCGAATATTTGACAGCTTGTCCTGTCACAACATTACAAACAGGCGTCTTTTAGTTGATATAATAGAACTGGCAGTTAGTGTTCTCCTTTAAGCCCGTTAAGCTGTCCAATGACTTTGCGTTAGCGGCAGTTTGAAATGATGCAGTGGTTCTTCACAGGACTCTGAGGAAGCTTGTGTTTGCTTTCGCTCTCCTAGCGCTGGTGGTATTGTGTGACTGGGGGAGTCCTAACTAGTGGGGGGAATTGGATACGTCTAAATTGGGGAGAAAATTGGGAAAAAAACCTTTTTTTTTCCCATGATTCTACATTTTTCATGTTAAATCACTTATTTTTAGCTAGTGCTTATTACTGTATCTCAAAATTATGGGCTTGAACAAAGTGCCACAATTTTTCCATGGTGGTAATTTAGTCCAAGTGAACAGAACCTCAGTTGCCTAACATTTTTTTACAACTCTTCACATTTACAGGTCACATTTAAGCTAATTAACCCCTTAAAATTCCAGGCTTATTACATACACTAAAGTTTATTATTCAGTAACTACAGGGACTTCAGTGCAAACTCTTTGAACAATTCTTTGGTCGTAGAAGTGTGTAATAAATCTTTGGGCCCATTCTGGCCATTTTAAGAGTAATTCGATTATTAGTTGATTTGTTTACTCGAATAATCAAATATCAAAATATGTGCTCTTTGACGACTTGTCTCCAGGCGTGCATTCTTGTTATGAGATCACGTCTACACGCCCTACAAGACTGGTTTATACTTTTCATCAACATTTCGGTGATCGAATCACATTTGGATTTCACTTTGCCCGACACTGTGATCAGATTATGATCGCATCACTCAGACCACAGTCAGAGGTGAACAGAGAGGGATCCTCACTACATTCAGCACAAGTGTAACTGGAATGCATTTAAATATCAGCTCACAATTACATAGAAATGCGTCTGCTGGGTACACACTAGCAGGTGAGAGAAGTCCCCAAACCAAGTGTCTTCTTTTACTTGGTCTGATTAAAACGTCCAAGCAAAGCTTTTCGATTCATTTTGTAACAGGAGGACAATGTAAAATAAATGGTGTATGTGTTGACGTGCTTTCACGTGAGAAAGTAGAACTGAATCACAACTGAATCAAATGGAATCTGACTAGATACAGTGAAACACAAAGAGGAATGCCATTGATTGTTCGAAATTCCTGCATAATTCAATCACGGAAATGTGAACAGACATGGGTTAATGTAGAGAAACTGACCCAGATTTCTGTACAGTGGTGGTGATAGAAACCAGGGCTCACAATGTCTACAACACAAATATAGCCATTTTATTTACTGTCCAAACCCACCAGTGAACCTGCATGTCTTCTCAGTTTTCATATATGATGTTGATGATAGTAAAAAAGTCATGAGTTTGAAAAAAGGGTGTTTTTGAGGACTGTTCGTCTTATGTTTCAGGCCATAACCTTATCTTACCAGGTACCATGAAACAATGTATTTTATGTGAGGGAGCTTTTAAAGGGGAAAAATTCTTTGGATGTCTGGTTCCTATCGCCTTCACTGAACAACTCTGATTCAGTAAGTTTCTCTAGAACAGAGCATTTAATATCAAACCACTCTGAATTACTTTGTTTACATCTTAGTGGTTTAAATATGGAGAACTCTTTGACAAATCAGTGGATTTCCCCTTATATGCAAGAAGCAAAAAACTCATATTCCCGATGAATTTATTATTATTGCATGAAAATAGAGACACTTAGGGTACTTGGGCCTACTGGGTCTACCTCTATCACAATCAGTACAATGAAAATAAACTGCTCTTGGCCTATATTTCTTTATGATTGCTCGGTTTAATTCTGAGCTAGTTTGAAGTTAACCAATCAGCTTTATCTCTGCAAGCAGTCATGATCATAGGTGATGCCTAATAAAAATACATTACAGCAATGCAAAATACATTAGCAGTACATGTACACAGTCATGTTGATAGAGCTGTATTGATTATCATATTACTGCGTCAATGCTGTATAATTTAGACTGCTTTCCTCATCATTGCTCTAACATTACAAAAGACAACTGCATACAGGAATTCCGACATCTGTTATCACTGGTGTAATTCAATAGTGAGCTTGTTCACAGCTAGGCTGGTACATATTAAGCCTCTGCGTGCCATTAATTCCCCATTTTTCATCCCATTATGCTCAGTAGGTTATGAAAAGTAAATACTTCAGCTGTGAGAGGGCAGATTATTGGTCTGTGATTTGAGATTAGTGCTACTCTGAACAGACTTTCTAGTTGATTTTTGTCCCTTTGTTCGTGTAATTAAGTCCCATCTATCTGCCTCTCTTTCTTCTTTTCCCAATCCAATATTTACTTTGTGAGTTAATTACTGCTGTTCTAACAGCGGAGTTCACTGAATCAAAGATTTATTTGTGGCACCTCCCAGTGGACGAAATGTAGAACTACAGTTTTGATGTACACGATTAGAATGCAGCTAAATTTAACTTATAACTGTACTTTATTGATCATTTAGAACTGAGTTGTGAAAATTTAGATTGTTATATTGACCATGACATTAATAACAGTAACAAAATGTTAAAATGAAGGCTTGAGTTTGAAGAACCTTTTTAAAGTTTAAAGTTCCTCCACGAGGAAGAACACTTAAAGTGGTCATGCGAAGTATGTTAAAATCTCCAAAAGGTTCTTCACATTCACAAATCTCTTTTTCAAACAGGGAACCGAAAGTGATTCTTCAGTGAACCCTCAAAGAACCCTGTGTGGCATCTGTTCCACTGAGGATACTGATCACTCAAACTGCCTGTGTAATTTAGTGGTTGAGATGTAAACAAAGGTAATTCAGAGTGGTCTGATGTTCAGTATTACCATCCTGGATTGTCTTTACAGTTGTGATAGGAACCAGGGGTTCCAATGTCTACAACACAAATACAGCCATTTTATTTACTGTCCAGAACGACCAGTGAACGTACACGTGTCTATTGAATTACATATGTGATGTTGATGATGGTAAAATAGTGGTAAAAATACATTATAGGCCAAAATCTTATAAAAATGTCATAAAACAGTGTCAAAGGCACCAGGCAGTGTTTTCTTATCCATTTTATGTATTAACTTTCTGTGAGGGAGCTTCTAGAGGCATTAAACTGTTCACATGTCTGGTTCCTATCACCACCACTGTGAACAATTCTGACTTGGTAGGTTTCTCTAGAACAGCATTCCACACCAGACCACCCTGAATGACTGTGTCAACATGTTAATGACTGAATTATGCAAATATTGTGAAAATTTGGTGGATTTCCCTTCTAAGAGTGTGTATGCTGTACAGTATATACAAGTTTAATCACTTTTGTAATAGTGTTTAACATTTTGATAAAGCACAGTCAGTTACAGTGTAGATTGCAGTTTCATAGACAGATCAGTAAGTGAATATGAATTCATGCCTGTTTTTCCACACAGATTACCTTTTACAGTTCGGTGCATGTGTTTTAACTGATTTATTTTTATTTCTAATAGGCAAGCTGATCCAGATAGACCAGAATTCCCTGCGTGCCTCCATGCGTCCTGGCTGGGAGGACCTGCTGAGACGTTGTATTCAGATGTTTCTCCAGCACAGTGATGGACAGCCCTGGTCCCATAAACGCCACTACCATGAGGGTATGTTTGGTGCTGCACATACCCCTAATAAAGAGTCCTATCAATAATAAACTTTATTTATCTACTGTTTGCTCTCTCTTTCTCTCTCTCCAGCCTTTCTCCAGGGTCATGCAGAGACCCCAGTGTACAGATTTTCTTTGTCAGATGGCACCCCGGTCTCAGCACAGACCAAAAGCAAGCTCTACCGCCACCCAATGACCAATGAGCCCCAGGGTTTCGTATCTACTCATCTGCTACAGAGGTAAAGCACAAATATTCTATATTATTTTTGCGTTGAGACTGTGATCACTTTGAACCTAATTATATATGCATGTTTAGCATGTTTAAAAACTGTCCAAGAGTCAGACTTCGATACAGATCCAACATGATCTGCATGTTTACAAAAGAGCACTGAGTAACTGTGGAATGAGCTGCTGGAAGATATTTTGTCTCATCATGTGGCAAATGATGAAATACAAATCATTAAAGGGGCCAAATTATGTCTGTGGACAGGAGTGGAACATGCTCGACTAATTGTACCCTGTTACTATACTTTAATATTATTTTGGAACATTTGTACTGTACTTGAGCATTATGGAAACTAAATACTTGTATTTTTTAAATATTTTCAATAGACAAAACAATTTTTTTTCTCCTTACATTTTCATTCAGTCCTGCAAAGTACTTATTTCAGAAGGCCAGGAGACGTTTCTTTTACTCTTTTTTTCTCGTCAGTCAGGGTTCCTGTCCGATAAATGTGCTTAATATATAAATAAAAATTAACCTGCCCAACTAGGCATCTATGCTGTGGTGCTGTTGCTGCACCTTTGTTTGGGTGTATGTACCAAAACCATCATAGTATGTTTAATCTCTTTATCCCCTAGCACTAAACAAGCTGTTTTTGTTACTGTGACTTTAAGACTGGTATATGTAAATGAGCTTTCTTCTAAATGGCTGTCCTGTAATGTGCCTCATTCAAATTTCAGTGTGAATGGGTGGAGCTAAACTGCTGTAGGCCGAATAGGTATATATTTATAAATTAGTTGGACTTTGTGACATTATAAGTACACTGAATTGCAAACAGGCTGTTTTCTCGGCTTTCTATATGTAGACTGTATGAACTGGGAAGTGAATGGTAGGTTTTGAAACTTTAACAGTTTTTACATACTACATCAAACTCTTAATAAAGAATTTGTCAATAAAGAAAGGAAAATTCACACACTACCCATACTTTCACTCAACCCCTTAAAGGCCAGGGTCCACCAGTGAGCCCAATTACACACTTCTATAACTTCAGAATAGCCCAGTCAGTTTGCATTGAAGTCGCTGTAGTTACTGAATTATAAACCTTATTATGTAATAAGCCTGCGATTTTAAGGCGTTAAGTACATTTTCTTTCTTTTTTTTCCACCTCTGCCTTTAGACTATGGAATTTTATTATTAAATTCTCTTTTTTCAGACATGTGTAATCTATCGGGATATTTATCAGCAGTTTTGGAAAATGAACATCACTCATAACTCTTCAGATAGTTTAATTCAAAACACATTGATCTGTTAAATAAGAGTTGCTTCTCTTCTCCCCACAGGGAGCCCAATGGATGCCGCACCAACCAAAGCGGTGGCATGATGCAGGGTGGCATGAGGCAGCAGGCTATGGGGGGCGCCAACCCCAATGCCCCAATGAATATGGGTCCGGGAGGGGGTATGGGTATGGGTGGCATGGGAGGCATGGGCATGAACCGGGGTTATGGAATGAACGACATGGGGCACATGGGTCACATGGGCGGCGGGTCCATGTATGGGGGCAACGGAGGCAACATGGGCAGCATGGGTAACATGGGCAATCGAATGATGCAGATGAATCAGATGAACCAGATGAATCAAATGAACCAGATGAATCAGATTAATCAGATGAACCAGATGAATCAGATGAGCCAGATGAATCAAATGAACCAGATGGGTCCAATGAATACAATGAATCACTCTGGTCCTGGGATGCAGCAGCAGCAGCACCACCAGCAGCCACCCTTTCAGGCCACTGGTGGCTACGGGCTCGGAGGCATGAACAGCCCTTCACAAGGCAGCCCTGGTATGAATGGACCTCAGCAGAGTCTCCTCATGTCTCCTCGGAACAGAGGAAGCCCCAAAATGCCCTCCAACCAGTTCTCCCCAGGAGGTAAGTCAGGAAGGAGGGATGTGTAGGGCAGGACCTTCAGCTTTGGTCTCCACTGTAGCATTTGAACCTTCTAGGAACATCCTGATAAGGTTTTCGTTCACAATCCAAGTACTTTAATTTTGAACGTCTGTCAAGGCCCAATCTAATATTTGTATGCTTGTTGATTATATAGTCACAAAGTGCATATTTCAAGTACATTTGAGTTAGTAAAAGAAATCCAGTACATTTGCAAATATGCTAGGCTGCTAGTTGTTTTAAAATACAACAGTAAAATCAATTTCTAGTATGTGCATAGCATATTGTCACTTTTACACACAAAAAATGTGTATCTCCCTTTTTTTAATTGTTTTATTTTTTTGTTATTTAAAACTTTTCATTACCATTTGCATTGTGTTAAAATTTCATGATAAATGAACCAATGAAAATGGTTGAAAAGTACTTGGGAAAATCTTGTTACGTTATCTACCATTAAGAGTTAAGAATGTTTTTTCCTTCTTCTGCAAATTACCATTTTAGAGGTACAATTTTTTTTCAGAGAGCAACTCATTATGTAATAACTAGGCATAATGTAATAACAAAAATGCTATAAAAACTCCTAAACTGTTGATAATGTACATGTCCTCATCCAATAACGTAACATTTTATATTACATGCTGTTTATGAACATATAGCTAAATTTTTAAGAATAAGGTAATAATGTCAGCACATAATATAATACACTGAACTCACTTGTTGTCCTAATCTAAATGTGTTCCAGTTCTCTTAACTCATGTTTTAATTACATTTGAAAATGAAAATGTTAATTATAGCAGTTCCATTTTTAGAACGTTTGAGAATTTTTTGCTGTAGGTTATTTAAACAAAACATGCTAATCTGACTAGTACCTGACACAGCACCATGTCAGTGTCACGGCTGTGCAGAGAATGGACCACCAGCCAAGTAATGTCTGGTCAGCAGCAGTCCTTTGGTCACAAACTGACCAATGATGAATGGTGTAGAGGGGCTGATAAATTGTGCAGCATTAGATGGATTGTAATTGTAAATCTACAAAACGTACCTGCATGGCTGGTGTACCAGATAAAATGACTAATCAGTGTGATTACTAGTTTGGTGTACCTGTCCAATGGGGATTTGTAAGTCCAAATCCATATACTTTGTTCATTATGTCAGCAGCTAACAAATAGTTAAAACCATCAGATGCTTAAAGTTACTTGAAAAATATAGTCAGATTACTGAAGTAGCCAGTTTAATGTTATATATTACATTATGCATTTAGATAATTACATTATTCTTGTAATTTTATCATTTTCATATCAAGAAAATATCATTAAAACATGACATAAGAAGCATATTTATTGCTATAAATGTGTTATTAGATAATATGCTGACAGTATTACATCACTCAAAAAATATGCTAATCAGTTTATAATGTAAAAAACACATTACATAAAAAAGTATTACATTACTAAATTTATTACATTATCAGCAGTTTATTACATTAAGTTTTGTATGTAATACTTATGTAATAAAGTATCAGTTTATTCACGAAATGTTATTACAGTGTTGGAAGAGGATTTTAGTGCATTTTTAGCAGTCTATTGTATTGGGAGTTTTATAACATTTGTGTTATTATGTAGTAGTTACTGCATTATGTGCAATTATTACATATGTATTCTGGTTTTTTGCTTTTTTGAAATGACCATTTTTTACTAACAAACCATGGCTAGCTTAACCACATTACTAAAATACTTGTTAACTGTGCCTGTTCAATGTGCCTCACTGCTGCGTTCTGTGGATTAATAACTGTTTGTCATCTCTACGACTGTGGCGTTAATAAGTGCAGCAGGGGATAAAAGCCTTAACAAAGGATTATAATTTGATAGGACTTGATACCGATCTTTTAGATCAGATATGGATATTCCTGGTACCTACAGTTACACCAGCTGTTTCTTAGTGATGTAGAATGTACTTCATTGTTTTTGTTGTGTATGTTTATTAGGCATGCATTCTCCTATGGGTCCTAGCAGTGTGGGAGGAGGAGGAGGAGGTGGTAGCTCCTTCTCCAGCAGCTCCCTTAACGCTCTCCAGGCCATCAGCGAAGGAGTGGGCGCCTCTCTTCCCTCCACCCTCACATCCCCTTCCCCGGCCCACAAACCTGACAGCTCCCCCAGCATCCACTCCTCTTCCTCCCAGCCCAGCGGACCCTGTAAGCCAGGACACGGGGACTCCAAGAGCCCAGCGGGGGCTTTCGGAATGGGGGCTGGAGATCAGCATCACCCCCTGCACCACCACCATCATCACAACCTCCCCCATCAGGCCGAAAGCAGCAGCGGAGAGCGACCAGACAGCCAAGCAGGTCCAGGGAGCAAAGAATCTGGGGAGGGAAGCAATGAAGCTGGGAATGCTTCATCGGAGCCTCCACGGAGGGTTCCAGATAGCAAAGGCCACAAAAAACTGCTTCAGCTCCTTACTTCACCCACTGAGGAGCTTGGATTAGGTGTAGGAAGTGGACCTCCTGGACCTTCTGGACCTTCAACGGCATCAAGTGGTCCAAGCGGCTCCATGGGCCTGGAGGGTAAAGAGCCAAGTTGTGTCACAAGTCCATCCTCAACTGGAGTCTCATCCTCCACCAATCAGAACCAAGCTCACGGAGCAGGAGTGGCATCTGGAGCTCTAGGCTCCGCATCCCACTACACGGCATCCCTGCAAGAGAAGCACAAGATCCTTCACAAGTTGCTCCAGAACGGAAACACGCCCGACGAGGTGGCCAAAATTACCGCTGAAGCCACAGGGAAGGTGACTCTGGGTCAGGAGGCAGGAGGAGAGACAGCAGGCACCAACACAGGCGCAGGAGGAGGCGCGGGAGCATCCAGCGGAGGTGCAGGGGCTCCAGAGCCTAAGCAAGAGCAGCACAGCCCCAAGGAGAAGAAAACCCATGCCCTGCTCCACTACCTCCTCAACAAGGATGACTCCAAAGAGCCTGCTGACATCAAGCCAAAGCCTGAAGACCTTGAAGGAAAAGGGGGAAATAATGGCACCCCACTGAGTAGAGCAGCCCAGGAGAACATGGAGAGCAAGATCAAGCCTGAACCTCCTGATGAGGTGAGCTCCTGATTCTGCGCTTCATCCAAAAATGAATGAAATCTCTATCTTACATGGTAGTGCCAATCAATTAAAACTAACTCTGCAAGGAGGTAGATCTCCAGGGTCAGGCTTGGTAAGTCCTATTATATGTTTGGGTCTTCTTCTAAGTATGTCTCTTGTTGAAATGTTTTTTTTCTCTGTAGCTGGACACTATTCTGGGAGGCCTAAGAGGTCCTGGTGCAGATTTCCCAGAACAGGGAGATGGTGGTTCTGCAGATGGAGGGAACAAGCTCCATTCATTCCCTGATGATGGTAAAACAACTCTGCTACTTAAAATCAAAGAATCAGTGTCATCCAATCTGCAGTTTAGTAATAGTTCAATAATCCCTCAAAGCGTTCTTTGAAATGTGAGCCACACCTGGCTTGGCCCTCTAAGCAATACATAAATGAGTCAGTTCTGTATTTAGGATACTTTTTTAGCAGTTCAGCTACTATTTCAGGCATAGGTTCCAGGTTTAAATCTCCTGCAACAATCCAGTGGGGTCTTGGGTTCGAGAGGGTTCCAGGGTTCTGCTGTCTCTGACATTACTCAGGCAGGAATCACATACCACATATGCTTGGAACCCTATTCATTTTCTATGGATGTGTGACAAGATTCTAGGGTTAAAAGCTGAGGGGTGTTCCCACTAATTTTGATGTGTCCATAAAAATCATTGAACAGATATCTGGACAAACTGTAGAAATGAGAAAAAGAGAAAATTGATTTAACTGGAAATTACAGTAGAATTGTGATTTACCTTCTAAGGTGACAGAACTGGTGTTGCACAAAAATGCTGCATCACACTGATGCATCGTTTTCAAAACGAGTTTTATTAATCGAAAATAGCTAAGGGAAATTGGCAAGTTTTCGTGTGGGGTGATTAAAATAGTGGAAGCTGCTTCAGATGAGATAATGAGCTAAAGCTACAGATAACCAGCAACACTAGATGCTGATAGAGACTTATCGTCTTCAACAGGTGGTTTTTCCTCTTTGGTAAATGATGTGCCAACATGCTAGTTTGTCAGAGAAATATTTTTAACTGATTCTCGACTTAATATTAGCCCTTCCTATTTAACGAAAAAAAAAAACGCTCTGTGGCTTTTCAGTCATGTCCTTAACAATGCATCCTTTGTTACATGCATGTGTTAAGGCACTCATAGAGTAGTAGAGTTTTACAATTCTGTTAAAACATGTTTTCTTCACCTGATAAAAAAACGCAACAAATAGACACATTTCAGTTTTCAAATACTGGCACCTTAAATGGTTAACCAAGTATTTGAGTATCGTATTGCACTTACATTTGGCAGACTTACAGTTTGATCATTATACACAGGTAGGGCGAAGGTAGTGTTAGGAGTCTTGCCCAAGGACTCTTATTGGTATAGTGTAGGGTGCTTGCCCAGGTGGGGGATTGAAGCCCAGTCTACAGCAAAGAAGGCGGAGGTGTTACACATTACACTACACCAACCACACTCTACAGAACTACACTGACAACTATACTAAGAACTAAGGCTACAAATAAGAATACACTTTTTTTACTGGATCATGCTAAACATGCTCGCCTTTTGGTGACATGGTCCACAGTGGCCGAGAGAAGCGATTGGCTTCGCTATAATGAAGTATAAGGGGCTGCAAGGCAGCCAAAGAACACAGCCCAATGAACCAGTCCCGCTCTTTATTTCCCAGGAACAAGGAATCCTGGGGTGGGCTCGGGCTGCCGGGCGCAGTTACAGAAGGCCTTGTCGGTGGACTCGAAGCTGCCCGCTGGAGCGGGGCAAGCCGACCGCCGCAGTGGCCCATGCCCCATGCCCATTAAACAGGAGAGCTTGGATGGCCAGCGCATGATGGCAGGGTCCGACACTTGCCACAGCAACATGGGTATGTGGAGGCAAAAATCCACAGCAACAAAACTAAGCTCATTTGTTGCTGTACTCTTGCTTTGTCTGACAGAGATGTTCAAAAACCTCTCAGGTAGGGTTCCACTAGGTATATAGTGCTTCCCAAATGTCGTATTAGCATGGGAAGCTGTACTTCATATGTTTTTGGGGCCATGGAAAGAACTTCGTGGAGAAATGTAAGGATTAAATGCAGCATAAATGCAGCTCAAAATCAAACTTAGAATTTCCTCTTTCCACAAATGTTGCCAATCAGACAAGACATGTTTGGTTGGTTTCATGTGCAAATGTTATTTATGTTCTCTCAGGAATGATGAGCAGAGGTATGGGGGTTCCAGAGCGATCTCCCATGGGAGGTCCCGGTGAATGGGGGATGCCACGCTCAAGTGCCAGTCCTGTGGGTGCTGCTGGACACCCCTCAATGATGCGGCCTGGAATGGACTCCTACAGCTCCAAGGGCATGATGGGTGGACCCATGGTCAACCGGTCTAACAGCGTCCCTGGCACCAGGTCCATGCTGCAACAGCAACTAATGGACATGGGTATGTAGGCTGGTCGAGGATACATGTATAGTTCTAGTCCTAAAATCTAAATGGCTGAGCCATGTTCAAAGCTGCACACCTGTGACCACCTCACCAAAATTGAATTCAGTATTAATGTGGGGTCATGTCGCTTGAACTACGGAGTGTATGAACAGTTTAGACCAGGCTTTGGCATGTGTATGAAAAAAGTCCACTTGTGTTTAAGCATAAGCATTTTCTTAATATTTAGAGCTAGGCTCATCACCTTGATTGAAAGCTAACATGTTCAGGGTTTTGTGTCGAAAGATTCACTGTAAAATTGCAGTCTACAAAGTAAAAAACAGTGTGGGAAATATTGACATAACATCGGTGATGTATATTGTGCTGACATAACACAGGAAATTCCATAGAGATGCTAGAGGCGAAACTAGCATAACTGTTGGGATGGTAATTCGATAAGAGTCAGCATCTTATGAGATGATGAAATCTGCATTAAACACTGCTATATTATGAAATTTTCATGATTATAGTCCTGTGAAAAAGTTTGGGTGCCCCTGATCACATGACAAGTGAAAAGAAGTTGATACCTCCTCTACAAAAACACAGTTTTGCACATTTGAATGCATGATTACTGATACTTTACCAAATTTAAAATATTAACATTAAGTCACCAGTGAGCCAGATGAGGTCCTGTGTTATAGTGAATTACTACATTATATGCACAGAATGCTTGTATAGCAGTTATAATAACACATAACATGATTACATTGGTAGCATATGGAAAATAAGCTGATATATCAATAGTGTGATGTGGATGAAGATGACAAACATAATTTACTTTTTCAGGATTACATGAACACTTTGATTCATCAGAACATCCATAGAAACACTTATCCGGAACTGTGATTGGTCAGGATGGGCACATCCCACAGTAGTGGTTGATTAAAGGGTTTATTTGCATATCCGTATTGCAAAGGCCAAATTGTAATAATGATTAACAAATGATATATCATACAACCCTACAGTCAACCGTCTACTTGTGGTTTATATGGATTCAGATAAAGCAATTAAACATGAATGAGATGTACTTATATTGAGTTTGATTCCCTGTTTAGGATCTAATGATATGAATATGGGCATGGGCCCTTTTGGCCAGCAGCAGTGTCCAGACAGTCAGTCTCCCTCCTGGCCAGATAATGTTATGGGAATGGAGAACAGCAGGTCAGTAATGCTTCTATACAACATCATAAACATGCTGTTTACGGTAACTACCGTTGATTGTGTCCTTCAGACCATCACAGTATTATCCACAAAGGACCTGATTGTGTAGTGTCACCTAATTGGACTCAGTATAATGGATGAAATGATACTCATGAAATCTGTTCATACGTTCTGTGCGTGTTGCAGGCGTCAGTTTGGTAATGCTCTGGATGAGCTGCTGGTGCCTCCCTCCACCTCTGAGGGTCAGAGTGATGAGAGAGCGCTGTTAGACCAGCTGGACTCTTTGCTCAACAACACGGATGTAATGGCTCTGGAGGAGATTGACCGCGCCCTGGGCATCCCCGACCTCATCAGCCAGGTCAGTGCTCACGCTCACACTCATATGAGATGAAGGAATAATTGGCAGCAACATCTAACACTTAACTACATGTTTACTGTACAGTATATACAGTGCAGTCTGCAAGTTATTATCAGAATTGTTACTTTTTTAGCTCTTTACTCCAGCACATATTAAAGGGCCCATGTTGTGGGTAAAAAGATATATTTTTTTTATATATACAAGAGTTTGGTGTGGTATGTAAACGTTAATATTTCAAGCAAATCTGCAAAAAAGCCTGTTTTGAATTCATTGTTTTTGTGATGTCATGAAACCAGCACACAGGTTTGGCAGTTTAGCCCTACATATTCATGTGGAAATTATTTATGACGCTACATAAAATCACACAAACATCATAAGTGAAAGAATATGGGCCTTTCAAAGTACAGAATGTCAGCTGTGAATAGAGGGCATTTGTTTTTTCTATCTATTATTGTTTTTTTTGTCATCTTTAGGGGTAAAAGCACCAATTTTTTTATTATTTTTCTGTTTTAATAGCTTTACTTGTTTTCTTTATGTTTTAACCTACTTGTATTCAACTTCCTGTAAACTATGAACTTGTGCAGTACAAATAAAGTATTTTACTATTACATCCAACCACGTATGAGTCACAGCCTTTTGCTGATTCTTTCTCCCCATCTGTGCATCTTTTCCTCCTTCTTGCATCTTCATCTTCTCATTCCTTCTGTTTTGTCTCCCTCTTTACGTCTCTACCTCTCTCTATAGGGTCAGGGCAGTGATCTGCAGCCAGAACCTTTCCCCGGGCAGGATCCCTCTATGGTGATGGAGCAGAAGCCTATGTACTCTCAGGGTTACCCTGGACCCCCCTCCATGCCCATGCCTTCAGGCTATGGGGGGAACCCCATGCAGGGCCAGCCGCCACCCGGGAGCTACAACCCAATGCTGAACCAGATGGGGCAGCAGGGAGGCTTCCCAGGAATGGGGGGCATGGGGCCGATGGGGGGAATGGGGCACCCCCGCCCCGGAATGATGAGGCCGCGGATGATGAGTGCCACCAAACCCACCAGACTACAGCTGCAGCAGAGGCTCCAAGGACAACAGGTAAAATGCATACTCTCACAATATATGCTCACTTTCATTCCAAAACTTTTTTTTCAATGTTGTGTCCAGCTTTTACAGTATGAACTGAATAGAAATCCAGTTTTCGAACACAGCCAAGGTCATAAAACTCAAATTTGGTGGGTAGTGAACTTATGAGTGGAGCTTAGAATAACCCTGATGTCGATTTTGGTCCCTCCTCAGTTTATGAGCCAGGCTCGGCAGGGTATGGGGATCAAGATGGAGAATCCTGGAGGAGGAAACCCTGGCATGCGGCCTGGAATGCAGCCAGGAATGGCAGGGCAGGTAGGCACACAGAGTGCTTTCATTACAAGTTTAAAAAGATCTTTTTCTCTTTGCTGTTGTATGTTTAACTTTTCTTAAGCCTCTGGGTGTGATGCTTACCTTAAAGCTTTAATATGATGACAGACGATAATGTGCACCGGTTAGCATCTTGCAAACTGCCTTAACCCTTTAAGTCTAAGTCACAGTCTAAATATTGAAACCTGGGTGAACAGAGAAAGTTGTTAACCACTGTTGTAAGATGTAAAATAAGTTAACCGCGTCTGAGTTTGTTAGATTTGTGAAGCTGAAACTTCAGATAGCCTGTCTACATTGAAGCTGCTTCGTTAGAAAGACCCCAGATCCACTTGTTGTTGAACTACAAGCCAAAACAAATGGCATAATATTAACACTACAAAAAAAGCCTTTTTTTGGAGACATGATTAACCAGTTGCTTTCCCCCCTCACTTGAGCATCTTGGACAACATAATGGTACAGTAATAAAGCAGAATTTGTTAGGGGACCCCCTACGCAGGTGCTTCTGTCATTTATTAGGTAGAGATGGCACTAAATTTGGAATTTTTTATACAATTGATATTTTACCAAACTGTTCCTTGAAGCTTTGGTACATGTTCATGTAGTTAGTAGGTATTTGTATGTATTTATTAGTTGGTATATTAATGTGAATCTAACTACACTCTCTCTCTCACCCCCAACTCCTCCCCCCCTGCCCCCTTTCTCTCTCTCTGATCTAGCCTGGTTTCCTGAATGCTCAGATGATGGCTCAGCGAAGCAGGGAGATGGTGACGATGCAGATGCGGAGGCACAGGATGATGATGATGATGCAGCAGCAACAACAGGCAGCGGCCGGAGGATTCAGCCCACCGCCCAATGTCACAGCTCCCACAGGCATGGAAGGGGGCATGGGGGGTCCTGGCATGGGTCAGCCTGGCCAGCAACAGTTTGGCTATGGAAGCTATGGTAAGGAATATCAAAACGTCACAGTTGGCTGTAGATGTAGTCTGTCAAGGCTTCAGGACAGCAGGGTGATGAAGCATGCTGGCAAAATAACAGCTGACCCCTCTCATCCTGGGCATCAACAATATTTGTAGTTTGGTGTCCACAAACTTTTGACAGACCAGTGAATATTTGTTTGAGAGAGAACGAGAGTTTTAACATAAACAATGTTACGTGTGTAGGGATGGGTCAGCAGGGAGACCCCTCGTTTGCCCCTGCAGGAGGCAGCCCTCCTAACGCCATGATGCCTGGCCGCCTGGGGCCTCCGCAAAACCCAATGATGCAGCAGCATCCTCAGGGGGGTCCCATGTACCAGACCCCTGACATGAAGGGCTGGCCTCAGGGAGGAATGGGCCGCAACAGGTGAGTCTAATCGCAGACTAATCCCAATCCTGCACATTTAAGGCAAAGGTTTAAAGGGCTGCAGTCCTTCATGTGATTTTCACTCCACTGCTCAAACACTCCTGGTTCAACTCAGCAGGTAGATGCCAGGTTTAGTTGGTGTGTTTGAGCAGAGGAATCAGCAAGCTGTGCTGGACTTTGTCTCTCCAGGACCAGAACTGAACACTCCCAATTTAAAGGGAAATCTCATCACGTGTTAGTTTCACCATCTTTTGTTGAAGGCTTTTTTATCTTCTCTATCTGTATAAGTCCACAAGTTGGTGATGTCAGGGTTTTTTAAAGTTAGTAAATTAAGAAAATGAAGTGTAGATTGGTATACATACTGAGAATAGTGGAAAGCCATGGTGTCTCAGTTGAACCTTTTAAACTTCAACGTATCCTAAAATCCTTCGTACACCTAGCGTGAGTCATTCACACAGTTTATTCAGACCTCAGAATCACTGGCTGTAAAAATCTGTCATTTTATGAACAGTAACTCTAAGTCTATGCAATGTAGATTCAAATATTACAAATTAGAAATCAGAATATGTTTTTATTCAATATTTCAGTTTTGGTAATTGATTAATAATGTACTCATGTTCTCAATTTACAAATAGATTTTGTCAAGTTGTCTGCCTCGAGATTGTCACCACTTTTGAAATACAGGCATTCTGGATTTTAATTTAATTAGGACTTTGTTACTGATGTTGTACAGCTTTCTCTGACATTTTAGAGCTCTGTTCATTTTGAACACATTTAACATTGCATTTTTTCCTAACATTGCATTCCTATCAATTATTTGTAACCTGTAAAATTGAACAAGACTAGCTTATTAGAAGCATTTTATGCATTTATCTGCAACCAAATTGTTTTTATATTATTGAAAATATTGATTTCAAACTTTTTTGTTGTGTTGTCTCTGGTACTGGCATAGGGACAACCAAGAGAACTGATTTTGTTATTTATTCTTAGCACTTTTGATGTGTAATGACTTTAAAGGGAATTCCATCAATTTTTCAAATATTCTGCATAATTAAAATATTGAAATGTGAACAAATTAATTCAAAATAGTTTTATATGAAATGGTACATTGTAGAGAAACTTACAGACTCTGATTTCTTTACAGTAGCGGTGAGGGGAACCAGGGGTCACCATGTCAGCAGTCCAAATAGAGCCAATTTTTATTTTCTATACATAATGTTTTAATAAGTTCTGTTTTTTTTAAGTCCCGCATGTGCCTCTCCACCATAAATAGATTATAAAAATATTTTTATGTCAAAAATCTTAAAATTATCATAAAACAATGTCTCAGACATCAGGCAGTGTGTTCAAAACCACTTTGTGTAATAACTTTCTGTGAGGGAGCTTTTAGAAGCATTAAACCTTTCAGACGTCTGGTTCCTATCACAGCTGCTGTAAATATTTTGTCCTGGTAAGGTTTTCTAGAAAGGAACATTTCACATCAGATCACTCTGAATGACTTGTTTACTTAAAAAATAATTTAATTACGCAGTAATTTTGAAAAATCAGTTGAATTTCACTTGAATTCCACTTAATTTTTAAATTTTTATAGTAAGCTGTGCCTCTCTGTTTCACGCAGTTCATACCCGCAGCAGCCGTTTGGTCAGCAAGGCTCCGGTCAGTACCCACCAATGATGATGAATGGAGGCATGGGTGGAGGAGGAGGAGCCAACCCCGGTCACATGGGTCAGATGAACATGGGCATGATGGGTAGAATGCCTATGGGCCCAGAGCAGGTGAGCAAGGTTGCAGTGCTTTTTGAAAAGATCGACTGCTTATTTTACACTAGTGTAAGCAATTTGTCTGTGCATTGTGATTTGCTTAAAATATATATTCAGTGTCCATTAGAAATCACCTACCTTGTAGTTCCACTCACTGGCCACTGTGTTAGAAACAACCACCTTGTACCTGTGCTCACTGGCCACTTTATTGGAAACACCTCCCTTGTGCTTCCACTCACTGGCCACTTTATTAGAGACATCTACCTTGTACTTCCACTTACTGACCACTTTATTGGAAACACCTCTCTTGTGCTTCCACTCACTGGCCACTTTATTAGAAACACCTATCTTGTACCTCTGCTCACTGGCCACATGGTAGTGTGTGTGGTGCTGGTACAAGTGTCTCTCCAGTCAAGAGCAGCTCTGTGGTCAGAAACTGACCATTAATGAAGGTCTAAATGACAGCTAACATAAACTGAGCATCTACAGGTGAGCTACAGTCTCAAACTGCATACCAGCAAGGTGGCATTTCTAATACAGTGGCCATGGTTCACATACATTGAAGCTGCTGCAAATCACATGGAGGGATATATGTAGGGCATATAGAAATAAATATGCATTAACCATGACTCTGCTGCTTCTGTCTCATGTCACAGAAATATATGTGAAGAGGAGCAACAGCCACTTCTGAGGAATGAGGACACTGTGATGCCTAAGAGAGAGACACACGCAAAGCTATGTGGCTCTCACTTCAAGGAAAATGGCCAGATTTCACACACAAATACACATATACCCACACTTAAACACATACAGTACTGTGCAAAAGTCTGAGACCATCCTTCATCTTTTTAATTTTCAGTGAAAGTATCTTTTTTGTGATTAGAGATTAGATAAAAGATAATCCACATAAGGAAGGAGAAAGTCAAAGGAAATAAGTGGAAAAACAGGAGTTCACAAAATGATTAAAAACTGCAGAGAAAATGAGACTCCTAACAACCACCTGGAAGTCCTGGTAGACACCAAAACTGCCCCCATCAGATAAACAGCACTTAAAGCTTTCGTCTTTGAAAGAGAGGAAAAAATCAAGCAGCTTCAGATCTAAAAACATTCACAGGTGTTTCTGTCCATCCTTCTACTGTGAGAAGACAGCTCAGCGCTATGGGTCTGAAAGGATGTGCAGCTGTCAAGAAGCCTCACTGAGAAAAGGAGACAGACACATCAAGCAAAGAAGCTGAACAATGGACTGACCACCCCAGAGTCCAGACCTCAACATCACTGTATGTGTTTGATTACTTTAGAAAATGATCAACAAGCTTCTAAGACTGAACTTTTGGAGGTATGGAAAAATATCCTTTCAGATTTCTGAAAAGAATAGAAGTTGTAATAAAGGCAAAGAGTGGATACACTAAATACAGATAAAAATGATTTTCTGAGGCTTCTATGTAAATTTTGGTTAATTATGTTTTCCACCTCTGAATGAATTTACTAAATGGCTATTTTCACTGGAAATTAAATGAACAAATTGTTCTTGCTTTTGCACAGTGCTGTACTACACACAAAATATCTTACACATAAAGCTAAGACACGATGTAAACACTGAGATATCAGTACAGATACATAAATGACTGAAATTGAGTGTACAATTGTACCATCATCTTCAGAATTGTGCTCAGAGTTGTCCTTTCTCTTTCTCTGTGTGGGGTTTGTTTTGTTTTGTTTTTTGTTTGTTCGTTTTTTTCATGTCTCTCATTGCGAAGAGTCCCAATACTTTTGCTGGACCAAAACAGCGAACGAGATATTGAGATATTGACATATTGAGAAATGGATTGTGGATTGCGAAGAGACGTTAAAATGGTCCAACATGTTGAACACACATGAGAAAATATCTCCTCACCAATTTTTCCGAATGTATATCATGCTGTGTTGACCGTTTTGGATGTAAGACCACCCTCTGTCTTGTTAAAGGTACTACGAAAGTAAGAAAAAAAGAACCATTCGGCTGTGATTGCACTTTACCGGGAAAAGCGTAAGCTGGCTTATGGGCGATTGGATCGTTGCAATATTTTTAGCCTTACTGGAGAACTAATGTATACGGAAAAGAACCGTCACCATTCTGGACGTCCTGGGCTGATGGTGGTTCAAGATTGATAACGAAAACGGAAATGCAGCTGGCACAGAGATCATTTATTTATGCAGATTTAAGCAATAATCTCAACCCCCACCTGGATTTTTCAGCTGAAAACAGCTCAAAGTAACTTGTCAAAGCAAAGGTACTGCAGTATTAGAATTGATGTCACATTCTAACGGATGGATTATTTCCCCCGCTCCTTTCTGTCTGTGAATACAATTTGTAAATACGCTTCAAAATGTACTATATCTGCTTTTTGTAGGTCACATACTGTTTTTGCACAGATTGTCAGGCTTGGTATTTAAAATATGATTTACTTATTCTGTGTTATAGGTCAATACAGCTTTTATTTTCAATATTTCAATTAAATGGGGGGAGAGGGTGAGGTGAGGGTCTTTTTTATTATTACTAATTTTTGTTTTTAACTTAAAAGTCACCACTTTTTATTCTTTCAGAGAGCACTTTTTTAATTTCTAAAAGCAAACCACATGAATTTCTCCAGGTTGGTTCCTCAAGCTGTTGTTGAAGCTGGTATTATGGAAATTGATTTACATTTTAAATAAACTACACTGTCCCTTAAATAAAATGGCGATATTCTATACATACACTGCCGATAAACTTGGCATGTCTGTGAGTCGCAATACTTCGGCTTTACCAGATTTTTCTCTATTCTGTCATCTACATAAACTATTACTGTTTGAAGGTATTGCAATATGAAGATGACTGTATAAATGTAACCATATGGTTTCTAATTTGGACACACATTTGTTTTTATTATCCAGTTTGGCCAGCACATTCATTTCATGTTTCGTTTCAAGTGTTTTTATTAATTCCATGCCTTTGTGCTCATTTATTTACATGTATAGCTTTTCACAAATCTACCTTTAAACACGTGCGCAATCCAAAGATTTTTGTTTTCCATTTTAACGATGGTTTGGTAAGAGTTTTTCAACATACTCATGTGATTGTGTCGGGGTGTCGAGATTCACAACCCTTTTGTATCACAAGATATAAGTGATTTCAGAAGTAGCAGACTTTTATTTTGTCTTTTTGTTTTTTTTCTTTATTAATTATGTAAGCAGAGTTTGATTGTGGAGGAGGACATTTGAATGATGCTGTTAAATAATGAGTTAAATATTAACGTTTTATTTTAGACATAAACTGTGGATTTATGAGGCTCAGAATATTCCACTTTTTTATATGGCTTCTCAGTTTTTTGGACTGCTCTCCATTCCACACCAACCTAGTTTTTTTTCCATAATGAGTTATTTGGACATAAGTGATCTAAAAATCGAATTCCCACCAGGACGTATTTCTTTGTTCTTTAAAAAGAAAAGTTGGAAGATGAAGTACCCTTAGTCCTAACGAGAGTATCTCTGTGCAATCTCTGTTCAAAAAGGAAAGTGAAATAGATTTTAAAAAAGAGACAAGGGGTAATACATGCTTGTTATCTTGATCAGGATGTAAATTACTGGTGCATTTATCTTGTTTCTTGATGTTAATATTGATGTAAATACAAATTTCTATTTAAACATTTTCAGAGTGTCATGTTTTTCTTCATTCCTGTGTGGGATCTTCAAAGAGTCTGTATCGTGATGGGGGGGAAAAAAGCTAATTCTCGTATTTCTGAAATAAAAGTTTGATTTAGTATGTAAACAAAGTTTCAAAATTGACCATAGCATCTATAGATGGAAACTAAGCTGCAAAAATAGCTTGTTGAAATTGTTTTTGTGATATATCTACCTATTCAGCCTACAGCAGTTTAGCCCCGCCCATTCACACTGAAGTTATAAGGAGTGTTTCAGCTCGGACTGCTTTTTGATTAAGACACAACACAGCCAATAAGAACAGAGTTCGCTTACATGTATTAGGCTTGAGGGCACTTAAAGAAGTGGAAAAAAGCTGTTTAGTTCTAAATCAGGGTTGTCAAACTCAGCCACTTAAAGGGCCATATTAAAAAATCTTAACAAATCCATAGCCAGAGAGCACCTATGTTTTTATTTCATTTTTAAATAACTTTTTGCTGTAACCTGAAGTGGCCATTGTGTATTAAACATATGGCAAAACATTAACAGCAAAATGTAGACTCTTCGAGTAGACCTTGAAATATGAAATGAAAACTGGAAATATTAAAAAAAAATGTCCCCAGGTCTTTTAAACCCACCTATTTGCTTGATTTAGACCCCTGTTATCTTTTCATTCAAGTTCATTCATTCTTCGAATCAGTTTCTGAGCTGCTGAGCTAAATGTTAACACTCTACAGCATGAATTATTGCTTAAACATGATAAAAATGTTTTAATGTGTTTTTGTTATTTAAAATTGCTTAAATAATGGAAATATATTTTAAAAATCTATGTATTTCTTTTTAAAGTGGGGTATTTGGTAACTTGTTGCCATATGGCAACAATGCACAATTGTAGCATAGCACCATAAAATCTAACAAAACAAAACACAAAATCTTTTCTCTAAAAACATCCTTTTATTGAAAACAAGACCAAACAAATCCAACTTATACTTGGTAAAATGTACGACCCAATATTTACAAATATTGGAAATGAATACAATTTCAATGGTATTTGGAATGTATGGTAATAACAACATCATAATAAGAATTCCTGGTAAGTAAAAGACCCTTTTTCCACAATTAAATAGGAAAACACATATTTTATATTACTGATTTTTAGTAAAATTGAGATAAAGTAATTGTTGCCATATGGCAACACCGTGCAGTGGAGGGTTAATATTGGTTGAACTGCAGCTGAAACGTAGCATGTATGTTTGGTGAAATGACCAGTGTGATAGAATTGAGGTGTAATTGCTGTCCCATAGATTGTTGTTGGGGTAGGGGAGTGGGAGCACACATTACGTTGCAGTGCATGCTGGGGATTCTAGGGGAGGGCATTGTGAAATGAGCGAATATTAATAGAAAATTAAAATAATTTAACAGATTGTGTTGCAGGCCTGATCTGGATCTGTGTTTGACATATGGGTTCTGAAGGATAAAGAAAGGGTTGGACAAAAATCATAGATAGGTAATGATTACTGTGGACTTTAGAGAAGAAAATAGATAAGAAAAGTATATCCTGAATGTGTTAGATGAGCCACAACGTATTTCATGTTTCAAGGTTGTGTTTGTTGGCTTTGCACTGGAGCTACAAGGCCAATGTAGCTAACAAGTAATGGAAACTTCTACACACCAATTAGCTTCAAGCTAACTGCATAGCAACACAGACCTCATACCCTGGTGAGTTGTTAAACGGCCCTAAAGCTGGAGTTTAATGTTATTTGTTGTGTAAAAATGACAAATAATGATTAAAAAAGTTTATGTTGCTGGTAAAGATACCAATACTATTCAGAGTCTGTAGCACAATGTTGTATCCCTCAGCCTCTTTGGTTTGACAGAATGCACAATTTTATAGCATTTTCATGTTTTTTTGTTCAGCTGTATTCTCTTTCTACAATACCCAGCATGCATTACACAAATACATCATACAACCACTGAAAATACCTGTGGTGTCACCCAATCCTGACTGTTAGCTAAGCCACTGATCTATAGGCTAATAAATACAACCAAGCTAGCATTAGCGCCTCTTACCTCTGCCATTAAATGAAATCATAAAGTAAACAGCGATTCTATCTTTGTTCAGAAAAGAAGCCAAACTGGGGTGAGGTGTCTAGACAGCTAGATAGCTATCTAGCTAACTTTAGCTAACCTTTTAGCTTGTTGTACTCGTTTGACAAGTCATTTCTGTCAGTTAAATAATATATTTCCTATACTCTAATAATGATTTAAAGACAGTTCCTAGCAGTAATGTGAGCTATCTGCCTTTAGCATTTACCAGCTAACAACAACAACATTTAAACAGGTCATCCCCTGAAATCCACCCCAAAGTAGTTGTAGTTTCTCAAAAGTTTCGCTCACGTTAAGATACATCATCAGACAGAGGGATACGTGGTCTTTAAACTGGAACAACAGGAGCAGTGCTGTAGAAGGTGAGTAAGCATGCTTACAGATGAAAATACATTTGGCCAGAGTCCCTTTCAGTAATCTCAAACTTGCTTATGTGGATTCTGAGGCTGTATGACACTGTTATCTGTAAAAGTGGAGTACAATGCAATGTAAAACAAAATTTTAAAAATGACACCATTTGCTTTCTGAAAATGTGACTGATTACAGCATAATTAAGCATTAATACTGCGAACAAAAAGGTTTGTGAGTTAAAGTTCCTTCCACATTACGACAGTGCAGCCAAAATAACCAGATCCAGTTTGGCAAGTTTAAGACTGAACTTCTTGGTTGCATTTGGTATCTGCCCTGTGTCACGTGACGAAGTGCTGGGTAAACAGTCTTGAGCAGTGGTGGAAGTGGCCAGGTTTTGCTGGGGAAACCCCAGAAACCACTCGGTTTTTAAAAATCACATGCTAAATCGTGGCTTCTTGTGCACTGCTGCTTTGAATTGAACATTTCAGTTTACCTGAAATCAAAATGGAATTTTTACATTGTTAGTTAATGTTCCTGATCATATTAAGCACAATTCATTGTATCATTTTAAAGAAAATATTGAGTCTCATTCACCAACCGTTCTTAAGAAAATATCTCTTCTTCAAACCCACTTATGCAGTTTTACAAAGTTTCTGACATTCACCAATGTCTTCTTATCTGGGATTTGTTCTTAAGAACAGAATCTATAAACACTGAAGAGTTCTGCGCTTTAAGAACATGTCATGAATCTGACGTAGACTTTTATATATTTAATATATATTTTAGAATATAATAACTTTCACCACTAAAACATCTTCTGAGTTTTAATGCAACCTTATTGAAGGGCTGGATGTGGTTTGAGGGGGTTTAGAGAAGTTTTGGGGTTGTATATACAGAAAAGATTTGGGTGACTATTGACTTCAAGTATTTGTTAGCCTCATAGTTCCAACACTAAACTGAAGATGCGCAATATGGACACCAAATACGTTTCAGCTGATCGACTACATCTGGGGTAAATTGGAAAAATTGTGGAAAATTGTTTGCATATGATTTTTTGACAAACTATTCCTTTAAAGATTTTTTAACATTACTGTCTTAACATTTTGAATTTACTGAGCTGCAAATAAGTTGACAGAAAGTAAGACAAATTAATTTGTATTAACGTACTACTAGAAGTTCAGAAAAGTCTCAATTTTAAAATCAATCGGGTTACTTATTTTTTTAAGTTAAAAAATTCATTTTTTTGCATTGCAGTAATGGCAACTGTCAGCAATGAATTGGTTCCTAAACATTTTATACAGGTTTTAAGGCAGATGAATAGGTCAGGGTGAGGAGAACAGGTCTAAGACAGAGCGTACTGCCTAAACTATCTTTAGTGGGTGTTACTTTCGCTTTACTCCCAGCTTTGAGGTTTTTAACGCAGTCTTCAGTGAGTTCCACTTTCATATTCACCAGAGCTTCATCACACTGCCGCCTGCGCACTTCTCCAGTGTAACGTAAGTAACAAACAAGCCTGAAATGATCGCTCTTTCTAGACTGCCTATATTCTAGCTGGCTTTTCTGAACAGTTGATGTTACTGAAGTTCTGTTAGTGCCAGACTGGCTAAACTGATAAGCCAAAATAAACAGAATACTGTAGTTTTAGTTAAACAGCGCTTTGTTGACTGATTAGACTGTCAGTTGTGAACTGTCACCTTTTAAAACTCGCATAAACCACAGAAACTCAGTTTTATATACACAAGATGTTTTTTAAGGGATCTTCCGTATAGAAAAGGTTCTATATAGGACCAAGAACATTTAAAGAACCTTTATCATGATTAAATGGTTCTTTGCACAGTGAAAGGGTTCTTCAGATTGATGGAGAATGTGCTGCACATGGTTCTATATAGAACCTTTTTGACAATGGAATGAAAATTGCTGCAAGCTTGATATTGTCACAGAAGAAGAATGCTTTTTGCTGCTATATAGAACCTTTTCTAAAATTCTTACATCTTGCATCTATCTAAAGAACCCTTTTACGGAGAACCACTTAATCATCCCAAGGGTTCTTTGAGAGTTCATGGTTCTATATAGCACCATTTTCTTTGCTAAAAACCCTTGGAGAATCATCTTTTTTAAAAGTATACCATAAACCTTGTAGGTGCTTCTTTATAGGCTGGCTTATGAGCATGAGACCATTAAAGGGAAATTCCACTGATTTTCTTTTCTTTTTTTTTTCAGAATTCAGTAGTTTAGATCTTAAAAAAGTAATTCTGAGTGGTTTGATGGGAAATGGTTTATATTTTAGTTATAGGAACCAGGGGTCCTGATGTCTACGACACAAATATAGCCGTTTATTTGTTATCCAAAATCACCACAGACTCTACATGTGTTCTTTAGATAACATAATTTTCCTAATGAACCAGTATTTTACAATCATCATTACATCATTACAAAAAATTATGTTTTTTGCAGGGACTATTTTGCCTTAAAACGCCCTTCATGTACCTCTCTGTCATGAATGAGTTTGTAAAAATATGTTTTAGGCCTAAATTTTATCTCACAACTATCACAAAGTAATGTTTCAGACATCAAGCAATTTACTTGTAACCATTTTGTGTAATAAAACTTTTAGATGCATTATATATATAGCACACCACTAAATACCTACGCTTTAGGCAGCAATTTTGATGATATGAATGATAAATCTGCAGGACCTCAGTTTTGGCCGATGATATATAGGTTATATGACATATATACAGCACAGTCCCCCAGTGCTGAATTAACTCTTTATGCTTTTTTATTTCTTCCATAGTTGGATTAACTCTTGTATTATTGAATTAAGCCTGTTAACTTTGAGGTTCTGTATGTGGGTCCACTTTTCAATTCCTCACTCTCATAACTACAGAACATATACATTAGTTTCATAATAGTTGCTGAATCATTTATAGTACACTCTTTAAAAAGTATCTTAAAAAAAATTCTTAAATTATCTTTTAAATGATCTTTTTTATGTCATGCAAAGGGTTCTTTGAGTGTTCATGGTTCTATATAGAACTATTTTCTTTACCAAAGAACCCTTGAACAAATATCTTTTTTAAGAGTGTAGATGATGAATAATTCATAGTAGTTGCATAGTAGTTCCTAAGTAATTTACAGTAAATGCTGAATAATTTATAGTACATACAGAATAATTCTTTATAGTTCTTCAATAATTTATAGTACATGCTGAATAATTCATAGTAGTTCTTGAATAATTTATAGTAGATACTGAGTAATGTATAGTACTGAATGAATCATTTATAGTAGTTATTGAATAATTCATGGTAGTTACAGATATAATCCACAGTAGTTGCAGGAATTTATAGTATATTCTGAAGAATTTATAGAAGATACTGACTCACTTATAGTTTATACCAAATTATTTAGTATTTAGTGAACAATTTGTATTAATTACTGAATAATTGTAGTAAATACTGAATAATTTACAATATGTATTGAATAGTTAACAGTAGATACTGAATACTTCACAGTAAATACTGGATACTTTATAAATTTATAGTAGTTTCTGAAACTTTGTAGTTGGATAATTCATAGTAGTGACTGAATATTTATGGTAGATACTGAACCTTTACTGCTTAAATGCAATCACACTATAACATGATTAATCACATAGTAACTATACACATTTCCACCTTTTTCTGTTTGTTTTGATGTAAACATGTCAAAAACTTGTCAAAAACATTGCAAGTTTTTACTTTTCACAAAAAATGACTGTACACAAGTCAGTAACATTCAATCAGAGTCAAATCATAATAAAATATCTTCTACGCACAAACACAAATAGGTTATGGATTGAAAGTTTAGAATCTGCACTTTCCATATAATTTCTCCAACCGTGATTTTGTTGTTGCCAGTGATAACTATGACTTCTAAGAATGAACTCTAACATTTGTTGAAGTGAACTCTTGCTTTGCTGAATTGACACCTCAACTGCAGAATTAAAACACTTGCTGTGCTTTTTTAAGATCATGTGCATGTATACCATGTAGTAATTCACATGTTCATGCTGGCACGTGATTAACTGCTGTATTTGACACCCAGACAAATGGACAACTTGCAGAATCCAGAAGACTGCACAGTAGAGCTTGGCTATCTTAGTGATGATGATTATGATGACGATGATGAAGACCTCACACAGCAGGGGTTCACCTGCCACTGCTGCTATCAAGTCCTGGTGGATCCCACTACGCTCAACTGCGGACACAACTTCTGCCGTCACTGCCTGGCTCTGTGGCGTCAGACCTCACGCAAGAATGAGTGTCCAGAGTGCCGCCAGATCTGGAAAGGCTTTCCTAAAATCAACGTTGCGTTCAGGTAAGACTGACCCAGGTTAAAAACACTAAACTACATTAGGTGTAAAAATGCTTTGATTTGAAGGCAGAGAATCAGCTACATGGATTTTGGAAGGTTAGAATGATAATCAGTTATAAAAGTATTCAATAAAATATACCTGCATTTGTTAGCCAATTTAAAAAGCAACAACAGCAACTCCAAATTACACCACAGTAATTCAGTTTGCACATTTCTGACACACACACCTTAGTTACTGTTGCTACTTGAGTCAAACTTTCTGATCAGGCCACTTGGCAGCATCCATAACACTTGCGCAAAAAGACTAACACATTTATTAGCACAAAGTATAATTTAGATGCACATAGAGAACATTTAAAACATTTTTCATTAAAAAATAAACTGGCTTTACAAGATTGTTCAGAGCAGTCGTACATGTCTGAGAACCAACAAAATATGAATGTAGGTCCATTTAAGTTAATTAAATGGAAACCATGTTTCTATTAATGATACCAGGGGAATCTTTTAGCCACTTGACGTTAAAGTGGCAGATTTTCATGTCTAATAAGAAGGTTTGGACTGAGAAAGCTGCCCCTTCAGATGAGCAAATACTAATGTTAACGCTAATGCGGAACTAGTCAGAGCAGCGTTATGTGATGAGAACTCATAGTCACCCAAGGTCTTTCAGCAAACTTCAGTGAAACAATAGGTATGATAACATGTATGAGTGCATTAATATGAACTAATAGCATTTTTAATCACAAATATGAGCAATGACTAATTTATCAAGCTAACTCAGCTAGCTTAGCTAACTGATCTTAGCATTGTTATTGTTAGATTAAATAAAAAGCATCTTCTACACAAACTTTCTCAGCTTCAGGAATGAAAATAAAAGCATCTCTACCCTCCAGATGACCAGGATACCATGAGACATTACACATCCTATACTTTACACTATTTCTTATCCTAACACTTCTAACTAATTTACCGGCACTGCCGTCCTCACTGCAGGTTTGTTTGAGCAGATCTGTCCTTCGTTTGACGGAGGAAGTGATGCTTAGAAACGATTGTGAATGTCAGAGAGGCGTGTCTGTCATTATACTGCATATGTTCAATCGAATTGAATCGAATGTACACATCTGAATCAAGTCGAGTCAGTGCAGCTGTTCTTTTTCAGTGTTGGTAGTTGTTAGTCTGTGTACTGAAGTAAATGTGTCTGTGTTCTCTGCAGGGATCTGGTGGAGATGCGTTTTCGGACTGACGTTGAGAGGAGGAGGCAGACCATTATGGCTGACCCGGCCATCGTCCAAGCTCTGCTGACCTTCCAGCTTTTGGAGCATGAAGTCCACCGCCGGGCCCCTCCGCCGGTGCAGTGGCGGCCATGGTTGGGCACTGGCAGCTTCTTTTCTGGAGTCCTCATTGCACTCACCACCGTCGCCGTGAGTTATACATCTGTGTTTCATTCCAAAATGTATTTAAAATGTCCATTAAGCAAAAATATTTTTTTGGCTATTTTCATACATAATTGATAAAAACACTTTACATATATCTTTAGCATTTGGAAACACTCTCACTAGTGCCTTGACATGATGTAAACAAAGTGCTTACGATTTTTTATGCATAAAATTATGCATGATTAAGGGATTCTTAGCATCATGAAAGGGGTCTTCGGATTGATGTAGAATGTGCTGTAGATGATTCTATATAGAGCCTTTTTGAAAATGGTTCTTTATAGCACCAAAAGGGGGTTCACTATTGTTGCGGTGTCAGACTCATAACAACAGAAGAACCCTTTTGTACCTTTGAACCTTTTCATGATGCAAAGAACCCTTTCTTTGAGTGTTCATGGTTCTATAAAGAACCATTTTCTTTACCAAAGAACTGTTGAAGCATCATCTTTTGTAAGAGTGTAGTAAAAGTAAAAGTACAACAACAACAAAAAAACTTCGGTAGAACTACAAAAACTGATAAAGTACTGAGCAACTTAGCGGCACTTCTTAGTAGATCCAGCATCTATCAACAGTGTGAGCGATTGCAAAGCAGTTCAGGAGAATTGTGGGACTAAAAGTGATCAGCTGAAATGTAACGCGTAAAAAGTTCTTTACTCTCATGTGTACTTAAGAAGAGTTTAAAAAATCTTGTCATTTTATTCCAGTCAGTCTGTAAAGCATTTCTCAGCCCATTTTGTTTGCTAAATTGTATTCTGTTTTGTTTGTTGTTTAGCTGTTGACCGAAAACCTTGCTTAGAATCATCAATGGGCTCAGAATTGAATGTTCTTCTTCCTCAGAATGTGACCAAATGGGATGCAGGCCAAACATTACCTTATAGGAGTTATGTAATGTAATGTGTCCATTTTCTGTTTTTGTATGTGCTAAAGTAAAAACCTTAATTCATTAAGTCTTTAAGTTGTTACTGGTGCTCAGCGGAGTGATACAGTTATTGTGAAGAGAAAACCCTGATGTTTTTTGTGATAATGCTTCTGAACCAATCAGGTTGTGCCATCAGAAGAACTGGCAAAATTTTCATTAACATTATTCATGAATACAGGTATGAGTATGAACAGGCTATTTGAGGTTATCTCAATGCTAGAAGTTTAAATGTGATTTTTGGGGGATATGAGTGGTATTAGTGGTCAGCTCCATTGTTCCTCATAGTGCAGACCATGTTTAATGGCCTCATATTAATAAATTTGTGCAAGGAGGAGTCTGGTATAATCACTGAACAGAAGTGTGGCAGTGTTTGTGTACCAGCATTCTTGCATAGCATTCTGCAAATTCACCTGCACTAGGTCACCTGAGTGAATAGATAAAAGTGAAAATATTTCTTCCAGTATTTACCACAGCTAGGGCATTCTGGGAAATCCCAATGAGGAACTATTAATCCATTTACTAGAAATGTTTATGTGAGCAAGTGTGTCTCTGTATGCTCAGCTGCCACTTTATAGGAAACCCACAGTAGCTCCACCCTGCTGGTGAACAGTTAGAGACTGTAGCTCATCTGTCGGTAGGAGTTTCTAATAAAGTGGTCAGTGAGTAGATATATACTGTAGCTGTTTCTAATAAAGTGGCCAATGAGGAAATGTATGAGTTTAGTGTTTCTTATAAAGTGGTCAGTAACTGGATGCATAAGGCAGCTGTTTTTTGTAAAGTGGCCAGTGAGTGGAGATATAATGTAACAGTTTCTAATAAAGTGGCCATTGAGTGGATGTATATGTGAGGTGTTTCTAAAAAGGTGGCCAGTAATAAGAAATAAGAGGTAGGTGTTTCTAATAAAGTGGGCAGTGAGTGGACATCTGTGTCTGTGTTTATACCAATGTCAGGTGGTGTTTCTGGTGTATCACTGGAGCAGCGGTGAATCGAAGGTGGAGCTGTTGGCGAGGAAGCCATTGGGTTTGTGGAAAGTGGAGGAAGTGGCCATGTGGATGGAGAATCTGGGGTCATGGGCTTCTCCATACAGAGACACCTTCCTCAAGGAACAGGTCAACGGCAGGTACAACACTAACATGCTGCTTAATGTGTGTATTAGTAGGGAAGAGCGGGGCACAAACTAACATGAGGTAAAACGTAATATGGTTATTTTATGTAGTTAACAGGTTCAATTCAAACATGCTTTTGCTCACCTTCTTACATTCCCATAGCAACCCCAATGTTGACAGCAGTTGTTGACAGCAAAGACTTTTTTCATTGTAACCTTTTGATTACTGAGTTGTGTGTTGCAAAATTCACTCCTATATTATGATCTCCTTCCTGGTGGCTGTAAGCACAGTTTTGAAGCCCCTGTTTACTCATTTTTATGACTTTCTTCTTACTATTATAAATAGTTCTGCTGATGTTGAACTGGCAGAGAAAGAGTGACAGTGGTTGTTTCTGTTGAGAGATTTTGTAAATTATTTTTTCTGCCGTTTTCTTGGGTTTGATTTAAATTGGGTGTTACTCAGTTTGGTGCAGGTGACATCAAATCTGCCTAAGTAGCAATTAGAGTTAGCATGTATACATCAGCTACTCACGTTCCTCTCCCTCACATAAAGTGACTGCTCTCCTGCTGCTCCAAATCCCAGACAAAACTCCCAGCAAATAGGTTATTTAAGCTTTTCTACATGTGTTAACGGTGCTTGTCATCAAAGTTTATCACACTGTTGTTTTTAGCATAGCTAGACAGGTCCACGCAGTTATGAGCTGGCAGCAGCTCGGAATATTAAACTGTATTAATTTTTATATATATGTGTGTGTTGAATATAACACTGATAAACACTTTTGTGTGGCATATCTTTACTCTTAGAACAAAAATGTTAACATTTGAAACCATATTGACAGAGGCTTTAATACAGTGTTCCAGCTAATTCTCCCAAAGGAAACTGTGAGAGATGTCCGTGTCCCCCATGTAAATTTAAAGCAGTTTATTCTTTGGAAGTTTTTTTCCCCAAATATACTACGGACGTCAGGTAAATTGTGCTAAAACTAAAACATATTTTTTGTTTGTGGATTTTTTTTCTGGTAAATCTGGCATTCCTTTTTAGTATACAGACTTGAATGTGAATGTGGTTGTTTTTATATTGGTCATACGAAAAGGATATTTAGAGATTATCTGAACCCCCTGTTTCTTCCTGACCAACAGGTGGCACAAGCTTGTGTATATATATGGGTGTTCTCAGGTGGTTTCTGTTGATATGCCATTTATTTGTGTCCTGATGAAGGCCTGAGAAGGCTGCAGTGCGTCAGCACATTTCTATATATATATTTTCATGTTTCAATAAAGGCTTTTTATACTTTTCTTAAGACAGTGTGCCAGGGAATTTATTTGTTCCGGGATTTATTTTGCACATGCTTTGTGGATGTGGATAGATCTTTTGGTTTTTTGCCACTCCCAGCATGAAATTGTTATTTTGAGTGTGCTGCACCCATGCCCCAGCAGCACCTGTCTTTTTGCCTTATTTTTGTTACCTCTGTAGTGCTTCTTCATTTTTGCTCTTTCATATTTTTCTGTTTTTAGCCTGGGAATCTTGTCTGGTTCAACCAACATAGAATTGTATTAGCAACTATTACAACTGGCTCCAAGTCTATGGAAGCACTTGCATTCGTTCTGCCTTTGGCTGAATTATTATATGAAAGTTTTCAGTTGTAACAAAGATGTGAAGGTTACTTATAAAAATATTAATCTTGTAAATTTCAGCAAAAACCACATTGTATTGTGCCCCGCTCTCCTTTAATCTAAAATAGAATTTATTTAAATGACTGTTAATAACAAAAAAAGTGATTGGGCGTATGTGTTGGTCTAACTCACTGTGTGTGTTTGTGTGTAGACTGTTGAATGTGCTTTCAGAACAGGACTTACTGAAGCCCCCCTACAGTGTAGAAAACGAGCTTCATAGACGTGCAGTGCTGAAAGAAGTGCAGCGTGTGCAAGAGTTGGGCTTTAAACGTCCTCAGACTCTGTGGGAATACAAGGTAAGTATATATAGTGTGGAAAAAGTCAATACCATAGATACTTACAATTCAAATGTTATTTTGTTATTAACAAATATTACCTTGAAGTGAAGGGTTATATTCCAAAGTTTCCCACCTACTCTAAGGAAATCCATTCCTAAACATGTAGGCTTGGCCTTCCGATTTTTTAGTCCGTTTCCTAGAAGCCCTCATGCCATATTGAGGTATGCGATATCAGAACACATCACACTTTCAGTTAGAGCTGCAGGAAAAATGGAAAAAAATGAACTGCTGCTATCTCTCACCATGCCTTCACCTCAAGTGAATGACGCTGCAGTGCTGCAATCTGATCAGTCATACTTTCGGTTTGGGCTGGGAAAGCACCTTCAAAAGCACGTGAATGGAGACAGTAGCACATTCAGCTGATGCTGTGGTTTCTCTCAGCAACATTTTCCTTAAGTAAATATCTTAATGACCGAAAACAAAGCAGAATAAGTGTTTTTTTACACTTAATTATAATGAGCTATATCTAAAGCCAAATGTTTTAACTGATTAAAAAAAAGTGTATGAAAAGTGTGTGGATGTAACTGTGGCTTGCTGCAAAGTCACATAAAAACTCATCTCGAACAAGATCACTCAAAACAACTGTGTTATTTCTAGCCAAACTCTTAATTAGCAATACTAATGTTTGTGCTTACTTGCACTTTATAGTACTGCTGATCAGTGAAACTACAGAGAACAAGTTTGTGCCTTTATCATGAAAATTTTACTAAATGATATTTTTGAGGTGGTATGCTAAAGGGGGGGCTTTTGCCCCTTGTCTTGGGAACATCTTGCCAATTATATAGGTGAAATTAGGTGATCTAATTTTTGGGTGATAGCGATCTATGGATTCATATTAACTTTTATATCGCTGCTGTCGAACCAAAACCTTTTATGTCCTATTTTGTCGTTTTTCAGTTTTGTGTGTGCATTTCAAGATGAATGGACCAAAAGAAATGGCCCCAAATTAATTGGAAAAATGTCTGGTTCCATTGACTTACATTTAAAGTAAAGTGTGTGTTTTTCTTTCTCCTGTAAAGCTATCATTTTGGAGATACAAGGTGTTGGTCTGACAGCAGAGATATGTTGTCATTGTCTAGACTAAACCAAATTTCCAAAATAGTCATTTTACATGAGAAGGAAAATATATCTTCAACTTTGAATGGAAGTTAATGGAACAATATTTTTGTTCAAGTCATTTTAAAGCCATTTTAAAACATCATGACTTTGTAACAGTGTAAAGGCCAGCTGACATTTTCAAACTACGTAAAAATTAAAACAACAAAAATGGAAATACAAGGTTTTGCCTATATATACTTTCTATAAAGAACTTATTATAAACCCATATATCACTGTAATCCATTTCCCTCTATGTTACACACTTAAAAATGGTTTTTCAAGGGCTCATTCGTAAAGAAATGATTCTATGCAGGTCCATGAACATTCAAAGAACCCTTTCCATGATTAAAGGTTCTTAGCATCATGAAAGCATTCTTGACGGAGGATGTGCTGTAGATGCTTCTATGTAGAACCTTTTTGAAAAGGGTTCTATATAGCACCAAAATGGGTTCTTCTATTGTTAAGTTGTAAGGCTTGTTAATATAGAAGAACCCTTTTTGGTGCCATATAGAACCCTTTTCAGAAAGGCTCTATATAGAGCCATCTACACCACAATTTTCATCAATCTGAAGAACGCTTTCATGATGCAAAGAACCATTTAATCATGGAAAGGGTTCTTTGAATGTTCATGGTCCTATACAGAACCATTTTCTTTACTAAAAAACCCTTGAAGAACCATTTTTAAGTGTGTACCTTATTATGACAAATTACCTTCTAATTACCAATTAATATCATTTTAATAATTGTTCTAATAAATATTTCTTTGTGTTAATAATTCCTTTTATTTGAATCCTCTGTAGGCAGTAAATGGAGGGAAGTCTCTCTTCCTTCTCATTGCCATGAGCGACTCCCCGCGCTTCGCCATTCTCTACATCTACTTATTCGACTACTATGATTCGTTCTTGCCCTTCATTCATATTAGCTGTCCATCACCGACAAAGAGCTCTGAAGATGATCTCCCCTTCAGGAATCTGGTAAGATCATGTGTTAGTGTTTGTTTCTGTGCATTTATAGGACAAACATGTCCAGAATGCCTGATTAAACCGGGGCTGACCTACACAGCCAACAGAAATGCTCTTGACTTTGTAAAGTGTTTATTTATTTTTTTAAACTGTGTTTTATGTTTAAAACTGAAAAACAACACCACTTATTTTTGGTAATTGAGGTTAAGCTTAGGGACTTACAGCATACAGTACTGTGTAAAAGTCAGAGACCACACTTCATTTATTTAATTTCCAGTCAGAACAGCTGTGAAGTACAAGTGATTTATTTATTTTCCATATAACTTATGCAACTTTATTATTTTAACACCTTGGTGTCTAATCAAGGGGCACAGGTCAGAGGTTTTTGTCAACAAAACAGAAGCACACATCATCATTTGTATAAAGACTGAGACTGACTGAATAATAGGCAATCTCAGGTGTGTTCTTTGTGTTTAAAACAAAACCTGCACCCACACTGTGGATACCATTGGTAGATAAGATTGAAACCCCTGTTTCATGACTAATCTTACTTAAAAGTCAATAACCTTTATTTAATGGCTGTTTTGACTGGAATTTAAATAAATGAAAGGTGGTCTCTCAGTATAAAAACTGTGTGTACAATCATTGGTCTACATATTGCCATAATTCACAGCTCCCTCTCTCTCTCTCTCTCTCTCTCTCTCTCTCTCTGTCTCTCTCTCTCTCTCTCTGTCTCTCTCTGTCTCTCTCTCTCCCTTACAGCAGGAGACTCCAGACTGGAAGCAGTGGGCAGAGTTTCTGGTGAAGTACAGCCTCCTGCCCTATCAGCTGCTAGCAGACTTTGCGTGGGATTGGCTAGATGTTCATTACTGGACAGTGCGCATTGTCCTCTGGAGCGCTTTATTACTGACCCTGCGGGAAGCCCAACTGTTACGAAATCTCTGGGGCCGCGCTGACATCACGTAAGCTGAGAATTCCTATTGTTAAGTTGTCTCAACAAAGCCAACAACTTAGCAACCACTTTGGATACCATAGCAATTGCCTAGTGACATCTTAACAACCACTTGGAATACCATACCAACAGCTTACCAACACCTTAGCAGCCACCTGGGATGGCTTAGCAATGGCCAAGCAACACCTTAGCAACCATCTGGGATGCCATAGCAATTGCTTAGTAACACCTTAACAGCCACTTGGAATACCATACTAGCAGCTTACCAACACCTTAGCAACCATTTGTGATGCCTTAGCAATGGCCTAGCAACACCTTAGCAACCACTTGAGATACCATAACAACACATTAGCAACCACCTGGGATTTCATAGTGACAGCTTTGTCAAGCCAACTTAAAGTGTGTTCACAAACTTTCTTCTTCTAGTTTTGAATAGTTTTCACCCAGTTTACTCATCACAATATCTCATATTGCACTGTTCCATATGTTCCAGTTATCTATAGAATTTGGTTCTATGGAGTTCTATGTGATGCCATTGACATTATTTAAGGGCTCATATCATGGAAAACCATTTTTTTCCATCAAACTGTATTGACATAAGAGTTTGATGTATTATGAGAATATGGCTAAAATTTAAATGTATGGAGACTAAGCGGCAAAGATAGCCCCCTCTGAACGCATTGTGGGGTCACAACCATGAACACATTCACTCTTGTCCACTCATCCACCAGTTTGGCCACCCATTCATGCTCAAGCAATACAGCGTCTTGTTCTCTGCATAGTGATTAGAAAGTTTCATCTGTGAAGGGGTCAGCCAATCAGAACATAGGTCATCTACACAAAGTCGTATGCATAAGTTTGGGGACCCCTGGTCAATTTACGTTTTATTGATTTTTTGTTTGTGTACATTAGTTAACACACTCTTTACACACTACTGCACATTTTAATGCACAATTACTGTTTGTTTGCTGAATTTACAATCCTAATTCCAAAAAAGTTGGGACGCTGTGTAAAATGTAAATAAATGTAAAAAAATGGAAAAATGGAAAAAAAACAGAATGCAATGATTTGCAGATCTTATAGACCCATATTTTATACACAATAAAACATAGAACACATATCAGATGTTGAAAGTGTGACATTTTACCATTTCATGAAAAAATATTAACTCATTTAGAGCTTGATGGCAGCAATGCATATCAAAAAAGTTGGGACAGGGCTGTGTCTACCATTGTATAGCATCCCCTCTTCTTTTAACAACAGTCTGTAAACGTCTGGGAAGTGAGGAGACCGATTGCTGGAGTTTTGGAAGAGGAATGTTGTCCCATTCTTGTCTGATGTAGGATTCTAGCTGCTAAACAGTCCATGATCTTCTTTGCCGGATTTTTTGTTTCAGGATGCGCCAAATGTTTTCTATTGGTGAAAGGTCTGGACTGCAGGCAGGCCACTTCAGCACTCAGACTCTTCTTCTATGAAGCCATGCTGTTGTGATGGATGCAGCATGTGGTTTAGCATTGTCATGCTGAAATACGCAAGTTCTTCCCTGAAAGAGACGTTGTCTGGATGGGAGCATATGTTGTTCTAAAACCTCTATATACTGTTCAGAACTGATAGTGCTTTTCCAGATGTGCAAGCTGCCCACGCCATAGGCACGCAACCCTATACCATCAGAGATGCAGGCTTTTGAACTGTGTGCTGATAACAAGCTGGATGGTCCCTCTTCTCTTGAGTCTGCAGGACATGGTGTCTATGGTTTCCAAAAAGAATTTAAAATTTTGATACATCTGATCACAGAACAGTTTTCAATTTAGCCTCAGTCCATTTTAAATGAGCTTTGGCCCAGAGAAGACGGCGGCATTTCTGGATCATGTTGATATATGGCTTCTTCTTTGCATGATACAGCTTTAACTTGCATTTGTGGATTGCATGGTGAACTGTGTTCACAGGCAGTGCTTTCTGGAAGTGTTCCTGAGCCCATGCAGTGATTTTCAGTACAGAATCATGCCTGTTTTAATGCAGTGCCACCTGAGGGCCCAAAGATCACGAGCATCAATTATTGACCGTTCTTGATTGGCCTTGTCCCTTGCGTGCAGGGATTTCCACAGATTCTCTGAATTATTTGATGATATTATGTACTGTAGATGGTGGGATATCCAAAGTCTTTGCAATTTTATGTTGAGGATCATTACTCAGTCATGTGAGTTAGTTGTAAATTGCTCCTCCAGCTGTTTTTTATTGGTACCACTTACTTTTCCAGCCTTTTGTCGCCCCTGTCCCAACTTTTCTGAGATGCATTGCTGCCATCAAGTTCTAAATGAGTTGATGTTTTTCATGAAATGGTAAAATGTTTCACTTTCAACATCTGATATGTTCTATGTTCTATTGTGAATAAAAAATGGGTCTATGATATTTGCAAATCATTGCATTTTGTTCTTATTTACATTTATTTACATTTCACACAGCGTCCCAACTTTTTTGGAATTGGAGTTGTAAAATATGGGAAAAAATAAACAAAACAAAAACAAAATGTAACCTGTTAAAAAAGTTTTCAAAAAGTCTAAATTATGGCATATTTCAATCTGTTTAGAGATGTGCACTAAATTGTAAACATTGTAAACTATGGGGAAAAATTATATACAAGGAAAATGTATAATATTAGCCCTTTAACAGTGTTTGCTGTCTTTCTGGCAGCCCAGTGTGCACCTGGTTAAGTAGTACAGAGTAGTCAGTAGTGTTTCTGCTTCTAGTGTTCATGAGCACATCCTTTTGAGCAAAGCTCTGTTTGTACTTTGTAGTGGAGATTTTAATCTTTATATTTTTCCTGTGTGTTTTTGTCTTCTGTAAACTGAAGAAGACTTTAAAATGAGCTCACTATTCTTGTCTGTATGCTTGAATTATAGGTCAGTCCTCAGGATGGTCTTCAACCACTTGTTGGCCACAGTGTTCATATGGTTGTTCCAGAGGCTCTTCTGGCCTCTGACTCCACAGTTTGTGTGTAACTGCATCTTCTACTGGACGCTCTACTTCTACCCTATCATCAATACATTCACACTGATACAGCTAATATACCCACATATACTCCGCGGACTATAGCACACACAAAGCAGATGTAAGCAGTGTTTTCATGCCATTTTCGAATGTAATGTACTGTGCAAAAGTCAGATACCACCCTTTATTTCATTTCCAGTCAAAAGGTACTTTTTTTTAGCATATAGTGAAATTAAGTGAATGAAAGGTGCTCTCTAAATTTTGCACAGTAATATACATTCAGATTTACACTATATTGCCAAAAGTATTCACTCACCCATCCAAATCACTGAATTCAGGTGTTCCAATCACTTCCATGGCCACAGGTGTATAAAACCAAGCACCTAGGCATGCAGACTGCTTCTACAAACATTTGTGAAAGAATGGGTCGCTCTCAGGAGCTCAGTGAATTCCAGCATGGTACTGTGATAGGATGCAACCTGTGCAACAAGTCCAGTCGTGAAATTTCCTCACTACTAAATATTCCACAGTCAACTGTCAGTGGTATTATAACAAAGTGGAAGCAATTGGGAACGACAGCGACTCAGCCACGAAGTGGTAGGCCACGTAAAATGACAGAGCGGGGTCAGTGGATGCTGAGGCACATAGTGCGCAGAGGTCACCAACTTTCTGCAGAGTCAATCTCTACAGACCTCCAAACTTCATGTGGCCTTCAGATTAGCTCAAGAACAGCGTAGAGAGCTTCATGGAATGGGTTTCCGTGGCTGAGCAGCTGCATCCAAGCCTTACATCACCAAGCGCAATGCAAAGCATTGAATGCAGTGGTGTAAAGTGCCGCCACTGGACTCAAGAGCAGTGGAGACGTGTTCTCTGGAGTGATGAGTCTGGGTTTGGCGGTTGCCAGGAGAACGGTACTTGTCAGACTGCATTGTGCCAAGTGTAAAGTTTGGTGGAGGGGGGGATTATGGTGTCGGTGTTTTTTTTAGGAGTTGGGCTCGGCCCCTTAGTTCCAGTGAATAGAACTCTTAATACTTCAGCAGACCAAGAGATTTTGGACAATTTCATGCCCCCAACTTTGTGGGAACAGTTTGGGGATGGCCCCTTCCTGTTCCAACATGACTGCGCACCAGTGCACAAAGCAAGGTCCATAAAGACATGGATGAGCAAGTTTAGTGTGGAAGAACTTAACTGGCCTGCACAGAGTCCTGACCTCAACTTGATAAAACACCTTTGGGATGAATTAGAGCGGAGACTGCGAGTCAGGCCTTCTCGTCCAACATCAGCGTCTGACCCCACAAATGCGCTTCTGGAAGAATGGTCAAAAATTCCCATAAACACAAAGCTAAACCTTGTGGAAAGCCTTTCCAGAAGAGTTGAAGCTGTTATAGCTGCAAAGGGTGGGCCGACATCATATTAAACCCTATGGATTAAGAATGGGATGTCACTCAAGTTCATATGCGTGTGAAGACAGATGAGTGAATACTTTTGGCAATATAGTGTATGTTCTGTAAAAGTGCACTTTTTCCTTGGACATTAAAACACAAACTGTACTTTATATCTGATACTGTGATCTTTAAGAACATCTGCGCTGTGAAAACATCTAAAATGTAATTTTTTTTCTGTCAGATTATAATTATATTGTGGATGTTGTTTAGAAATATAACGTATGTGTGCATGTGTATGAATGTGTGTGTGTGTGTGTGTGTGTGTGTGTGTGTGTGTGGAATAAAGACAACAGAGAGTTATGTGTATTTTCAAAAAATTAAAACTTTATTTTTAAAAGATTCTTTGTTTTATCTTCTGTTTTTTAAAGAGATTTTTTTCATTTTATTTTTTAAATTAGATTTTTTTTTTGCCATGTACTCCGCAAGTAGGTCAGAAGTGAAAGTTTTTTCCTAGTACTCCAGAATACTATATATAAATACTCTCTATCTAGATATATATAGACTGTAGACTGGTCACAATAACTGGATGAACAGTTCTCACAGGCTGTAAAATTTATGACAGTCTACATCATTATTACGATTATAATTGTGATTATAAAAATTGTGTGTCAGTATGGGCCTGAATATTAAAGTAAGTCATATAGTGTACAATAATTCATACATATCATATTTAATTATATTATTAAAAATGTATGTATGCTAATGTGTATATAATACAGAGTAATAGATTATAATTTCCCCAATAATAATATAATATTCTTATTTCTAATTCATATTTTACAAATGATATGCTTATTATACTATTATGGAATTTCTTTACACCTACCATATGCAGACTATTATATTATTTATTTGTATTAGTATTAATAAATTGAGTTTAATAAATAAAGGTTATAAATTCAATATTTGTGCATTTTTATATCCTTATAATGTAATAATCTTATGTATTATGGTTCTGCTAAATATTGTTAATTTACTACTGCTACTACCGATAATAATAATAATAATAATAATAATAATAATAATAATAATAACAATAATAATAACAGTCTTAATTTATGCATAACTTTTCGTTTTAATTTTAGTAACACTGTAAACAATAAATAAAACTACCACGGTGTAATAAACTAACAGTAGAAGGCCTTTGGAGGACTTGTATTTTGTAGTCGTGTTTGTGAGAGAAACACTGAGCTGGTTGCTGCGCGTTTCACCGCCTCTGTGTTGCTGCAGTAGTGGCTGTGATGGCAGGGATGGAAGTGGCTCCTTTCAGGCCGTGGGACGATTTCTTCCCCGGAGCTGACCGCTTCGCCAAACCAGACGTGCAGGACTTAACCAAATGGAACAACAGGGTGGTCAGCAATCTGCTCTACTATCAGACTAATTACTTTGCGGTGGCCATCGTGGTGTTTCTGATAGTTGGGTAAGTGTTGAAGCTCATAGAAAACGCAAACGCCCTGATGACAGATCTGATCTGTTTGCTTATTTAATGCTGATAAATGTCTCTTTAAACCGGCAGCATTTATGTATAAATTACTTTTATTGAAATATTTTTGACTGTCTGCTCAGAAGAGCATGAGTGGGCATTGAGTGTTGATCTCACAGTAATCCTGCCAAGCCCTTCCTCCCTCCCTCCTCCATGTACTGTACACTCTTAAAAAAGATGGTTCTTCAGTAAAGGATATCGCTCTGCTTAGGACCATGAGTTCTGTATAAAACCACTTGGAGAATGGCGAATGTGTTGTTTATGGTTCTATACAGCACCAAAAAAGGTTCTGTTGTTACAAGCTTGACACTGTAAGGCTAGAAGAACCCTTTTTGGTGCTTATATAGAACAAATTTCAAAAAGCTTCTATGTAGAACCATATACAGCACATTCTCCGTCAATCTGAAGAACATTTTTACCACGCAAAGAGCCATTTAAGCATGCGTATCATTCTATATAGAACTCATGGTTCTAAAAAGAGCCATTTCCTTTACTGAGGAACCGTCTTAAGGGTTCACTGTCATAGGAGGCATCAGTGTCCTTGTGTTATAAGTCTTCTAAAATCTCAAAAACATCTTCAACATATGTAAAATCTACCAAGACAGTGTTTTTGTGAGCATTATGAGCATTAATAAGCTTTAACCCATCAATGTCCATGTCTGAAATCTTACATTCATATGTTCTCTAAACTTCTCTGAGCTCAGATCTAAAGAAAGTGTCAAACCTGCCAAACCACATGGCTAAAAAGTGACTTTTGATCGCTTAATTTAGTTTTCTTTGGTCACACCCACTTCTGGATTTCAACATAACAGTAAAATGTAAATGTGATTCTGAGTAGAAGTATGAAAATGACATGATAATGGAAGAATTTCTAGCAATATGTAGTTGCAAGATTTCATCACTACAGACCAGTCGGAACACGTTCTGTAGCATTTTTCCTCATCGTGCTAAATGCAGTTGTCAGACAGCTGAACAAAAAGAATAGTTTGAAATGATCACCGTACAGATTGTGTTGTCTGTATGTAATACAGAGTATGACTTTAAGTCCACTGGTCATCCTAGTTTTGCTTAGTTATGAAGTATTTTGATTATGCAGACTGATGATTATTAAGCTTAAGCAGCTGCTAATATCTCAGCTGTCCAGGATCACTGAGTCACTCGCACTATGTATAGCTCAAAAGGCAACTTGACACTGATGGTACATTGTTATCAGGACCCACCCTGTTACCCCCAAATGCCTCCCTAAATGTCAGTCAGTCAGGCTTTTTTGACAGAAAGATTGAATAAAGATACCTGGATATGCTTCTCACATCAGTAGGTTGTAAAGATTTTCAGCTTTGATGCCGTTTTCAAATTGGAGATCAAGATTCGATTCAGTTTTGACACAATAAACCATTTCACCATGTAAATGGCTCTATATAGAACTAATGGTTCTGTATAGTCATTTTCTTTAATAAAGAACCCTTGAAGCACCATCTTAAGGGTTCACTGTCCTCGTAGCCAAAAGTGTCATTGTCTTTTAAGTCCTATAAAATCTCAAAAACATCTTTAACATGCGTAAAATCTACAAAGACAGTGTTGTCTTGAGCATTATGAGCATTATTAAACTGTAACCCATCAGTGTCAAGATTTAAGATCAAGATTTGATTCAAGTTTTTAAAGGATTTTATGTGTTAAATTGGTTTTGATTCTACTGAACTGTATTAGGCCTATATGCTAGAACAAATTGGTTTGGCTCAGATAAATAAAAGTTGTCAAACTGAACTGTTTCAATGTCTGCCCCACTGCCGTCTAACAAAATATACCCCAAAAAATCACAACTTCTAGAGTTTATAAGCGATTTCATGAAATAAAATGAGCTTGTTGCATGCAGGGCACAACTTTGCTCTGATACGATGCCAGATTTTGACCACTGATAGTGGTTTTCACAAAAGAATGCAAATGAGACCCTTAGAAGAGAGTGAAGTGTGTATTGTACGTTCATGTTTTTTTTCGATACTGTATTGAAATCATAATAATCATTCATATTAATGCCATAATTTGCGTGTTATTTTTCCCAGTACTTGAGCAGCTATTAAATATTGGGCTATTAGCTAAATAAACTGTCAATTCATTGCCTTTTGTGACATTGCTAATCCATCTTGCAGGTTCATGAACCCTCTGGGCATGCTCCTTGGTGGAGCAGTGGTCACCTTGGTCTTCATGGGTTCTGTGTGGGCTGGAGAGAACAAGGCGGTGATCAAGAACTTCAAGAAGAAGAACCCCTCCCTGTTCGTCATCGCTGTAATGGGAGCCAGCTATTTCCTGCTTTCGCTGTGTGGAGGGGTGATGGTGTTTATCTTTGGCATCACCTTCCCTTTGCTCTGTGAGTACTGTGTTCAACATTAGGAGTGGGAGTGTAGTGTTGGATACAGTCCTTCACCGTCCAGTTTCCAAATATAAGCCTGAAATTTGATCTTGATCAGCCCCAATCATACAGTGAAAAGACGTGCCTAAAATCTGCCTTAAATGAGTTTATAAGTTACAATACGCTCCCATTTGCACTTTTTGGTGCATTCCTTCACGTTGGACCTCTCTGCTCGCTGCTGGAGGGCATTTCTGTATTGTTATGGAAATGAAAGAACCATGTTGAACGTATCTGGGGCAGTAAACATTCTAATACAGTACAATCTGATATCAGCAGCTTACAATGAGACTACAATACAGAATTATACTTTCATAATTTTCTGAATTTCTCAGCACCGCAAACCAGCATACACCGCGTGACTTGGCAGAGCACTTCATTAAAGTGAATAAGATGTGGTAAGATGATGTTAGTACTGTTAGTGTTTTTCAGTTTATTAAAGTATTCCACAGTTAGTTCTGACCTTGCAGTGCGATTGTTTGAGAGGCATTCAGTGGGTGCCAGTATCTCCTGACAGTATTGGGAAGTATAATTCTGCTTTATTCACCTGTAACCTAGCAGCGGCTGCCAGCCATTGCAAAAAACAGTAACAGCCCTAAAAAGTTAAAAAATGCAAGTATCACTCCTGCTGAAATTAATTCACCAAATCTATTGACTTTTGCAAATAAGAATTTTAATTGCACTCTGAATGATTAAGCTATTAATGACCAGCTTGCAGTTACATTGACTCCAAATGGACAACTGATAATCTAGATGTGGTCGTAAACATTAAGCTAAAGGCCAATATCAGTGCCAGTATCTCATGTTATAGCTTCCCTCTCGTATATTATTATGTCATTAATTCTGAAAGTACAATATGGTGCAGTGGAGTTTTGGATCCATTCAGACTGGAACACTACCAGCACAGAAACACTAAACAAAAATGTGCGCGATGCAGAGAAAACTGCTTCTCATAGCAATGCAGAGAAAATTGTTCATGCATTTGTTACAAGCAGAGTTGATTACTGCAATGCTCTTCTTACTGGACTTCCAAAGAAAACAATACATCCTTTACAACTTGTACGAAATGTGTCAGCAGGAATTCTAACAAAAACAAAAAAGAGAGATCATATCACTCCTGTTTTGTAAGAACTGCACTGGCTACATATTTCTTTCTGGATTTCAAAGTTTTGCTTCTATTTTTAAGACTCTAAATGACCTTAAAACACCTGCTTATATCACAGAATGTCTGTTTATGTTCCAGCAAGTGGTCGTAGATCTGCAGGTACTGACCTTCTGCTAATACCTTCTGTAAAATACAGAAAAAATGGAGGGTCTCCTTAAGTTATTCTGCTTCTAAACTGTGGAACTCAATTCACCTTTTATCAGACAGTCAAGCTCAGTGCTCACTTTTAGGAAACATTTCAAAATGAATCTCTTTCACTTGGCGTTTAAATAAAACTGTCTCATAGTATTTATCTTTAAATTAGATTTGTGTCATTTTCTTATATGATTTTAAATTATTCATAATTTATTTTGTATTACTTTTAGGTTTTATCTCCTGTCTGTAAAGTACTTAAAGTGAGCTGCCACTGTCAAGAAAAGTGCTATATAAATAACTATTGCTATTATTATTATTACTATTATTATCATTATTATGTTAGCCCTGAGTTAATGCACTAGCCATGAGCTAAAATGTTTGCTATGACACAGTGAGATATGATGTGATATGAAAGGGTGTGTTACTGTATACTGTTACACCTCAAGACTTTACCACTAAGAAGTTGCAGTCAAACAACTTAGAAAGTTCTCAATTTAAGCGGTAACCCTCAGCAGCTTCCATGTTACTCAAGTTTGTTATGACATATCACCAACCAGCACATCCTGGTTACCGTGTAAACACCAAGTGTATGTGTGCAAAGTTTATGGCAAATATATCAATGACACTTCAGTGCTGTATCATGACATGCTTAAATAATTGTAAGCTTTTTCATAAATATAATATAAAACTGATATTTTTTTTTGCAATGTTACGGGATATGTTTTAGGCACCTGAGAAAATCAGATTTAAAAAGCTGCGTATCTGGACAGTAAGAATTTATTTGCTCAGAAAAAAACTAATATTAGAATAAATAAAAAAAAACATTTAGTACCATTAACACAAGTAGTAAATTTTATGTTTCAGTGTGTTCACATAACCATTTCCAAACCTCTCCTTGTGGCAGCCCGGTATTATTTGTAGTTATCATCCAAAACCTGGTTTGGCTAATCAGTTCTTTATGAAGTTGAATCAGGTTTGCTGCTGATGGAATTTAACAAATTCATGCAGTTGTTGGGAGCGTCAAGGAGAACTCTGAAACCCAACTTTTGACTTGCTCAAAAGACATCAACTACTTTTTTTGAAAATAAGAATTCTTGTTACCTTTTACAGTATTTATGTTCATTTGTATTTATTTAAATGTTATACTGTATTTTTACATGCAATAGTGCACCTACTGCTGAGATAAATGGTTTTAGAGTGTTTGCTTAGGTGACCTTCACACAGTACTGTGTGTATATATGCGATAAACTTGCCAGTTGCTCATAACTTACCGAATGCAATCAGCTGTTGGCTGCAATTGGATGACAGTTTTCCATTTTGTGAGTTGACGAGGACCATCTGAGCATACTATTAGTCAGGCTAAAGCCCGACTAACAGGGTTGCACAAGTTTTGCATAAGTGTATACTTAAGTTTGTACATAAAGTCTTTAGTTACACTAGTTAGTTTCAGACTATCCTTTCACTCAGTTTGGTTGGACCACAAATCCTTAAGTCATGTCTTAACTAGTAACAACTAATTAATGTGTACGTCACATTAATTAACATGCCGATAACATGTTAACAGGAAACGCTGCGGCAGTATGCCCTGACTTTTTCCGTGGAAAAACATATCCAGATTAGAAGGGAACGATGGGTACAAGTTAAACTGATTAAATAAACTAATTATCTGTAGCCACTGTCTGTTTATCTTGAAGAAACTTTGAAGAATAAGCAAATACCCATCTTTTAAATGAGGGTTTCTGGCTGAGCGACCCAACAGCAGGCTTGGTTTAGCCGTTTGGGCAGCTGCTGAGTCTTACTGAGCTGGAGCTGTGGATGTTAGCAGCTTCATGTTCGGAGTTAAATCCAAGGTGATGATTAGAACTGTAAGTAAAATCACAGTGTATAGAGTTTAGAATATTTAGCTTAGTTAACCAAAAAAGTCATGTTTTTGGTCCTGTTTGTGTTTGCTGTGTGGTTTCTGATGGGTTCCCATCAGTAAAACTTACACCTGGGGGGTAAATATTTGATTAAATAAAGCTAAATATATTGTAATTGAATATTAAGTTTTGAGTTTGTGTGGTGCAACTCATTTTGATGTAGTACTGCATAAACCTGAACTTAATAAACACTTACATTACAACTAGCCTACGTTTGAACTTACACACAGCTAGTGCAACTGGCCACAGCTCCCTTAAATGGGAGAATGTCACTAAATAAAAAAAATTGCTGTGTAGTTCAGTCGTTCAGATGTTAACAAAGTCATTCAGAGTGATTTGATGTGAAATGTTCTGTTTTAGAGAAACATCAGATTTGTTTACAGTGGTGGTGATGGGAACCAGATGTCACCATGTCTACAACACAAATATGGCCATTTTATTTACTATTCAAAACCACCAGTGAACCTACATGAGTCATATTTGTAATGATGATGATGGTAAAATACAGATGAATCCAAAAACATAACTGTTCTATGGGTACTACATTTACATATACAATACATTACAATACACTTTAGGCCAAAATCTTCTGAAAACTATTGTAAAACAGTCTTTTGGGATCAGGCAACGTATTCATAACCATTTCAAAAAATAGCTTTCTGTGTGGGAGCTTTTAGAGGTGGACGTCTGGTCCCTATCACCACCACTGTGAACAGTTCTGACTTGGTAGGTTTCTTTAGAAAGACCCCTTCACTTCAAATGACTCTGGGTGACTGCTTACATTTTAACAGTTTAACGATGCTGAAATTTTGAAAAGTTGGTGGAATTCCTCTTTAACAATCGACCATAAGAACAAGGTCCAGAGAGAAAAACATCTTCACAGGGATGAGTCACTTCAGGAGTATTCAGAATCGTGGGTTTCCTCCCAGCAAACACATTCCACAGACTTTAGTGTAAAGAGCTGAGCCAGGGTGTGTATTTGATGTTGCTATGGGGACGGGCAGTGGCCTGTGTGAACTGGTTGCTAAGTTGTTATAGCACTGTGTACCTTCATTACACAAAGTCCATTTTTAGAGTTTGCTGGCAAAAGCTGGACTGACACCTGGCACAGCTTCAAGCTAAAATGAAGGCCTCATGCTCTGTGTTAAAGAAGCAGGACTGACAGCAGCCAGGAAAACTTTCCAGCATGAGTCTGTTTCTTTCCTGCGTGATACAAAAGAATAGAAAAAAACAGCAGTCCATTATTCAGCCAGTGACTGCTGAAAGCGAGCCGTTAAGCCAGAAATGCTGAAATAAAAGGCGATATCCAACAATAACCATGACCTCATTTGTTGCCATTACTGGACTAAACTCACTTATTCCAATTTATTGAAAGTCTTGAGTCACCATCAAGTAGGTCTTTCACAGGAAGTTTTAGCTGGTGATTATGTGCCACATAAATTATTAGCTATTTAGCTTCCTACCTATCTATACTTAGTAGCTCCCAGCCAATGACAGACACAGCTTGAGCTCAAATCAACATTACTCACCACCGCCCTCTAGAGGCGTTAACAGACATCAAATAAGACATTACACAACACTGCTCTCTAAAAATGTTAACAAACATCTAATAAACAAACATTACTCACACATCAAATTAACAGGCATTACTTAGCGCCACCCTCTAAGGATGTATTAATAAACATCAAATAAACAAACATTACCATCCACCGCCCTCTAAAGGTGTTATTAACAAACATCAAATAAACAAGCATTACTCACCACCGCCCTCTAAAGGTGTTATTAACAAACATCGAATAAACAAGCATTACTCACTGCTGTCCTCTAAAGGTGTTATTAACAAACATTAAATAAACAAACATTACTCACCGCCGCCCTCTAAAGGTGTTATTAATATTGAATGAACAAACTTTACTCACTGCCACCTTCTAAATGTGTTAACAGACATCAAATAAACAGACATTACTCACTGCTGCTCTCTAAAGGTGTTATTAACAAACATTAAATAAACAAACTCACTGCTGCCCTCTAAAGGTGTTATTAACAAACATCAAATAAACAAACATTACTCACTGCTGCTCTCTAAAGGTGTTACTAATAAATATCAAATAAACGGACATTACTCACCGCCACCCTCTTAGGGTGTTATTAACAAACATCAAATAAACAAACATTATTCACTGCTACCCTCTAAGGGTGTTATTAATAAACATCAAATAAACAAACATTACTAACCGCCACCCTCTAAATGTGTTATTAACAAACATGGAATACACAAGTATTACTCACCACTGCCCTATAAAGGTGTTATTAACAAACATCAAATAAACAGACATTACTCACTGCTGCACTCTAAAGGTGTTAACAGACATCAAATAAACAAACATTACTCACCGCTGCCCTCTAAAGGTGTTATTAACAAAAAACCAAACAGTAACTATCAGTAGTTTAGTCAATTACTAATATAATCAGTAGTGATGCCTCCACGATTTCCTTCATTATAGATCATGGTAGGTCATTTTTGACCTAACTGTATCTTTAACTATGCCATCAGGTTTTATTTGATCATATTTTTTAGATGTGAAGCTTCTCATGGACCTGGTTTGTAAATTACTCACTCGTGTTTAGCAGGCTGAAGATTCTCCACAGGGGGGCAGCACTAAAATAACCTTCGTTTCTTTGCATCAGTGACAGTGTGTCCTTGTTTTAGATACAGAACTTTGAGAATAAATAGTAATAAATAAATTAACTGCTTATCTTGTCTCTTTTTGTCTGCAGTGATCCTGGTGCACGCCTCGCTGCGGCTGCGCAGCATGAAGAACAAGTTGGAGAACAAGATTGAGGGCGTGGGACTGAAGAGGACACCTATGGGGGTCATCTTAGATCTCCTGGACCAGCAGGAGGAGAAAATAAACAAAATCCAGGATTTCATTGAGAGCAAGCTTAAGGACTGAGCATGGTGACCATCAGCGTGTAACAACACAATGATAAATCTTAACTGGGAGTCACATTCACTCTTACGTACCTAAACCCCTCCTAATTCTAATGCATATCTCATGTGTGAAGCGCTTCTGTGAAAAAGGAAAGATCTTCCAAAGTGTACATGGTTACTGCTAGTGATTCTCCCAGTTTAGACCACCTAAGATTTATGTATGCTATACTGTAAAAACTCTTGGAAATAATGTTTTTTTGTTCTTGCTACCCTAAAAAGGCTGTTAGCTTATATGTGGCAATCAGTATCCTATTTTAGCATGTTGGGCTTCCCTGCGTAAGCATGTTTCCAATGGCGTATGCTTCCCTGATATATGCACCTTTGATATAACTCTTTTTTTGCACTTAGATGTAGGTTTTTCTTCGAATGTAAATGGATATAACAATGTTACAACAATATTACAACAAACAATCAAGAACTGAAGAAGTTTTAATATAAGATGAGCGTAGAGTTTTGTATCTTTGTCAGGTTAAATATGAAGGAAAGCACATTAGAATACTACATGTTTTCTGGTATTACAAAAGATTAATGTATTTTAAAGGTCATAGTTAATGTTACTTGTTCTGCTTTGTTACTGTGGCACTCGTTAGGTTCATCATAATGACGCTGCACATTTTACAGTGCATATAGATCGCATTGATGGTGACATCATAAAAGTTACTGAACGAGAGTAGAAATTTGTCTAAGACTGAGACATGATCATTGTTTTACTTTGAAGACGGCAAAAGTGCTACCTCAAATAGTCAATTCCTACATAGAAGTAGGACTCAAGTCAAACCCATGCTACTTTTGCATATGCTGATAAACTGGCAAGTGAAATAAATGCAGGTAATATATCTAATACGTCTCAAAATAAGATTGTTTTGTAAAATCATTCAACCTATTTCTAGATTTTACTTATATAAACTTGTATAAATGCTTATTAAAGGATAATTCCAGTTATTTTTTAATATATGTATGATTCAATCCCTGAGATGCAGTCATTCAGAGTGGTATGGTTCATTGTAGAGAAACTTACCAACTAAGATTTCTTCACAGTGGTGGTGATAGGAACGAGGGTCACAATGGCTACAACACAAATATAGCCATTTTATTTACTATTAAAAATGACTAGTGAACCAGCACATGCTCCTGAGTTTTTCTGTGTGGCAATGATGCTAAAATAATGGTAAATCTTAAGACGGGGGGGTTCTTTGGGGACTATTTTGCCTCACAATGCCCTGCATGTTGCCGTCCGTCATGAATGGCTTTTAAAAAATATGTTTTAGGTCAACATTTTCTCTCATAACAATGTCTCAGGCATCAGCCAGTTTATTCGTAACCATTTCATGTACTTGCTTTCTGTGAGGTAGATTTTAGAGGTGGACGTCTAGTTCCTATCACCACCACTGTGAACAATTCTGACTCAGCAAGTTTCTCTAGAACAGAGCATTTCACACCAAACCAATGAATGACTGTTTACATTTTAACCACTTAATGATGCCAAAATTTTGAAAAATCAATGGAATTCCCCTTTTAAGTGACCAGCAGAAAATGAAGAATAATCCTAAAGAGAATGTAAAAATATCTGACAATTTCCTTTGATTTTACTTGATAGAAATAAAATAAAACATGTTGAATAGTTGAATGTCCTTATAACCGTCTCCTAATGAGAAATATTAGATTGCTGCCTATATTTTAAGATGCTTTCACTTGCCAGGCTATCATTTCCTTATCTTATAATCTGACATTTTCACCGGTACACTGGCATATTTGCTGACATTCGTAAATGCTTATAATAATTAGTTACATAATAAGTTCATATTCCTCCGTTAGTGGTGCACTTAACCAGTGAAGTTCTCTGAAAGTGTCATGGCATTAGCATCATCTTAACTAAGAAAAAGTGCTCAAAGTGATTCTCGCTCTGCCGTTTTAAGATAGCAGTCGTATGCAAAAGTTTAGGTGCCCCTGGTCAAATGGCCAAAGTGAGGTTTTTCAGTAAAATGAGTGAAGATATCCTCTACAGAGAACACATTTCTGCATATTTTTATGCACACTTACTGTTTATTTGCTGTATTTAAGAAACTGGGCAAAAAATGAAACATATGATGTGGCCTGTGCAAAGTAATGGCACATTTTATATATATAAAATGTTCTTTTTCTTTTCCCCTGATATGATAAACTCAGCAAATAAATAGAAATGTGTGCCCAAAAAATCGCAAAAAAATGCCATATTCAAGTGTGTTCCCTATAGAGAATGTGTTGTTTTCTTATTTTTGCTTAAAATATCAACAAAACAAGTAAGTTGATGAGGGGTGTTTAAATTTTTGCTCACTGTAGCTATGCAATGCAGGAAGAAGGATGAAGCATTACAGATTCATCTACATGTTTGGGTGATTGTATTACTATTTTCTCTCTAAGACATAAACACCCAAAGTGTGTGTACATTTTCCATTGTGTATGGCACCCTGTGTCAGTATTCCTCAAACCAAACTGCTTATTTTTAATCAGAGAATTAACTCCATTAACTCCATTCTTTATATTTATTGCTTAGAAAATGTTACATCTATGCATCTAGGATTCTTCCTGAAACTCCTCTGTAGCTTTTAGCAGGCTTTTATGTTTGTTTTCTCTTATTTTTAGGAAAGGAATGAACCACGAGAGTGGTTTATTAATCCAAAGAGGGACCTTGTATGCACTTTTGTGATGCAGATTTAATAAAAGCTTCTGACCGACTGAAATCTTGTATGCCTTAATACAGAAATGAGGTTTTATTCTTGCAAAATTGATCTGATGCTGCACAGTAACATGTTGAGATGTTTATGTTCTCGCAGTATAAAGTACATTTTACTAAACTATTTTTATATGTTTAAAAGTATTTCCTGTCAAATAAGATTAACAGTATTTGATCATGTTAATGTATTGATATGTTAATATTGTAATAAAATCAACATAGTAGTTTAAACCAGTTACTATAACATTAAATACAGCTACTTAATCTGGTTAATATATTAATATTCGTGTATTAATTGTTCATATTATTGTATTTTTTTCAGGTTGATGGAAAATCTTAATATAGCAGTGTAACATTTTAATATGCAATAGCCTATTCAAATATTAATAACCTATTAATGTCCATATCTGGAATTTGAAATATGTTCAACTGTGGCTAAAAGTATTTTTTTTTGTTTGTTTGACTTGTTTATATGTGTGTGTGTGTGTGTGTGTGTGTTTGTGTGTGTGTGTGTGTGTGTGTGTGTGTGTGTGCATTTATATATTTATATCGTATGACTTGTATTCTTATTTTCCATGTTGTATTTTGGAAGTATTTTAGTAACAAAAAATAGTATTATATTAAAAAAATACATTTATAAAAACACAACTAAACTACCTACCTTCTCTATTTGATATTTAGCCTGTTTAAGTTAACCAATAAATCAGCCATGTAACAAAAATGATGATGATAAGTAATAAATGTACCAAACACCAAAACATACTCAATAGGTAAATTATTTTTCATGAAATCATTTGTATAAAATACAAATTTAGTTTTTAATTTGCATACATTTCCATCTCTTTTATCAAGGAATATTTGTCATTCCAACACTCATACATGAACTGCCTTGGTAATGAATGATAACGAGTGGTTCATAATTTGTCAAATCAGCATCAAATAACAATTGAATATGTCTCATGCATTGTATTAACTTTTTTATCCATATGCATTTTCTTAATTTGATAACTCCACCCCTCATACCCAAGACAAAACGTGAGGACTTTTATTTTAAACTATGCCAGTCTCCATGTTGAAGTTTTTCAAATCATTTGATAAAATACCAATTAAGTTTTCAGTTTACATACATTTCCATCTCCTTTCTTTTTATCAAGGAACATTTGTCATTCGCACCCTCATGCATAAACTGCCTCGGTAATGAAAGAGAAAACCTGGTTCATATTTTATCAAATCAACTAAGAACTGAGTTTCTCAAATCAAATAGTTGTTTAGCACTTTAAATTCATATGCGCTTACATTTTTTTATAACTATTTTTATCCATTTGCATTTTATAACAAGTCCCTCACGCATGCCCTGAGACAAAAAGTAAGAGAAGGACTTTTATTTTGAAAGAGATCAGTCTCCATGTTGAGGAGCTGAAAAGAAGGTGGTTGATTGTGGCTGGTCTCTCTCTAGGCTGGTGTGCAGTAGCGGGCTTTAGTCGAGGCACCTCCGGCGTAATGCCTCGCGTTTATATCGGCCGTTTGAGCTACCACGTCCGAGAAAAGGACATCCAGCGCTTCTTCAGTGGATATGGCAAGCTTTTGGAAGTCGATTTAAAAAACGGGTATGAATTTATTAAACCTTTGCAGTTACACGCTCCTAAAGAGGGCATGCTTGCTCGCAGCAATGGCGCTTAACGTTACCTCGCCACGTCCATAACAGCTTATGCAATATTAACGTTACATAATATCAGATATTGCGTTTTTGCATCCTTTTGAGTAGCCATGCGTTGGGGTATAATGAAAATTAGTTGACTAGCGAGTTCAACTACTCGTAACTGCTGTAACTTCAATGCGTTAGGCGAAGCTGTAGTTGGTGTGTTGTTTGAATTTTCCGTTCCACCTTAAATTGTGCAGCCGTTACATTCTGGCGTCACAGGCTCAAGCGACAGAATGGAGCTGCTGCGCCAGTTAAGGTGGAATGGAAAATTCGATTGAGAACTTCAGCCTCGTGTTTATTTAACACTGCGGTCGACGTACGCCAGCTAACTATATAATTAGGATATGTTTAAGGCCTTACGCGCATATTTTTCTTTTCTGTGCGTTCATATAACCTGGTTTAGAGCAGAAATGCTAACATCAGCTATTTAAATTGCACATAAGTAACGTTAATATTAGAAATAACGTTAACACTTATGGCTCGGACTGCTAAACCCGTGCTTTGTTTTGCGTAGGATCTTTTCCAGGATGAGTATTTTTTATGTAAATTGTTTGTAGTGTCACATAACACAAACGTAAAAAAACATATGCTTGCTCTACAGTGTTCTTCAGCTCTAGCTGCTATACCACTGAATGCACAACTTGTGGTTGTGTTCTATTTTTACACACTATGTAGCAAGTGTGCGGCTTTGTTTTGGACACAGCCCAAGTCCTCAACCTGATTCTTGCTCCGCTGTTTTGTTTTTCTTTGTGGTGCAGTGCTGGAATTGGGGAAACGCAATATCTGCGCAAAGCTAAATCAGTATTTCACTCTCTTTAAATAGACATACTAGTCCGCTCAATAATCAGAGTGTAGAGGAGGGATGATATTAAATCTGTGTGGAAGGGTTTCTCAGTCAAGCGTTCCTACTGAGCATGCGCATATCATTAGTCTAGCGTAGTAACGTTTTAACCGTTTTGTGTTTTTTAATGTAAATTGAGTACATACTCAGCTTAATATTACTACTTACCCCACTGATAAGCAGATTTTGGCTTTTATAGTGCCCTAATTATTCTGTTAATGCTGGTTGCATTTTCTGACAGGGTGATTTTACGCTATCCAAATATCCTACCTGTAGTTTTAATGCTTGTAGCCCTAAATCGTTTTCTGATAGTGATTTAACGCTAGGGTAACAAAATACCATAGCTACAGTTTTAGGTAGAGCGCCAACTAAAAAATATGCTATGTGGGAGGACATTTCGATAACGTAGCACAGTTCGTCAACATTAACGTTTATTGCTGTGAGGCATCATGTCCTCCAACACGTGGGCGTTTTCAAATGGTTGTATATTCTGTTTTTTTTTCTGCATGAACATAGAAACAAAGCCAATGTTCTTCAATGAAAGGGAGCCGAACAGCTCTCTGTGCTGAAACATGGCTGAGAGAACGAGGCTAAGTTAGCTAGCTAGCTACATGGACTCCATTTTAGAGAATATCGTCTTCGTTAAACCATTAAGACGTTTGAAATGTAAGATATTAAGCCTAATATTCAGCAACTATATCTGTACATGCGTAACAGCTGGGTTCATTTGTGGCTAGATGTCACGTTATTCACCATTTCGATCCTTTTTTCCAATAATAGCCCGACTGTATGTGCCCCGCTGTAAGAAAGAAAGCTAGCTAGCTTGCTAACGCTAGCTAACGAGCTACGCCGATAGAAGCTCTACAGTTTAACGTTTGGCTCAGCTAATCTATGCAGTCGAGTCGTTCTGGTGTTGAATAAGAACTAGTAATAACGTATAACTCGAGATACGTTGAAAATGTGTATTTTCGCTGCAAGGAGAGTCGTTTTTCTATACACGTAGCTAACGCAAGCTTGCTAGCTGGCTAGTTGCCTTTAGCTTCCCAACAGACAAGTGTTTCCTAACTTAATGTACGTCAGCCCTCCTTTTTATATAATTAACTGAAATAGACATAATGTTACAAAAGATGTCACTCTAACCAACATTTGTAGGATACATGTGCAGTTGTGGACAAATAAATAGCTAAATTATAAGTTTCAGTAGGAATGTAAATTTTATTGTATTTAACTGGGTGTTTGGATTATCAAAGGCCTCATTTTTCTACAGAAGCAAAGATGGACTCCATCAATACAAAACAGTGTGAAAATAGGCCTACACACTTAAAAAGGATGGTTCTTTCGGGGCTCTTTAGTAAAGGCGTTGTTTCTCTGTAGAACTGTTTGCATGCTTAAATGGTTCTTTATATGGTGAAATGTTTCTTTAGATTGATGGAGAATGTGGTATGTGTTTCTCTGCAGAACCTTTTGGAAATGGTTCTGTACAGCACCAGAAGGGTTCTTCTGTTACACCCCTAACGTTGTAACAATAGCAGAACCCATTTTGGTGCTATATTGAGCCATTTTCAAAAAGGTTCTAAAAAGCACTACTAGTTCTGTTTATAACCGGAAGTTCTATATTCCACCATTTCATGCTTCAGAGGTTCTTTGCATGGATAAATGTTTCTGTAGGTTGATGGAGAGTGTGGTGTATATATGAGTTCTATATGAAACATTTTTTTTCTGTTTAGCACAAAAGTGTTCTTCTGTTACAAGCTTGACATCATGACAATAGCAGAATTTTTTTTTTTGGTGCTATATAGAACCACTTGCAAAATGGTTCTGTTTAGAACCATATACAACACATTCTCGATCAGTGTGAAGAACTATTTCACCATGCAAAGCACCATTTAAGCATATATGGAAATTTCTATATAGAACTCATGGTTCGAAGTAGCATCATTGCCTTTCCTAAAGAATTCCTTTTAAGGAGTTCACTTTTTAAGTGAGTTTATTTTGGACATTTTAGCACAGTTGTATGCCTACTACAGAGTTGCTGTATTTGTAAAGCTACTTGCAGCATTGACAGAGATCTTTTGTAAGGTTTCCTTACAAAAATGTCCTGAAGGATTTTAAATCTGTGCACAGGTTGTGTAGGTATCAAGCAGGACACATTCAAAACACATCAATAATCCTTCAGGACAGGGTACACATCTACATGAATCCTGTAGCTTTGTCCATTTCTGTTTTATCAGGTATTTAGAATTTCTTTGAGATGGTCTATAATCTTGCAGGAACTGTGGAAATAACGTAAAAGACAGCTTATCCAGTGCATCATTATCCAGTGTGGTCCCCTTTCTGAGTCTTGGTTACACTCTGTTTTCCACGGCACAGTAGCTGTTATGGGTCCACATATCTAAAGCAGCTCTGGGGCAAAGCACTAAACAAATACAGTTGATTTGAATTGAGTTCTGTAATGTGTAAAGGTCTATATTGCATTCTAATGATGTTCTTTTTTTGGAAATGCAAATGTGACCAAAAGTTAATGAGCATATAGCATTTCAAGTATGTGGTTTTGAAATGTGGTGACTCGTTTTGGTCTAGGTATGGCTTTGTGGAGTTTGAGGATACCCGAGACGCAGATGATGCGGTTTATGAACTCAATGGAAAAGAGCTATGCGGCGAGAGGGTGATGGTAGAGCATGCAAGAGGACCTCGGCGGGATCGCGATGGATATGGTGGAGGAGGAGGAGGAGGAGGAGGAGGAGGTTATTATGGTGGAGGCCGCAGTAAGTGTGTTCCGAAGTGTGAAGAAATACCAAGAAATGGGATTTTGGTCATAAGCCACACTGTTGTAAACTATATATTTAGTAATGATATTTTTTAACAATGCTTTTTGCAGCAGCCAAACAACAAATCAAACAGCTCAAATAGTAGCCCCACTTTGCATTAGTTCTTAAGAACTTCAGGATTGTCAGACTAGAGTGGAGGTAGGCCACAACACTCCACGTTTATGCACTTTGACTGCTTTATACAACTGATTAAACTGCAGTAATTTAATCTAATTCGGCCTCTTTCTTGAGAGCAGCTGAAGCAAGAAAAACTGTGCAGTGCTCTGGCTTTCCAACACTTGACTTTGAGAACACTGATTTAAATGTTATACTTTGCAGTATGCAGTTACATTCTGTAGTCTGAATGCACGTTTGATGTAAGTACTCAAACTTTCTAAGTAGTGTCCTAATGTAAAAAAAACAAAGTTTCTTAATGTCACAAAGACACTTTTTAAGTGGTATATCTATAAGGAGGTGTAATGCATTTTGGAACTGGCAAGGGAAGAACTATTGAGCTGAAATTAGTTCTTTAACCTTTTCCTTGCAAGGCAGGTTTGGTCCTAAATCGTGAACCTCAGTCTTTCATTTTTATCTTGATCCTTCTTGAAAAGAAAAATCCTCAGCCATGGATTATCTTAGAAAAAAAAATGACAGCTTTCTGGGGGTATAACAAACAAAAAAGGAGGACTGTTTAACAGATTAAAAAAAATGGATGCTAGCATCTCCTAAAACTAAAATAACTCCCAGTAATACTTTAAATACAATCATGTTTCTGATGAAACAAAGGGTTCAGAATGACTGGAGGATCTTGATACTACATGGTCACTCTAGTTTGTCCCATTAATTTATGTCCAATGAAATGGACCACACCTACTTACACTGGATAAAATGTGCAACCTTTCGTTTTATGTTATTGATAAATCTGAGTCATTTGCCCTGTAAACAACTAAATACACTGTTCATTTGGAGTTTGGAAGAAACTCTCTCCAGCTTATTATACTGATGTCAATGTTTTGTATGTTGATTTATTTTCTGATTATCTACTGTTCAACCGTATGTTGTAGCCCAGTGGAAACATAAATGTCAGTTATTATGTATGACTGCTAAAAGTTGCAATTTTATTTTCAGTTTGATTGCCACAGTAACAGAGACCTTGATGTTTCAATTTGAAAGAGTCCAGTGGGGGCTGAGGCTGAGTCCGAGTTCGTTGTGGCTAAGATGACTACCTGACCGGTTTGGCCTTGGCCTTCACCTAACAATGTGTGTGTGACCTTTGCCCCTTGATGCTTTGGCTGACCTAACCGGAAGCCAAGATGACAGCAGCCTTTTGCCAATAGACCAGGGGTGATGGTGAGGAATGCTAGTTATTATGTTGTCGATATGGAAAGAAAGCCTCTAGCCAAAGATGTAAAAGCAATCTCTGAAAGGGAGGTGTTCGGCTAGGCTTACTGTTCAGTGTCGTCAGTGATATACATACAAGGGAGAAAAAACATGTCTTGTGTGTGAATGTCTGTACTATATTTTGCTATACAGCAAGTTGACATTCTTTGATTACAATCATTTCCTTCTGTGTGTTTTATGAATTCCTATATCCCTGTTCCAAATAGTAATGCCATGTCTGGGAGGCAGCAAACAGCTCATGCCTGAGTCTGTGAACAGGTTTGCTATAAGCAACATAACACTGTCAGAAGGCAGTCGCTGCCAGCTTGGGCAGTTTATGACTTTTTAGGCTCTAGAATGAATCTCTCTGAGAGGAGAGGAGTAGAGCTTTCTAACTGCTGCTCTTCCTTTCCTCCTGTCTGTTGAAGGTGGCTACAGCAGCAGAAGTCGCTCAGGCAGGGACAAGTATGGCCCTCCGGTTCGTACCGAATACCGACTGATTGTGGAGAATCTGTCCAGCCGCTGCAGCTGGCAGGACCTGAAGGTGAGTGGGCGACGTCAGCCATTTGATTTGGGTTACCTTTTATATATTTTCAGCATCTACAATTTGAATCAGTTAAGACCTTTTGGCTAATGTGCAAACAGAAAATTTAATTAAATTCTGCTGAAATGTGATGAATTTTCTTTAAGGAATCTTAATCCAGTCATTGTGAAGTAAAATGTGTGTTCAAATGAGAATATTAATAGTGAACAAAAATGATAGTTTGTGGATATTTTTAAAGTGCTGTTTCAGGACAAGTAAAAATAATGCACCTCAGTCATAACAAAGATTTGAATTGGCTGGGGACCTAATAGTCCAGCGGTCAAGGCGTTTAATGTACTAGAACCTTAACAGCTTAGGAAAGAGTGTCACGTTGTTGTGATGCATTAAAAGGCTTCAATATCTATATATTTGAATTCTCCTTGATTTAAAACTCTAAATTAGCTAAACCATGCATCAGCAAAGAAGAGGATTGTGGCAGCAGCTGTGCTCTGTGGTATTAACACAGCAGTTAATACTTTTGTCCATGCCATCCATATGGAGCTGTGTAGGCGCTTGGTTGTTGTGCATGGACAGTAAAAAAAGTGCTTTTGCCTGTGATTTTTGTAAAGTTGAAGCCAGCTCAACTTTGCTCACCAAGAGTTATGTTTGCACTATCCCACAATCCCTCACACATTGTTTGCCAGTCCATGTTGAAAATAAACGGTGGCATAATTTGGAATGATGTTTGCGTGCGGTGGATACCATGCTCAGATGCAGAATTGACAGTTTGTTGTTCTTGCAGGACTTCATGAGGCAGGCCGGGGAGGTGACCTATGCTGATGCTCATAAGGAGCGTACCAACGAGGGGGTGATTGAGTTCCGCTCACACTCTGACATGCGGAGGGCTCTGGAGAAACTCGATGGTACAGATATCAATGGCAGGAAGATCCGTTTGATTGAGGACAAACCACGTCGTCGCCGCTCGTACTCTGGAAGTCGCTCTAGGTATGTAAACAAATATTAACAAAAGTATATGTCAGGTTAGAACCACTGAGATTGCATGTCATCCATAAACTTATGTTTGCTGCTTGGCCTGCAGGTCCCGAAGCCGCCGCCGCTCTCGCAGCAGGAGCCGCCGAAGCAGCCGTTCTCGAAGCAACTCGAGATCTCGCTCAAGGTGAGTGTCACTCCTGTTTTATCTTTTACTGCAGATTCCTGCCTGTTCTGTTTTCCTTTGCTATGTTGGGTCACTACCAACAGCCATTAAGCTCTATAATAAGTGAGCCTATGGTCAAGGAACTTCTGACCTCCTTCAAAAGCAGAAGCAGTTTATTGACTAATGGTGGTCTGCAGTCATTTTTGTATTTTGCATTTTTTTACTCCTCATTTAGAAAGATTGAATATGTACCTTTCTCTTATAAGCATTTTGTAAATTCTGTAATTGTTAAAGCTTCCCCGTAACGTGCTTTTGTACAGTTCCTCTTGGTGCTGGAACTTTCCAGTTTCTTTTGCGATCAGTGAAGTTTCTATCTTCCACAGGTCTCGTTCCCGCCGTCATCGCTCCAGGTCCCGCCATAAGTCCCGTTCCCGCTCTGGCCGCAAGTCCCGCTCCAAGTCTCCTTCCAGCAAGTCCCGCTCACGCAAGTCCCACTCTCGCTCCCGCACCCACAAGTCTCGCAGCAGGTCAGCCAGCCGCAAGTCACGCTCCCGTTCTGACACCCGCAAGTCGCGCTCCAAGAGCACTTCCAAAGTGAAGTCCGAACGTGGCTCCCGTGGCCAATCCAAGGAGAAGTCAACCGGTAAGAAATCACGCAGCCGCTCCGCCTCTCCTGCGGAGAATGGAAACGAAGAGCGTGGCAAGTCTGCCTCTCGCTCACCTTCTCCTCAGGCTGAGAAAAGTGGTTCAAAGTCTCCGGAACGGGCTTCCCGCTCCCGCTCCAAATCTCCATCTCGCTCCAAATCCAGATCCCGATCCAGATCCGCCTCCCAGGACTAGGTCATTTCTTTCCTCTCGCCATGAGTCGGTCTTGTATAACATTTGATCGGTTTTAATTTGTCTGTCCTTCTCTGAAGGCAGTTAACATTAAACAGAATAGCTTAGATGTTTTATACGTTGCATGAGCAGAATTATACAAATTCTGAGCTTAGTTCTGTGTTGTGCAAATAAGCAGTCATATAAGTAAACCTTTTCGTAACCTGACTTGGCTTGCCCCTTGTGGCCAATGATGCCCACCTGACACAAGTGAAAACTTTAAGTATGGTAATATAATGAGCGGATTTGTCTTGTGGCTTTGTCATTCACATCAGTTAAACCTGTTGTACTGATTTTGATTTTGTCCTGTAACATTAAACCAACCTGCATTCCTGATGTGGCATTTTTTTTAAACAATCGCAGACAGTCCATTTTTATTGTACATTTTATTAAAAGTTCTCATTGATACAGTTGTTATTGTCTCGCTTTCTTGAAAATTATTTTGGTTTCTGCTGTGTGCCTATATAGCCTGACTGGAAATGTTATCCATTATGGAAAAACTATAGTAATTTACATTTTCCTGCCCTGCCAGCCCCAATTTATTCCTTTTAAGATTGTATTTTTGTGGGAAAAGACATCTATCTGTCTTATCTTATATTACACACGAGTTGATCTGTTCGTCATGAAATTTGTAGGGGCTGTTGGCATTAAAGAAAATGGAAAAACTATTAAAAATGGACATACAGAGCCTCTAATGTGCCTTTGTGGAAAAAAAATTGCAGACATTGCATTCCCTTGCAAAGTGTTTGCATTCCTGTGTGTGTGTGTGTATGAATTTTTTACTTTTTATATTTATATATATAATTTATATATAACTTTTTATTTTTATTTATATATATATATATATATATATATATATATATATATATATATATATATATTCTGTATAAATGACAGAAGACAGACTAAAAGATTCATATCTATAGATATTTTTGTAAGGTCTTTTTTTCCCAGTAAGTTTGAAGGACAAAGTTGCGTGGAAATTTCTAAGAAGATAATAGAAACCCTTTTTATTTTTATTTATTCGAGCATTTATATTTTAGTCTTTATTTTTATTTATTTATATTATTTTGGGGAGGCGGGGGTGTCTGTGCTCCACATCGATGACAGGCGCATGCGCATTAACGGTTGGTGAGGAGCAGGTCGGAGCGCTGGTAAGAATAAATGGATTTATGTTATCGACTCGGTGCTTTCACTATTCATACCGTATAGCGAGTATTAAAAGATAAAGTACCTTTGGTTTACCATTGTGTTGGGAAAATAAGGCAAAACAGTGATGATGTTGGTTTTTATGCTCGCATTGCTGCTAGGTTCATTTATTAACGTAAAAATCAGAGATAATTAGCCAGCAGGCTAGCGTTTCCATGGAAATGTAAATATGTTCCAACGGTCGGTTCGTGTTTAATATGTTAACGTTGGTAAGCAGCGAGAAGGTCTTTTTCCGCCGGTCAGTTAGGATGAAATGGCATCTGGCTTTCATTCAGAGAGTAATATAAGCTGTTGAGGATATGCTGAAGAGTTCACCTCAGTTTACTTAAAAAAAATATCCGTTATATGTGAGTCCGCCATTTCGCAACGAAGCTGAATTCAGCTTCTTATTCGCCAGCCTCTTGTTGGAATTTTCCCGTTCCACCTTAAGTGGTGCAGCAGTTACATTCTGGTGCCTCATGCTTGTAACAACAGAAGAATTCTTTTTGGTGCTATATAGCTAGAACCATTTCAAAACCATAAACACACTCTCCATCAGTGTGAAAAACCATTTAAGCACGAAAATGGTTTTATACACAGAACTGGTAGTTCTAAATAGACCCATTACCTTTGCCTAGACGCCAGATTGTAACTGCTGCACCACTTAAGGTGGAACGGGGAAATTCCAAAAAGAAGCTGGTGCAGTGTTTCCGTTCACTTTGTGTGTAAAAACGGCACTTTGCAGAGCTTAATTTGTGGCCCAAGGGCATCAAATGAGCTTTACCAACCCATTTATAGCACTGCATTTCAATAAATCACCAGCACTGACCTTCATTTGCCTGATTTTGGACCAGATCAGATGAGCCCAATATTGAGAGTTGTTATCTGGCTCAATTGTACACTCTTTGAAAGGATGGTTCTTTAGAAAAAGCAATGGTTCGGTTTAGAACCATCACTTCTAACCCAGCAGTTCCATGCTTAAATGGTTCTTTGCCTGGTGAAATGGTTCTTCAAATTGATAGAGAGTGTGTTGTATATGGGTTTGAAAATGGTTCTGTATAGCACAAAAAGAATCCTTCTGTTGTTGCAAGTTTGACAATGCAGCAATAAAAGAACCCTTTTTGATGTTTATATAGAACCATGTACCACACATTCTCTATCAATGCAAATAACCATTTCACCATGCAAAGAAACATTTAAGCATGCATTTAAGTTTGAGTGTTCATGATTCTATATAGACCTATATAGTCTTTACTGAAGAAGCCTTAAGAACCCTCTTTTTTAAGAGTGTAGAGGCTTTATGAGGTGTCTGCTGGACACAATACTTAAGTGAAAAATGGGGGAAAATGGGTTCCTGCTTTATTTAATGCTGGCAAGAGAAGTGGATCTGTATATATTTATATATATGCCTCACATTGTGGTTCAGTATCTTAGCTTAATTAAATCTCAGTGGGCTACCATATTAAAGGAGTGGTGTCTCAAATGAAGAGAGATGTCTTACACAGTCACAGTAGCTTTAGATCTCTTGCATAATTGACCTGCATGGAGAAAAAAGAGAAGGATATGCCCATTTTTGAGAGAAGTTGTCCCTATAGTAATATGCCAGAGTGGATAATGCAGTGAAAAATGTTTCTTAAGAATGATTTTCAGTAGAATGAACTGTCTTTTGATCTCCTTCTCTCTCCCTCCCTCCCTCCCTTCCTCCCTAACTCCCTTCCTCCCTCCCTTTCAAATGTGGCTTTGAGCGTCTTGCCATGAGTGCCAAAGTGAATGTGGACGTCCTGCCAAAAGATGCAGATGCTGCTTCCCCCGAAAGCAATGGCACATTTCCCTCCAAGGACAGTTTATCTCAGCGCCCGAGACCCCAAAATACCACCACCATCATTTTACCAGGTGATATTATCTAAAAAAAGGCGCTCCTTGCAGCCATTTCCATTCTTCCTTATGATGAAAGTGTTTCAATGTCTTAAAATATGCTGTGTGAGTTTGTATTGCTGCAAAAAAATTATTTTGATTGTGAGAAAATGGGCTTGACCGATATGAATATTTTGCTGAGTTTACGTAGCTAAAACGTTCGATAACCTATAATATCATCTGATATAATTTAATGTTGTTAGAACTTAAATAGATTTCACTAGTTTTAGTACAACAGTGCATTACTAAAAGATATGACTGTCAATTCATATGTGCTTGAAACCTCTATATCTTCAGAACTGAACAGTTTACCTTGGATCATAGGAATCTATTCATTACATAATAAAATAAGTCAATGCATATCTGTACTTTATTGATGGGAATTTCACATGAATCCACAAGACCACAATATAGGCTGATGTTATTGGCCAGTCGATATATACATACAGAAATAAGGCTTTAAAGTCAAACTGAAATCAAAATGGACCTTTTCACCTTTTTAGTTCATGTTCCTTGTCATACCAAGAATGAGTCATGATTATATCTTATCATTCAAATGATAAAATTCTTGTTTTCCTGTAATCTTTTATTGAAATGTAGTGACTAAAAAAAAGTTTTGATTACATCACTGCCCATACAAAAATTAAATAAATGTAAAATGTTTAAAAATGTGTGGTAACTAAAATGGTATTTTTACTTAATGTACTTTAGTGTCTGTAACACATTTTGTAATACAATACATTTGAGACGTATCTCACATTAAAAATAAAAATAAAAAAAAACATAAAAAAGAGATCATGTTTCCCTTACCCCTCCCATCACCCCTAGGGGCTATCAGAGACCCTTTTAATAATGTGTTTCACTCTGAAATACGTTATGGAGCGGAAAGATAATGCGCTATGATTGCCAATTAGTCTTGACTTTAATGGATGACATCATTGAACCCTTTGTGAAAAATAACTGTAATAGTATAAGAAGAAACTATAAGATTCCAGTAGTGCTGTGCAACGGTGTCTGTCATAATCTTTAATACTTTCAACTCCTCATAATATTACTGTAGTACTGTCTTATAGCAGTCTATAATCTACAATAATTGCTTCGATTTGTATGCTAAACAATAGTAATTGTCCCAGTTTGAGATTTGTGTAGGAATCATATAAATTCCTGTTCTTTCCTGTACTTTGCCTAAAATCTATTCTTAGAGATAGGCATGAGCCTTAAAGACATTTTAACGACAAATATCACAATATTTTGACATAGACACAATGCACTAGTAGTGCCACAGCCATCAAAAACTATTGGCTCAATGATTTTTTTTCAACATTTTACATACAGCCCTGCTCGAAATCCAGTTAAACATGACTAATTTTTCTCTTTTAAATGAAACATGCAGTTGGTCATTGTTTTGTAGGTACTGATGATTTGCAGACATTGCATTATGCATATCACAGTAAAAAATTGTAATAATGATAAAATATTGTCATATTGCTCACCTCTATTTATAGATGTCAATACAATTTTAGTGCATTATGTTCGCTGCTGAAGGCTCAAGCCTGTAGACATTAGTTGTTTATTACTATAGCTGTTTTTCATGAGGAAGTATATTTATGACAAAGTGTCAGTACTTTTTGTTCAGTTCTCAGAGCTCAAAGACAAATGGCTTTCTCCACAGGCATGCAACACAGCAACTATGGGTGCTTCTAGATACAAATCATGCATAAATATGTATACATTGTTCTGTAGCTATTAACAAGAATCAGTTACAGATGATATCTCAAAGTGTGCAATGCATATGCATTAGTGACATACAGTATTACAAGTCCGTAACTGTAGTATCAATACTATAGTGTCTATATCTGATACTGAAATTAGATGTAGCCTAACTGCTGGACTGCATGCCATAAAGAGAATAAAATCTATCTTGTTTATTCTCCTGAAGCTTCCGCTCATCCAGTGCCGAAGGTGGATGTGTCCCAAAACGCTGGAAAGGAAGTGAAGGGAAGCGGGTCCAGCAGCCTGGAGACTGCCTCATTGGCTGCCCAGGTGGGCGGCACATGTAGTATTGTCCATGTTCTGGAGTGGAAAGAAGGCATGGCCATCCTTCCAGGCAGCAATCTGAAGGTTAGCACGAACACTTCACCTGTCGTGTAAACTGCATTTCAAGAAGAAGCTGAAGTTGAAAAAATTGGCTTGTCGGTAGTGGTGTAAGCATAAGTTAAAAAGTGGGTATATTATAATTTGGATAATTTTTCATTCAAAATGGCTCCATTTTAAATTGTTCTCTGAAGTTTTTCCCCTCTTTGGTGTTTGAGGTCTTAAAAATATGTCACTGTAAATAGGCTATATGCAAAACCTCATCATTAGATGTCCATATATGGGTCAGTGACAAGTGACAGGTTGTTAAAATCAGAATTGACAGACAGCAGTGTTACTGTAAGTACTATTTTGCAACTTATTATGATTTAAAAGGATTTAAGCATAAAAGCTTCCCAAAATGCTTGATGTAAATATTATGCCATGTATTGTGACAGAAGCAAGGAATTGCTGAAAGAAGCTAAAGGAAACTGCTGGTTTTGTGTGCTCTTCAGCTGTGTGTCAGTGACAGCGGCACGCTTGAGGTGATCACTCAGGGGAAAGTGGGTACAGCTAACTCGCTTACTGATGGAGCTGCAGCCAAGGCAGATGGAGATCACAAACAAGCTGCGAAACCTGGTCCAGATACATCAGCAGGTCTCCATTGTTCCATCATTGAATTCCTACACCTGTGTCTAACTTTTCTTTTTGTATAGTGATTTTTTAAAAGAGATATGTAGCTCTATATAGGCATATGTCTTCTTCATCTGAGGGTGAAGGTGTTCCAGTTCAGGAAGGGCTTGTTAATAAGATGGTAGTTTGAATCAGGTCTGTTGGAACAAGGTACTGTAGCTAGAGCTGGGCGATATGGCCAAAAACGTTATCACGATAAACAAAATTCATATCGTTCGATATCGATACATATCGCGATAAATGTCAAATCATGATTTCTTTCACGTTTGAAGGCTGATTTTGCTCCTGGGTGGTTCATTGTGGTTTTAAACTATCACTTACGGTCCGATCATGACAAACACTCACCAAACAGTGGAACATTTCACAAATCTGTCATGGAAGAGTGGGAGAAAGTTTCTGAGCTGTTTTTATCAGCTTGAAAAGCACAGCTGCAATTTTTGTAATAGTCATGATTTAAGAAAGAAAACAGATTATTTTTAGCTGTCTGGTGATGAGCGCTCGGCTACCCCGTTACAAATGCTAAACAAGTGGCCAACAACAGTGCTAAACTCTTTAGTTTCTCAACAACGTCACCTCGGTTCGGGTAGGTCACTGCTGTCACTCTTACCACATCCATGTCAGAGCATATCACAGTATTCAGACACCAGCTAGCGACGGCTGGATTTCTCTATGCTATCATGATAGTTTAAGGGGTGAACCGCAGTATATCTGACGTTCGCTATGTAAAAGCGTTATCTGCAGTGTGAATCTCTCACACCAGACAAACAGAGTCCTCCTTTTAGGCATGTTTGAACTGAAAGCGGTGATTCTGTCTTGTTTGATCTACCGTATCATCAATTCACTGTGTTTTGCCGGAGCGCTGCTTCAAGTTAGCCAGCAGCTACAAACAGCTAGCCTGGAAAGATAGCGCTCTCCCGCTCTCCAGTGCCTCACAGCTTCCTCAGTTTACTTTCGAACATGAACCCACTTCTTTCTTTCACTTTCGTTGCTCGAGAATGCACTAATACTAAAATATGACGGTTTGGCGCTGTAACACGGCGCTGTAGACGTGATTTAACGTGATTTAAGTTGTTAGGATGCACGGAAAGAGGTGAGTTCGCTGTAGGACAGTACAGTTCCACCACTGACCTCGTCACTCACACTCGGTCACAGGAGAACAGATCGCCGGTCGCTCCACTCAAACAGGGACTGTATAACTCCGCGTTTCAGCGGTTGCTAAAGTATATTTGGCGACCCTTTTTTTACTCGTGGCCCCCTCCCTCTCTAATCAAGTCGAAAAATTCGGAAGTGCGCCCTCTCCTGGCGACAGCAGAGTAGTGTCGCTTTCCTTGCAGTAGAAAACGCCACCAGGGCTTTCGCTAAAACGTGGAAGTGTGAGAATGGTGTATTATATCGAACATTTATCGAACCTGTCTTATCGCTCTATTGAAGAAAAGTTATATCGCGATACTTATCGTTATCGTTTTATCGCCCAGCCCTAGCTGTAGCCCTACGAGACTGAGCAAAACGTCAGTATTGATTACAGCATTTTTTGCAGTCCAGGACTGAGAGTGAAGAATGATGGACTAAATGGCCCATATTCTACACTTTGCTTTTATTATTTTCCCCTGAAGTTCCCTTAAAACACTTTTATGATTGTATATACCAAAAAGAGCCAGATTTCATTTTATCTTACCCTTTTCAACCTTTTTATCTTTTAACACCTACTTCAACTCAGGAAAGACTTATGTCGGGAACAGCACAATGTTTAATCATTTTCCCCACGTCTTTTACCCCAGTAGCTCTGTTACACACTGCCTGCAGTAACAAACTCCTCATCACTTCATTTTGATTGGGTGGGCTAAATCAGCGTTTCTCAGCCTTGGTCTCGGAGGCCCATTCCCCTAAATGTTTAGGGCTTTCTCTGCTTTAACAGACCCACTTTAACTGAATAATGGGCTGGTAATGAGCTAATTAGTTGGACCAAGTGTGTTGGCAGCAGGGAAAACACTAAAAAATGCAGAGCAGTGGGTCTCCGGGACCAGCGTTGAGAAATTCTGAGATAAACTGCTGTAGGCAGGAAGAGGAGGTGATGTGACATCACAACCATGATGATTTCAAAACTGGCTGCTTTTGCAGATCAGTTTCCGTATATGGATTGTATAGACTGGCAGCTGAGCAGTACATTTTGAGACAGTGTTTAACAGTGTTTACATAGTACATCACACTTTACTTTTTGAAAAAGTTGGTTTTCTACAACACAGGCCCTTTAAAACATAACTCAACTAGCTAGAGAAGCCTACAATCAGTAAGATCAGTTTACCCATCTCTAGTGTTTGATAGTGTTCTGGTAAGAGGCTTCATTATTAACACAGACTTTTTGCTACTCTCTAGATGTCTCGGTGCATAGTGTTGCGGGTCCTGCTGCCTCTGTAGAGGGTGGTCGCCACATGAAGCCGAGCGTGGAGGCCCTGGAGGTTTCAGTCCAGCGGAAGAGTGAGCAGGTTACCAAACGGGCCTATCCTGAGGAGCTACGCCGGGAACCAGTTGCAGAAAAGTACAAATCAAACTTAAACTGCAGGGTTGCGATTAAGTTATTCATCTTAAGACTTAAGACAGTGCCTATAAAAAATGTTCACCCTTGGAAGGTATAATGTTTTATTATCATGGAACATTGAATCGTAGTGGATAAAATCCCTCTGCAGAAACATGAAACATGAAAGAGTGTTTCTGTTGATCAGTGTACAAAAATTCAAATACACTGATTCAGTATTCTTTGATAATAAAACACAAAAACTTGACGGGAGTGAATACTTTTTATCGGCACTGCATTATTCAGGAACTACACTCTTAAATATGATGGTTCTTCAAGGGTTCTTTAATAAAGAAATGGTTCTATATAGAACCATGAACACTCAGAGACCCCTTTGCATGATTAAAAGGTTCTTTGTATCATGAAAGGGTCCTTCAGATTGATGGAGAATGTGCTATAGATGGTTCTGTATAGAACCTTTTGGAAAAGGGTTCTACATGGCACCTATATAGAACCATTTCCTGTACTGAGCCATATGAATCACATTCTCCATCAATCTGAAGGACGCTTGCAAAGGGTTCTTTGAGTGTTCATGGTTCTATATAGATATTTTACAAAAAAACTTTGAAAAACCATCTTTTTAAGTGTGTACTTTAAATTATTGAGTAAATACTGTGGAACTAATCTGTAATTTCTGTAGTCAGGACCTGAACATACATACAAACCCTTTATTATTGAATGGATTTTAATAGAGGAAATCACTGAGAACTGAGTTTCAGTTTTATTTTGTTCCACCACTAGATGTCTTCAACGTTCAACCTGTCTGACTGTCTGTAAATGCCCTTGTCACTAACCTTTACAAAGAGTGAGTTTTGTATATGGTTCTAATAGCAGAGTGTTTCAGGGCACAAGCATAGTTTCCAAATCAATAATCAATACATATATGTACAGAAGTATCCAGATGCCCCTATTATTGATGACCTCAGCTATTTTAAAGAGCACCCATTGCTGGCACAGGCGTTCAGTTGCGCACACACAGTTTGTATAATCTCCATAGAAGGCATTGACCAATAGAACACTCTGGAGCAGCTGCATATGAGCCTAAGGTCATCATACCCAATGCTGAGAGTTGGCTGGAAGGGTATAAAGCCCCCAGCGCTGATCTGTGGAGCAGTGGAACTGTGTTCTCTGAAGTGATGGAGCCCCATCCAGTACCTTTGGGATGACCTGGAGAGACATCTTGTCTAAAGTCTTCCCAGAACAGTAGAGGCTGTTACTACAGCAAAGGAGGACAAACTCTCTATTAATACTCTTCATTTCAAAAGAAATGTGCAAGTGTCTGCAAACTTGTGGACGTTTAGTGAATGTAAGTTGCAGAGATACTTTAAAAGAGATACTTTGTTTCCCTGTTAACTGTTTTGCTAAGAGATGACGTGCTGTTTCTATCAATGTGGTGTTGGCCCAAGTGAATATTTACTGTCACACCCACACAGCCCTCTCAGATTGGAGAGAGCTGTAAAAAGCACTGTAAAGCCTTGCTGCACCCATACTTGTAAAAGCATGATTCAATAACATCTTTTCCACTTTGAGCTAAGTTCTGGCTCATAGATGCTAAACTGATAAAAGAGGCTATATTATTCGCCACTAGGGGTCTTCAGGATTCAAACTGGGTGACAGTTTTAAAGTGCCCTTTACAGTCCTGTATGCTGAAAAGTATGACCCCAAGTGAAAATGGTAGATCTCTGATAAGGCAAAAGTCAAATAAAAATATCTCTAGAAACTGAAAGGAACAATTAAAATCAATTTTACATCATTTTCCCTTTTACCCTACATGTTGCGGAACAATCAAGAAATGTGTATTTTGGTTTTGTAGTGGAGCTACATTGCTAATGTAGCTAACAAGTAGGGGTGGGCGATATGGCAAAAATGTTGTCACAATACTTTTTTAATGATACACGATATGCATCACAATATTTTATTTTTCTGAGGTTTAATAAGTTGGAACAGACAAAATAGAACATGTAGTGTCACATATGAAACATGCTGTAATAATAATACACCTATAACTATGGAGGTTTTTATTCAATCCAATTAAACAGGCCTAATTATGCTAAGAAAAGCGTATTGTGACAGTGTATCACAATTTCAATAAAATAGCCCACTAGCTTGTAACCACTAATCATAATCACGTCATATAAACTGCATACCTAAATTATTGCACATTTGTGCGATTTCTGACAATGTTATCTATAAAATGGACAAAAGTATGAACAAAATTCAGGTTTTTGGATGGTTGTTAATACTATTTTTAGCTATGCTAATGTACTTTTTTCCATTTTTATAGATAACCTCATGTCACACAGTCTCAGAAACCACATGTGTATTTGAGATTGCTTGTCAACTTAACATGGTTCGAGGCAAGATTGCACAATGCTAATGAGTTGTGGCCATGAGTTTCCATTAGCCTCCTACTACATTAGCCTCGTAGCTCCAGTGCAAAACTAAAGAATCAAAGCTCAGACACACAACTTTCTTTGCCTGAACTATTATTCAAACACACTTTTGGCCTTCTTTGCTTATTTCTGGCTTTTCTAGCTCCACAGGTATTGAGAGGGTTCAGGAGGGGCAAGTGGCCTCTCGTGTCCCTGAACTACTGAAGCCAATGAAGAAGAAGAGAAGGAGGGATTATTTAAGCCCCTCTGAGGAAGACTCCGAGGCTGAGGCAATGGTAGGACAAGTGGCAAATCTTTTCTTTTTTATCTTATTACTGACCATGTCACTAATGAAAGCAAGCTTCTTTTTTGGCATGTCATGCTGTTGTAAAGAATCTGTAGAATAGAAATGGCTGCTTAAACTCAGTATGCTAACTTAATTTTGTCATTCAAGGAGGAGAAAGCTGAAGACTCGAAAACAGATGGAGGGCAGGGAAAAGCAGGTGTGTTTGTGTTCTATATCCTGAGGCTTCATGATTTTATAATGATTTATGTCATTAAAATTCATAAATCATTTGTTCTTACAGGACCATTAGGGGTAGGGGTGGGAAAGTGGGTGGGAAAAATATAACATCATGGTACTTGAGGATATCTTGATACAAAATATTTATCACAATGTTTGTTTTTATGTAGTCTGATAAGCTAGAACAGTAAATAAGCCTCAGTAATTTTACACCTAAAAAACTAAAATCAAAGACTATGAGTACAGTGATTTTACTGTATTGTTTCACATACTGTGCTGCATTATATTCAGTTAAACAGGGCTAATTATGCTCTCTTTGTGATGAATGCAGTTGTTCAGTCACCTTTAAGTAATGCTAGTAACCACAGTATACTAAGAAAAGCATATTGTGATTTGTTACGATAGCAAAAAGTATCATTATTATTATATACTGCCCACCCGTAATTACAATAATTTGCTTAAAGGGGAAATCGATCTATAGTTGTAATTTCTGCATGGTTGAATTGTTAAGATATAAAAGTCTTTCAGAATGTTTTGATGTGAAGTGCACCATTCCACAAAAACTTACTGGGTCAAAACTGTTCACAATGGTGGTAACAGTAACCAGACGTTTGAAGCCTCAAAAAGCCCCCTCATAGAAAGTTAATACACTAAATAGTTATTAATACGTTTACTGATGCCTGAGACATTGTTTTATGAAAGTTTTGAAACAAAATTTTGGATTTACCACTATTTTACTATTATCAACATTACATGTAAAAACTCTGCATGTAGGTTCATTGGTCATTTTGGATAGTAAATAAAGTGGCTATATTTTTATATTAATTTGCTTTGTAGACGTCATTACCCCTGGTTCCTATCACCACTATTGTAAAAAAATCCAATCGGCAAGTTTCTCTAAAATGTACTATTACACATCAAAACATTCTGAGTGACTTTGTTTACGTCTCAAAGATTGAATTATGCTGAAATTTTGAAAAATCAGTGGCATTCTCCTCTAACATGTAGAAGTCAGTTGCTTCTTTCATGAATAATTATTCAAATTAAGTTATGTATTTAAATGTTTAATTAGAATTTATATTTGGTTAAATAGGTTAATTTAATTAATGCAAAATGAAAAGGTTTAAATATCCTCGAAGGAAAATTTCAGTTATTTTCTTACTTATCTGTGTGATCCTGTGTTTGTTTCTCCTGAAGAGACAGCCTGTGAGCACAATAGTATCCTTATCTGTGCAGGCATGACAGATGCTAAAGCTGAGTCGTGGTCGTGGCCGCAGTATCTGGAGGAACAGAAGGCAGTGGCAGCTCCACCCAAACTCTTCCAAGAGGTACTGGTTGTTGCACCACCTCATCATTAACTGGAGATTTTTTTTACTGGACCATACACTGGTCCATATAAGCTGCCTAGTTGTTAATGTCTTTTATTGTTGTCTTTTACCATTATAAAGCATCAGTCAAAAGTTTGAATGTGAATAGAATACAGTTTATCTGAATATTCATGCTCATGTTTCTTTATAATAATAGTAAAGACTTCAAAAGAGTGAATGAACACATACAATTACTGCATTCAGAAATATTGGTATTCTACCAGACCTTCCCTCAGAGCATAACTTATTCACATTAAAGGGGAATTCCACAGATTTTTCAAAACTTTGGCCTAATTCAATACTTTATATATAAATAAAGTCATTTACAGTGGTTAAGTGTGAAATGCTCTTACTGAAACTTACTGAGCCAGAACTGTTCACAGTTTTGATGATAGGACCCACATCTGAAGAATTTAATATTGCTAAAGTCAGAAAATGATTACATTAAATTGCTATGAATACGCTGCTTGATGCCTGAGACATAGTTGTATGATAGTTGTAAGTTGTAAATTTTAGCTTAAAATATATTTTCTAAAAGCCTTTATGGTGGAGGGGTGCATGCAGGATGTTGTAAGGCAAATTTTTTTTTTCTATTTTTTCTTCAGATTTAGTAATATTTTACGAATCAGCATGGCAAAATCTCAGACGACCTGTGTAGGTTCACTGATGCTTTTGGTTAGAAAATAAATGGCTGTATTTGTTTTATAGATGTTGCAACCCCTGATTACTGTCACCACCACTGTAACCAAGTCAGTTGGTATGTTTCTCTACAATGTACTAGTTAAACCTTTTCACCGAAACCACTCTGAATTACTTTGTTTACATATCAATGACTAAATTATGCAGAATTTAAAAAAAAAAAATGCTGGGATTTCTCTTTCATGAGTACAGACAATCTACAAAGGAACTTCAATGACACAAACGTATTAATTAGAATGGTATACAAATTATAGTTTAGTGCTTTCTAACTAAATTTCTCAAATTTTCATGTTATACGGTTAATATGAACAAATAATTGAATGAAAATTACATATATGATTGCAAAATGTTAGCACATTTCTTTGCAGATTTACTGATCTAAGATGAAGGAATGGTACTAGGTAGAAAAACAGTGATTAGCTTCATTGAAACTGTCTAACAGTCCGGTACTTTGCATATTCCTGTCCAGTCTAAAACAGTCTGTAGACGTTAACGCTAAAAGCCATCTCTGTCTATAAAGTCACAGAGAGTTCCTGAATGTCCAAATAACTTTCGCCAAGGCATGAAGTTGGAGGGCATTGACCCCCAGCACCCCTCCATGTACTTCGTACTAACAGTGGCTGAGGTACGACATGACAATTTGTAATATTTGACCAGTTTTAAGCTGCATCTAAGCAGAAGGTGAGTGTCTCAGCCTAACACTTCACCTTTTGCTGTTCTACAGGTTTGTGGCTACAGACTACGTCTTCATTTTGACGGCTACTCAGACTGCCATGACTTTTGGGTCAATGCTAACTGCCCAGATATTCACTCTGCTGGATGGTGTGAGAGCACAGGACACAAACTGTACACTCCTAAAGGTAAACAACATTCTGAAATCCATTTCCATAAACATTGTAAGAGGATGTTTCCTTAAAGACTGGTTGTCCAAACTGCAACATGTGGGCCAAATTCATCCCACCAGCTGAATACTTTGATAGTGTTTTGAGTTTTATGGAGCCAGCACCAGTAACAGACAAGCACACAGGAACTCTTGTGCTGTTCAATTAAATTGCTTTGAATTAATATGAATAAAATATATTGCATCAACATAATTTGTGTTGCTGTCATATATTCAGGTGAAAATGATGTACATATTTGAATCAAGTATATTCAGTGCGTCATCTTATTCAGTGTAAGCTTGGACAAGCCTGTTTTAGCCACTTTAGCTCTAACACTGTTGCTGTCTGTGCATTACAGGTTATAAGGAGGAGGAGTTTTCCTGGGCAAGCTACTTAAAGCTAACCAAAGCACAAGCCGCCCCAAAAGAACTGTTTACTAGCCCAGGCGAAGTAAGTCATACATATTAATCGAAGCACAGAAGCACATTAGATAAAATTTAAAAATTGTTAAAAGCTATTAAACCAACAGTACACATTTTCCCTCTTTACTTCCAATGTAGTTGATCAGCCAAGTTTGCTTCTTTAGTTTTGCGCTGGAGCTACGAGGCCAGTGTAGCTAACAAGTAATGGAAGTTTACAACCACATGCAAACTGCATGCTTAAATCATCACATTCTTGCCTCAAACCATGTCGATGACATACTGGTATCTAGACAATGGATAAAAGTACAATGCATAGCTAAAAACAGCAGCCTGATTTTATCTGTAAGAGGAAGGAGGGAGCTGTAAGTTTAGACCTGTTGATTGATTGATACATTTTATTGAGCTATTTTATGTTTTTTAAACAAATAGCATTATTCACAAAAAGTTATTCCATAACATTAAAACACAGAAACAGTCAGAGACAACACAAAAATCTATAAATACAATCATAAATATCAAATACAATCATTTAACAACAACTAACAATATGCTTCCATGTTAAAACGGTTTACTTTTTCTTCTGTGGTTTTGGTTTCTTCACCACACAGACAGATAAGGATTGTGGGTTTGAGGTTGGCATGAAGTTAGAAGCTGTTGACCGCATGAACCCCTCTCTCATTTGCGTCGCTACGGTAACGGATGTGGTGGGAAACCGCTTTCTAGTTCACTTCGATAACTGGGATGACACCTACGACTACTGGTATGTTTTCATCTAGGGTCAACAGTGCATATGATAAATATTATAGACTGTGATGAGATTTCATTGTTGTCTTTCGTTTTTGTTTGTAATTGTTTTTTTGTTTTTTTTGTTACCTTTATAGGTGTGATGCTCGAAGTCCATATATTCACCCTGTTGGCTGGTGCCAAGAAAGAGGCCTGCCACTCACCCCACCACAAGGTAACTGACAGCTCAAAGTGCTGTAAACACCATTTCAAATGTACCCGTAAAGGTCTAGTGTTGTTTTGCTGTACATTCGATTAATTGCATTTACATTTGGTTTACAGTCTGACAACAAGCTGTGCTTCCAACATTTTGTTTCAGTGTTAAAAAAAATGACAAATACATGTCAAAAATGTAAAGAATGTTTATTTTTCCTGCAATACTGTACACACAATACTTTTGCAAATAATTACAATTCAGATCATAATAAAATATCTTCTTGTTTACTTACAAACATAAATGTGGTATGAAATAATGAAACAAAATGTAATAAGAGGCATTTCAAGGTGTATACCTCAGAGAGTTAAAACAAATGTCCTATGCTACTTTTTCACAGACTATCCTGAACCAGGCAAGTTTTCATGGGAGAGATACTTGAATGAGACCGGCTCTACAGCTGTGCCTGCTGAGGCCTTTAAAGTGGTGTGTAGCCTCTGCACAAACCATTACGGATGTACTGATATGGGAATGCGGAAATGTCAGTCAAAGTCAAACATCTGTCTGATTTTTATGAGCAAACATCTGTAGATACTCTTAGGATTCTTGTATTCTTATAAATTTTTTATATATTGTTTGTCCATCCTAAAAAAACAGTATCCAAAAACCCAAAGATGATTCCTACTAAGCAGTGATCTAAATCTTTATTATTAATAATTATAGCTAAAACTGCACATATACAGTGTATTTGATAATGTTCTATGAGTAACAGACTGTACTATCTATATAAATGTATATTTTAATGAATGGCTGGAAATGGATGTCAGTTTATCATATGTCACATGAATCACACTGCTGTAGAAAGTCAATATAGTACCCAGTATAGTTCACAGACCTACTTTGTATCCGAAATACACATACTAATTTTTAGTATTTGGATACCTGTGGTATGTTTCACCTTTGAATATAATTAATTTTAGTAATTTCTTCTCAATTTTATGTAAAGATACTAAAGTAAATAAAGATAGTAGTGGCAGTCCTGTCCAGGTCCAGTGTTTCTCAGTGTTTATAGTTATTCCAGACTAGCTAGTAAACATCTAATATTGCACCAACACAATCTTTGCAAAATTGGAAAAGCAGAGTAAAATCTGTGTGTCCATTGCACCTGTTCTTGAAAAGGAAATTCCACTGATTTCAAAATTTTGTAATGCGTCGTAAGTCACATGTAAACAAAGTCATTCAGAGTGAAATGTGAAATGATTCATTGTAGAGAAACGTACAGACTCTGATTTCTTTACAGTGGTGGTGATGGGAACCAGGAGTCATGATGTCCACAATACAATATAGCCATTTTATTTGCTACCCAAACCACCATTAAATCTACATGTTTTCATGAGGTTTTATATATAATGTTGATAAAATAGCGGTAAATGACTGAAATAATAAATTAAAACTTACAATGCCCTGCATGTACCTCTCCACAATGAATGTATTAATAAAATATGCTTTAGGCCAAAATCTTTTCAACACTATCATAAAAAGATATCTCAGTCATCACAGTATATTTGTGTATTTATAACCGTTTCATATAGTAACTTTCTGTGAGGGAGCTTTTAGAGGCATTAAACTGTTCAGACATCTGGTTCCTATCACCACCACTGTGAACAATTCTGACTCTGTAGGTTTCTCTAGAATGGAGCATTTAATATCAAACCACACTGAATGACTTTGTTTACATCTTAACCATTAAATTATGCAGACATTTAGAAAAATCAGTGGAATTCCCTTTTAAGTTGTGTGGACATGTTTTGTGTGTAATGTGTGCTCTTTCGCTGGCTGTGTGCAGCGGCCTCCACATAGTTTCCAGGTCAATATGAAGCTGGAGGCTGTGGATAAGAGGAGTCCAGCACTGATCCGGGTTGCCACCGTGCAGGAGGTGGACACACACAGGATTAAGGTTTTCACGCTAACTTACTTTGCATATGAATACAGATTTAGTTGCTGTAAATATATAACAATGTTGTCATACAGCCCCGAGCCTTTCAAAGATTAAACCTAGAGTCGGATTTATAGTCTGTTCATCTGCTTTTGTTACTGTGACAATATACAGCCAGCTATAGATTAAACAGAAAAGAAAGATTTAAAGAGGCAAGATGTTTCAACTGCCATTGTTGTTGTTTCAAGTGAAACTTGGAATATCTATTATAACAATATACAGTATTACTTATGTGTAGCTAAACCCGTATTACTTTACTTACATAAAACAAAACATGCTCAAGCACATTCATTGTATTTTAATGAGTTACACTAGAATCACACTGTTGTGTATCTTTCCAAATGCAAATATGGAATAACAACAACAGCAGCTACAATAATAAATATCAATTACCTCTCAATTACCATTTAATATAGATTTAATATAATAACGAATAATGTTCGCAGTTTTTTAAGATCTAAAGCTGCACTGTAAGTTAAATTGAAAGAAGCAGCATTAGGAAAAAATACTCCAAAATACAGTGTTCCTGTGTCATTTTCAAGTCAGAGGTGGGTCGGACTTTGTGGGAGTTTGTCAAACCACGTTGTGCATCTTTATATATTAACGTCACACGCACAGGCTTTCAGTTACACATTTTCACTGGAGAGGTCTCCAAATCCCTACAACCTATGTAGTGTAGCTATGCACAAAGCCTAAGAATCTTAACTAGTGTACCATTAAGTAAATCAGTATAACACAAACATCATTTAAGCATTACAGTATCTCTGTCAGTAAGCTGTTTTCTCTTATATCCAGATCCATTTTGATGGCTGGAGTCATGTGTATGACGAGTGGATGGACTCGGACCACCCTGACGTCCACCCTGCAGGCTGGTGTGAAAGCACAGGCCACTCTCTCAAACCCCCGCCCTGCATCTCCAGCACCCAGCAGCCTGGTTAGATGCCCAATGTTTTTTTTTATCTTCTACAGCCTCTCTCCATTTCTCACCTCATCAGCAGCCTCTTCATTATGTACCACTTGTCTTAAGGCAATAGGTCAGGAATTCAAATTTGCCCTAAATGTAGCTGTTCAGCCAAGATATGTTTGGTTTCTGAAGTTTGCTTCTTTAGTTTTTCACTGGAGCTACAGCACTAATGTACCTAACAAGTTCCACCGGATTAACTCTGTGCAAACTGCATGTTTAACTCATGGAATTGCACAACCATATTAGCTTTGGCCCTATGATCAGGAGATCACTAGTTTAACAGCCATGGCCAGGAGTCATGCTAGCAAACATGGGTGTCTGTTAGCTAATGTAAAAGAATCAGTAGTTGAGCTGTCTAATGGCGTTGTGTTAGCGGCAGTTTGAAAAGATGCGGTGGCACTGCATGTGTCTCATAAGCATCTGCTAGCTTTCACCCTCCCAGCTTTGTAGCATTGCATGATAGATATAAATACTGTATGATACTATTACCCATAATCTATCAAAAAAGACAAAAGCGCACAGAAACTTCAGGTGCAGCAATTGCTGCCATTGCTGTTTTTAGAAATGTATTGTCTACTTTTGTCTCAAAACATGTCTCTGCAGTTTTTTTAAACTGCTTTTGGCTGAGAAGTCTCTTCAGTCATAACTTAGTCTTTTAAAAGTTCGTTGTTGAAGTCAACCAAAGTTTGCATCTTCATTTTAGATGTGCTTGCAGTAATGTAGAGATTAATGCTGGTTGTTCCTCCTTTAGGCCCTAAGGAGAACACACCTGCAGGGCAACCCAGCTACACATCTACACCCTGTAAAACTGTCCCACATTCCCGCAACACTTCTAAGTACAGCTTCCACCACAGGTGAGTCCTGCATGTTCCCTCAGAGCTCTAGACATTATTTTATTAGTTTGTTGTTTTCAGTTAAATGTTTTGACAGTTCTACACTATCATGGCTTTTTCTAGACTGATCTCTGTAGTAGTGCTGGGTCACAAATGGCACAGACTTAACTTTAAGTGTGAATCAGGACTTTCAGATACTTCCTCTCTGAAACAGGAAATGTCCCACTCCTGGGTGTGATGGGTCAGGACATGTGACCGGGCGTTTTACAGCGCATCACTGTATATCGGGCTGCCCACTTGCTGAAAGGAATCAGGGCAGGGTCAAAACTGACCTCTCAGACACAGAGGGGTCCAAGCGCAACCTCCTCGTCTTTGGCCAGAGGGCTAAAAAGTCACGCTACCATGGAAGGTAAGTAATAATCTGCAGGCTACTCTGGTTAGTAGTAGCTAATAACAGTTTGTCTGCTTCAGTAAGTATGGCTTTGCAGATATATAAAGTGTTGCCATTACTAAAGAGGCATGATATATGCAGCAAGTTAGAGCACTCCATAGCTAAATGAACTTGTCTTACTTGGGGTCACACACACTAAGATGGCCCCCTGAAATAGCAATAATCTGCTCACAGACAAACATGTTATATTCAGTGTACAGTGTTTTATTAATCACTTGGAAACATAAACTAATTCTGTTCTTTTTCAGGATTGGCCGCCCCCCAAAATATCGAAAGAATCAGCAAAGAAACTATCAGAGTGAGATTCTTGTTTCTTTTTTGTGTGTTTCTTCTCGTGAAGCAGATGAATTTAATGCTAAACGTATTTTATTTCTGCTTTTTATTTGACGGAAAGAATTCATGAGGTCCCAAAATAAGCTCTGAAGCTTTCACAACATCAGATATGTGTGTGTTTGTTTTTGTTCAGACATGTCTACAGAAAGCATGTATCCCTCCCTGTTCATGTCGGCTTTGACAGCCAGTTCGGATCGCACTCTCTCTCTTTGCTGGGAGCAACACTGCAAGTTACTGCCTGGTGTTGCTGGAATCCACGCAAGCCAAGTAGCTACATGGACTGTAGAAGAGGTAGGCACCATAACACAGAAGAGATATTTAAGGGATTTTAAAGATGCCACACCTTCAGATGAACAATATGTTAAATTGATAGTTTGGCAAAAAAATCAAATGTACACACTCACCCCCTTCCCCCACCCCCCAAATGTAGTTGATCAAGACATATTTGGTGTCTGAAGTTTGCTTCTTTAGTTTTGCACTGGAGCTAAAAAGTAATGGAAGCTATGGAATATCCCACTAATTCGCATTGTGCACACTGCATGCATAAGTCATCACTGGCGATTCTACGACTGTATAAATGGTGGCCATTGGATGTTTAAAGCAATTTTAAGCCTTGTAAAGTCCAAGAACCCAAAAATGCTGTGTAATTTTTAAAAATGACACAGAAAACAAGATAAAAGCTTATTCAGTTTCTTTCTTTTTTATCTGAATGTTTGAATGGGTAACTGCAGAGGCATATTTTCACACACATTATAGATACAGGGTAGTGACACTGCCCTGTATAGTAGGGCATTTCTTTAAATAACACTCCATGCCTCATTAAAATACAGTGCACTGTTCCACCTTAAATGGTGCAGCAGTAACATTCTGACATCCTCATATTAGTAAGAATAAAAAGCAGTGTAACTGTTGCACCACTTAAGGTGGAACAAAAAATTTGGTCTCTAGGTCTTACATGTATGCGCTTGCAATTCTCTCGGTCATTTATACACAGCATACACAGCTATTAAAAAAGATGTTCTCATTTTGCATTTGCAAACTGTTTGACAAACTCCTCAATATTGACAGAGCTGATGAGTTTTACTAGCAGCTAACTTGTTAAGCTCTTTAGTTTGCTCACCTTTTTTAGCTAAAGAAATCAGAATAGCATTACTGGTAGAAAAACAAAATACCTGGAAATACACGTGAAATAGATCATGCTAGCTGCCCGTTAATAAAGGAAGGACTTGGAGAAAACATTACAACCAAGTTGCAGTTTTGCAAATCTAACTCTTGCTTTGCTCTGCTGGTGTCTGAGGCAAACAGTATGTAACTACCTTCTGTTTATGAGTGGGTGGAAGCCTTCTAATCAGCCAGTTTTGTAAAAAAGAAAGTTTGGGCTGGCACCCAGGGGTAGCCCCTCTTCACTACTGATCTCAACTAGACTTGCTAATTTGGTTTCTGACACTGCTCGACATTGTGTGATGTGGTTTTTTGATGTGGATCTGTCACTTTAAAGAACACTTTGTATTTAACATAGGAAGTTCTCAGAGACTCATTGGCTCATCAACATAATCTCAGATAGAGCTGTAAGGGGCTTCTAACATTATATTATGTTTCATTTTCAGGTTTTTGGCTTTGTGCAAAATCTTATAGGTTGTGAGGAGCAGGCCCGGCTGTTCAAAGACGAGGTAGTTAGTCAAATCCTGCGCATTACGTTACAATAGTCCTCTCTGTTAGTCTGCCTAGAATATAACATACAGATCAGTCTTACCTCCTAAAAAATTGTTTTCCCAGATGATCGATGGAGAGGCCTTCCTCCTGCTGACTCAGACTGATATTGTGAAGATAATGAGCATCAAGCTAGGACCTGCCCTGAAGATCTACAACGCCATCCTGATGTTCAAAAGTACTGATGAAGGACTGTAGTGGAACTGTGCGACACTTCAGACCTGTGTGACGTGCCCATCCATTCAGATTCCATGACCCATCATGTGTTTGGTGTTTACCACTGTCCCCACCAGAGAGAGAGAGTGCGAGAGAAAGAGATGGAAAAAAAAACACCAGACAGGAAAAAGTAGGTGCATGTGAAGTGTGACTGAGCCCACAGTACGTTGTGAAAAAAGTGATGCATTGAATTTGCTTGATTCAGATGCATCATCATTTCCACAAATTACATTAAATCAACAGTTTTGTCTTTTACTTAATTTTGCAAAAATTGCATTGATATATTTTATTTGTATATGTGTAAATTATGAACAAATTTGAATCAATTCAATGTACGTTTTTCAGTGCAGCATGATGCTGCTGTATTTATTTATTTTTTTTTCAAAAAAGAGAATGCAGTGTTACAATAGAGAACGGTCTGATCCAAAACCCAAAAATTGTTATCTACTAAGCTGTGGGCTGTCCCGGGTGGTCATTTTTTCTCCTGCTTCAGCCAGCTGGCGGTTTCATGTCTGTCCAAGCTGTCTGCAAGACGTTTGAGTGGGTGTAACTGGGTGGCTCGTTTCATTTGTCACTTTTTTCTGAAAGACACTGTTACTGATGTCAGCTACACAAAGGCGGTGCAAAAACTTGTGTTACCGCTTATTGAAGGTATTGGGCAAATGTAAATTCTATAATATGAAGAATCGTGATTAAGAGGTGAACTTATCTGTTCCTTGTTCATGACTAAGCTATTTGAGTATACACTGAGATCCAAAAGTGTGAGATCACGTTAAAAATTTGTCTATTTTTCTTTCACATTTATTTGGGGATTTAAAACATTTTCGATTTTTTTAAAAAATATAAAACAAACTTATGACAAGTAAAATGAAAAAGAGATGCTCAAGATTCTGCATTATTTCTAGGTCATCATTTGAATTTCATTTACTTTTTTATTTATTTGATCTACTCATAAGAGGCTTTCTTGTCAAGCTTAAGTGCACAGTGTTATTAAAGCAAAAGGGGGACATAACCACCAAATACTAAGAAATTCTGTAATTTATATAAATGGGTTCTACTTTTCACTCAAATTGTTATGCTGATAATATTATTTGTAATTAGAAATTATATTAAATTAGAAAGGAATGCAGAATAGAAGCACTTTCAGTGTTATATCTCAGACTTTTGGACCTCACTGCACACACATGGGGGTATTAATCTCTGACCTCACAATGATTCGATTCCATTAGGAAATGATTCAGTGAACCTTGTCCAATTTGGTACAATTCTGAATCATTTTCAAAATTTAATTAAACACACAGATGTGACTTGAGGAATTAGTCAAAAAAACAATACATTTTATAAACATATTTATTTACAAGAAGTGCCACAATTCAGTTAAGCTAAATTCAGTAAAACGAGCACATTTCCTGAGTATTATTTTAATCAATCGTAGTTAATTTTAACATTCCAAAATCAGTGCAGGTGGATTGCCACTGTCAGGTTAATACACTGTGATGCACTGATGCCTTTTTCACCCCTAAAATGTAGTAGAAGTATGAATACCCTGCATGGCCCCTATGCAAAGCATCCAGGACCTCCGAGATGGGTGTGATTATATTTGGAGTCATGACTCATAGCACTTTCCGGCGTTATGCTATTGTTTGTCATTTTTTTTCTACATAAGAGTAAGTTGTAGGTGTTCATTGAAATCTGGGCAGTTTTTGGCAGACTTGGTGCTACTCCCGAACCCCTTCTTCAACTCATGGTAATGTTTATGCACTTTATATGATATCGGCCAACAGGTGGAGCAAACGCACATTCTGAGCCACTGCAGAGAAGCATCGGAGCATCTGCAGCGTTTACCCTCACACCTTCTGCAGCTGTTTTGTCGCTTATGAAATTAAACTTCATTATTTTGTTAATTAACAGGGAGTTGGGACTAAATACATCTAACACAAGTCTTAATTTGTTTTTTGATTAACTATTCTCTCTCTGATGGGAAAACTATAATAATGTACAGTTCTTCAGTAAAAGAGTCATGCCTCATCAACATAAATAAATGTTTAATTCAAGATCTGTTGAACTGTTTTGTTTAGAGCACATACATACATATAATATACATAATCATACACAGATAACACATATAACATATATACATATGTATCTTAAATGCAAACATTTCCTAGCAAATCTGATGCTGCATTCTCCTACTGATATTTAGGCACAATGTTCTAAGCCTTTTTGCCCAGCCCTGACTTTAAAGGCATATTAAGCCAAATTTCAGCATAATTAAATAGTTAAGGTGTAAACAAAGTCATTCAGAGTGGTTTGGTGTGAAATGTTCTGTTCTAGAGAAACTTAGAATTGTTCACACAGGTGGTGATAGGAACCAGATGTCTGTAGAGTTTAAGGTCTCTAAAATCTCCCTCACATAAAACTACTACAAGAAATGGTTAAGAATACACTACTTTATGTCTGAAACACTGTATCACTAAAGTTTTGAGATCAAAATACATATTGCTATTATCAACATTGCATGTAAAAACTCAGAAGACACGTGTAGGTCCACTTCTGGTTTTGGATAGTAAATAAAATGGCTCTGTTTGTGTTGTAGACATTGTGACCTCTGGTTCCTATCAGCACCACTGTAAAGACATCTCACATCAAGCCACTTTGTTTACATCACAACTTTTAACCTGAATTATCTAATCCACTTTCATTTCAGGAAACAGCAGCTAACCTCTGGTTTCTTTTACTTTCTTTCTAATAAAAGCTGCAGTCCTAGTAAAAAGAAAGGGTCTTTTTCCTTCCCGGAGAGCAGCCAAATCATCCTGGGGACATTTGGTCCCCACAAGGTGCTAAATACAAACGGCGCGCGCTAGCTGTCCCAGCCCAGTTCCTCCAGCCTGTACAGTTTAGTTGATCATTCACTCACCATAAAGTCGCTGCATTAGTAGCGACGAGAGGCTGCTGAACAAACCAGAACCGTCTCAGTCCGGATTTCACTGACACACAGGTAAAACCATCTCTCTCTCTCTCTTAAACACAGCGGAGGCGCGGACAGTGTTATACTAGCCTTGTACAAGCGCTAGAAGCGTTAATCAGATCTCTATCAGCGCTCTCCTCCGTGGAAAGCGCCTGTTTGTTAATATCAGCGCTCACTGCAAAAAAAGCTCCGTCACGTCTTGTTTACAGTTTGAGCACTTTGCTGCTCTTATCTCTCTCCGCGCTCTAGAGCAAGAAACTGAAGGAGGCACGTTTTTACTCCTACATAACGTTTTGCTTCCCACTTTCCTGCAGTTGTCTTTCCCGATTAATGCATTTTGTAACCTACCTATAACAGGGTAAACTACTGTATACTGGCATTTAATGAACACGAGCAACGTTTAGACCAGTCTTTTTGCTGAATTGTTGAAGGGGAATTCCGCCGCTTTTTCAAAATTTCTGCATCATTTAATGCTTGACATGTGAACAAAGTCATTCAGAGGAGTTTTGTAGAGTAGCTTACTGACTACTACTAACTTACAGTGGTGGTGGTGATAGGAACCAGGGGCTTTGACGTCTACCATGCAAATTACATAGCCATTTTATTTACTGTCCAAAACTACCAGTAAACCTTCACGAGATTTTATATGTAATATTGATTATGGTAAAATAGTGAGTGGTCTGTTTTCTTTGTGGGCTATTTTTGCCGTAGAACAACCTTTATGTATCCCCCACCATGAATGGATTAGATACATTTTAGACCAAAATTTTATTACGACACTGCCATAAAATAATGTCATAACACCAGGCAGTGTATTCAGAATATTTCATGTAATAACTTTCTGTGAGGGAGCTTTTAAAGACGTTAAACTCCTCAGACGTCTGGTTCCTATCACCACCACTTTGAAAAATTCTGGCTCAGTAGTTTCTCTAGAACAAAGCACTTCGCACCTAAGTAATCTGAATGATTTTGTTGATATGTCATTTCATTATGCAGAAATTTAGAAAAATTGATGGGGTTCCCCTTTAAGATGAGAAATTCATTCGGAGTGGTTTGACGTTAAATGTTCCGTTCTAGAAAAACGTACCAGCTCAGGTCTGATCACAGTGGTGGTGATAGGAACCAGACGGCTGAATGCTCCTAAAGCTCCTTCACAGAAAGTTATTACAGTTTATGGGTTTTTATAAGCTTCACACATCGTTTATGATAGTTTTGAGATACGATTTTGTTCCTATTTTTTTATTTTTTTTACACCATGGTGGAAAAGTCTATATATTACTACTATTTTATCACTGTTAGCATATAAAACGAATGTAGGTTGATTATTTTGGATAGTAAATAAAATGGGTATATTTGTGTTGTAGACATTGTGACCCCTGGTTCCCATCACCACCACTGTAAAGAAAATCTTAGTTGTGTTTTCTTCCCCCCAAAGCTGTAGTGCTCATTAACCAGACACCTCGCACTTTAAACTTAAACTGAACCAGCAAACCTCCCTTACAGTATTACTGTATAACTCCTCCTGTAGCATAATGCTTATTTGCATTACTGTACAAGTTAATTTTTGTTTACAAATACTTGTACCACTCCATAATATTCTGTATATAATAGTTTTATAGTATTTTTATAGTGCGTGTCTACTTGACCTGCATATGTACAGACATTCATATCTACATATGTACAAGTGTATGGAATATATATATATATATATATGCATACCTGACACCTGTTTAAGTTGATGACTATCCATATATTTGGTGCATTCTAACTCCATTATTTGTAACATTAGGCTTTTTTTATTACTGTCATGTCATATGTGTGTGTGTATATATATCGCTGCTGTCAAAAGAAAACCATATGTTTTTGACATAATTTGAAAATGTCTGTTAACCTTTAGAGTGAGTATAAATTTCATGAAGAATGGACCTAAAGAAATGACCCAAAATTTTACATCAAATCACTTTGAATTACTCTGTTTCCATTTTATATATACATATATATGCATACCTGACACCTGTTTAAGTTGATGACTATCCATATTTTTCATGCACTCTAACTGCATTATTTGTAACATTAGGCTTTTTTTATTACTGTCATATGTTCTGAATGCATAGCAGTAAATAGAGGCCAGTTGTCCAGTTCCTTTATTTGAAGAGACAGTGTTTACTGTGTAAACCTGATGGGAACTGTTTGTTACAATGTCCTTCATGGGTTTGTTTCGTATCACAAACCTGAAGATCCAGTTTTGTGATGCCACTGTCTGTATATTCAGCAAGGCGACAGTTTTCATAGTGGTCGAGTCATCAAATGTTGACCATTTGCCTTTGAAACACAGCTTTGATGTAGCTTCTGCTGCCCTGTGGGAACTGGGTGGACAGCGGAATGGAACAGAAACATGGCACATTATAACCAAGTAAGTCCTTTTTTAAATGTTTTCAGACCTTTACCTTGATTTTATGGCCTTGTGTTTCTTTTTTGAATAACTGAACGTTTGTCCTTCAGCCACCGTCCCCTACGACCAGCGATGTGAATCTGGGAGCTTCAGCCAATCCTCAGTGAGTTTTCTGTTTCGTTGTGCATAAAAAAACACATACCTGAGCATCTTATATACACTTTTATAACTTAAAAACACTGTATTACACAGAGAAAAGGTGCATTTATACAGAACATATGCACAATATTCTCATAGACCTGTGTGGAAAAATGACCTTCAAAGGTCTTTAAACTGTAATCTAGAACGATTTTGACATATGTACAAGAATATAGTGTTATAACCATGCTCATTTTTGTGCCTTGTTCACTTTCAGTGCCAAACCCACTGACTTTGATTTCCTTGCTGTGATTGGGAAAGGAACCTTTGGAAAAGTAAGTGTGCTGCAGAAAGCTTGTAATACAGCTTGAGAAATGATTAACTTCTTAATAGGAAGCTTGCTGAACTTTGTTTACTGTGCTATCTTTTGAATATACTGGAGAAGATTTAGAATTTACAGCTTTTTTTGTCCAAAGCAATGACAGACAGTTTGACATTATCAACTGCAGGTGCTCCTGGCCAAACTCAAAGCGGATGGAAAATTTTATGCCGTGAAAGTTCTTCAGAAAAAAGTCATCTTGAAGAAAAAAGAGGTTTGCATTACTCACCTTTTAAAGCACCTTTCTTTGTGCCATTATTTTGAGTAATTTGTTTGACAGTGGGATTAATTAGAAGCAAATGTGGACACTGACTCATTTGTTGCTGTTCCACTGATCTAATCTAATCAGTTTGTTCTGTCCTTTGTACCATGGCAATCATTTATAGCTGCTAGCCAAGTACTTCTTAACTTTTCTTTTAATGTGTCTGTGCCTGTGGGTGCTGCTTTCACATTTTCCATGTTGCAATGTCAAATGAGTTGTGAAATGGGTTGAAATCCTGCTAAATGTGCTATTTGTAATGCACTAGTGCTGTGTAAGTCATATGAGTCCATTGTCTCAAATAAGCAAAAATAACAAGAATGAGCCACTGTTTGAGCAGATGCTAACGGCATCTCTCCTGAACGCTCTCCACACTGTACCATTGTTGCTTGTTGTTCATAGTGAAGGCGCTGTTGGACAAGGCTGTTCTGTCTAGGACGGTCACTACTGATTATATTAGTAATCGAGTCATGTATTTTTATGATTAACTGAGTAGCCAGATCAAAAGAAACGAAATTGAACTGTATATATTGTTGATTTATTGCATAATCTGAGCTTTTGGAGGACACATTATATTATCAGCTACATTTCTTACTGAATAATCTGTTTTGATGGTTAATCAAGTTGTCCAGTTTTCAAAGGCCAGGATATTTTACCCATTATTTTAGTAATAATCAAAATGGTGCAGATATTTTTAAAAAGGCCATGTTATCGATCCTATTGATACTTTGAGTAATCTATATTGTTTATTAATTAAGTAATCTGTTTTTTTTCCAAAGGACATATTATATTATAGATTATATTAGTAATGGAGTACTCAGCCTAAGCCTTCGCCCTAATTGAGACATCACAGTTGTTAATTATATATTCATAAATGAGTAATCTATTCTGATGATGAATCTAACAGAATTTTGATTTTAGGCCATATTAAATTCTCAATTATATTAGTTATCGCATAATCTGTTTTGATGATTAATTAAGTTATCCCATTTTTTAAAAGCCATAATATGTTAACCATTATACTCTATTAGTAATACGTCAAATGGGCAATTAATCGAGAGTTTTTCAAAAAAGGCCATATTATAATATCAGTTATGTTAGTCATTGGGTAAACTATATTGTTTATTAATAAGACCATATTTTGTTATTATCTATTATCTATGTTATAGATTGTATTTAGTGAGGGAGTAATCAGCCTAAGCTTTCACACTAACCAAGCCATCACAAGACTATATAATATGATTGATAATATTTATGATGAAGTGATTTATTTTCATGATTAATCAAATAATCAGAGTTTTGATTTTAGGGTCATATTATGTTATTGATTATATTAGTTATTAAGTTATTAATATATTAGTTATCTATTTTGACAATTTATCAAACTATCAGAGTTTTTTCATAGTGTATTATCGATTATATTAGTCAAGTAATCTGTTGTGATGAATAACCAAGGCAATATTATATTATTGATTATATTAATAGGCTAATTATGTATTTTGACGATTATTTTTTAAAATGGTGCATTATATATTAGTTATATTAGTATTATGTATTATATTATATAAGTTATCAAGTTATCTATTCTCTTGATTAAATGTATAATCAAGAGGTTTTTCAGGCTATATTATATTATTAATTGAATTCATAATCAAGCAATCTATATTGTTGATTGATCGAGTAATGAGAGCTCATATTATCAATTATAGTAGTAACCAAGTAATCTACTTTTACAATAATCCGGTAATGAGGTTTTTAAAGGCATTATATTTTTTAATATATCAGTAATGGAATAAACTGCTTAGAAAAAATAGTAATCATAGATTTTAAAAAGGGAATACAGTAAGAATTTAATGGACTATTAAAAATATTTGAAACAATATTTGGCAAAACATGCATATAAACTGCATTATGCATTATTTTTATTCAATAGCCAGTGAATTATTATAGATGATTAATCAACAAGATCAAATTTCAGGAATGATTTTTTTAAATCAAGCAATTGAGTTTAACCCCTTACAAAGTTTTGATTGGCTTTCAGAACTGAATCTTGTAAATGTAACTATACTCTCTTCTAATCGATTTATGAGCTGAGACACTCATAATTTATTTTTACTCTGTGAGGTTATTAAAATAAAAGCAGCAAAGTAAAAGTACTTTATTAGAAAATAACTTAAGTAAAAGTTATGTGATTTAATTCTACTTCAAAAAGTACCTTTATAGGGGAAAGTATACTCAAGTACTGTAATGACAGAAAATGTAATTCATTACTTTCCACCTCTGTCTACCTGCTCAATGTTCACTTGTGAGATGCTAAGTTTGATCAAGTAACTGTGACAGACCTAGTTGGTCTTTGTCTTCCAGCAAAAGAATATAATGGCAGAGAGGAACGTGCTGCTGAAGAGCCTGAAGCATCCGTTCCTGGTGGGCCTCCACTACTCATTTCAAACCTCAGAGAAGCTTTATTTCGTCCTCGACTACGTCAATGGAGGAGAGGTGAGTAAGTCCCTGGCACACATGTATTACATGAGTTCTTATCATGGGACATGTTTGCTCTCAGGTTGTTTCATGATACCACATTTTCTGTGTCGATAACAAAGTTCAAATATAGTTCAGATTTAGATGACTACAGTACATTTCTTTTCTTTCTCTACAGTTATTCTTCCATCTTCAAAGAGAGCGATGTTTCTCAGAAGCACGAGCCCGCTTCTACATCGCTGAGGTGGCCAGTGCAATCGGCTACCTCCATTCCCTCAATATCATTTACAGGTCAGTGACTGAGACCATTTTCTGTTTTTTTACACTATAATATCAAAGGTCACAATTATAGGTAATTATTAGTTAATAATTAGCTGGAGATTTGCATATGTTTCAGTTTTTACACTGGAGGTTATTTGTCTCTGATACGCAAACTCTGATATATACACTGACCAGCCACTTTATTAAGTAAACCTACCTTGTATCTACACTCTTTGTCCATTTTATCAGCTCCACTGACCATACAGGAGCACTTTGTAGCTCTATAATTACAGACTTTAGTCCATCTGTTTCTCTGCATACTTTGTTAGCCCCCTTTCACCATGTTCTTCAATGGTCTGGACCACCACCACAGAGCAGGTATTATTTGGGTGGTGGATCATTTTCAGCACTGCGTTGACACTGACTTGTTGGTGGATCAGACACAGCAGTGCTCCTGGAGTTTAAACACCTCAGTGTCACTGCTGGACTGAGAACTAAAAATATCTGGCCAACAGCATCCTGTGACCACTCTGGCCAGCAGCATCCTGTGACCACTCATGAACTCATGAAGGACTAGAGGATGACCAACACAAACTGTGCAGCAGCACAGTTGGACAGTGAGTGTAGAAACAAGGAGGTGAGCGTAATGAAGTGGCTGGTTGATCTGCATAAGGTTTTTCCAGTAAAGTATTTTGGAATCCTTGGAAGGCTTTGTCATTGGTTTAGATTAGGTATTGTTTAGGACATAATTGGTAGCCTTTTAAAAAAGTCGCTACTCAATTAATCATCAAAATAATCAATAGATTACTATTTCCCCTTGTAGTGACAGCCCTGATAAGATGAATTTATTGCTCATGTGACTTCTTTCTGCTCTTTAATGTACTCATACAGGGATTTGAAACCAGAAAACATTCTATTAGATGCTCAGGTAAGAAACCTAATTGTCTTTGACTCTGATGTGTTCCAAACTTTGTAAAAATATCTTATAGTTTTTTTACACTAAATGTCTTGCCCTGTTCTAGGGTCATGTGGTTCTGACTGATTTTGGCTTGTGTAAAGAAGGATTAGAACCAGAAGCCACCACTTCAACATTTTGCGGAACGCCTGAGGTGAGCAGAGCAAGAATATAAATAGATATGTTACTGGATTCGGCTTTGATCTCTGTCATATGATTTCCCTCTTTTGTCTTAGTACCTGGCCCCGGAGGTGCTTCGGAAAGAGCCATATGACCGCACGGTGGACTGGTGGTGCCTAGGAGCGGTGCTGTATGAAATGCTCTTCAGCTTAGTAAGTTTCAGTAACAATTTGTCATATTAATACCTTGTAACTACATTTTCACATTATTTTTCACATTTTTTTTACATTATTTAAAAATTCCAGCTGCCCTTTACATTGTATGTATATGTAGTTATGAATGGACTGCAAAATTACTTTTATTTTGTATTCCTTTCTAACTGAATACAACACTTTTGATTACAAATTATGTTATCAGCATACTTTATCACCTTTTTGCTTTAATGACAGCATGCACTGGAGCTGGCTCACACTCTGACGACTAACAGTGACAAAGTTATCTGATGAGTAGATTAAATCACCTGAGACCTATCTATCTATCTATCTATCTATCTATCTAGCTAGATAGCTAGCTATCTAGCTATCAAGCTATCAAGCTAGCTAGCTAGCTATCTAGCTATCAAGCTAGCTGCCATGCTTCAATGTTATATGAGACCATATGAAATTCTACAGATTTAGAATTTTCTCTTTGTGTCTCTTTCATAATGTGACTCGTACAGCCTCCATTCTACCGCCGAGATGTAGCTGAGATGTATGATGCCATCTTATACAAGCCCCTGCAGATGCCTCCTGGTAAATCTGATGCGGTGTGTCACCTGCTGCATGGGCTTCTGCAGAAAGACCAGCATCGGCGATTAGGGGCCATCGCTGACTTTGTAAGTAGAACTCAGGTCATTTTTCTCAAGTTGGACAATCCCATTGAAGCAAATTAGAAACTGTAGTGATTTTAGTTTAGTGCCACTGCATAACATTGAGGTTCCAGTTTAAAATGCTGCACTACTAAATTGGACTGTATTGTTATCACTAAGAAATTTGAAATTTATAACACATCTAAATTTAGATATTTAGACTAACTGAGTTATCTGGTACAATTTCTTATTAGATTAAAATTAGATTTTTGTCAGTGTTTTGTAAAGTCTAACAACAGTTGCTTTGAAAAAATGCATTTGTTTGAGGTGAGGATGGATAGGTGAAATTGAAATACAAATGTAATGAATGTGTAGAATGCAGCCAATATCAAAAACTCTACACTCCTGGTTACTGATACTGTGCATTTGGGCAGATGTAATTATTAATGAAATGTATGCATTGTTTTGATTTGCAGCTGGAGATTAAAAATCATGTGTTCTTCAGCCCCATTAACTGGGATGACCTCTACCACAAGCGCATCACTCCACCATACAACCCAAATGTGGTAGGTTGGAACACTGAATCAAGAGCATAATTCTAGACCTAAAGTGTACAGTAAAGCGGTTTCTGTGTGCTTAAAGAAGAATTCCATCAATTTCTGCACAGCTCAATCATTAAAATGTATACAAAGTTTTTCAGAGTGGTTTGATGTGAAATGCATTTGCTCATAGCAATGGTGGTAATAGGAATCAGATGTCTGAAGAGTCTCTAAAAGCTACATGTCTTAAAGTCACTACATGAAATGGTCACACACATGTTACCTGATGCCAGTGACACTGTTTTACAACAAGCTTTTGGCCTAAAATGTTTTTTTCATGGTATGTGAAGGCAAAAAAAACAACAAAAGAAAGCTTATTTTTTCAGGTAGAGCATTGTTTTATCATTATCAACATTACATATTACATATGGTCCAAAATAATAACTGTGCAGGAGAAAGCAAAAATCTAAAGAGATTTTATTTGAAGTGATTTTGGTACATTTATACTGGTGTAAACTGGTGTACTATAATGTAAAGAACAGCGACAGTGTTGAAATTTTTAGAAAAAATAATAGAGATACATGCTTTTCTTTGGAGAGCGATGATATAAAAACTTAGAAGACATGCACTGGCTAACTGGTGGTTTTGGATAGCAGATAAAATGGCTACCTTTGTGTTGTGCGACCCCTGGTTCCTATCACTACCACTGTAAATAAATCTGAGTCAGTAAATTTCACTAGAACTATTTCACATCACACTCTGAATGACTATGTCTCAGTGAATAAATTATGCAGAAAAAAATCAGTGGAATTCCCCTTTAAAAGTACCAGAACTCATTTTCAGAGTGTTTTTGATTATCATTTAATCACACATTGTGTTATTTCATTATGACAAAGTATTGTAAAATCACGATTAGCTACAGTGACTATATATAATAATAATTGCGAATGTATAATCATAAGTATCTTAATAACTAGGGGTGGGCAATATGATGATGTGTTATAGTTAACATGATAAATGACTTTAAGATATACTTTTCTTATGGAAATCATCAGTACTTGTAGATAACTGTCTACCCTTTATGCCATTATTTTTTATTTTACTTTTTTTAACCAATTGTTTGATTTTTCCTCCCATTCCTTCTTAAATAGTTTATTTTTTCAAGTTTATTTTTTGTTATTTTTTTCTAATATGTATTGAACATTATTGATGATTGTACTCATTCTGTTCAGTTTGTATCACCATTGACTATTTCTTCATTTCCCCAGAGAGGTCCAGCTGACCTACAGCACATTGACCCAGAGTTCACCAGAGAGGTGGTGCCAAACTCTGTGGGCCGCACTCCAGAGCTGACCCCCAGCCTGGCCACCAGCAGCTCCAACGCCTTCAGTGGCTTCTCCTACGTCTCCAGCGACAACAGCTTCCTCTGAGCCTCTCTGTGAAGGCCGCTCAGGTGCCTTCCTGCACTGACTGCAGTCTCTCCACTGCCTTATTGAACCACAGAGCACAAAGCCAAACAAGCAGAATATTGTAGTTTTCTGTGCCCTTTACTAGCATAAACCACTGATGGGCTACGAAGGCATATACAGCTGGGAAACATAATATAGCACTCCTTCAAGCTTTTTTCCATTGTGGTATTTGAACATAGGCATTTACAGTGTGCAATGCCAATGGGAGGGCCAATTGGGGAAATAGCAACAAAATGTCCATTAAAAAAGTAGAGTTCAGATAGTTGTATACAAAAGTTTGGCCAAATTACTTGTTGTGTTGATTTTCTAAGTGAAAATAAGTTGACACCTCATCTACACTACTGCATATTGTGGTGCATAATTAATGTTTATTTGCTGAATATGACATATTGGAGAAAAAATAAAACAGAATGTGGCCCGTGCAAAAGTTACAGCACATTTTAGATTTTATGGTTTATTTTTTTACCAATTTGTTAAACTTTAAAGCACTAAAATTTGCGGAAATATCCCATATTTAAGTTTGTTCCCTGTTCACTCAGAAAATCAGCAAAACTTTTGCATATGACTGTATATAGTTTCTTTTTCCTTGACTATGAATTTTAGTGCATATGGTTAACTCAAACCGTCCACCTGTCTGATGTTTATGCTCATTCTTTACTCAGTTGTAAGATGAATCATGTATAAATAAGTTGGACCTCTTGTTATGTACACACTAATAATAGGCCCAAGCATAATTACTGTAATTTGGAAAACAATGTAGCAGTACGTGTACCTTTTAACAAATATACTGTTATTTTCAAGGTTGCTCTTTGATGCATTCAAGCTTTCTTTTTAGAAAAATGATACAATTAGTGACTATAATTCAATGTTAAGTGATTGCTGAGTATTCTGAAGAACATGGTATACATATTTGAGCATTTAATTAAAATGTTCATTGGTTAGCACCTGCTTTGTGCTTTGGAGCTTGTGTTTTGGGTTAGTATATGAGTGCTAAGTCAATGTAAAAGAATGTAGGTTGTTTCCTGTTGCCATTCTGCAGTGACTTCTCAGTCATGATATAGGTTTTTCTTAAACCTAGAAAAAAATCTTCAGACGCGAGTCTGTTTAGAAATGGATCTGCTGAGAATGAGTCAGCTCACATTAATTTCCCTCTGCGTAGGCACTGTTTGTTTATTTTTCAACTCAGGTGAGCTCAGCCATGACAGCACGCTCATGGTTTGTTTCATTTGTATTCATGTAGACACATTCTACATAGCAGCTACATTACTGAAAGGAAAAAAGACAGATTTGTCTTTTTTTAAAAACACAGAATTGTTGAATGCTAAGTGCTAAGCTTTTGCATTCATGGATGTGTGGTCTTTTTATTTGGAAGAACTTTGCAGGTTGTTCATGTCTGTAATGTAAGGCTGACAGATGAATCGTTTTTCTACTTTCGACTAAAAGAGTGCAATTTTTTTTACTCGAAACGGCTGCAGCTTTAGTAATAAGCTACATTATCACCAAAGTTCTCTTACATTTTAAGTGTAAATTTTGACAATAAATGGTCTTAAACGCTAATGCTAATTCACCCTTTAACCCTGAAGGTTGGCGCAAAGACCGCTGGTCACCATAGCAACATAGACAACAATCTCGCCTAGCTAGTAGCTGACGAAAAGGCAAAGAGAAAGATTTAAGATGAACATTTATTATTTGGGGACGAATGGACTTCTTTGCATTTATAATCCCTCCAGCTGGTTTCCTGATACGTTTAATCTGCGACGAAAAACTGTCAAACAGTAAAACGTTGTGAAGCTGAAGTCAGCTTCTCATTCTCCAGCTTCTTGTTCAAATTTTCCTGTTCCACCTTAAATGGTGCCGCAGTTACATTCTGGTTCATTTAAGGTGGAACATTCGAATTCCAAAATTCGAAAATTCAAACAAGAAGCTGGCGAATGAGAAGCTGACTTCAGCCTTGCAAAAAGTTGAACGTTGAGAGACATTTTACAAGAAACTGCTCTACTTTTGGAAATGTTTCCTGCTGGAGCTGCGACAAAAGCGGCTATAGTTGAGCTAAAGCTTAAAGCAGAGCAAAGTAAGTCTGTGTTTCCATTTATATTAAATTTGTTAGCCTACACTAACACATTAGCACATACTGAGACATATTTACAGTCAAGATGGTAAAATGGACATAAAATGTTGTGGCTCCCAAGGTGGTTTGATTTTTGCTGAAAGGACTCCTCTTAACATTTGGGTTGCCACCCCTGACTTAGACCAATCAGAAGCAACCAAAACCCCATGTGCTCTGTTGTGTTGTGTGTTGGCAAAATCTTGTTCAACTTAATGAGAAAATATCTCATCAAAATATGTGTAATATTCACATCAGACCGCTACAATGTTTGTTCAGAGTTCTTACATGACATTCATTTTTCAGTTTAAAATGCTCTGCTATGGAGCTGGACTTCTTCAGTAAAGAAAATGGTTCTATATAGAACCATGAACACTCAAAGAACACTTTGCATGATTATAGGGTTATTTGCATGATAAAAGGGTTCTCCAGATTGATGAAAAACGTCCATGAATGTACAGGTGATGTTTTATATAGAACCTTTTTGAAAAGGGTTCTATATATTTTGAAAAGGGTTCTATCTATTTCATTTATTCAGACAATGGTTCTATATAGAATCATGAACACTCAAAGAACCCTTTGCATGCTTAAATGGTTCTTTGCATTGTAAAGTGGCTGTTCAGATTGATGGAGATTGTGTTGTTCATGATTTTGAAAATGGTTCTAAATAGCACCAAAAAGTGTTCTTCTATTGTTACAAGCTTGACATTGTAACAACCCTTTTTGTTGCTAATATCATTTTTTAGTTCTATATAGAACCATACACAACACATTCTCCATCAATCTGAACAACCATTTCACCATGTAAAGAACCATTTTTGCATGAAGTGGTTCTATATAGAACTCATGGTTCTGAATAGAACCAGTGCCTTTACCAAAGAACCCATGAAGAACCATCTTTTTGTAGATGTAGAGTGTAGATGCATAGGGTGACAGGAAAGTACCTGTAACTGGTTTCCACCACTGTTGCTTTGCAAATGTACATTCCATTCCCAGAGAAGGGAATTTTGTTCCCTGTAACTGGCGTCCACTAATATTGCTATGAATATGAACATTCCATTCCAAAAGAAGAGAATTTCGCTCTCTGTGTCCTTCAGAAATTGATACTCTGCGTTTGAGTTTGCGAGCTGTGGCTCATGTAAATCTTCTGTAGTATGTAGTACTTCAGCTACCAAACTACACAAAATGCTTGTAATTGGTCCACAAAATCATATTATGTGTAAATCATCATGGCAAGTCCTACTAAGGTTCCAGATGAGCATTGAAGCTGAAATTTTTATCGTAACTGGGAAGTCAGGGCACCTTTATGGTCCAAGCACTGTTTGGATCAGGGTGGCTTTGGATAGTCTACATGGACATCTGCATCTGGAGCTGAGAGACACATTTGGCAGCCCCAGCTGACTACAAATACGGGTACTTATACATCCTGTTCACTTTGAACATGACAACGTCTGCTAGCACGTGCTCCAAAAACTGGTAACTATTCCAGCTGAACCATCAACAAGGGGTGCGGGTACTGACAGCAGTTCAGATCAAGATAGTAGTGGTTACATGATCTTCAAACCTTGCAAGGTCTTTTCAAGTTCTGTTAAGAAATATGACTTATAAACAAACCACACAGCAAAATCCCCAACCAAAAGAGACTAGCAATTTTGCTGGGCAAACACAAATTTGACTCTAAAATAATAATAATTATTGCAAGTTTCTGAAGCTCAACCATTGTGAAAGTGCAACAGTTACCAGAGTTGTGTCAGTCATGACAACAGTGAGATTTCTTAGTGTGTTAAAGGCAATAGTGTCAAGTATCACAAAGGGCATGTGCCAAACACTAGAAAATGGCCAACATAAGTACAGACTGTAGTTATTGAGTGAGATATGTGGATGGAGATAGCAGGACTGTCTTAAAAAATCTGGTTTATACCAGGGCTGCTATAGGAAGCCACATAAGCCAAAGCCAGTGTGCTGAAATTAATAACCAGTCCAATTAGAGTAAAACCTGATGACCTGATTTATGTATTGAGAGCTAGAAAAAAGGCTTTGACCCACATGCCTGTTCCTAGTCTACAAGTGTCCATCTACATGATAGTAATTACACAAAATATGATCGTTTCAACATGAACTAGAAAGCAAAAATGCAACCCAACTCAGTGAGACTATAATCATACAACACTGTTTCAATAATTTTGTCCCTCCCATTCAAAAAGAATACATATTTTACATTGCAACCTAAACAAATGACTTACAGCCGAATGTAGGCCTGTGCATTTAGTAGTAGTTGATTGAGGGGCAGTTCGAACTGCTACAGTCAGATGGAATACTGAATTTGGCCTGAATAGATGCTCTGGGTCATAGAGACTTCTGAAAATACCTATTATAAACTACACAGCCTTCTTTTGAGTGGTGTTCTGAGGGTACTTTTGCATTATAAATGACTATATGATGTCTATTTTAGAAAGAAGGACAGTTTGAAGAAATAAGCTCCCTCCTACTTCAAACATGCAGCTGCTTTTCAGGAGGACATGCAGTTATAATATGGTAATTCTGAGCAGTAGCAGGAAGTATCTAATTAAGCACTGTGAATGAACTATCTTTTATATTTGCTCCCATCCATACAACCATAATATCATAAAGTATTTGATCTTCACGTGATGATTAGAGATACACAATGATTTCAGAATCATATCAGTGTTGGCATTTAGTTATATCTATACAATGAAAATATCTGCATTGTATTGATCTAGATGTATATTTTTTTATTGTATAGATGTGTTTATTGCACTCCACATGAGCCGAATGTTTAAGTGACACTGGGCTGCTGTGCTGAAATGTCTGCATTTTATTCATTTTACTGCATCTATAACCTTCTAAAATAAATGTTACATTTCTTCATAAGGGTAGTTCCAATTCGTACATTTTATAGGTGTTGTATCGACATCGGTTTTGGAATCGACAGACGTATGTACATGAAAAATATCGGCATCAGCCCACATTTCCCATATTGGTGCATCCCCTAGTTATGATAACAGAACAGTCCTCACCAAAGGGTTACAGTTCTTCCCATCAGGTCCACTGTGACTGTAGGCAGCACTCCTTTGTCCTGAGAGCAGAAAGTGCTCTCTGCACAACACTCCACCTGGTGGAGGACCATGCAGACGCACCCCTGCACCACCATTCTTCTCAGCAGTGATGCTACCTGAAACTGAGGAATTTAACAACTGAATGAAGTATGTATGTCTTTAAATATTACATATCTGCAATATCAACTTAAAAACACACAATAAGCAGCATTAAACAATTTACAAAGCTCTACATATCTGTGTATTGTATTTGATGTGACCCCTGATAATGGTATGAAGTAGAAACTTGGGTCCAGTCTTAGATTCTGAGCTTTGTTTTATTCCTCATGTACACGTAGTCACTAAAGATGCTTTTTATTGTTAAGAAACTCTTGCTAGACTCAGCCTTTTCTGTCTCAGAGCGACACAGATAAACTTGTTCATGCATTTGTTACAAGCAGAGTTGATCACTGTAATGCTCTTCTTACTGGAGAAAACAATACAACCTCTACAACTCCTACAAAACACAGCAGCATGGATCCCAACAAAGTTCTGCTACTAGTTTTTTAAGGCTCTAAATGATCTTAAAGCTACTTCCCTCAAAGAATGTTTGTCTGTGTTCCAACACATGATCTTAGATTTGCAGATACTGGCCTTCTGCAAACACATTCTGTAAAATACAGAAAATGTGGAGAGACTCTTTCAGTTATTATGCTTCTAAGCTCAATTTCTCCTTTTATTAGACAGTCAAGCTCAATGCTCACTTTAGGAAACATTTCAAAATGAATCTTGTTAACTTAGCATTGAATTCAAATTCTATGTCTCTTTGGTATTTATCTTTTAATTTGTTCTTTTGATCTGTGCTGTAGTCTTGTGATTTCAAATTAATACTTGTAGGTTCTTCTATTACCATTTCATCACCTGTCTGTACAGCACTTTGAGCTGCCCTCAGGATGAAAAGTGTTCTCACTCCAATCACCTCCAAATGACTGCGGTGAAATGTGCTGTTCTAACATGAACATGATGAAAATCTTGTGCATGAATCCAAGTGTCAGTTTTTTGACACCTGGCCATCAGTCACAAACATAAGATGATCTAGTACAAAGAAAACAGATGAGATAAAGCCACTGGGTAACTGAAAACGTCACCAAGTAGCATTAAAGCTACATCAAAGGAATTAGCTATTTGTCTTAATAGCTAAGAGGCATTTGGTGCAATGTTGTATGTTTTCTCTGTGGCCCAAAAGAAGAGATGGAGAATATTTCAGTAAGCCTACCATATAGAAGGTTGCTTCCATATTGCTTTTTAGATTCACCACAAAATGAACTTCAACCCCATGTACAGTGCAGTGAATTCCTATATTTGTGCATATTCGGACATCTAATTTTTTCAGATCTTCAAACAATATTTTATATAAGGACAACCTGAGTAAACTCCAACCACAGTTTTTAAATGATCATTTCATTTATTAAAGGAAAAAGTTATCCAATACCAATTTGCCCTGTGTGAAAAAGTAACTGCCTGCTTAGCTACTCAATCAAACGACTGACCATATTTAGTTGATAATTGGGATCAATTAACCTAGACACACTCAGGCTTGATTACTGCCAGCCCTTTTCAATCTAAACATGACATCACACAATAAGATCCTTTTAAGTAAAGTGAAGTAGCCTAAAAGGTGTCAACAAGAAGCACGCTCTGCTGCACTGAAAAGAAATTCGAAATATATATTTCTGGAATAGGTTACAAAGCCATTTCTAAGGCTCTGTGACTCCATCAAAGTACAGTGAACTTTTTGTAACACAGGGGTCCTGCTACATCTAGCATTAAGCTAACACTGCATTCCACAATAAGAACATCAAGAGGAAAACATGGTGGTGGTAGTGTGATTGTGTGGGGATGCTTTGCTGCTTCAGGGCCTGGGCGACTTGCCATAATTGACAGAACCATGAATCCTGCAGTCGTCAGTCGGGGATTTGAAGCTCAAGCACAAATGTGTTATGGAGCAAGACAATGAGCCAGAGCACAAGAGCATGTCCACCTCTGAATTTCTCAAAAGAAACAAAATTAAGGATTTGGAGTGGCTTAGTCAGTCCTGACTTGAACCACAATGAGAGACTGTGGCAGAACCTTAAATGAGCAGTTCATGTCTGAAAGCCCTGCAGTGACTGATCTCCAGGTATAGGAGGCGCTTAGTTACAGCTGTTGCACCTAAAAGGTGGCATGACCAGTGAAGTTTATGGGGGCAATTACTTTTTTCACATGGGTGATACGGGTCTTGCAAAACTGTCCTTTAATATATGAAATGATCATTTAAAAAGTGTTTGTATTTCCTTGTTTTTTATATTACATTTTGTAGGAGGATCTGAAACTACAGTGAATCTAGACTAAAAATGTCTGTCCGCATGGTTATGCAATGATATTGAAAAGAATGAAATGGAGAAAATTGAATCTTTAGTTAATTTAAAGGTTAAATAGACTGTTAGTAAAAAGATTTCACTGGCATCTGCACTCCCTTGTATGCAGCTAATCATAATGTGAAGCTGTTATAAATCAAAGGTAGTACAAAATGTATCTGAACACCAAGAGAATAAGTATTTTTACAGAGGTGGACAGTAACTATTCTTTTTACTCAGATACATTGTACAATATGATGGATTTGTACTTTCCTGAGCATTTTTGAACGATAATACTCTTATTTCTACATAAGTTTGTTTGTAAAGAAAGGAATCATTTTTTATTACTATAGTCATTTACATTTAGGTACTTATTCCTTTTTGTGTTGTATTTCATTCTGCTATATTGCTAAAAGCAACTGAACAGCTTTGCAATTGGTCAAACCTCTCACTTGGGAGATTTACCGTTTTATTAACTAATTAATTCATTTATTTATTTTGAGTGCAAAAAAAAGAGAGAACAAAATTTGGTTCCTGTGCTGACAAGTGCCAGATCTACTAAGAAGTTCCACTGCAGTTCTCTAGGGATCTCAGTACTTCAAGATGAATTCCATTTTTTTTTTCTAAACTCCTGTGTAATTAAATCACTTTGATGTAAACAAATTCAGAGTGGTTTGATGTGAAATGGATCATTGTAGATTAACTTAGACTCAGATTTCTTTACAGCGGTGCTGATAAGAACCAGGGGTCGCAATGTCCACAACACAAATACAGCCATTTTAGAACCTATACATGGTTTTGGAGCTTTTATATTTAATGCTGACATTGGTAAAATAGTGGCAAATCTGAAAAAAAGAAAATCACTGCACTGCATTTTTGAAAGTTAAATTAAGGCCAAAACATTCTCAAAACTATGATAAAACAAAAGTTTCAGGCATTAGACAAGGTATTCATAACTATTTCATGTGATAGCTTTCACTTAAGGAGCTTTTAGAGACATTAAACTCTAAAACATTCCTGACTCGTTAAATTTCTCCAGAGCGGAGCATTTCACACCAAACCACTCTGAATAACTCTGTTCCCATGTTGATGTAAATCTGCAGAATATTTGGAAAATTAGTGGAATTCCCCTTTAAGTATTTCTTCTACCTTAACTTCATAGCTTTGCTGTATATTGTATTCCCATTTCTGTCCTGTTCTGTCCCATTCCTTTACTTTGTATTGTGTTTGTCTTACTCTCTTTATTTTACTTTTCTCCTCATGATCTCCTGTGAAAAATATTATTTTGCTTTGTTATTTTTGTTATAACTGTAAATACCTGTTGTGTAGTTTGCTTTCCTTCCTCCCTCTTGTTTTGTTTTCTTTGTGATGTTCTTGTGTTTCATAATTGGCTGTTTTGCTGGCCTGGTTTGGATACTCTGTAAAGCAACCTTGAGCGCCTTGAAAAGGCGCTATCTAAATAAAACATTAATATTGTTATTATTTTTATTATTATTATTATTATTAATTATAATGATGTAGAAAATATACTACTTGCAAGTCAAGGATATATATATATATATATATATATATATATGAGATAATGCGAGATCATTGCGCACTTTCAACGCTACTTTGACGCGCATTAACGCCGCCCGGATCTGAGCGGTAAAACGCGATTTGCAGTTGAAAGTTGGGCGCGCGAGAGGAAAAGCAACAGTGAGTTCCACAGAGAAGAGAGAGTGAGAGACAATAGCGGGGAGAAAAACAAACTAACGGAACTAATACAGCTGCAGAAAACACCGGTCACTTTCGCAGAATGCAGTGTCTGAACAGGCGGGTCCAGGCTCGAGTTTAAACGTTTTGAAGTCCGTTGATAAAACACTGCAGTTGGAAACTCCGGGAGGACCCCGAAGAGGAAACGTCATGTCTGCGGTGCCGGAACGCAGGTAAACAATCAAATAATAAACAGTAAACGGGTGTTGCTAGGAAACGAACCAAATCATATAACTGTTACAGAACCGCCGAAAACAGGTATGTATGGGACAAAACTCACAAGTAAAAGGCATGTATGGCTAGAAAACAAAAAAAAAACAGGCACAGCTCCGGTTGTCTAAGGCTATTACCGTTAGCTTCTAACGTTAGCTGCTGCTAACTCGGCTAACGCCTAGCCGTCCCCTACTTTCAATTATAGCTTAGCTTAGCTTAGCTTAGCCTAGCTTGCAAACTCCAGCGGAACTGCCTACTGTTATTAAAACGTCAAAATGTGACATTCCAGCCGCGGTGCGAGACAGTGCGCTGTATATACAGTCAGCTCGCATTGCTCTCTGCGGAATAACTCGGTAACGGCTTTCTTTTTCCGTTGGCTTCGAACTCGGAACGCTTGGGCGGTTTAAAGGAAAACACAGCGCGCGCCTCAGTTTAAAAACAGCAGTTCGCGCGCCGCCCGTTACAAGCAAGCTAACGGAAAGCTAACCGAACTGCGCTGCAAGTTATGAAGGTGTAAACCGCTCAAACATTCTTAGCAGGTAATTACGACACAGTTTATCAGCAAATATGTTGAAAATATCTGGTTTTCGGGACATAAAATATGCTGAGAATGAATATACCTTTGAAAGTCATGTGCTGTTGAAGAGTTTAACTAACTTAAACTAACTTTTTTGCCAAATGGCCAAAGTTCTAACGTCCTTTCATTACTCTCGTTAGGAGCTGCTAGAACAAGCAAGAAGCTAACGAAGTCTTGCAACCTAACCGCCTTCTCCGAGTATTTTGCACAGTTTAGCCAGTGCAGTCGGTTATTTCGCTCACTACAGCTTTGGAAAGCAGCAACTTAGATAAGTTCATATGCAGCTGAAGCACTAAAACGTCAGCTAACTAACTGCCCTGTTTTCACAACGCCCAAGTCAGGCTATTGGATACTTGCTAGTTAGCTGAGTTTACTAGCGTTAAAATGATGTTACGATGTTGTAGTTTTATTAAAATTTTGTCATTGGGAAAATAGTATAAGTATTCGTTATCCTTCTGAGCTCAAATTACGCCCCACAGAGTAATATTTGCTGCGGTTCTGTTGTTTGTGTTGGTCCGAACAATTGGGCCGTTAAAAACGGTCTTTAAGCTAAATAGATTAACTATAGTAGGTTAGCTAACGTTGTGTTAAAAAAGTTAGGTAGGGTTACTTTTTAGCCAGTAAGTGTGATTCTCCAGAGCCCCTAAGGTGACATGGTGATTATTTTTAATAAGACGTGGCCACAAATTAATATGTTGAAGCCACTAGTTACATAACTTGTGGCCTCAGTATATTAATTTGAGGCATCAACACGTAAATTGATTTGAGGCCGTGCCTTATTAAAAATAATCACCTTGTCATGGGCTCCATACAGTATTCTGTGTCATCCTCAGCAAAAAATCAGAGAATATTTTATTGATGATTATACTATAATGAAAACAAATATACATGTGGAAAGTTTAAGTAAAGATGTTTCTGAAAACAAGTCATAATTTGTTTTTTTTTAGTTAGCCAGTGTTAGCAGCTAATAGTACCAGAATTAGCACCTGAATTAACATGCTAACGTTAGCCACTGCTGTTTCTTTTTCTCATTCTATGCAGCTTATATAACATTATATTATTTGGTTATTTATGAAATGTTAAACCTAATAATCAGTCATAAACTGGAACGTCTATTATTGTCTAATAATAACGATGATGATGAGAATAATAATAATAACAATAATAGCATAGATAACCTGCACTGCTTGTATCATTTAATCTGTTTTCAGCCTGATGGATGAATCCGGAGAACTTCATCTTAAATCAGAAGCCCTGGCAGAACAACGTGGGATTGAAAAGTCAAAGGCCAAATGGACTCAAGAAGAAGTGAGTAAGCGATGGGTTTTTCAGGACGATTGAATTTTACTTCAAACATTTCCTATAATCTTAGGAGATATGAGCAGATAATAGATGATATTGCTGTTGGAAAGCTGCACTCAGTACAGTACTCCTGTAAATGTGAAATGTGGCTGCATTCACATTACCAGGCCAAAGTAGCACAAATCTGATTTTTTTTTGCCTTAATGTAACACACTTCTCATTTTTTCAGAGCTTTGTGGACATGCCTGTCTGATCTTTTCAAATCATATCTGAGCCACTTTTCATACGTTGTCCTAGATTGGATACATATCCAGTTTATGGCCTTGTGAACTGAATGAGAACGCTCATATCAGAATTTATGCGTGTTTTTTTTTCTCTTTTAGATGAATAGTTAGATAGATAGATAGATAGATAGATAGATACTTTATTGAGCCCGAAGGAAATTTAGCATCCGGTAGCAGTCACACAACACAGAACAGTAATAATAATAAGGGTGAAACAATATGAACAACAAAAGGAAGAATAAATATAAAAATTGTGCGTGCACCGTCATTCAATGTTAACATGGCAGCAGTGCCTAGCCTGAAGTCAGTGCAAAAGTGTCTAGTAATGAGCAGCTCAAAGCTGTTCAGAGCGAATTGTTTTTGTAATGAAGACTTGTTCTGCTGGTTAGTTTGTTGTTCATGACTCATGTGGTTCATTTACGTGACGTTATTGCTAAGGATGTGTGTATGCGGTTGATTCGGAGCATATATTTGTTCACATTAATGACAGATTTGAGTCACTTAACTACATGAGTGTAAACCGAGTTAAACATCAGATCTGAGCTAAAAATTGAGTAATGAGGCTTGTAATGTAAATGTAGCCTATGAAACATGCTTTTTTAAGGAAAATGACTGATTTCTGAGTGTAAAGGCCACAGCAGTACATACTAGAGATGAGGAATGTTTGTACATTTGAATAGTTGGCCAAATTAATCTGTTATTCTGTTAGCTTTTTTGACTTTTGAATTATGTGCATACAAAGTCAGAAGTGTCACCAGCCAAAAGTGCTGATCGTAAAAATAAAAAAAAAAGTTTAAGGACAAAAAATGTCTGACAAATATGGACATTTGGAAAATTACTCACATCATCAGTGTGGCAGGTGTCATTTTTTTATGGAAACCTTTTCAAGTTTTTATAGTTTTGAAAAATAGTAATGTGTGTGTGTTTTCTAATGTAAGACACTACACAAAAAATATTTCTCTGCAGGACATTGACTGAGACAGCAAAATTGCTTTTAGAAACTCTAAAATACTGTTTTATGTTGCATATGTGATATGTTTTACCAGCCAGTGACAACACCTTTCACAGTACAGTTGGAGCCTGCAGTACCTAATGTTTGTTTGCTTTGTTAATTTTTTCTGCACGTAGGATGACAATCTCATATCATTGGTCCAGAAATTTGGCTCTAATAAGTGGGATTATATTGCTGGCTGCTTACCTGTAAGTAAAAAAAAAATCTTTAAGAGGAAATGTACATGATACTCTGTTACTCTTACTCACTGCTGCATTCATGATTGGATATCAGCCTTTGAAATGAAAGCCTTGACCAAATTGATTATGTCTCCATAGGGCCGCAGTGAACAGGAGTGTAAGTACCGTTTCACAGCTGTTCTGGACCCAAACCTGATAAAGGGAACTTGGACTAAGGAAGAAGATAACAAGGTGGTACACTTCATTCTGACAAAACTAAAATCTGGAGATAAATGCAGTCTCCAGATGACTTTTGGGGTTCTGCAGCAAATAACAGAGGTCAATAATGACCTGTTAGAACCTAAAAATCCAAAGGCAGTGATTGTTTATCGTGTATTGTGGTTATGCCTTAGAAAATATTCCTATAATATAATAACATATAGTGTTTGACTGCAAAGATTTGCATATGATTATGCGTGCCAGATGCTGGAAATAATTTTAAAGACACATGGACATTGCAGAACAGTGAACAATTATCTATAGGCTTTAGTGAATATATGGATAGTTTACAGCTTTGAGTTCTAATGCATTTGTTCAAACACATTTGTCTGTCGTTACATTTTTTCTTTTGTTAGCTGAAATTACCTGAATGCTAATGGTGAGTTGAATTTGTCTATATAATAAAACCTTTGAACGTCTGTCATAGCTTATTGAATTAGTGACAAAGTTTGGAGACAAGAAGTGGGCCAAGATTGCCAAGCACTTAAAAGGTCGCAGGGGGAAACAGTGCAGAGAACGGTGGCATAATCATCTGGACCCTTCAGTGAATAAAACATCATGGACTATAGAAGAAGATCTCATCATCTGCGGTGCCCACAAAAGGCTAGGAAATCGATGGGCCAAGATTGCCAGGCTCCTCCCTGGAAGGTTTGTTTTAAATTTGTCTGTCTGTTGGTATCTGCAAATTAATATCATAGTGCTTGCACAGTATATATATCACAATATTTTTTTTGTTCTTGAGTTTGATAATGGGGAACAGATACTGTGCATTCAAAAATGCTGTTAAAAAACGTGCAATGATTTTACTTTTGTTCTAAAATGCAGTTAAACAAACAGCTCTTACGGACTCATGGCATTGTCAGGACTCTAAGCCACTGTTCCTTAACAACAGGATGAAACTATAGGCAGCTACAATACTTAGAGGCCCTCTCTATTTTAATAAAAAGAAGGTTTTTCACCACCTTCATTAGGTTTAATATTCTACTTTGTAATATAGGCAGTGGCTGTCATAGTGTTTAATTGTTTTCTTTTTGTTTTGTTTTTTTTTAATGCATATTCTATGCTTTTTAGACACATTTAAAACATGGTGGTGCATAGGAAAACAAGTACAGATCTTCTTCTCCCTTCTGTTTGACTGCAATTTTACATTCTGCTGGTTATACATACAATTGTACAGTTGGCAAAAGTATGGCAGATGATAATGCATCAAGTGGCTAATCAGTTTTGTTGTGCTAATGTTTGGGCAACAGTTATGGATGTTATCAGGAATATAGAAAAAGATACATTGTTATAAAGAAACTAGACCCTGATTTGTAGCACCATATTTTGTGTACGGTTGATATTTGTGTGTTTTTTTGCATCCTACATTTATACTGATTTTATTTGAATATGTGTATCAGGACAGATAACTCTATCAAGAATCGCTGGTATTCGACCCTAAAGCGCAAACTGGACTCCGGTGCTTTGGTGATGGAGGATGCTGCTTTGGCTGCTGTGGAACAATCTATACAAGAGAAAGAAGACGAAGCTCCTCCTCCTGTAAAGCAGAACAAGGTTTGCCATTGTTGCTTGTAATCATTTTGATCTCATGCCAGGCCTGGTTATATTACTGTTTTATGTCTCTTTCTTAAATGTGAATAAATTATTTATTACTAATATATGCATTGTGCTTTCAGGTGGATGCCGATTGTTGTGATGGTGATGCATCAGATGTCGCAACAGACATTCCTGAGCATGTAAGGGATCCCTATTGATTGTAAACTACTGTAAAATATATATGCAAATTTAAATGCAGTTCATTTAGTAATGTAAATAATTGTGTAATTACATAATGGCTTTAGATTAGTACAACAGCAATTTATATGTTGTTTAAATAATTCATTTTTGTCGGATTAGATGTTTTCAGTAGTGTTATTCTTATGTTGTCATGAACATGGCTAAGTCTACATCTGTGAAGCAACTAGAAGTGAAATAAATACAGTATCTCATAGTATGGGAAAGGAGGGCAGCATCTTAAACTGGTGTCATAGTCATACCTCTAACTGATGCCATACCTCGCTGTGCCTCCAATTTGTGGCAGGAATCTGACTGTTCAATCTTAAAATTAAAAAATCTTCTTTAATGTGTGTTACCTGTCCTAGACGATGCAGACCACACTGGACTCTCCTAAAGAAAGTTTGCAAGATTTCTGTTGCGATGTTGTTTTGGAGTCTGATCCAGTGATGGACATACCTGGGCAGGTAAGCATATTAGGGCTTCCTTGAATTATATTTGAATCTTATTTGTGCCATCCATACTTTTCATCTGTTAGCTGTCCATAGTAATTGTATGTTTGGCCTGCATGATTCATGAAATGATTGATTTGAGTGATATTGTTTTGGAGATTCTTACTTGCATTTCAGTACATGGTAAAACAAGTTCCACTCTTCAGTACATTTTTAATTGCATTTGAAAACAATGTTATGTACATTATTTTTTTTGCAGTACATTTCAGTACATAGCAGCCGTAGCACAAACAACAAAAAGGAATTGATTCATATTCTCATTTGCTAGTTAGTGGCATTTGTACTTAAACACTCTTGATTTTGTAATGCAAACCAGGATTTATCTCATGGAGGACAAACTGTCGAGGGCATTCTGATTTTAATAAATTTGAGTTCAGTAGTTTTCATACAGACAGTCACTTAATAATGGGAGTATGATGACCACATCCTAAGGAGTGTGGGTTCTGCTTTACTAGACAGTGAGGCATGCAGGACAAGGAAATGAAAGAGAAGCAGTGACTGAGTGAATGGAGAGATGCAGGATCAGGGGAGAGAAGAGCAGGTAATGAGGAGAATGGAGGAGAAGGAGTGAAGCAACCAGAAAGCATATATAGAAACCAGTTACAAGGAAAACATCCTGCAACCTAGCTGTCAGTTATCCAGTATGCTAGAGAAGGGAAAACATTCAAATCTGCAGTGCTTTCCATGACAGGACCCCATGAGGCAGCATCTCAAAAAGAGTTTGCCAACAACAAAAAACAAAATTTTCAAATGAAGTTTTTTGAATGAAGGCAGCACAGGCTGCATTGTCAGTATAAATCGTTGTGGTATTTTTGAAGGGAAAAACTAAACTAAACCATTACTTCTCACAGACTTACAATGTAAAGGCATGCGTAAAATGTGCTAAAATGAGTAATTATGCATTAGGTATTATTTGTACTGTTATGTGTATTTAAATCTGTTTAAATACTAAATAGAAAATCTCATTCCTTTCTCATTTTCCTTTTTCATCCCATTTTCCTTGCAGTTAAAAAACCTAAGAGATTCTGGAGTTCACAGAAGAAAAAGGAAACTGAAAATTAGCAAGCAGATGTCAGTGTTCAGAGGAGCTGTCTCTCCAGGTCTTGACTTTAAAAATGACACCAACAGCAGTTCTCCCACTAGTTCAACTTCCAGTTTTAGCAGCACAGTGCATTCTCGACAGAAAACCATCACAGATGCAGTGCTACAAATGATCTCTGAGGACATGCTGCCTCTTAACTTCGTTGAAGGATCTGGCTTCCGGAACTTCATGGCTGCAATTGGTCCTCAGTTCCCAAAACTTTCTCAGCGTAGTGTGGGGCTAAGGCTTTATGAAGAGGTGGAGAAGATGGTTAAGCCAAATCTGATTAAACAGCTGAGGGACTGTATTGCTGTGAGCGGAGGACACGGCACTGTCCATGTCACTGCAGATATTTGGGCCAGTGAATATGCTGATCCTGTTCTTGCTGTTCAGCTGCATTTCCTTGATGATGATTGGAATGTTCACAGGCCTACAGTTGCCTTTCGCCAATTAAGTGGGAAGAATTTAAATGTCATGGTTACAAGAGAGCTGGAGGCTGTTCTTCTAAGCTATGGGCTATTTCACCACAACATTGGCTACATCATTGCACATGAGGCCAAGAACACCATCGCTACGCATGACGTTTTCTGTGACTACAAGATAATGCATTCTGTGCAGAAGAATGACCCTGATGAAGATGAATTATTAGACTTTCTTGATGACCAAGTCTCTGTAGAGGATTTCTCTGAAATCCTGTTAGGTACACATGTGGATTGCATTACCAGCCTTCTGAACTTGGTGATCAAGGATGCGCTAAAGATCTCCAGGTCTGCAGAGTATGCACTCTCTCAGGCACAAGATATAGTGGCATTTTTTCGCCGCAGTGCCTATTGGAATGAAGTTCTTGTGAGGGAATGCAAACTCTCTCTTGCAAGTCCTCATAGTTACAGTAGCTACAGTTGGAACTCCACTTTTGCTACCATTCGCAAACTTGTGCAAGAGTTCGCTTGGGGATCTGTGATGGCCTTGCTCGCCCAAGCTCGCAAAGAGGCAACTGACTCTACTGTTTCTCCACCAATAATCCATGTCATGCGTGAACAAGTGGTAGACATCATTGGCTTATTGGAGCCTTTTGAGGAGGCTATCCAGGTACTTCAGTCAGATGGTGTCACATTCTCCCTGGTTATTCCATCCCTTATTGGTCTTGATAAAACCCTTGAGGCCAAACCTACAAGTTATAACCACTTCTGCAAAGCCCTTCGCTCAGGCCTTCATGACTACTTCCAACCTCTGATTATGCAGAGAGATTTCATCCTAGCCACAGTCCTGGACCCACGTATTAAGCTGCAGCCCTTTGATGATGGCACACAGCATGCTAAAGGTACCACACTCGCACCACCTACAAAGTACTGGGCTTGTTCAGTTCTAGAAACTGCGATGAGTGAAACTAACATGTGGATACCAGTTGAGGAGGGCAGCGCGAAACTAGATCACGATGATGAGGCTGCTGCAGAAGCTGCCAGCTTGGGCAACATCAAGTCAAAGAAGATCTTCAGTTTCATGCAGCCTGCTGCAAAAGCAGTAAAGGTCTCAGAGCTGGATGTGTATATCTCTGAACCTTTGTTGGATGGAGATGCTTCCATCGAAGCATTTTGGAGAGAAGCCTCACGCTTCCCACAGCTACAGAGTATTTGCCACAGACTTTTGGCTGTCCCAGCCTGTTCGGGAGGATTTAAACGTCTCTTTCCCCTGGCAGCATGTATAGTTCGGGCACGAAGGAGCAGGCTGCCACAGCACACTACAGAACGACTGTTACTTTACAAAGAGTGCCTGAAGTTGAGGAGTGGAAGAAATGGCACTGGACAGTAACTTGACATACGTGACTCTTGTTTCTGAATTCTTCAGCCACATTCTTGTACATACTCCACATCTTTTAAACTTTAGAGATGTTAGCTGCGAGGTTTTGTGAATCGCAGCTAAGTACAGACAGTTATGAGATTTGTCTGATGTTAACATTTATGTTTGACAAACGTGCTGTCTTTGTATTACAGCACAATGCTTTTTATTCATGATGTAATACTTTATTGGCATTGAAAATGTTATGTAGTAGTTTGTTACATTAGTCATATAATAACAGGTCTATGCCAGTGCAAGCTATATTACTGCCATATGTACAGCTGTTTCCCATCCTTTTCTAAAGGATATACCACAGAGTACAAGTAATTTAAATTCATTCTTTGATTGGCCTTTTTGTAATTTGATTCTTTTTCCCAAGAACTTCCAAGAGGTTTCATTAGTGTTGACTTGTTCTTGGAAATGCCTAATCAGACCTACCTCTTCTTTAAGTGTACTTAACATGCCACAGTTTGCCTTTAGGTGGATGCATTTTATGTGAGAATCAATTTTCATGTGTCATTAAACTGAATTGATATTTGTTACATAAAAAAATAAACAACTGTGCTTTAGGGCCTTCTTGTTATCTTGTGTCTAATTTGAGTTTAAACCCTTATGGCCAGCAGCTACTGGTGTGTATTGGCATCCATTTCTCACTCCTATAACTGAAAATAACTCAGTTTGCATGGTTTTTCATGTATTTGCTGACTAATAAACAGTAATAAGTGTGGAAATTAAAAGCCTACATTTAGATGAAATCTCAGAAGTAATGCCACCTGTTGCTCAGAGTTGAACAGCATAGCGAGCTGGGCCTTGTTTTAAGTGTTCAACAAATTGTGGATTTTCAGCCACACTTAAAAAGCACAAGTCACTGCTGCCTGTAATGGACAGTGTTTTCTGTCTTGAAGGGAAATTCTGCAGTCTTTCTGAATTCAGCCATTGAAATTTAAACAAAATCATTCAGAGTGGTTTGATGTTAAATGGTTTATGTAGAGAAAATTGCTGACTCTGCCGATTTCTTTGATGTGGTGGTGGTGATCGGAACCAGGGGTTGTTATGTCTACTATTAAAATATTCAGAATAACCAGTGAACCTACATATGTTTTTTGAGTTAGTATATGTAATGTTAATAATGCTAAAATAGAGTTAAGTCTGAAAAATGTGTTTATGTTGGTTATGTGATGACTTTTTTTTACCTTTCAACCTCTGCCATGGATGGATTTTAAAAGAAAGTTTAACACCAAAACCTCATAACTAACAAACAATTTCTGATGCATTACTTCACGTATTTGTAACAATTTTCCTAAGTTTCTCTGAGGCATTCACTATTCAGACGCCTGGTTCCTGTCACCACCGCTATTAACAGTTATGACTTGGGTAAGTTTCTGTAAAATGGTGCATTCGCATCAGACCACTCTGAATGACTTTAGATTTTAACCATTTAATTTTGCAGAACATATAGAAGAATTTTCTGAGTATTTTCATATGATGCTTCTGCTCAGGTATGTTTATGAGGAAAGGAATACACCTTTTCTTAGTTCCACTTTAGTCTATTACAATTAGTTCTTAGTTCACTGTTTTTTTTTATTCTGTTCTACACACTTAAAGATGGTTCTAAGGGGAATGGTTCGGTTTAGAATCGTAAGTTCTATATAGAACCATTTATTGCTGAAGTGTTTTTTTTGATGGTGAAATGGTTCTTCAAACTGAAGGAGTATGTGTTGCATATTGTTCCATAGAGAACCTTTTTCATAATGCTTCTATATTGCACTGAAAAGGGTTCTGCTGTTGTTACTATACTCTTAAAAAGATGGTGCTTCAAGGGTTCTTTTGTAAAGAAAACAGTTCTATATAGAACCGTGACCACTCAGAGAAACCTTTGCCTAATTAAAGGGTTCTTTGCATCATGAAAGGGTTCTTTGGATTGATGGATAATGTGCATGAATGTGCTATAGACAGTTCTATATAGAACCTTTTTGAAGGGAGATCTATGTAACACCCAAAAGCTTGACACTGTACAAACAGAAGAACCCTTTGGGTGTTATATAGAACCATTTTCAAAAAGGTTCTATTTAGAACCATCTACAGCACATTCTCCATCAACCCTTTCATGACGAAGAGAACCCTTTAATTGTGCAAAGGGTTCTTTGAGTGTACATGGTTATATATAGAATCATTTTCTTTACTAAAGAACCCTTGAAGCCCCATCTTTTTTAAGAGTGTATATAGAACCATTTCATGGTTCCTTGTATGGTGAAATGGTTCTTCAGAGTGATGGAAATGTGTTGTATATGGTTCTACATAGAACCTTTTTGAAAATGGCTCTATATGGCATCAAAAATAGTTCTTTTATTGTTATGATGTCAAGCTGGTAAGAATGGAAGAACCCTTTTTGGTGCTTTATAGAACCATTTTGAAAATGAACCATAAACAGCACATTCTCCTTCTATCTAAAGAACCATTTCACAATGCAAAGAAGCTGTTAAGCATGCAAATGGTTCAGTATAGAACTTATGGTTCTAAATAGAAAGATTCCCTTCACTAAACACTTTAAGAAGAGTGTAGTCATACTTCATGGAAGAAGAACTCTTAGGCCCAATCCCATTTCACCCCTTGCCCCTAAGCCCTCAGTTTTGCACGTTCACGTCTTGGGTTAGGGTGTGCCAATTTTTGTTGAAATAGAGGGGTAGGGTGAAGTCCAAACGGAGGGTTTTCAGAGAGACACTCCAAACGGAGTGTTATGGGGGGAAAAAAAAGAAAACCGGCAAGATGGCTGCGCGAGCGACCAGAGAAACCCACAAATGTACGTATTTTCTCCGTTAAAAAGTACGATAACCATTGTATTATCTTAGTTATCTTAGTGTCGCTTCAATGTATTATGGCTAACTTTCCCGTTCCACCTTAAGTAGTCCAGCAGTATTGACGCCTGAAGCGCCAGAATGTAACTGCTGCACCATTTTAGGTGGAACGGGAAAATTCGAGCAAGAAGCTGGCGAATGGCTGACTTAAGCTTCGAATCACCAAAGAATTAGCGGTGGGCGATAATACATAATTGCCCCCCTCTTTGAAATCACATAGTGCCCTAAATGTAACTAAAGCCCAGCAGTAAGGTTGCTGAACTTTACCCTATCTTTGCTATCACTGAAGACGGACCGGGTCGCCTACAGAGCACCGCTAATAGCCTGTTAATGAAGCAATGTGGTTTTTTTGTTTGTTTTTTGTTGTTTTTTTAAGGGTTGTCCCATTTCGTAGGGCAAGATTTCAACCACTACCCTTTGTAACTCATTTCCAAGGGTTAGGGTGACACTCGAAAACAAGCGGTAGGGATAAAAAGAAGAAATGGGATTAGGCCTTAAATTGAAAGTTCATCTGTCCACAGCACAACACATATCAGTTTCTCAACTCTAAGCTTCATCCAGGGCTGTAGGTGGCGGTGTGGACAGGCCGGTTGTTTAAAGAGAAAGTGGAAGAAGAGCCGAACAAGAGGAGATTTTCTTTGCTTCTTCAGTATGGCTGCTGCCGCTGTAAAGGCGAATTCAAAACTCTGCTTACTTGTGCATTTAATTATTTTTGCCTGGTATGTGTTCACCCTGAGGGCGAACTGCTCGTTAGAGATTTCAAGCAGACATCCCGGTGCTCGATCATACGGGGGTCGGTGGAAGTATTTAACCTTTATCAATCTGGTGAGTGACGGTAGTCGGTCAGTGAACAGCCTTTCGCCAGCGGTTTGTTTGTCCGAGTTTGAAGAAGCTGACTTCTGCTTCTTCAAATAGCGGTTTACAGTCCTAATCTGTACATTTTAGTGTTTCTCTGACTGAACTCTCACCTGCTCGACCTGCTCATGAGCCGAGTCTTTGAGTCGAATCTTTAAGTGAACCCTGGGAGCCGACTCGCGACGAAAAAAACGATTGTAAATTCAGACAAAATAAATGATCTTATGACGCTGTACACACTTTTAAAAGATGGTTCTTCAAGAGTTATGTATTATAGTCACTGGTTCTGTTTAGAACCATGAGTGCTGTATAGTTTCATGCTTGAATGGTTCTTTGCATGGTAAAATGGTTCTTCAGATTGATGGAGAATGTGCTGTCTATGGTTCATTTTCAAAATTGTTCTACATAGCACCAGAAAGGGTTCTTCTATTGTTACAAGCTTGATCATCATAACTATAGAAGAACCATTTTGATGCAATATCGAGCCATCAAAAAGGTTTTATATAAAACCATTTACAACACATTCTCCATCAATTTGAAGAACCATTTCACCATGCAAGGAACCATTTAAGCATGAAATGGTTCTCCATTCTTAGAAAAAGATGGTGCTTCAGGGTTTTTTTAGTAAAGAAAATGGTTCTATATAGAACCATGAACACTCAAAGGACCCTTTGCATGATTAAAGTTCTATATAGAACTAATTTTCAAAAATGTTTTATATAGAACCTTCTACAGCATGTTCTCCATCAAGCTGAAGAACCCTTTCATGATGCGGAGAACCCTTTGATCATGTTCATGTTTCTTTGAGTGTTCGTGGTTCCATATAGAACCATTTTCTTTACAGAAGAACCCTTGAAGCACCATATTTTTTAAGAGTATAGAACTCCTGGTATAAATAGCGCCATTGCCTTTACTAAAGAACCCTTAAAGAACCATCTTTTTTTAAGTGTGTCGCTGAAGCTAAAGTTTTTTTAAATTACATTTATAATATTATTGTAATATTATAACACTGACATTTTGTCTGGATTGTGATGTGAAATTACTTTTTTTTTAACTTGAAAATACGTTAATACCTCCTCTATAGAGAACATGTCTACATATTGTAATGCAAAATTTCTGTTTCTTTTTTCCTGAATTTAGCATTTAATGAAAAAATAAAGCATAAAATGTCCCTTGTGCCAAAGTTAGGGCACATTTTGTGTTGTCATTTTATACTCCGCAAATAAATAGAAATTGTACCCTTATTTATACTTAATTTATTTCATTTTATTTTATTTTTATTTATAAATCAGCAAAAGATGTAATTTGACTGGAGGTGTTTAAACGTTTGCATATGTATGTATATTTTTTCACATTTTTTTGTTTTCACTTATTTTTTATGTTTAATTCAGCAAATAATCTGAACAATAAAGAAAAGGTGTGTTCTCTGTAGAGGATGAGTTAAGAAATAACTGTATAGCTGTGTGTAGTGTCACCAGATGAGTGTGTATCGTCATACATTATAATAAGATGAACAGTGTTTCCAGTTTTAAAAGCCTTTGAAAGTGTTCATGGTATCCAGACTGTCTGATAGCACTAACATCAGTGTTTTCTTATGCAGGTGATGCAGACAGGGTTTTTTGGCTTTTGTGTTTTAACGGATTTAATACACACTGTGCTGCCAAGCAAGAGCACCCGCAGCGGGATTCCAGTGTTCCTTATAACGCTGCGAGATGGTGTTTTCACAGTTTTGGCTTTTCCTGTGGGCACAGTGAGTACGAGATTCTAATTGTGAAAATTCTAAAAATTTGTAGTTTTAGAAATTTTTTAAATTGAGATTTCATTTAATTAATTGCACATCCTGTTGTTTTCCAGTTTGTGTTTTCTTCGTTCTGGTCCCTCTACACCTACGACCGTGAGCTGGTGTACCCAAAGTATTTAGACGAAATCATTCCTCTTTGGCTTAATCATGCTATGGTAAGAATTTTTTCTCTTGGATAGAGATGTCATCGATCTGATACATGATGTCGGCTGAAGGTGCTGGATCAGATGTTGAAAAAAGGAATGAATCTGATCAAATATGGTCTCTAATCTGGACTGAAAATGTAGGTAGGTTAAAGTAGGTTAAATGGTAACAGTAGGGATGACATAGTATCAGAGCTGCTGAGTTTTGCTTAAATCAGGGGAAGTAAATTTTAGTTGGAATGCAACAAAATACATTGCCTAAACCAGCACTGTAATAAATACTAACAAAGCTCACTAAGAGAGACATAATAGTACAGTAAATGGAAAAAATATCTAAATACTGTAGTCTTGCAAACAAAGTTAGTCTTTGAATCACCCTGCACAGTACTTAAACGAATAAATAAAAATATTGGAGCAGTATTGGCCGATACTCAAGGGCCCAATCCCATTTCTTATTTTTACCCCTACCCCTTGTTTTTGAGTGTCACCTTGCCCCTTGGAACTGAGTTAAAAGGGGTAGTGGTTGAAATCTTCCCTCTGAAATAGGACAACCCTCAAATACAAAAGAGCATTACTTCATTAACAGGCTACTAGTGCTGCTCTGTAGGTGACCCGGCCAGTCTGCAGTGATAGCAGAGAAGGGTGAAGTTCAGCAACCTTGCTGCTGGGCTTTAGTTACATTTAGGGAACCATATGCCTTCAGGGGGGGGGGGCAATTATTTATCACCCACCCTTCTTTGATGATAAAAAGCTGAAGTCAGGTATTCGTCAGCTTCTCACTCAAATGTTTCCCTTCTACCTTAAATGGAGCACCAGTTACATTCTGGCAACACTGCTGGACTATTTAAGGTAGAACGGGTAATTTAGCTAGCTACAGAGACATCAGCAAACTATTAGTGATTTTTTTTTACGCTTGTTATGCAGTGGTTATGACAATGGTTATCGTAATTTTTTAACAGTGAAAATACTCACATTTGTTTGTTTCATCTTGCCGTTTTTCCTTTTTTCTCATAACACTTCGTTTGGAGTGTGTCTCTGAAAACCCTGCGTTTGGAGGGCCATGCAGCCCTAACACTTCGTCCTACTCCTCTATCTCAACAGAAAACACCTTACCCCTAGGCGTGAACGTGCAAACGGAGGGCTAAGGGCTAAGTGGTAGGGGCAAGGAGTGAAATGGGATTAGGCCAAGGTTTCAGTATCAGTTTCTCTACTGGATCAAGTGATCATTTTGACTGTAAGGATAGTTGTAAGGACTGTTGTTGTTAACATTTAGTCATTGACATACTCGTAAACGATGAAAGTGTGTTTTTTTTTATAGTTTTAAAAACAAATTTCTTTTTCCCCTGCAGCACACTGTGATCATGCCCTTGCTTTTGGCCCAGATGTACCTTCAACATCACAAACATCCCAGTCGCATCAATGGCATTCTCGGCTTGGCTCTGTTTGCTTCGCTCTATCTGGCATGGTAAGACCTTCCTGATGTTTGTGATTGTACATTTTTTTTAAATATTTGAAGTTTTGTTTGGATTTCCAGCATGAATATTCAGTCAGATTGGGTAAAAAAGATACAAAGAAATGAAGTAGCGTTTGTTTCATGAGTGTTAGGATGCCACATGACTGGAAATCAGTAGTCACTGAAAATCCCATAGTGATGCACGCTTTAAAAAGCAAAGGTGCCGATAAAGTTTACTAGGAGTGATACCACAGAAGAACATTTCTGTAAATGTAAAGAACTATTTTTAAAGTTTAAAGAATCTCCACATAATGTAAATATTCTGTACCAATCAAAAGTTTCTCCTAGAACCATCTGTACAAGACATATAGAGAACCATTTATTTTAAAGAATATGATATTTTACTGTGTCTGGTCACTCAGTTTTATGTTAATTGCGTTTAGGGTCTTATGGGTCCGTCATGTTTCGGGGCACTGGGTATACCCCATCATGGCTCACCTCAGTCCCGTAGGCTTGGTTCTGTTCCTGGGTGCTGCTTCTCTCAGCATGGCTCCCCTTTACCTGCTGGGAGAAAAGCTCAACCGTGTGATCTGGAGTACAACAGGTGAGAAGCTTTTATCACTGCCTATACAAATATTATGCATTTGTATAGTTGTATTCCAGCTGAATTAGTTTAACCTGGTTTGTTTTTACAGTCTGTCAGTAATAATTGAGGAGTGATTTTAATCCCGTATGAATCTGCAGTCAGTGTAGCTTTTACAGTCTGACAGTAATAACTGTGGAGAGATTTTAATCCAGTGTGAATCTGCAGTGTGTGTAGTTTTAGAGTCTGACAGTAATAATTGTGGAGAGATTTTAATCCAGCATGAATCAACAGTCTGTGTAGTTTTTACAGTTTGACTGTAATAATTGTGGTGTAAACGGTCTCTAAGTGGCTGAATCTGGAGCTACCATAGTTACAGTAGTCCTGGTCCCATCTACCTCACGCTAACGAAATAATAAAACCTTCTAATAGACATGGCTGTGCAGCGTGTTGTTATTGTTATTGAGTGTGAACCTTATTTCATACCTTGTTGGCCAGTCAAATCCTGATACATTATATTACAGTAACCTCAAAATACTTCAAATCATCTTCTACCCTGTTCCACTTTTTACAGTGTAGTTTAGTTATTATGATGTCGCTTCTCTACAACTCTAATGTTATTATTATGTTATATGGTGTTTCTGATGTATTTATGTTTTTGGCGCCTACTTTCTTGTCTTGGACTTCATTGTCTTGTTGTCTTCATCACTCCAACTGTAATGATTTACACTGGCATTATTTCAATCTGCTTTCTCCAAGGGAATCAGAAGAAAAAGAAATAAGTGACCACAAGAATCCAAGTTGACCATTGGCAGGTTGAAGCCAGACCACATTTTTTTACCGGAGTGAAGAACGATGTAGCACTTGTAGTTTACTCTGGAAGGGGCTCAGGTATTCCTATGGCAGAAGCTTAATTTACAAATTAGGTTTTATACAGATGATTCACTGACTTTGTGATGACTGAGATAATTTGCACTCAATAACACAATTATACTATATTTAATATACTACAGTGTGCTTTTTTAAGAACTTTAAAATTCCATATGCTGTATTATCCCAGAATGCTGTATTTTTGATTAAGGACCAGTCCTTTGCGTGTTAATGTTTTTGTGCTTGAATTCATAACATGATGATTTTTAGGAATCTATGCTGGATTACTTGAGATAAAAGAAATGTGATTTTATTAAAACATGCTGAATGCTCCATCAGTGTCTGTTATTATAACCACAACACAGATCTGTGATTTAACTGCAGTAACTACAGTGTATATTGTATAAAAATATACAGTACAAAAAGACAGAGATCCCTCTTTATTTCCTCCATTCATTTCCAATCAAAACAGACATTAAGTACAGATCATTCATTTTTCAGGAGATATTTCTGAGAACATTCGAAATCAGATAATCCACCTGCCTAAGGAAGGAGAAAGTCAAAAGAAAATAAAAAACAGGAGTTTTCAAAACTGGCGTTCAAAAGGTTAAAAGCTACAGAGAAAATGAGACTCCTAACAACCACTTGGAAGACCTGGTAGACACCAAAACTACCCCCATCAGATAAGCAGCACTCAACGCTTTCATCTTTGAGAGAGAGGAGAAAATCAAGCAGCTTCAGACCTGAAAACATCCACAGGTGTTTCTGTCCATCCTTCCACTGTGAGAAGACAACTCAGCGCTATGGGTCTGAAAGGATGTGTAGCTGTCAAGAAGCCTCACTGAGAAAAGGAGACAGACCAGAAAGAAGAAAAATAACAGATTTAAAAAGATGTTTGGGATGATTTGCAGAAATGCAAAAAAATGCAACCAGCGTCTAAGACTGAACTTTGGACATGTGTGCAGATTTCTTTGTAAAACTGAAAGTGAGTCTCCTGAAAAAAATGGAAGCTGTAATAAAGGCAACAATGAAGACTGAATAATTTGATATTATATTTAGCTGTTGAGGCTTTTGTGTAATTATCTGTTAAATAAATAGTGGGAGAAAATAAAGGATTTGAATCTATTTTCGTTTAATCCTGCAAATAACAAAGTTTTAGAAATTTATGACAAGTAAAAGGATTAAGAAATTTTCAAGATTCAGCACTATTTCTAGGTAATTATTCAAATTTAAAATTGTTATGCTGATAATATAAATTTTAATGAAAAACTTGTATTAGAGAAATATGTAAAATAGAAACAGTTTTATGAAGTGTTCTTAAACCTTAGGTCCCTACTGTGTGTTTTCTGCTTTTATCCTAACACTGAAAATGAATAACTTTAATGAAGATAATAATATTTAATGAAGAGTGATCTCTGATATTTGTACTGTAATCTGTATATCTGGTATAAGAAGGCTTTAGGCATCTTCTTGGCTACGTGCAATAGCTCATCTTACTGATTAATGAATCTAAAGCCTTCAGTAATCCTGACTCCTATTGCTATTTATGTAATATTACTGTTGTTATTGTAGTCTTGCCTGCATCGTCCACCTAGGTTATCCTTCCTCAATCTGCAGCTGCAGCCCTTTAAATATACACTACCCTCACAATGCTTCTGAATGTAGCATGTTTTCAGGTGTTGGCCTACTAGGCTTATTACATTGTAAGATTTATAATTAAGGAATTTTATAGAAAACAGTGCAAACTGAGGTTTTTTATGTTAGAGAAGTGAGGACTGGAAACCTGGAGCATCTGAGGGACTCAAATGCTACTTTCTAGAACAGTTTTTCTTATTTTCTAACATGTTATCTTCTTTTTTTCTTTATTTCCCCCAAATCATCTCTGAAAATCCTCTTCATGTTGTTTCAAATGTTTCATTTATTTTACCTGCACCTTTAAATACACAAATATATAAATATAATTTTCCTTAATAAATGTATTAATATGACTTTATTACAGCTACTTCCATGTCATGGTGACTTTCAGTGCGTCAGTCTCAGGGAAGTATTTCCTGCTAAGCACACACTGCTTTAATCAGATTTGCTGTAAGTAAGCCGATGGCTGTCCTAAGCTTGACCGCATGCTGCCTTGGCTGTCACTCTCAGCAACGTATTGCTGTGAAACGTGAACTCAGTCATGATTACAGATGAGATTTTAATGTTGCTTTTAGTTGTAGTTGCTGACCATTTAAAGGCCATATCAGGAGCTTCTGCAGTTGCAGGTGTCGCACAGCAATGAGGACAACAGTTAAAAGACCCAACTAGTGCTGACACTGACCTAGCTGTTCTTAACTGGGGTCAATATAAATCTTTTAAGTGAGTTTAACCGCCTGTGAGAGTGCGTCAGATGACGTTTTATTTAATTTAATTGAATAGAAAGAACAGGTTTGCGTCAAGCCAGGGTGGACCTCAATGTAACTTTAATGTAACAGTGTAACTCGGTGTAACTCACTATAACTGGATGTAACTCGATATAGCTCTGTGTATCTCAGTGTAACCCACTGTAACCTGATGTAATGTGATATAGCTTGATGTGTCTCAGTGTAACTTGGTGTAACAATATAATTTAGTGTAACTTAATAGAACTTGATGCAACGTAATGTACTATATTACATTGTTATTTTAACTCTGTGAAACTCGATGTAACTTGATGTAACAAGGTGCTGCTTCTATGTAGAGCCATGAATTCTCTGAGCATTTGGAGCTTGTATAGTGTGTCATAATCATGGATCAATCAATAAACAGTGTTGATTTGAACACAAATGAAACGTTAACCCTTTCATGCAAATTTAAATGAGAAACAAAAGGCATCTTTTGAGAAATGTGAATTATAAGGACTATCTCAATGTGATTTTGATCCTGCCTATCTTGCTGGGGACCGTTTCTTGTGCTATTTCAGGAGTAATTGGATTAGTGGGTTAAATCAGGAGTCGGAAATAGCGGCCTCATTTGTCGTTCCCCACTTTGAGAGTCTACTACATTGATCATCTTTGCTGTTTTCCCAGATTACTTGTGTATGCCTGAAACAGTATAGAAATGTGCTTGTAATTACATGTAAAGGCGAATAATGTAGCTTTGAGCTCCATACAGGAGGAGGTGACTGTACCATGGACTATCTGATCAACTGCTGACCAAACGGGACAGTTTCTACTGTTTTTCTTGCTAGACTTAGGCTTCTGAAGGATTATATCTTTGTGGACTAAATCGTTCTTTTGAGGTTCAGGCACCAGATCCATGTACCGTTGGTGTCTGCAAATACAGATGTACAGGACACTCACCTTGATTTTACAGGTAAAGACGTTTGATCATTTATTTTCTAAATGTGTCTTATTCAATCTCCCTTACCTCAGTAGGAAATCTTACTGACATGTTTTCTTGTCAATTATGTATTCTTCATTTTAGATTTTTCACTCACAGGTATTATAATGGAGGTGGGAGTCAGTCTGCTTAGTTTTCGAAACTGCAGATGTCCACTCCACTAACATGGAGTCTGGTAAGAAATTTAAAAGGAATCCGGTAAAATTGAATTGGTAATGTAATACTTACAAATGTTAAAATACAGTACTGTGCAAAAGTCAGAGACCACTGTTCATTTATTTAATTTCAAGTGAAAAAGGGCATCAAGTACAAGTTATAAATGTTTCAATGTCAAGAAAAAAGGCAAAAAAAGATATATTTAACAGCCTCAACAACCAAATATGATATCAGTTTTCAGTATTTAGTGTGTCTAAAGTTTGCCTTCATTACAGCTCCCTTTGTTTTCAATCTGCAGGGACAGAAGTTGGTTGCATTTTCTGCTTCTTATGTTCTAAATAATCCCAATTACAAATTTAAATTCATCTCAAATATCCAGTTTTTTTATGTTCTAGTCCAAATATTGTTCTATTTTGTCTACACATCCTTTCAGACCCATACACTTCTGCATTTCTGCAAATCATCCCAAACATCTTTTTTAATCTACTGTTTTTCTTCTTTTTGGTCTGGTTCCTTTTCTCACTGAGGGCTTCTTGACAGTTACACATCCTTTCAGACCCATAGTGCTGAGTCGTCTTCTAACAGTGGAAGGATGGACAGAAACACCTGTGGATGTTTTCAGATCTGAAGCAGCTTGATTTTCTCCTCTCTCTCAAAGATGAAAGCTTTAAGTGCTGTTTATCTGATGGGGGACAGTTTTGCTGTCTACCAGGTCTTCCAGGTGGTTGTTAGGAGTCTCATTTTCTCTGTAGCTTTTAACAATTTATTTCCCCGTATTGAAAATTCCTGTTTTTTTACTTATTTTCCTTTGACTTTCTCCTTCCTTATGCAAGTGGATTATGTCTGCTTTCTTCAGAACTGTCTCCTTACAAATGAAAAACTTGCATTTAGTGTCTGTTTTGATTGGAAATTACATCAGTGAAGGGTGCTTTGTGACATTGCACAGTACTCTTTTTGGATTCTTAGAATCTTGAAAAAATAATCTAGAGCACAGCAGGAAAGATTAAGTTCTGTATCTGCATGTGGAGACAAATCCACAATCGTTTTAGAAGTGTTTGTCAGTGGTCCTCAAAGTAGTCCTAATTGTGCACATGAAGAATCCCCCCATTTGCTTTGTGCAGTGAGAACCACGATGGCCACAGCAAAGTACACCCTGGTTGGAGAGACGCTGCGCTATGTCATCCCCAGCCACATGCAGTGTTCCATAGGATGTGGAGGGCGCGCATGCAAGTATGAAGACCCGTCTCGGTGGAGTGAAGACAAACAGGCCATCAAAGGGATCTACTCCTCCTGGTAAATTCAGTCAACCAAGCTGCATCTTCCAAACATTTTACATAGATGCACAAATTCTTATGTTTAAAGTTTGGAATGCTTTAGTCATTAGTTGTTTGCTATACAGCTAGTATTCTCAAGACTGAAAAGCTGTTAAAAGTAAAAGTTCAATAAAAAACTTTACACAATATTCTCCTCATCCCAAATGTAGATGGTCAAGTAAACGAGTCAAAAGTACGTCACATAGCTAAAAACAGCATCCAGCCTGAATTTGTCTATAATTGTCCATTTAATGTCATGCAGTGTCAGAAACCACAAAAGCAATTCAATTTAAAGTGGCCTAAAACTGTTATAAGTCATGTTATGGTATATTCTAATATTAGGCTCATTGGTTTTACAGAATTTACAATTATATATTGTTTTTTGTGTTTTTGTCCATCACTTCTACATCCAGCAGCATGCATTTCACAAACACATCATACCATCTGGAATCCAATGATGAAATACTGACCGCTAGCACGACCATTGATGTAGCAGCTAAAAAATACAGATATTGCTTCCTTCTTTGGGAGCCAGCTAGCAGGAAAAAAAACGAACCACCTGCATTCAACCATCCGCCCAAAAAACGCTTGTAGTTTTTAATAGGCTCCTCCTACCTTAGAGATACATCATCAGAAGGGGGTTTCCTCATCTGTAAACTGGAAACAGGAGGCAAGTAGGTATTTTTATAACTGATGCAGTGACGGTTTACTGTTTCACTTTTTTATTTTGAGTGTGGCTTTAAGATTACTTAACTCTAAATAGTTTTAAGCAAGACAATAAGCTATTAGCCTCATTTCATTTTCACTATTTTAACCTACGAATGCAGTGCTGAGACTATCATCTACTTCAGTAACTGCATTAAGCTTCATCAGTTTTAGTTGCAGGATCCTTACCAACAGATTTGCTAACTTTCCCCTCTCCTTGTCATTCAGGATCACCGACAACCTGCTTGCAATGGCGCGACCTTCCACAGAAATAATAGAAAAATACAACATCATCGAGCAGTTTCAAAAGTAAGCCACCATTTACAGTTCTGGCTTTTCATTTTTGACCCTTCCAGCTGAGTTTTAGGTCAGTGTTGGGGACATTCTGTTGATTCTGTGTCTTTGCGTGTTGAGGTGTGGTTTGAGGACAGTCATAAACCTTCAGCGATCCGGGGAGCATGCCAACTGTGGCAATCCGTTAGAGCCGGACAGCGGCTTCACCTACCGCCCAGAGACGTTCATGGAGGCTGGCAGTGAGTGATTAACTACTTATCTGTGTTTGTAGATAACCTAAGCTGTCAGGCCTTTATGTTACATGATTTATTAAGAAAGCTGATTTAGAATTAGGTCAGTGTAAAAGCAATCCACAGAATAAAAGAGCAAAATGTTCCCAGATCAGCTCGTTTATTATTATTCATATTTATATATTATTCAAGTTGTGACGTGGAAAAGTGCATGTGTTACCTTTAAAACTTATTCAAGGTGCACAGTTGGACTTTAGGGCTATTGTTGTACTTTATACCTACACCGATCAGGCATAACATTATGACCACCTCCTTGTTTCTACGCTCATTGTCCATTTTATCAGCTGCACTTACTATATAGGTGCACTTTGTAGTTCTACAATTACAGACTGTAGTCCATCTGTTTCTCTGCATACTTTGTTAGTCCCCTTTTACCCTGTTCTTCAGTGGTCAGGACTCCCATGGACCCTCACAGAGCAGGTACTATTGGGGTGGTGGATCATTCTCAGCACTGCAGTAACACTGATGTGGTGGTGTGTTAGTGTGTGTTGTGCTGGTACGAGTGGATCAGACACAGCAGACACAACATTCTTGATTTCCCAAAATTCTATTCTACAGCAGCCATTGTGTATCATGACAGTCATTGTTTGAAATGCATATGGTTGTGATAGTTTTGGTTAACAATACCATTACACTCTGTTCGTCTGCTGTTGTGACAGAAAATATACAAAGAATAATAAGTTATCTGTGCAGTCATAGAAGATACATTGCACTTGTGCCCAGCAAGTATATTAATCAGATTATGCAACAACATATATAACTTTCTTCTGTTTTTTACAGTATACTTTTACAACTTTGGATGGAATGACTATGGAGTGGCCTCTCTCACAGCAATCCTGGATATGGTGAAAGTCATGTCCTTTGCCATTCAAGAGGGTAAAATGGCTGTTCACTGTCATGCAGGCCTTGGAAGAACAGGTATAACTGTGCTTTTTGCATTTACAGTGATATACATAAGTGGTCATCACAAATAAATGAAAACTTACTGTTTATACTGTAAAAGGATAAAATAAATATTGACCCTTCTTCATCAAAGTTGCCTAACAATCAGTGCATATTTAACTGCCTAAATTATGAAACTTTCATACGATGTAAACACAAATGGAAATTTGAGCACAAATGTTGAATCAGCTTCAGTGCGTGAAATCAAGTGCCAGCCTACCAGCACCAAATTTGCATATCATTTGCATGAAGCACGCCCTAATTTATGCAGATGTTTCTGTAGGGAGCCAATTATATGACAACATTCAGAGGCTTGTGGCATTTGAGGTCAAGCAGTGAGTGCACTACAACTGTGTTTTGTATTGTTTATTTTTTGGGTGGAGTCAGTAGTATAAAACAAAAGCACAGCGTAATGGCTTTGAATAAAACATGGAATAGTAACATTTCTTTATACCTATGTGCATGTAAAAATACATACATCCATGATTGCGATGTGCACAAATTATTAGTATCATTGGTATTTTCCATTTTTTTCAAGTTGTTAAACATCTATTCTCAAATGTACACACAACCTCACCAGATGTGAGTTTAGTTGTACAGATACACCGAATATGAAATCGATGAATTACAAAACTGCTGGTGAAATGTGATTTGATCGTACGCAACTTAGATGAATAAGGGCCATTGTATGTCATAGGAAAACTCTATAACTCCATTTTTTCACATTTTACATTGTGTGAACATTTCATGACTAATGAACCAATAGAAATGGTCCAAAATTACATGAAATAGAATCCTACATAAGTGACGTACAATGTTTTTTCCTTCTTCTATACAGTTACTGTTTCAGAGATACAGGGTTTTTTTATAACCGCAACAATGTGTATATTTCCTGCAGGCAACAATTCCACTATACAGTTCAAATAGTATAAGACCATCATAATTAGACTGCCTTGTTCCACAGGTGTTTTATTAGCCTGCTTCTTGGTGTTCACTTCCCGGATGACCGCAGAACAGGCCATTTTATTTGTGCGATCTAAACGGCCAAATTCTATCCAAACTAGAGGACAGTTGGTATGTGTCAGGCAATTTGCCCAGTTCCTGGTCCCACTGAGGAACCTGTTTGCCCACGCTGAGCCTAGAGCCAGTCCCGTCACCCTTTCCCAGTACCTCATTCGCCAGAAACACATACTGCACGGTTACGAAGCTCGGCAGTTGAGGTACATGCCAAAGCTTGTCCTGCTCATCTGCAAACTCTTACTGGACATTGCGGACAACCGGCAGGTTATTGAGGAGGATATTCTCGAGGTCCCTGACGTCACGTCAGAGGACGATAGCTCTGTTTCCTTTACCCCAGTGCCGCAGCTTGTCCGCCCCATAATTGCTGGAGGGCTCACTATGATCCACCCACGGCTTCCTGGTCTACCCGTGAATCCTAGAGATGCATCTCAGCCACCTCTTCACTATGCCCGCAAGAGTCTTAGCTACAGTGACTCAGACCTTCACAGGCTGGCCAACACGCTAAACCTCTCTGGGAACCCTTTGGCCGTTTTAGCCAGCATTACCCAGGCCAATTCTGTTGGGAAGGATGCGCCCCAAAGCAACTTGCCCCTACAGGACAATGCCAATCCTCATGGAAGTCTAAAAGATTTGGCAACCTATGGTTCCTGCAGTAACCTCTGGGAGCTGAAGACAATGAAGGACCAGAAGGATGGATGTGCACTGCTGAACACCCGGCGGCAGTCCGTCCTGCAGCGCAGCCAGTCCCTTGGGGTTTCTGACCATTCAGAGAAGCGGAGTAGCTTCGCCATGCTATTGGCATGGAGGAAAGATGCCAAAGAAGGTGGTGTTTGTGAAGAAACCAAAAACGGCCAGGTGAATCACGCCAGGGATGAGGAATCAGAGCGACTGTCTGAGGTTCCCTTCATCACCATCCAATCAGAATTGTCCCTGGAGGCTCGGCGCTTGCTGGTGGCTCAGTCACTGGCAGTGGACCTCTACAAGGATGGGAAAGAGGAACACGTCCAGAAGGTTTCTGAGTGGCAGGTGGGTAAGGAATACCAGCAAGAAAAACAAAAAAATATATACTTACCTTAAAGCAGTGGTCACGACCCTCTTGGAGTTTATCTTCTTGCAGAGTGCAGTCAAGGTTTTCTGAAGCAATTCAAGAAGTTGCATGACCAGATGTGGCAGATTAGACTCTGTAGGAAGGTAGATCTCCAGGGCCAGGGTTGGTGACCACTGCTTTGAAGTTTATATTTTAAACTAGTGGCTTGCAGCCATGGTCCTGGTGTAACCCTGCCCTACATATTTCGGTCCTTTCCCTGCTTTAACACCTAATCCAACTCATCAGCTCATTTGCAAGCACCTCCTGTTGAACTAGATCAGTTAGAGCAGGGCACATGCTAAAATATGTAGGATCACACTTAGGAACAAGTGCCATCGTAGTTTTTACTATGGATATACACTGATATCAGGATCGGCAGGTAACTGCTTACAAATGATCTGCTTTGGACAGATATTTAGATTTGACTGATATGCCAAAGCAACTTCCGTTTATGCGTTTATTGCCCTGTGACAGAGCAGAATGTTTAGGTGATGCTGGGTTACTGTGCCAAAATATCTGCTTTTTCTTCACATCACTGCATTTGAAACTCTAAAGAAATAAATGCAATGCTAATCCGGATAAATGTAGTCCCAATTTTTATATTTTATAAATTAATACTGTATACAGTTACAGTGCTTGGTAAAAGTCAAAGATCACCCATTTATTTATTTAATTTCCAGTCAAAACGGCCATTAAAACGGACATTGATCATTTTGAGCAGCAGGATAAAATAAGGAAAAACATATCGCTGCTATCGGAAGAAAACCTTGTACCTCCATTTTTGTTGTTTTTCAGTTTTTGACATAATTTGAAAATGCCTGTTGCTCTTTACAATGGGTGTAAATTTCATGATGAATGGACAAAAAGAAATGGCCCAAAATTACTTGAAAAAAGTCTGGTTCCATTGACTTGCATTAAAAGTAAAGTATGTTTTTTCCTTCTCCTGTAATGTTATCATTTTGGAGATACAGGGTTTTCTTCTGACAACAACGATATATTTAACAGAGGATTACACAGACGCCTCAATAATGAAATATCAAATTATTGAGTATTTAGGGCCTTTATTGCAGCTTCCATTCTATTCAGGAGACTTGCTTTGAATTTTTCAAGGAAATCTGCAAGGATATTCTTCCACACCTCCAAAGTACAGTCTAAGACTGAACTTAGTTGGCAAGTAATCCCAAACACATTTAATCATGCTGAGGTCTGGACTTTGAGGTGGCCATTGTTCTGAGAACACCAGCAGCAGCTTCATTGTTCATCAGTTTGTTTGGGTTATTCTCTTGCTTTATTTGTTCCTAAATGTTTTCCGGAGTGTGTTGTGTGATGTATTAAAATTAGTTTTGCTTTTATGAACAATTATGATGCCTTCTATCATCAACTTCAGATGTTGTTCTACATTCCAAACCTTCCCACCATATCACAAATTTATTAGTTCATTAAACCTTACCTCACATCTCAGATGCCCAGTTTTGGGTGGAAAGTGTGCAAATTGTCTTATTTTTTGCCCTCAGTGACGTATTCAAGTGGATTATTTGCATGCAAGTAGATTATATCTAATATCTTCATAAATATCTCCTTTAGCCATTTTAGATGAAATTAAAAGGGAACTGAATGGTATAAACATAACAGCAATGACAAACATAGTTTGTGAGTCCAGACCATGCCTTCAACATGGTGGTGGTAGTATGAGGGAAGACTAATTGAGGGAGGGGCGGGGGAGAACTCTGAGAACTTGGACTGGAGTTCTGGGCAGCTTCTACCTGTAGCTAGAAGGCCAGACCCTCCTTATAGCTGTAGTAGGACTGATGTAGGACTAAGGAACAGGGAGGAGATGGGGTGGCGGTGAGAATTGTGAACACTTAGTCAGGGGAACTGAAGGTGAGGATGTGAATTTATAGGGCATTAGACTGGAAGAAGGAGGGGTTTTAGGCATGTTCCTCCACCCAAACTTCAGTTATAATATGTCTACAGAATACCCAAACTGCTATTCTTGGTAAAATGCACTTTTCACATTTCTCATGTTCAAAAAGTAAGAAAAAAAACAGGGGTTCTCTGGAATTGAGTTTTAGAAAGCATACCAAAAATATATATGGCATATTCCAAGTGTGGCTAGAGATAAAAAAGCCATTATTTCAGTGCATATTCTTGTTTTTAATCTGTTAACTGCAACAAAAGCTTTTACTTCAGCTCTGGATTGTTCTACATGTAGAATTAATTATATAAGCAACTGACAGAGATTCTAATTATTGAAAAATGATGTAATAAAACATGCCATCCAATGAAACAATATGAACCAGACATATGATGTGTGGCCCTGCAGACGGATCTGAATCATCAGGGAGCGTGGGAGCAGCTGTGTCTGGAGCGGGACCCTTTTGTTCTCACAGGAATACTGTGGTCCTGGTTGGAGCAGCTAAAGGAGCCCATCATCTCAGCTAAAGACGTCCAAGCCCTCGACCAGCCCAACCCAGACCCAAAGATTGTCCTCAATTCACTTGACCGGGTGGGACACATGCTCTAATTTATTCTATAACAGGCTAAGTTAGAAGTATCACCTCTATAAAGCTTATGAAGCTCAAAAGTGTACTTCAGTCAACAAAACTGATTTGCTTAATATTGTTAATTGTTAATACTGTATAATAAAAGCCCATAAAAATGGCCCAATGAAAGCTAGTGTGACCAGAACTATACTCATGATATACTACTCACATACTAAAGTAAAGTAGAAGGCAAAATTGCTTATTGTTAGCCATGTTAACATATTTGAGAACAAGCTTCTTTTAAAGAGCAATGCCACTCATTTTTCAAACTTTCTGCAAAATTAAATAACACGTAAACACAGTCATTCAGAGTGGTTTGATGCACAATACACAATTCTAGAGAAACCTACCTCAGTCAAAATTGTTTACAGTGGAACCAGATGCCCGAAAAAAATCAATGCCTTTAAAGGCTCTTATAGAAATGTATAACATGAAATGTTTATGAACGCACTGCCTGACGCCTGAGACTCTGTACAGTCAAAACACATTTTCAACATATTATACATATAAACTCAGAAGACGCGTGTAGGTTCACTGGTGGTTCTGGATAGTAAATAAAATGGCTAGATTTGTGTTGTAGACATTGTGACCCCTGGTTCCTATCACCACCACTGTAAAGTAATCTGAGTCAGTAAGTTTCTGTACAATTAACTATTTTACATCAAACCACTCTGAATAACTTTGTTTACATCTCAACTATTGAATTGTGCAGATATTTTTAAATTAGGGAATGAATTAACAGAATTAATTAATTTTGTGTCTACTTTCAGGCTCCTAGAGAAATACTTACATGCATACTGGACTGCTTTGCTCATCTACTGGTAATACCTGAAGAGGTGGAGAATGCATTTGTTGAGCGAATAATAAGGGCTTTCACAAAGGTACATATTACCTTTTATATTATCGCCATCTAATTTTTATTTTTCTGCATCATTTCAACACGGCAGCTGTCCTTTATATTGTGAGAAAATTTAATGATAAAGGGATCAACAGAAAGGCAACTTGACTTGGAATGAAATCTTTTTAGCTTTACTTGCATTAAAGGTTAAGAATATTTCACCTTCTCCTGTAGAGGAAAATATTCTTAACTTATCTTCATTTTAGAGATACATGTTTTTGGACAGCAACATTATACATTTTATAGAACATTTGTACATATTCATGTATGGGAACATTGTCTTTCCAGATAAAAAATGTGAGCGGTGGTGAGGACGTCTATGAAATAATGACAAGAGTCCTTAAGCGTGTTTTACGGGACATGAGGAGCACCGCCATGGAGGAGTCCCAACAGCTTTAGCAGCTGTAGCGATTCCACTCAATAGAATAGTCTGCTGAGTGCCTCTTTATTCAGGTGTGTTCCTTCTATTCACTTACACACACACACACACACACACATTATCTAAGCCGTTTTTCTTACTGAGTTGCGGGGGTGGGGCTGGAGCCTATTCCAGCGGTCATTGGGTAGAAGGCAAGAAACACCCTGGACAGGCTGCCAGTCCATCACAGGGCAGACAAAGACATACAATCCACACCTAGAGGCAATTTGGCATCTCCAGTTGGCCTGACCGCATGTCTTTGGACTGTGGGAGGAAACCTACACAGACACAGGGAGAACATGCAGACTCCACACAGAAAGGACCCTGGTCGCCCAGCTGGGGAATCGAACCCTGGCCCTTCTTGCTCTGAGACAACAGCGCTACCCACGTTTTAATGACAAAAACATAAGCATCATGTGCCATGATGGTTTAACTTGAATAATGTTTCAATGCTTATTACATTTTTGTACTACATTTGTTAATATGCTTTAACTGTTTGTAATAGAGAATGAAGAATTTAATTCTAAAGAGATGTAAAGTTTTGTAATATAGATTTTATTGCTGAAATATTAACAGTTTCTGACATTGTTAAGGCATATACAAGCAGCAAGATACCTCTGACTTTGTCCCTTTAACAGCCTTAAGAAGTAACACTTGTGTAAGTCACTATAACAGCATAACCGGTTTGTTGCAGCAGCAAATAAGTATGTAAATCTTTTGAATATAAATAAAGCATGTTTATTTAAAGGAAGAGAAATCCGAAGTGTATTGAAATAGTCAAAAGACCAGAATGCTGTAAGAGCCACCAGATAAATACTCACTCAGCTCCAAATCAGTGTAAAAACATCACGCTTGAGAGACACAGAGGTCATGAATGTTCTGCTCTTACTAGTGCTGCCTTTTAAAATTCAAAAGTGGATTCGGTCAAGCATTAAAAATGTAAGCCTTCAGCGCATCCTTCCCATCCACGGACTCCACTGAGGCAACTATACTTGCATAGTCACACGTCACCTGGGTGAATCCTCTGTGGAAAGAAACAATTAAAACATGTTAAAACTATACACACTTAAAAAAGATGGTTCTTCACAGGTTCTTCAGTAAAGAAAATAGTTCTATGTAGAACCACGAACACTCAAAGGACTTTGCATGGTGAAAGACTTCTTCAGATTGATGGGGAATGTGCTGTAGACGGTTCTATACAGAACCTTTGGAAAAGGGTTCTATGTAGCATCCAAAAAAGGGTTCTGCTATTGTTATGATGTCAAGCTTGTAAGAATAGAAGAACACGTTCTGGTGCTGTAGAGAAACTTTTTCAAAAAGGTTCTATATAGAACCATATTCAACACATTCTTTATCAATCTGAAGAACCATTTTACTATGAAATCTGCCCAGTTTTGATCAGCTGCAACACCTTAACCAAGTTTAGTAGCTAAACTACAAACTTTGTTTTGTACACTGTTAGTGCAGGTACATTTTTTGTTTGTCAAGATACAAACAATGTAAATGTTCCCTCAAAGGTACAACAGTGGTTTTAAGGTCCAACTGTGAACCTTAAATGAGTTTATCCAAGTGAAAAGTACAAATCTGTACCTTAACTTAATGTTTTAAAACAGAACACTAAAATAAAAAGCCTGGAGACGAGACGAGGTGTGTGGAGTCAATACAACTTAGAACATATAATTTCAGTGGATTATGGTGCAATTATGTTCCCTGACTAAAGGTACTGAGATGTACCCTTGAGTTTTGTGACAGTTTTGTACCTTTTTTTTCTGAGAGTGTAGCGACTCTAAACAAAGATCACAGTCTCATAAGGTTGCCAGTGTTCTCTGAAGTTTGTAAAACCCACCAACAGTAGCTACAAATAAACATAGCAGACACTCATATACTCGTGGATATATTTCGGTTTTTCCATCCGAATTTACACGCCCAAATCGTACGGCAAATTATTCAGTAACTGCATGAAATAAATGTAAAGGTGTAAAAGCTCCCTGCAAATTAACAGAAATTGTGTTTTATGATCATAAACATAATGCTTATGTATTTGTTTATAAAAATATCACTGAAGAGACGAGATTTGTGGAAAAATCGGTCAACTTTCAGTAGAAAAAAAATGTGAGTTCAGCTTGTTTTATTATAAAGTTTTAAAATTACATTACCCATCTATTTGACTGGAAAGAAGACAGTTACAGCTCTCATATGACACCTACCTTTTGAATGTAGCTTATGAAATACGTTATGAAGTAAAGAATATGACGAAGTGCTGTGGTTCCACAGAGTTAAAAAGATTAAAAAAGACGGTTCTTAAAGGGTTCTTCAGTAAAGGGAACTAATATAGAGCCATTTCATGATCAAATGGTTCTGTGCTTGGTGAAATAGTACTGCAGATTGATGGAGAATGTGTTGTATATGGTTCTATATAGCACCAAAAAGGGTTCTTCTATCGTTAGAAACTTGACATCTTAACAATAGAAGAACCCTTTTTGGTGCTGTATAGAACTCTTTTCAAAAATGTTCTATACAGAACCATACACAAGCATCTGAATTACCATTCCACGATGCAAAGTACCCTTTAATCATGCAAAGGGTTCTTTGATTGAAGAACCCTTGAAGAAGCATTTTTATGAGTGTACATTAAAATGATGATACATTTAGCATAGAGAGGCTTAAAAATCTATGAAACCTTCCCACAATGCTAAGTTATACTTTTATGTTACTGCATACTGCAGAAAATGCTCCCACATGCGCTGTTACAGAGTCATAAACAGATTCCTTGAGCTCAGATTCCTCGAGCCAGAAAGCTCTATTTCAAAACATCACAGCAAGTGCAACTCTGCATGTGTATCTAGTACGCTGGAATGTGGGTCAAAGGGCAGAACAGCATTCCTGTGTCCTCTACAGTGACAAATAAAAGAAAGCTCTTCAAATACAATGAGCTTCTCTTTAAGATAGAGTTATTTCAAAGGACATCATGACCATAGATAATCACAGCTGTGATTATTATTATTATTCATGATAACGTGAACGTGAGTGTTCAACCTGAGAATTTAGAAAAAAACTGTACAGTCGTATGCAAAAGTTTGAACACATGCTTTGTTTGTTTTCTAAGTGAAAATAAGTTAACACATTATCTACAATCAACAAACAAACATGGCATTGTTCTGCAAAGTGCGCAGTTTCTATTTATTTGATGAGTGTAACAAATTGAAAAAATTAATTATAAAACGTTTGCACAGGCATCATTCCATGTTTTATATTTTCCCTGTATGTTAAATTCAGGAAATAAGCAGTAATTGTACATTAAAATGTGTTCCTGTAGTGACTGTGTTCACGTATTTATATTAGGGCCATTGTGTGGTCAGAGCTAACTGCTGTGTAATGTCAGTAATACTGTACCTGGACATTGTGTGGGAGCCTCCTAGCAGGTGGTACTGGCTCTCGAGGGTCAGGCCTTTATCTCGGTCATTTCTCCATGTCAGTACTCTTAAAGACAAGTCACGAGATGCAGTGACCACCCGGAAGTTATCCTGCAAAATCAGGACGGTGTAAATTGATTTGCTTTGTAACCTGATGCATATGAGGTGAATGGTGAAGTCAACTTGAGCATGAACTCACCACGCAGAGTGACACTATGGGCTGTAAATGGTCCTTAAAGTTAGCGATGAGGGCTCCTTTAAGGGTGTAGACCTTCAGATCGTTGCCATCTGTAACCAGAATGGTGCTGTTCCCTTTAGCCTGGAGAATGATGTCCAAATGCCAGTGGCTTAAGTCTAGCTTAAAAGACTCGATTTGCTGAGCTGAAACAGAACATCAAAACGATGAATAGGGCTCAGATACAAACCAACAATGATGCAGTCTTCATTTATGGTTGTTTAAAAACCCTCACTAAGTGTAGAAAAATTGCTTTAGACTGTCTTATTCCTTTAAAGTGAAATTTCAATCAAAAATCAAATGTACATAGTTTTGAAGTCAATTAGCCAAGTTTGGTGTTTGAATTTTGCTTTTTTTCTAGTTTTGCACTGGAGCTACAAGGCTAGCATACAGCCATATGCAAAAGTATAGTTGTCCCTGGTCAAATTACATGTTTTGTTGATTTTGTAAGTGTAAATAAGTCTATATAGAACACATCCTCTGCAGAGGACACACTTCTGCACATTCTAATGCACAATTTCTGTTTATTTACTGTGTTTAAAATACTGGGAAAAAAATAAAACTAGTCTCTGAGTGTTTTCTCTCCATGACTGCATGAGTGGAGGAAGAGAGTGGTTAACAATGGTTTCACTGGTTCATTTTAATTGTCCTGCCTGCTGACGCACGATGATGTAATCAAAACTCAGTAGCTGGGGCAAAAGTCATTACATTTTGATTGAAGGATATGGGAAAACAAAGCCATTGTCTTTTAAATGATAAAAAATACTTAATGTGAGAGACGAGGCTAACTAAACAATCTCAAATAGACTTATGTGGTTTCTGATACTGTTATTTATAAAAATGGACCAATGTACAAACAGTAGCAGTAGCCATCTCAAAACCTGAATTTTAAAGCCTGTACTTTTGTCCATTTACAGATGTAAGAGAAGGAAATGTGATGCCGATCTCTGCCAACGCTGGTGTCTTAGTTTTCTTCTTTCGTTGTTTTTTGTGTTTTATTTTTTACAGGGCCTAATGTTACTTGTTGCTGCCTCCCTATTGTTTCTGCTTGTAACGAGTAGCAATGATCCTCTATGATCATTTTTCTATTCAATTTTCAGCAACACACAACTCACCTGTGAAGTACTGCATTGAATAACTTGTGGGAAAGTGACCAGCATAGCCTTAGCAGCTTTAACCAATGAGCATGCAGATTATTTTCTTTTAGGGTGAGTTTACTCAGCTGTTGTCACATGATCTAAACATGGCACCGCCCATGTGTGGACCCACCTCTAAGATAACATGGTTTATATGAGCCTACAAAGCAGTTTAGGCTTTGTCTTAGGTGAGTCTACACACTTTTAGTGATGGTTCTTTAAGGGTTCTTTAGGAAAGAAAATGGTTCTATATAGAAACATGAACATTTAAAAAACTTTGCATGATTGAAGAGTTCTTTGCATTGTGAAAGCGTTCTTCAGATTGATGGAAAATGTGTTTTGTATGGTCCTACATAGAACCTTTTTAAAAAGGTTTCTATGAAGCACCAAAAAGGGTTCTTCTATTGTTACGATGTCAAGCTTATAACAATAGAAGAACCCTACTTGGTGCTCTATAGAACCCTTTTCAAAAAGGTTTTATACAGACCCATCTACAGCACATTCTCCATCAATCTGAAGAACCATTTAATGATGCAAAGAACCCTTCAATCATGCAAAGGGTTTTTTGAGAGTTCATAGTTCTATATAGAACCATTTTCATTAAAGAACCCTTGAAAAATAGTCATTTTTAAGTGTGTATGTTATGAAAGAAACTTAAACATAAACACATATCAGTCCCTTTCTTTGGTCATAAATAATGCTCGTCTGTCACAACCAAAGCAATAATAATGAACCCTACTCATCATCTTCATGATTGGTTTGTGAACTTGTATTTAACCAGTCAGGCTGCAAAAAATACTCTCCAAATACTCCAAAATCAAAAGCAAATCTTCACTATTATTTAATTGCTCATCTGCCTTTATTGGCAGCAGCTGGTGCTGCAGGAAGGATATAAGTGTCTATCAAGAATCAGACATTAAAACAGACAGATTATGCAGACAACGCAGTGCTGACGTGCTGCTAGAAGAAGAGAACAGCGTGCTCTGATGTTGAATCCCCTCGTTTGGTGTGGACCATCGTAAAAATGCCTTTTTACCACTTGCAAACTGAACCAGGGTTCACATGGAAGTGGACAGAATACAGTTGGAGTGTTCACACCTGACAAAACTAACTAATTAAACTAGCTAAAGAAAAGGTCTAAAGGGCTGCGCCAAACAAGGAAGGAGTGAAAGCATCATAAGTGTACATTAGCCTTGTAGTAGCTACAGTGCAAAATAAAAGGACGTCTGACATCACACATCTGGGCTGGGCTCATGAACACAGAACCTCAGTCTCTCTGCTGTAAGGTGACAGGCCTACCCTGTGGCTCCTCCTTGTATTTAGACTTCTTCAAGCTTAAATCGAAGACTGTGAGTGCTTTCTGGTTGCCCAGGCCTTCGCCGTGGATTACAGCCAGTCGAGCAGGCTGAGAGGGGAGAAACACTGCTGCGCTGCAACCGCTGACCGGTAGATTCAGACACACTGTGTCCTCGTCCTTTACAGGACAACAGACACTCTGACTCCAGAACACCTGACAGCAGAAAAGTTTTATTTTTCAGAGTTATTTAACCCACATACAGATACTAATATATGACGATATAGACACCATTAACAATTACTCAACTCAAAAGATATAAATGGGACACAGAGGTGTGATTTTTCCACAGACACAGATGATTCTGAACTACTGAGTACCAGCTTTTGTTTTAATAGGACACTAGCTGTATATAATGAAGTCCCAAATCCTTCTCTGTATTTATTTTATACACAGCACTCTGAAAAACTCACAGACCACCCTTCATTTATTTAATTACCAGTCAAAATGGCCACTTCCCCCCTTTTCTGAAGAGATCAGATATGAGAGATCTACTTGATAAGATCTCCTTGCATATAGGAAGAAGAAAGTCAAGGGAAGATAATTGCAAAACATGAGCTTCCAAGATACAGAGTAAATGGGACTTTTAATAACAGCGCAAGACCTGGTAGACACCAAAACTGTCCCCATCAGATAAACAGTACTTAAAGCTTTCATCTTTGAGAGAGAGGAGAAAATCAAGCTGCATCTGAAAACATCCACAAGTGTTTCTGTCCATCCTTCCACTGTAAAAAGACAACTCAGCACTATGGGTCTGAAAGAATGTGTAGCTTTTAAGAAGCCCTTATAGAGAAGAAAAAAGGACATTTGCAAATCAAATTAAGAAGCTGCTGGTGTTGCAGGTCCAGACCTCAACCAACTTCTAAGACTGAACAGAATGGAAGCTGTAAGAAAGATAAAGTGTGGACACGATAAATACGATAAAAAATGATAATATATTCAGTTGTTCAGGCTTCTGTGTAATTTTCTGTTAAATATATGTTTTCTACTTTTTCCTGTTGCAGAAAATGTATGCTTTGTGCTTAGTGGCTGTTTTGACTGTAAATTAAATAAATGGAACGAAGGTCGCTAACTTTTTATTTCAATGTTAGTTACTAAAACTCAAGATTTGCTGTATAAAGCACTAAGAAAACATTCTCCAGATAAGAGCATATATACTGCTTTTGTATCATTTCCAAGGCATGTGTGAAGCTGAGCCATGTGTAAGAGATCTGTGTACAGGAATGTATCCTTAAAACAGGATTTTAATGCTTGTGTTAAAAAAGACAAGATATTTGAAAACAGGGACATGGAAAGGCATTTTAAGTTGAGGTTGCTGAAGTCATTTGATCAGAGTAGTACAGAGTAGTATTTGGACTTCCGCATGCAACCGTAGTTCTACACTATGCTCAAAATAATTTATTTAAAATTCTTATATATTACTATTTTTTGTGGTTGCCATTCAATAATCCTGAAAGTATAGGATAGCCCAGCACCTGTGTCTCTTTTAGGATAGAAAATGGGGAAAAAACCTGTTCTGAATTTGAACTCTTGGAGACAATATCATCCTAGCTGTGTGGCCTTTAGTGTTCCACTGTGGCCAGTTCAAACTGAGACCTTATTAAACCTGTAAGCTGTTAATCATGAGCATGAGTAAAACTAAAGGGCGACGCGAGCTTACCTTTGGGCTTAAATCAGAGCTCTCTTTTGAGGCAGTAAGTATCCATTTCTTATCAGGTGATGAGAGAAGAACATTCAGCCTGAATGAGTCACAGACCACATGCCTCGATAGTTCAGACAGCAGCGGAGAGCTCAGAGTGAGTAGTGAACCCAGAGCAGTTCCCACCTAAAAGACAAAACAGTGTACAAAGTGACAGACTGCAGCATGAAACTTATCAATACCAGTGTTACTGTAACTTAGGTTTCTATTGTGTTAGCCCCATGCATTACTTACACTGCTATTCAAAATTTTGGAGTCACAAAAATGAACACTTATATACAATTCTAACTTTTACAAAGTAAAACCCACTTCCAAAAATGTTGGGACTGTAGATAAAATGCAAATGAAAGCTGAAAGCAGTGATTTGTAAATTCACTTTGACCTTCATTTAATATACGCTTATTCTAAAACTGAGGCCTGCAACACTTTCCAAAACATTGGGACACGGGCAATTTAAGACTAGAAACATGAAATGTTCCAAAAAAGATCCAAAAAAAGTGATGCAGTCGTGCTTGGGTATAGAAGGTGTATAAGAGGAGGCCTATACCTGAGCGAGGATGGGTCGAGGGTCACTAATTGAAGAATAACATTACTCAATGAGCATTTGCAAGGATATTAGGTATTTCACCCTCCACAGTGCAGATATCACCAAAGGAATCAGAGAATCTGGAGAAATGTCTGTGCATAAGGGGCAAGGTCAAAAAAAAACCCACAATATTGACCTTTGAACTCTCAGACACCGCATCAAAAACTGACATGCTTCTGTAATGAATTTAACCACATGGGCTTGGGAATATTTTGGAAAGCCTTGTCAATAAACAGTCACTCACTGTATCCACAAATACAAGACAAGACTCTTCAATGCAAAACACATATCAACAACCTTTAGAAACGCCGCCGACTTCCCTGGGCTAAATTAAAAATGTGTGCTGTAGTCTGATGAGACCACCTATCAGATTATTTATGGAAACAATGGACATTGTGTTCTCTGGGCCAAAAAAGACAAGGACCTTCCAGATTGTTACCAGTGTAAAGTTCAAAATCCAGCATCTGTCATGGTTTGAGAGGGTATTAATAGGTAACTTGCACATCTGTGAAGGTACCATTAATGCTGAGGAGTACCTACTATATTGTGTACATACATGTATATATATATATATATATATATATATATATATATATATACATACATACACACACACACACACACACACACACACACACACACACAACAAAACACTAAAGTTAGTTGAATCATTACATATCTTGTCTTCTTTCTGTTTTCAATTAAATATAGGTCACAAAGCATTTGCAGAATATTGCTGTTTGCAATTTACCTTGGATTTGTAAACACCAGAATGTATTTTTAGTTATATGATTACATTTTTCGAAGTATTTTAGCAACAACAGGAACTGATTAATTGGTAAACTACATATGCTTTTTGTCAGGTTGTCGGCCTTGAGATTTTATCTGGTTTCAAATACGAACCATTCTAGATATTTTATAACTATACCTAAACTGTACTAGCACATTAGAATTGGTTTATACATTTACTTTTTTGTGACTGATATTTTATTAACAAGTAAACATTGAGATCACAAGAACTATGTTCACAAAGTCCAAGATTATGCCTACAGGTTTCTTCACAATAGATACAGTATAGAGTTAATAGTTAGTTTTAGATACCAGAGATAGTAACATTAATGATGATAGTAGTGATAGTCAGTGGTACACTCACATAAGAGGCTAAGACATACATATTAGGACAAACAAACAAACAAAAAATGTAAATAAATAAAGAAAGAAATGCAGTATAAAATAGTTCCCACACTCATATCAGTTAACAAAAGTCACTAAGCTCTCATTATTTTAACAGTTCTTTCTCAGTATTTGACCAGGACACAAGTGTTCTTATTTTGGCCTTATTTAGGTTTATACATTTACTTGAATCAAATGTATATGGTCAAATCTGTACAAAGACAAAATGTTACGTGAACAGCAGAGTTTCTAAAATAGTTCTAAAGCTCACCATGAGAAAAGAGCTTCCGTCCATGCTTAAGAACAGCAGAGTGGACTGAGAGGAGCCGGAGGAATAAGAGGCCAGCTCCTCTCCTGTCTGCCCCTTCCACAATTTAATCGTTCCAGTGGTATCAGCTGCGCCTACAACACACTGCTGTGGGTCTGTGAACATGGCAGTCAATGGGTTCTGACCAGAGCTGGACCACAGATTAACACCCTGTGAGTGAATCAAACAGTAAGTTATGATTCTCACTGTTAAAAGTATGCTGCTCAAAGATTGAACTAACCAAATAACTAAATAAATAAAATACAATGCCTTGTGAATGTCCCATGCTTTGACTGTGCCATCACTGGATGCGCTGCAGACGATTGGTGTGCTGTTCCAGCTGTCTTGGATTGTGCTGTTTTCCACCAGGTAAGCAATACTAATGACCCTGCCTGAAAGGGTAGATGGAAAGTACACTGAAATTATTAGACATTAATTATGAATTACATTTTTACAAACATTTGGACCTGTATATCATCGCTGTTGCAACAAAACTTTCTATCCCCAAAAGAAGGAAGTTTATAGGAGATGGGAAAAACATCTGCAGCTTTCTAATTGAAAATTGGAAAAATTGAAGTCCACGGTTTTGTTCCAACAGCGACGATATGTAACTATGTAAATAATTATTTTAATTATGTAACTACATATAAATACATAGTGCGTCACAAGTCAGAAAAGACACTTAATGTTGCTTTCAAAATGTCATCTTTTAAGTTGGTAGAGGATTAGGTCAACTAATGTATAATTATGTGATCAAAAATAACGAAATGTTGGATTTACTTAAAAATGTTTTATAAAGTGGTTCCACACAACTGTGTTTAGTAGCTTCTAAGATGCTCAAATGAGTAATATGTGCTCACAGAGTTGCTTGCAAATCAAACACAGGTGGACTGATTGTTTTTAAATATTGTTCTAACATCCACCTTAATGTGATTATATTCACTAGTTACAGTAGAAAAGAACACAAAGTTTACAGGTTTAATCTATATAATTTGGTTAAGTTACTGTACTACTGAGCTGTCGTGAAGTCATACCCGGTAGCAAGATGAATGGTAATTCACTCTTACAGCTGCCAACAATGTGGCTAGGCAGTTAACTATGAAGTATAAGAAAGATGTACACTACAAGAAGTACGGAGAAAACTTCTGAAGTAAGTCCGACAACTGACTGTATTTCATTGAAACAACACAACTGACTCAGTTTCACTGACCACACTAGAATACCACACATACACTAGAAGACTTTGAAAAGACTTTTGAAAGTCTGACACCCTCTCACATCTTGAGAGAAAGTCACGGTTTTTGTCACAGACTATGATTTGCAAAGTCTGGGGATCTTGCAGGGTCATTACTTGCGAGACTGCAACTAAATTTTTGAGATTATTTCCCATCATTTACGTGGTGACAAGCAGAGAAACTCTCTTCTTTCTCCGCTCTAAAGTGATACAAATGGGAAGAGACGTTGGCTGGGCATGTAAAGATCTGGGGTCTCAGCCCAGTTCACTGTAGAACTGTATATTCTGTCACATCATTACCCAGAATTTCTTTAACTTAACCTGAAAATGTGCAGTTACTTTTTTATTTAACATAAAGATTTACACATCAACAAAACATGCAACGATTCAGCATTGTTGATTGGGTGTTATGAACTAAATCATAAAAAAAAATAATAATAATAAATGAATGTAACAGAAAACCAAAAAAAATTGAATGACATTCTTAAAGTCCTCTGCACATTTCCTTACATTACTGTTACAGGCTCAGTGCATGTTAAGTTTTAAAACAGTCAATTTATATGTATAAGGTAATATAACTATTGTTTTAAAGTGGAGCTGATTTGCCTTTTTTACAAAGGTTTCAGGCACTCATGCATGCATTTTCTCCCTTGCTCTCTCTCTCTCTCTCTCTCTCTCTCTCTCTCTCTTTCTCACTCTCCATCACAATGCATGCATACGCTTGCCCGCTTGCTCTTACATGCGCCCCTGGCACGTCACTATTTGCATGAGCCAAGACTTAAACTTGTGATAATATCAAACACGTAGCATCAAGACTGAAAAAGAGAAAAAGACAGTCATTATTATTAATGTTATCGAGACAGTCATCCCGACCAAGTTGCACTAAACGATCAAGATGACACGAGCACGACACAACTCTAGCAAGACTCATGATTTTATTCTGACATTGGAAATCTGTTGCGACCGTGAAACCACTTCAAAAGTCACTGATTTGAAATTTGTTAAGTGACATCAACAAGAGAAAACTGATTGAAACCAACAACAGAGCAATTTTTTGAGAGAATCTAAGATTAAGCAGTGTACACATATTTGGATGGTTCCCGACTTCTGACTCACTCTGTAGTGTCAATAATAACCCTATACTTCTAAGAAAGCACTCACAGGTCAGAGAGGACAGAATTACCTTTATGACCTCTCAGGCTCTTGCAGGTGTAGTCTCCTCCTGACCTGCCTGACTTCATGTTCATTTCCAGACTGGAGCGGCGCAGGTAATACCTTTTCCATGTGTAGCGGTCAGCGTCCGAGAGCAGCTGGCTTAGGTTACAGAAACCCCATCTGTGCAAGCACAATTCTCTGGACAAGACAGTTTTTTAAACCTTTATTAGTAGTTAATCCTCAGAACTGTTAAAGCCTTGTTCATCCCATGACATCCCACAAAGCCCTGAATTACTGTTCCATAGAAACTTACCTCCATAACCATGGAGTTTCTGCAGCTCCGTGCCATTCCTGAGCAATTTATAGCAAGAAAAGACTGATATTAGATGCTTGAAATCACTGTTCAAAAGTTCAGAATCAATGTTTATCAATATAAAACCAAATTAGCTTCAGACAAATGTATAAAATGAATTCAGTATGCTAGTACTACCAATTAGTATGAAGCTGTGAAAAATGAGGACATTTTAAACGTGCAGAATGATGAAAAGAGCTGTAGACAGTTCTTAAAAGACTGGGGAAGCTGTGTAACACTGAGAATAAAATTATAATACAATGTATTACAAGAAATAATGACTCAAATGGTTAACAAAACCTGTAAGTAGATCATTTGAGAAAATATTATGAATAGATAATTACTGTATACCAGATAATTTAGAGTATTTTTATTTAGAGTAACTCAAAATCCTTAAAATATGAAATAAAACATCTAAAAATGCCTTTTGGTGTCTAAAACGTTTACACCTAACTTACTAATTTATTGTTGTATATAACACGTCAATTTTTAAAAAAAGTGATCCCAAACTATCAAATACTGTACATCTACCCGATTCAGCCTGCTCAGGTTTCTTGTAAACAAATCTAGGCTTCAGAACACTTTTACAGCATTCATAAAACCCTCAGTAAACTGTATGTTAGTAATGATTAGAATCCCTGTTTGGAAAGTGTACAATTTTAAGTCAACGCATCTGCCTCATGATGGGCTAGATAATCACCTGCTGATCAGTAAAAGAACACAAGCAGCGATTGAGAACCAACAGCATTTTTTTTGTACATTGTAGCCTACACTAAGATTCCTTTTAGTTCCACTCAGGTCGCTAGCTGTATTCCACAAACTACAAAGCTAATAAGGTAATTCCACCAAGCTGACAAAGTCATTCACACTAGTTTGTGAATAAACCGTTCTAGAGAAACTTACTGAGTCAGAATTGTTCACAGTGGTGGTGACAGGAACCCGACGTCTGAAGAGGTTAGCGCCTTTAAAAGCTCCCTCACACCAGGTTATTACGTGACGAATATGCAGCCTGATGCCTGGGTTTTTACGGTTGTAGCTTTCTATTTTTCTTAATGGTGGAAATGTCCATGTCCACAGGGCATTGTAACGGAAAACAGTCCCCAAAGAAAGGTTATTTGTCAGATTTACCACTGTTTGCATTTATCAACATTACATATGAAAGCCTAGAACACACATGTAGGTTCTGTAGGTTCACTAGTGATTTTAGATAGTGAATGAAATGGTAATATTTGGTTCCTATCACCACCATTCACTGTTAAGAGACTGGAGTCAGGAAGTTTCTCTGCAATGCACAATTTATCGTCATTAGTGACTGAATTATGAAGGAATTTTGACAACTTGGTGGAACTGCCCTTTCAGAAATAAACACCAATATTAATGTCTCATGTCCTCCACACTGCCTTTTAACCACACTAAGCATCCATAACATTAAAACCACCTCTGTTTCTACCCTCACTGCCCATTTCCTCAGCTTGACTCACCATATAGGAGCACTTTGTAGTTCTACAATTACAGACTGTAGTCCATGTATTTCTCTGCATACTTTACTAGCCCCCTTTTACCCTGTTCTTCAGTGGTCAGGACCCCCATAAGAACCACCACAGAGCAGGTACTATTTGGGTGCTGGCTCATTCACAGCAGTGCAGTAACACCGAAGTGGTGGTGGTGTGTTAGTGTGTGTTGTGCTGGAATGAGTGGATCAGATCAGCAGTGCTGCTGGAGTTTAAACACTGTGTCCACTCACTGTCCACTCTATTAGACACTCCTACCTTGTCGGTCCACCTTGTAGATGGAACGTCAAAGACAACAGCTCATTTGTTGCTGCACATTTTGTGTTGGTCATCCTCTAGTCCTTCATCAGTGGTCACAGGTGATCCTGACCACTGAAGAACAGGGTAAAAGGGGGCTAACAAAGTATGCAGAGAAACAGATGGACTACAGTCTGTAACTGTAGAATTACTGAATGTAGAATGTAACTGTGGAGTTGATAAAATAGACAAGGAGTGTAGAATCAAGGATTTCAATGATTTTTAATGTTATGGCTGATCGGTGTAAGTGTAGGGATTTTACTGTAACAGTTTTCTTTGTCAGATTTTTACTGAACTCAAAAAGAAAAAACCCATCTCGACAACTTAAGTTAACAGAGCGATGAGGTGAGTATAAGAACTCAGCAGAAACGGTCAGATTAACCAGAAACCAGTGATTCATCTGAAAAGACAAACTGAGAATTAAATCTGGCGGACTAGCAGCTGAATGTTAGCCATGGACATGAACATCATCTACTGTCAGAACCGATTATGTGTTCGTGCAGAGATTAGCTGTGGTCTTCCTGGTTTCTCTGCCCTGACACTCCTGATTAAACTCAGTATCTCGCTTTCAGGCCCTTCAGGTTAAAACGAAGGTGTTGGAGCAGGAAAACACCAAAATGCAGTAAATGTGCGGTACGTGGAGACCTGAAAGAAGGTTCGGTACTATTAAAATGACTACAAGTAAACTAACTCGCCACGCCCAGCAGCCCAACAGCACCAACAGCCCAGCAGCACTGAGTCAACGCCGCAGCGACTGACTGCAGTGCTGAACTCAGCAAAAGCAAAACTTCCGTTCACCTTACAAACACAGGAGGCTGTGATTAAGTCGTCCTCGTTAAGGAAAGTAAAGATGCTGATGAGGCAGTCCAGAGGCAGACTGAGCGGATCCATTCTGCTCTTTAAACACAGGTTTGTTGAGGGAGGAGCTTTCACTTTCAGAGAGCTTCACTACGGCACGCCGGAGCGGACAAACACGGACGATCTGAACAAAGCTTGTTATTGCTGACACCCAGCGGACTGATTCACCTGATTCACACACACAGCGGACTGATTCACCTGATTCACACACACACACACACACACACACACACACACACACACACACACACACACACACACACACACACACACATCTATCTATCTATCTATCTATATACACCGATCAGGCATAACATTATGACCACCTCGTTTCTACGCTCATTGTCCATTTTATCAGCTCCACTTACTATATAGGTGCACTTTGTAGTTCTACAATTACAGACTGTAGTCCATCTGTTTCTCTGCAATCCTTTTTAGCCCCCTTTTACCCTGTTCTTCAGTGGTCAGGACCCCCATGGACCCTCACAGAGCAGGTCCTATTTGGGTGGTGGATCATTCTCAGCACTGCAGAAACACTGATGTGGTGGTGGTGTGTTAGTGTGTGTTGCGCTGGTCTGAGTGGATCAAACACAGCAGGAGTTTTTAAACACTGTGTCCACTCACTGTCCACTCTATTAGACACTCCTGCCTTGTCAGTCCACCTTGTAGATGTAAAGTCAGAGACGATAGCTCACCTGCTCCTGCACAGTTTGAGTTGGTCATTCTCTAGTCCTTCATCCGTGATCACAGGACGCTGCCCCACAGGACGCTGTTGGCTGGATATTTTTGGATGGTGGACTATTCTCAGTCCAGCAGTGAGTGGACACAGTGTTTAAAAACTCCAGCAGCACTGCTGTGTTTGATCCACTCAGACCAGCGCAACGCACACACTAACACACCACCACCACATCAGTGTTACTGCAGTGCTGAGAATGATCCACCACCCAAATAGTACCTGCTCTGTGAGGGTCCATGGGGGTCCTGATCACTGAAGAACAGGGTAAAAGGGGGCTAACAAAGTATGCAGAGAAACAGATGGACTACAGTCTGTAATTGTAGAACTACAAAGTGCACCTATATAGTAAGTGGAGCTGATAAATTGGACAATGAGAATAGAAACAAGGAGGTGGTCATAATGTTATGCCTGATCAGTGTATATATTAAATGAAACGATAGAATAAATTACAAAACCAGACATAATAGTTATAATACTTGCTATAGTATAATAACAACATCATGATGATGAACAGATACTGAGGCATTAAAATACATTACAAAGCTCCACATATCTGAGGATAGCACTGCTTTTCTTTTTGTTTATCATTTTAATAGATAGAATGCAATTTCTATTTTAAACACCAATATTTTTAGAATGGAATTTAAAGTTTTATTTTGTGAATAAAATATTTAACAGTGTTAGAATTGGTGTAGTAACAAAATACATTGTTTACAGAAAAAGGAACTAAGTAAACTTTAGTGAGACCTGATTCACTTTCTTGCTTACACAATGTACACAAGTCATTTGTGTCTGTACATTTTGACAATTACATGGATTATTTTAAGATTTTTTAAAAACGTATCTCTGAAATCTTGTTGGGAATAAAAAACTTGCCCGGGAATAAAAAATGTCGGGATGATTCCATTTAATGTCCTTGATAAACAAATTCCAAAAGAGCCTCCCTCTTGGGGACACTCACATATTCCTGGATTGTATGCATTGTGTCCGGCTCAGAGGCAGCCGAGCAGCCCAAACTCATACTCTACTAAACATGTTGTTACTTCACAGCAATAAAGATTCAAATAAAAGTAAAAAAGAAAGCAAGGAAAGTTTAATTATATAGCATTTTTAAACTCAGTGACAATTCAGTGTTTTATGTAAAAACAAACAACACACGAAGAAAATGAAACAAAAAGATGTAATTAAAATTGTAACGAAAACTCAATAAAACCAAAACTTAACTATGCTAGAACAATCCAATATAACACCCTAAGATACTGGTAAGATAGTAAAGGGGAATTCCATCTCTTTTGTCAAAATTTCTACTTAAATAGTAAATGTAAACAAAAACATAAGTAATGAATAAAGGAATTGCATTTTTCATGTGAATATAATGATATTGGCTACTTATACTCTAATACTGCAGTTCATTTCTAGTTAATGTGTTTGCACTGACTATCTACATTTTTGGAGTGTTAATTATTGACATAAAGCCACTGATCCTTTGATTCTCTGACATTCTGCACTCTAATTGTATAATGACTGCAGCATTTTAAATCCAATGTGTGAGCGAAAACAACAAAAAGTGTCTCACTGTTTCATGGACTGCACTCTACATCTAAAATAGTATAATAATACCGTTTACTTTTGATGCTTATACTCATTATAGAACAAACAGTTTATTACTTTAAAGGGCCCATGTCACTTATATGGAAACTATGCTGGGAAAATGTCTTGTTTTGAGTTCACTGTTTCTGTGATGTCACAAAAAAACATATTTAAATACCCAATCAGCCTACAGCAATTTAGCCTTGGGCTGAAACAGTAATTTTGACTTCAGTGCAAATAGGCAGGGGTTAACAGTTGTAGGCTGAACATGTGCAAATGCTTTGGGTTTTATGACATCACAAAAACAACACAACATTCAAAACAAGCCCTTTTTTCAGGTTAGTTTCCATTTATGGCTCGTTTGGATTGAGGAGTGAGCATTTACAGCAGTTTTGGGAGTCCTTCCTGCACAAAACTATCAGCTCATTTAAAGTCTGACTAAATTAAGTCATTTTGCAAAGCATGAAACCGCACCTTCTCTGTGTGTGACCTTAAAGTCAACCATGCAGGAAATGGAGGGTCCTCTAATGAAAAGTTATCGGACTCCTAAGCGTGTCTTGACAGAATGCCCAACAGGATAAAGACACTCAGTGAAGGCCTGTCCAGCGTGTGGCCTGAAGTGAGGAAGGGCTGTAACAAGAACACTGAGGAGGGAAACTATTGCGAGGATAATTATCTTAGAGAAGGACAATAGAAGGGTGGATCAGAGTTATGATAACTGCCACGGCTCCATGAATCAAGAGATTTATAGTGAACGAGAATAAACTATCATTATAAACATTTTTCATTCTTATATAAATATAGCCTAATGGCTCAGTCTAATGGGCCACGGTTTGTGAATACTGACGTTACGTAATGTTTTGGCATTGAATGGGAAACATTTTTAAGAGCCCTTAATACATCGTGTTCATTCAGAGAGTGAAGACAGTTGTGTAGAGTAGTCACAAGTGCAGTTTTGGTTTATCCAGAGAAAGTTTATCTATGCTTTCTCCAGAGTAACTTCTTCAGTAGTGCTTGATTGGTTAGATCAGGTGCAGTAGTGTTAGATAAGGAGGAAGGCAGTATGATAGATGTAGGCTGAAGCTAAACTCTGCAGCAAAGTAGGGGTTTGTGACTGCTTGTGCACGGGAGCAAGCAATTACCTCTTTCTGTCAGCAGGGGGAGCAATAACAACAGTTATGTTTCCAGTTGACCACTGAAGGGGAGCCTAGGTCTTGTCTTGAAGGTCCAGAGTCCTGCACAATTTTCCTTCTTCAACACACTTGATAAACCTGGATATTATGTTTATTTTATAAATTAAATGAATGAACATTCCATTTTGTCACTACTGAAACAATTATAACATTACTGAAACTATTACCAAATGTTTCAGTAGTGACTTTTTAGTGACAGTTTTAGCTAATTTTAAGCAGAACTCAAAAATGCTAGCCAGCACATGCCTAGCAAACACAGCTTTGAACAGCTTTACACACATAAAATCATCATATTTTTCATGAAAACACAAAAACTGTTTCAATAGTGACGGTTTTTAATGTTACACACTGATTTTCAGAATTTGGGACATATTTACTTCAAAACAATGAGATCTAACTGTTCACCATGTGGCCTTGAGGGACAGGGATGCAGCCTCACTTCCTGCTCTAAAATGCAGGGGTGTGGCTAAAATGAGGCTCCACCTACAGACTAAAACTCTGTGTTTTGGTAGTGATATGAAAACATGAGACACCTTTTTTGAATAAAGTTTTATTTGAAAAATTAATAGGAATAATAAATCTAAATACAATGATTTAAATAATGATGGAATTATTAATGATGTTGGAAAATAATCAGGTAAAATGAAATATTTTGGTATAAACTGCAAGACAAATGCAGATTATGAGCTGTTTGGACAAAAAGGACTAAATGAATCACTTTCATCATTACTTGTATTTAAATGGAGGAGAACACTGACAGGTGTGTCAGTTCAAGCAGAAGTCTATAGCTCATGTCAGGTTCACATATGTGATTAGGATCTGTGAAAGTCAATGTACATGCAGGTCCTTTGAAACATATATTTAGGAATCTAGAATTATTGTCTCCTGCCACAAATATAATTACACAATTATTACATAGTTATAAAATAATGTACATTTGCATTACATTCTGTATGAGCATTTTTGAGTCTGCACTTCTGACCTTGTTCTGTTTGTTTTGATGGTAAAACATGATAAACATGCAAAGCATGGAACATTTACATCAAATTAAGAAATTACTTATGAATAATCTATTTAAAGTTCAGAATCTCTATTTATGAACTTACTAATAATGCTAACCATTTATGTGCAGGCTAATAGGGACTTCATAATACACGTATAAGCATTTAAAAGTGTGTTTATACAGCAATTCTTAGGAATTTATAGACAGCTTGTGCCAATAATTGCAAGATGACATAAGATTTTTTTAAAGCACTGATTTAAGAGACCTTAAACCAAAGTGACATGTGTGTTTCATTTATAACATGGTTATAAAGCATCATTCCAAGGTATTGAAACACATAAGGCAGAGGAGCACCACATTTGAATAGTATGAAAGATTTTGATGTCCTCAAACATAAGTGATCATTTTCATACATATTTCCCATATGTACACATATAGATATACATATACATATAAACATTCCTGTACTTGATAAGACAGTTGTGAAAAAGTTCTTTTAAATGTACTTAAACATCAAAGTAAATGTACTGAGAGCTATTATAGTTTTGTTCAATTGTTTTTATTAACATTTTCTTTTATTAGCTGCAGTCATGAGTTAACTGTTCATGTCTGAAGCCACACAGATCTCTTTTATAGAAGCTGTACTGCACGTTTAGTTTAAACAAATGCTAAATAGTGTCCTTAACTAGGGCTCTGCCATATAAGCTCAAATACACTGGAATGATGCTTCATAACAATGTTCTAAAACACTTTATTTGAAGGCTACCTACATGGAGATGTCATAACGCATGCATATGCAATGAATAACACATTTATAGAGCAATACTTGAGTATTTATTAACAGTTTGTGCCAGTAACCGCAGGATGACGTGATGTTTTATAAATTAAATTATTTTTTGCTGACATAAAGATACTTAAACTAAAGCAGAGGACTGGTTTAATACACAGTGTCATTCTAATATATTTCTTATTGAGTTTGAGTGCTGAAATACAATAGAAATAGAAAGTAATAGAAACTGTTCATCAAAGTTATTAACAGAACAAGTGTGTCACTTTAATTTATGGTCACTTATATCAGTACACTATAATTTACTTCACACAATATCTTATGTCATCTTGCAACTACTGGCATAGGCTGTTCATAAATATTCCCTATGTCCCCTTCCCAACAAGTCCCTATGTTGGTGTTACTCTTTAGTATAAAGCCGCTTGCATCAGTGTAGAGTTACTGAATTCATTTGTTATGTAATTTTGCAATTGCTGACAAAAGCTCTTCAATAATATTCAACTGTTGCTTTATTAAGTTGTCATAAATGTTGTACAAAGCTCACGCCCTTGTGTAGGTGTTATCCTTTAGTTTAGGCCCCTTCTGTCAATGCAGTACCAATGAATTCATTCCTTTGTTGTCTTGCAATTACTGACATGATTTTTGCTTTATTAATATGTCATAAATGTTATCTGATTATTATGCATGTGTTGTGAAGCCCCTATGTAGACGTTACCTTTTAGTTTAAGGCCCATTATGAAAATGCAGTGCCACTGAATTCAATCTTGTGTAATCTTGTAATTACTGACATAAGCTGTTCATGAATATTCAACTATTACTTTATTAGTATGTCATAAATGTTATATGATGCTTATGCATGTGTTATGAAGCCCTTGTGTAGGTGTGATCCCTTAGTTTAAGGCTACATAAGGGCATCATTGCAGTGTCACTGAATACAATCTTATGTCATCTTGCATTTATTAGAATAAGCTGTTTATAAATATTCAACTATTGCTTTATTAATATGTCATAAATGTTATCTGATGCTTATGCATCTGTTATAAAGCCCCTGTGTAGGTGTTACCCTTTAGTTTAAGGCCCCTTCTGTCAAGGCAGTGCCACTGAATTTATTCTTATGTCACCTTGCAATTACTGACATGAGCTGTGCATAAATATTCAACTATTGCTTTATTTATACATCATAAATGTTATCTGATGCTTATTCATGTGTTGTGAAGCCCCTATGTAGATGTTACCCTTTAGCTTAAGGCCTCTTATGTGAATGCAGTGTCACTGAATTCATTCTTATGTCATCTTGCAATTATTAGCATAAGTTTTTCATAAGTATAAACAGAAATATTCATAAAAAACCTTTTGCTTTATTAATATGTCATAAATGTTATCTGATGCTTATTCATGTGTTATGAACCCCCTATGTAGGTGTTATCCTTTAGTTTAAGGCCCCTTACATTAATGCGTCACTTAACCCATTATTATGCCATCTTGCAATTACGTGCATTAGCTATTCATAAATACTCAAACATTATTTTATAAATATGTTATTCAGTGCGTATGCATATGTATTATTTGGATCCTTCTTATTAACGAAATTATTAATACAAAAGTCCTCCATGCTTTTGTTGTTTCTGCAAATAATATCCTTGCACCATCTCACCGTTTCCACAGGGGGGCTCACTCCATGTATCACAGAACAACAGGATTTCAGTCCAGTCCTTTGTATCAGTAGTCCAGTCCACATTTCCTTGCAATCCAGCGCTTAATCAGCGTTGTCCTGTGCCTGATTACCTGCCTCAGGTGCGCTAAAGCATGGAACACCAGCAAACCTTGGACTGACCGCGCTGCCCTAGTGGACTGGGGTGGCTGCTGTCCACGCCCCTGGTTTGGGCAGGGAGAGAGTGAAGGCGAATCACAGCAGGCAGACAGCTGGAGATCCGCGCGCTGCGCTTCATGTCCATCTCCAGCCCCTGCCAGTGGCACCATGCGAGCTCAGCCGCGCGTGTTTACGTCCTGAAGGCGCTCAGGAAGCTCAGTGGCTCAACACACACACACAAACACACACACACACCACACGCGCGAACCCTCTGCGTTCTCTCCGTGCGTGAAACTCACACGCGCTCATCATGAGCAGAAAAACTCGTCGCTGGATATTTCGCTTTCTGCTTTGTGTGGGAATCATCTACCTGAAGATCGGGTGAGTTTAGAGCTGCACTTCTCTCACCTCTCAGCTACTTTTGGTCCACGACAGCGTCCAGATAGAGCATATATGAAGGCTGTATGAAGACTGAGTGAGCTTAAACTCGTATTTAGCTCAGATCCTTATAAAAATTGTATTTAACTTTATGAGACGACATATGAAGTCTGGATGAAAACTGGATGAGTTTAAACTTGCATTTCACTCACTGTATTCACTTTATAAGTCAATGTAAATTAAGTTTCCGACCAATATGCAGTTTATATGAAGACTGAGTGAGCTTAAACTTGTGTTGAACTAATTTCAAGCCTGAAGTTCACATAAAAATTACAGCCTCTATATAAGAATTTATAGGAAACAGATCATCTACATGAAGGCTGGATGTATTTAAACTTGCATTTCACTCACTAATAATAGTAGCAGCGACCAGACAGCTCACAAATGAGGTCTATATGGAGACTAAGTGAGCTTAAACTTCTATTTAATGCATTTCAAGCTTAACCTCCACATACACATATACATATATGTCTTTCTCAGAGGAAATATAAAGTCGGCATGAAGACTGGGTGACTTTAAACCTGCATCTCACTCACTTTGAGCTGGTTTTGTTTCCAAACCACATTGTAATAAGAACAGCAGCATCTATATATGAATTTTTCATACGAAATTTGATGTAAATATAAAGTTTAGACCTCACTCACTTTGAGCTACTTTTAGCAGACAAAACTCTGACAGTACAGCAGCATCTTTATAGATCACTTTTTCAGACCAAATTTGAAGCTTATAGAAGACTAGATGAGTGGGCTTAAACATGCATTTAACTCACTTTTAATCAGACAGAGGTCTATAGGAATGGCAGTGTCTTTACAGAACACTTTATTTCATACCAAATGTGAAGTTTAAAGTTGGATTTCACTCGATTTGAGCGAACAAACAAAAGTTTAGTTCACTTGTTTAGACAAATAAAACACCAATATGAAGACTGGGTGAGTTCAAACCTGCATTTTGCTCACTTTGAGCTACTTTGACCAAAAAGAAGTGTGAAGGTAATATATGACATTTATATGAAGACTGAATGAGCTTAAACTAGTTTTTACTTATTTTAATTATGTCCGTCTACATCTCACATTTCACTCACTTTAAGCTACTTTACCTGACTAAAGTCTATGAAGAAACCATTTAGAAGACTTTTTCAGATGAAATATAAAGTTTATAAGATGTTTCTGAATTAACTGTCTACTTTAAGCTACTTTGACTAAATGAAATGATCAGCACCTGCACATAAGCATTAATTTTATATAAATGTCTAGAGAAATTTAGCATTGTGTGAAGTGTGAAGACAAACATTTTTTACAGTGAGAAAGTGAAAGAGAACATGAAGAAACATTGACTCAATGTTATTACATTGTTATTACGTATTATGTTATTACCCTAATTATATGCACTACCTTGCTTGATTTACTAAGCAATGGGGAAAAGTCTGTATAGAGTTATAGCACACACTGTTATTGTGACTATCCATTGCTTTCGTGTGCACACACACGTGTTAACCTCAGTTTCAGCATTCTTGTTATGCTTTGTGCACATGCGCTCACTCAGAAAATGATCTATGAACTTTAATTAAGCCAAACACTTCCATTCAATCAAATAGGCTTTATTACCTTAACATGAAGTTCGATTGGTCATCAGATAAAACTGAGACATTTCGGTGATGGTTTATTTCTGTTTCAGTAGAAAAAAAATCCTTTTGAATCAAAATAAACGGTTTACATTAACTGAAATGCACATTCATTAATTTAGATAGATAGATAGATAGATAGATAGATAGATAGATAGATAGATGGATAGATAGATAAGAATGCATTGATAATGTGCATCATTTCCACATCAACAAAATACATCACATCAGTATGTTTGTCATTCAGTTTATCTAATTTTGGCAGTAATTGCCCATTTAAAACAAGTCAGTGCAGCACTTTTTAGTGTGCTGAGTGTATCAGTGTGCACTACATTAGTGTCCCTCTCTGGTCACTTTTAGGGGGTTTTCCTCAGTTATAGCGCTGGGAGCGAGCATCATATGCAATAAGATCCCCGGCCTGGCGCCCCGGCAACGGATCATCTGCCAGAGCCGCCCTGATGCCATCATCGTGATAGGAGAGGGGGCGCAGATGGGCATCAATGAGTGCCAGTTCCAGTTTAAACAGGGCCGCTGGAACTGCTCTGCCCTGGGAGAGAGGACTGTGTTCGGGAAGGAACTCAAAGTGGGTAGGTTGCTCATCTCTACTGACCTCTTTAGCAGCATGTGCTGTATTGGGTCTAATTAATTTAAGGGTCCGTATGTGGGCCACACTGGAACACCTTTAACTACACGGTTTATGAATTAGTTTTATAGTAGTTACTAATTCATTTATAGCAGTTACAGAAGAAGTCTTAGAAGGGATTTCCACCATTTTTTAATCTACATAATTCAATTGTTCAGACGTAAACAAAGACATTCAGAGTGGTTTCATGAAAAGTGATTCATTATAGATAAACTTACAGACTCAGATTCAGTGTTCATGCCTCAAGCCTGAAAAAGGATGTGCTGATTTCCTTGGTGAAACAAAGGCCTGGAGCATTTATTTATTTATTATAGAAAATACTTGCATTTTAAAGTGCAATCACAATATTGTTTAGAAAAAAATGCAGTTAGACCTCAAGACTGAATTGAATTGACTTGAATCAAATCAACTCAGTTCATCCCCGTGGTACAATTAAAGGAGAATTCCATTGATTTTTCAAAATTTAGTGGTTGAGATGCAAACAAAGTCATTCAGATTGGTTTGACATGAAATGTTCCATTGTAGAGAAACTTACCAACTCAGATTTCTTTACAGTGGTGGTGATGGGAACCAGGGGTCACAATGTCTACAACAGAAATATAGCCATTTTATTTACTGTCCAAACCCACCAGTGAACCTAAATGTCTTCTGAGGTTTCACATGCAATGTTGATAGTAGTTTGGAAAGTTGGTGGAACAGCATCTGCTGTCAGGATTTGTTGTCAGAAATGCTAGTAATAAATTGATTAGGACAACTGGCAGATCATTTTCACGCATTTCAGTTGCAGTTCATTGTGGTGTACAAATGAAGACTAAGCTATACAAGTTTCTTCCATAATTTCTCCAGGATCAAGTCTCAAGAAAAGTAGTCACTAAACTTGTAATTTGCCTTCCAACCCAGTTCAGCTCAGCTCCAACTCAAGAAAACACCCTCTAAAGGCCACTTGAGGAACACCAGTAACCGAAGCAGGTGTGGCTGATTAGAGATGGAAGTAAACTTCGTAGGGAAGCAGAGTGCAGATTGGTGGCTGCTGCTGTCAGTGATTTGACAAAACGCCAAATAGTCACAGTGGCAGAACAATCAGATGGGTTAATCTATCTTAAAAAGGTTCAGGAAGTGATCGACCGGTTCAGCTCAGACTTCCATCCCTGCATGCCTGAGATTTCTGGTAGATGATGTGAGCACATGCTTGGTACTCCTGGTCATACTAGCACTCAGAGGCATGTGCTCAGTCAGCTTTGCAGAGCTCCATTAAGAATCAGGTTGCCAGGCCTGCAGGTCCTTCCTCATTATGCCTGTAAATAAACATTAATGTGAGAGTGAGGAATCTTATTTACGCCATTTCTTACCATGACTTAGCTTCTTTTGTTTTATACTGGGGCTACAAGGCAAATGTAGCTAGCAAGTAATGGAAACCAGTTAGCCATTTAGCATGGTGCTTGCCTCAAGCTGTGTTGACTAATAATCTCATAGACTTGTTTATGTGGTTTCTGACACATTGTTATCCATAATCATGGACAACCGTACTTTGCATAGCTAAAAACAGTAGTAGCAGCCTGAAATTAGTCTATTTTTATAGATTACAGTAAGTCATGCAGTGTTAGAAACCATATTAGTAAGTCAATTTGAACTTATTTAACAATTTAGAGGCAAGTGCTTGATGATTTGCTAAACTTCCATTACTTGTTAGCTACTTTCGCCTCTTTGCTGCTAAAGAACCAACATGGCTAATCAACTCCATTTGGGGTAAGGGGGACTTTTTCTCCACTTTAATACTTTTAATCCTGCATTGGATCAACTTACCTTTTTTCCTTTTGTTGCAGCTCATATTTATTTCTATTTCTACTTCCTTTCCTATATATTTTAGTGATTCAAGTCTTTGGCTATGCACTAGCAAAAACTAGACACAGTGCTAGCAATGTGTAAAGAAGTGCTGTAAAGCTACTTTTGGCAAATTCCATTGAAGAAAGTGCTCTACAAACACATTTGAATTGAATTAAATTGAACTGAATTGAATTGAGTTCTCTGACCCTTCAGTGCTACTTATGAAGTCACTTCACAAGTTGCGCCAGGCTTGAGTTTGCAGAGTTGTATCGAGTTAAACAGTCCAGGTTAGGAGGAAAAGTGTCAGTGTTTGTAACTCCCCCTTTTCTAAATGAAAGTGGTCTCCTGAGGAAGCCATTCATCTTTTTTTGTGCCATCTTATCTGTGTCTCTGGCATTTACAGTTAGGGTGCTCTTTCCACGGGTATGGGTTACAACGTATTTAGCTGAAAAGAAAAGGAAGAGACAAATTAGTGTATTTTTTGCCTGTGATGTTGCAAATGGGAGCACACACACCAGCAACATTGCCTATTAAGCCGACAGCACTTTTGATGGCTGAGATAATCGTTCATAGTGCACTTATCCAAGCAAAACATCAGTGGTAGTCCCTTTGGCATTGAACTGGGATGATTTTAATGAACAATGGAATTTGATTTTGGCCACTTTTGTGCAGTTTTGACTTCCTCTCCTCTGGGGTCTATTTTTAGGTACTAAACTTTCAGTACTGTATGTACAGTTACTTAGAGTACTTATACTGTGAACAGTACTTACTGTAAAGTACAGTAATCGAGTGAAGCATACTGACTAGTTTTTGCACAGAAAAACACACAACTAGCATAAAGGGGAATTCCACAGAATGTTCACAAGTTCTTTGTAATTTAATCCAAATTCAGTTAATATGTAAAGAAAGTCATTCCGAGTAGTTGTCATAGTTGTCATTCCGAAATTGTTCACTTTAGAGAAACTTATCAACTTAGCAAGATTTCTTTACAGTGGTGGTGATAGGAACCAGGGGTCACAGTGTCTACCACACAAAAATAGCCATTTTATTTACTATCCAAAACCAACAGCGAAGCTACTTGTGTCTTCTGAGGTTTTATATGTAATGTTGATAATGGCAAAATAGTGATAAGTATGAAAAAAGTTTTCTTTGGGGGCTATTTTGCCTCATAACCCCCTGCATGTACCCCTCCACCATGAATGCAATTTCAAAAATACATTTTAAGGCAATTAAAATGTGTCTCAAAACTATTGTAGAACAATGTCAGAGAATATGTGTTGATGTTTTGTGTAATAACTTTCTGTGAGGGGTCTTTATGCGGCGTTAAACTCTTTAGACGTCTGGTTCCTTTTGCCACCACTGTGAACAATTCCGACTCAGCAAGTTCCTCTAAAATGGCTTGTTTTACTTCGACCCACTCTGAATGACTTTCTTTACATCTTAACAATTGAATTGTGTAAATATTTCAAAAATGGTGGATTTCCCCTTGAACACATTTCATCTCAAATAGTTTTTTATGAAAATATAAGGTTTTTTCTTGGTCATATTTCTGACTGGTGTCTAAAGTAGGCTAAGACTATTTTGAGAATCTGCTGTAGAAGCTCAGTTTGTCTCTATTTACTTTCAACTAAACTTGTTTATATCTCCTGCAAGCATGAGATAGTAAAATTTTAGTAAAACATCAATAATAGACCCTTTAAAGATTATGTGTACCATGAATGGCAGTTATACATGTATTATAATGTGTTTTACTAATTTCCTTTATAGAGCTTCACTAGTGCATGCTGGAAATAAATGTCTCTGGTCATATAATTTAATTGGATTTACTTTACAGTAAAGAATACATCAAAAACGCTTTTAAAGCTTTACAACCTGAAAAAATGTAGTAAAATTCATGACGGTTGGGTTTTAATGTGTTACATTCAACTTATGACAACAGCAAATAATACAGAACGAGGCAGACAGAGAGAGAGAGAGAGAGAGAAAGAGAGAGAGACATGACAGAGAGAGAGAAAGAAAGAAAGAAAGAAAGAAAGAAAGAAAGAAAGAAAGAAAGAAAGAAAGAAAGAAGGAAGGAAAGAAAGAAAGACAAAAGAAGAGAAAGAAAGAAAGAAGAGAAAGAGCAAGAGAGAGAGGAGAAAGAGAGAAAGAGATGAGACAAGCAGAGAGAGAATAAGAAATGATAAAGAACAAGAGAGAGAGGGGGGGGAGGGGGAGGGAGGGAGAAAGAGACAGAGATAGAGAGGGCAAAGAGAGAGATAGAGAAAGAGGGAGGGAGAAAGAGACAGAGATAGAGAGAGGGGGAAGAGAGGAAGAGAGAGACAGACAGTGAGAAAAAAATAAGACAGAGGGAGAGAAGGAAGAGGAAGAGAGAAAGAAAAAAGAGAGAGAGAGAAGGAAGAGAGAGAGAGGAAAAAACAGAGAGAAGACAAACAGACAGAAACAAATAGAGAGAGAGAAGAGAGACAGAGAAAGGGAGACAGAAAGAAATAGAGAGAGAGAGGAGAAAGAGAGTGAGAAAGGGAGAGACAGATAGAGAGAGAGACAGAGAGAAAGAGAGGGAGAGTAGAGAGAAAGAGAGGGAGAGGGGAAGAGACAGAGAGAGACAGAGAGAGAAAGAAGAAAGAGAGTGAGAAAGAGACAGATACACAGAGAGAGACAGAGAGAAAGAGAGAGAGTACAGAGAAAGAGAGAGAGAGAGGGGGAAGAGACAGAGAGAGAAAGAAGAAAGAGAGTGAGAAAGAGAGAGAGAGAGAGAGAGAGAGAGAGAGAGAGAGAGAGGGAGAGTAGAGAGAAAGACACAGAAAAACTGGTCTTTGTATGTCTTTTAGTGACATAGTTTTTTTTTTTATTTAATTATGATTCTACACTTAGCAGATCTGTTTCCCTCAAAGTATTTCGGTATTTCGGCCTGATATAGTGATAAGAACGTTATTGGCAGGTACATTATCAGTTGTGAGCTCATGATTTAGGACTTGAGCTGCTTCGCATATCAGCTTTTGCTGCGCATCTCAGTTTGCAGGAATCTTTATGCTGATAATGCAAACACCGTGGCGCGTGTAAATGATTTATGAAGAAGAGGATGGGTGATAACCTCAGCATGGAAGCGTTTACTCCCTCTGTGACAACACTAATGAACCATTAACAGATCAATAGTTTTTCCTAACTGCACATTCATACAGACACTGCACATCATGCCAGTGCATTCATGATATGCACTATAAAAAGTGATGCAATGAGTTTACTTGATTCAAATGTACATCATTATCATTTACTGATTTGTGTCAGGAACGTAGTTGATGTAATACATTTCATTCATTAGGAAATCAAGTTTGAGTATAATAGGGTAGACTTTACCAATCAAAGGTACAGTATCAGCATAACATTGCACTTTGTTCTTTCTATCTCCATTTTGGCTTTTTTACAGATTTTGAAAAAGCCAGTTGCTCTTTACAGTGTGTTATAATCAGGGATGGATTACTGACCAGGCCATTTGGGCCAGTGCCCAGGGGTCTCTGGCTGCCAGGGGCCTCGGGGGGCCTCAGACCACAAGGTCTGAGATGGTTCAAATATTTCGGACAATCCACTGCACATGCAAATATTACATGAACAGCTAGCCCTTGAATACATACATGACTAAATAAAAGAAATAAATGAAATATCACCTTTTTCAAGACCTCTCAAGTTTTTGTGTTATTATCAACCCATGGATAGTGTTGAGGAATGTTAGTGTTTCTCTTCCAAAAGTGTTCTATATGTACCCTTTCATAAGTAGACTGCTTTGTTACTACATTACTACTTGATTTGGCTTAAAAGAAGAAAAAAAAAAAAACAACAATCTTCAAGTCTTATAACACAGTGATCTGTCCTTGGATATAATTATATGATAGATGTTCCATTTACTTCCATCCAAAAATAGGTGTTGCTTTCTTTTTTATGGAAAGAAAGTGGCCTAAATGGTATCTTACACTATTGTTCCCTTTCCCCAGAGGTCACATCTTACCTCAAGTGGCACAGCCCCAGTTTGCTGACTGTAACTGAGTCTGAGTCTTGTACAGTGGATAGAGATTAGATGAAGCCGAGGTTAGCTTCTGGCGCTAACGTGTAACTGCTGCGCCATTTAAGGTGGTAAGGAAATGGAAATGTAAGCTAACATCAGCCTTTAGAGATTGGTATATCAAATTTAGGGCAACAGTGTGAATCTGGTCCTGGCTGGCACAACATGCAGTCCTCTGCAGAGCTCATTAGCTTTTTGACATTACCGATGTAGCAATTTTCATACATGAATATAAAGATGGACAGCAGCAGCACAGACAAGACAAGAAGCAGGTGGGCAGTGAGAAATACTGACCCTAACTTACTTAGCCAACTTTGTAGCATAATATGCTAAATAGTTTGTAGCATTTTGACTGTCACTTCTTCATTAAGAAGAATGAAAATGTGCTGCTTTTAGAAAAGTTATGTTGCACGAAGGCAATGCTGTGTCTGTAACTCCTAGTCTGAAAACAACACTCTGGCCCTGCTTATTTCTTTGAGAGGCCTCCCATCATTCAAATGAACCCACAGAAACTATGCAAGCTTGTAAGCTTGTGAAGGTTTCAGCTTCACCCAACCATCGCAGGCTTCGTTTCTATGAGTACCGAGCACTGTTACCAGTCTCTATCACACCTATGCATGTCCACTTAATGAGCTATACATACTGTAAATGCAACCTATTCAGTTTTACATCTCAGATACATCGATAGTAATTCAGTTATTAAGCTACACCAATTCTGCTATGTGCTTTATAAGGTTCTTCATGTAATGCATTAAAGCAGCCTGTGTGTGTTTCAGGCAGTAAAGAGGCCGCGTTCACCTACGCCATCATCGCAGCAGGAGTGGCCCACGCCATTACGGCGGCATGTACGCAGGGTAACCTGAGTGAGTGCAGCTGCGATAAGGAGAAGCAGGGCTTTCATGGCCGGGGGGATGGCTGGAAGTGGGGCGGCTGCTCCGCTGACATCCGCTATGGCCTCAGCTTCTCCAAAGTGTTCATGGATGCTCGGGAAATCAAACAGAGTGCCAGGACTCTCATGAACCTTCATAACAACGAGGTGGGACGGAAGGTACGGCCGTGACGGTGGCTTTTATTCTGGACATTATTCATTTTTTTAGTGAGACATAATGACATTGGTGACATCACATTTGTGCAAAACCCAAACACCAACAGAGGCATCCCAGTTGGGAGAATAGTGGACCTGAGTGAGTCCCCAGGAGGCCTGGACTAAAAGGTTTTGTGTTGAAAATAAATAGGTTAATACTAAATCTTGCATACATAAAATTGGTGGATGCCCTCGCTAACACTTCGCTCCCTGATTGTAGGAGCACAAATGGTGCAGCTTCACTAGATTTCAACATAACTGAACACAGTAACTGCAGCTGATAAAATATCATGCAAAATTAAGCAAATAAAGTTGGGAAACCAAAACGTTAGGAGAATTTTGGGCATTCTTTGGGCCCACAGAGGCTGAAAGACAAAGCAAAACATGCAAAGCAGGACATTAGAAACACCACATTACACTTTATTTGCTACATAGCATTAACAGAACAATGCCATAGACATGCCATGTCAGGTACATCCACTGTGGTAGATAACCGGCTTTTCTTCTATGTTTTATGAATTGAATCAGGCTAAGAGTTGGGGATATGGCAAAAACAGCACAATACTTCAAGACGTGTTCACGATAGATGATACGCATGATAATAGTTTGTTTTTCTGAGACTTAATATGTTGGAATGAACAAATAGAACTTGCAGTGTCACATTAAAAGTACTAATAAATTAAAACCTACAACTGTTATATTTTTAGTCAATATTTTACAAACTGCACTAAATCCAATTAAACCAGCTGCAAAGGGCCCCTGTGGCTGCAGGTTTTCACTCCAATAAAGCAAGAGGTCACCTGATGAAAGGTTTAAACACTAAGACCAACTGATTAAACAAGTGATGTCAGGTGTGCTGCAGCTTGTTTGGAGTGAAAACCTGCAGCCACACCGGCCTTTTGCGGAAAAGATTGGACACCCTTGTTGTAGTTAGTCGGTGTCCTTTAAGTACAGACGATATACATGATATGGGTGGAAAAGAATTTTGCGACATCAATTTTCATGATAAGAATAAAATATCATCATATTGCCCTCCCCTGAATCAGGCAGTGTTTTTTGGACCTGAAATGTCAAGAATTGTGACTGAGATCTACTCAGCTTGAAAAGTGGAGATGAATAATGATGGTTTGCTCTGCTTTAATGTACTTTTAACTAATGAAGATTATTTAGACTATTTGTTATTAGCCAAATGATGGCTTTGACCTAAGTGTACATCCTTTAAGGAGGATAACTTGCTTTCATTTTTTCCTTTATGAACTGAATCAGGTTGAGTTATGCCAGAGAAAACCCCAACCTGTCCAAGTCTGGGGCTAAAATCAACTCAGTAGAAAATATGAGGTGTTTATTTACAGCTTACTATACAGTGATACATTTTTAGCCAATTAATGCATCTGCTTTTATTCCATCCTTTATGAATTGTAACAGGCATGCTAGGCCAGGGAAAACCCAAAACTGACTCAAATGGTGTCTTTGACATAAAGATACATCACTATGGTGGACAAGCTGCTTTTATGTCATCATTTGTGGATCAAATCAGGTGTATTTTGGCAGGGAAAACCTAAAACTGCCCAGAACTAGGACTGAACTAGAAACAATTGGAGATGTGCAAAGATGGCTTACTGAACTGTGATGCATTATTAGCTAATTAGTTATGATTTGTCTGTTTGTTTTTGGCCAAAAAAAAGGCTTTGACCTAAAGGTATGTCCATGGTAGTGGAAAACCTGCTTTTGTTCCATCCTGTATAAATTTACTCAGGTTTTGTCAGCTTCCAAAAAACTGACAACCACTGAGCTACAAGACTGGAGATGTATAATTATGGCTTACTGTGCTTTGATGCACTGTTAGTTCATTAGTGTGTTGTTACTATTTAGTAGTCTGTTATTGCTGAGCTTTGACCTAAAGGTCTGCCCATTTCATCCACCCTTGATGGATATGTTTATACGCTCTCTGGTTGTTTGGTCAGAGAAAACCCCAAACTGTCCAGGACTTGAACTGACAACCACTGAGCTAGAAAACAACCTATATAATTACAACCTACTGTACTGTGGAGAGCTATCAGTTAATTAGTGCTTTATTATTATTTGATTGGGCGTTATTAGCCAAATGATGGCTTTAGCTTAAATTGGTTACAGTGACTGGATCAAAAGAAAGTCAGCGAGGTAGAGCGAGTCAGTAAAGTTGGCATCGTGGTGGATGGTCGTCAACAGGTTGGCGCTGAGGCCAAGCCTGAGCTGGCAGCGCAATAATGGGAAGCTTTTAGGGGTAAGAGCAGTTTAAGTGGCAGAGTTTGATTACAAACTAGATCAGAGAACGGCAAACACACTGGAGCCGCACAAAAGCATTTGCTCCCCCATGTTCTGCTCAGTTTACACCACTGACTCACACCATGATCCCCTATTGGCCTCATCTTTTCATCTAATGGTGAAAAAGGTAACATGTTTCATCTTTGACGCCCTGTTTTTGTTTTGCAGACCTTTTAGTTTCTCCAAAAGCCTTACGCTGTTAAATGCTTTTTTCACTTTCACCTGCATCTGAAAGTGCTCCCCGCCTCCAGCTGTCTTTGATGTGGTGCGAGTTAATATCTTCAGCTAAATCTTGAGCCTGAATTGTCCTGATAAATGTCTTTTGTCATGCCTCTGTATGAAAAACATGCCTTCTTGCTGTCTTAAGCAGGCCGCGTTAACCCTTAGGCTGGTTTACATAATGAAACTATTACTCAACTAAGCTCACTTAAAGCATGCATACAACTACTTTTCACTTTCGTTACTTAATGTAAAGCCGTTTGCAATTTGATGGACACTTAGTTGTTGCTTACTACAATTGAAACTTTCTGTAACAATTTTCATGAAACAGCCAATCAAAATGCAGATAACATACCGCATGATGACATCACAAACATGCTGTTGCCCCATTCGATATTGCTTTTTTCTGCTGGCACCCAGTTAGCTTAATTAGCTAGCTAGTGGAGACTCCTTCGGTTTCTGATGCATGAAATTTATTTACAAAATGAGACACTAAGTGGTCCCAGATAACTTGCTGGAAATGATACAGTGAAATAAATGTAAATAAAACCTTCTAGATTATTTTATATAACCAGAATGATATAATATATGAAAAATACTAGCGATAATAAATACTATACGAGCGCTGAAACAGTCAGTCACTCACGTAAATGCTGCCACCTCCAATGCAAACTGTAACGCTAACAGCCAAGGAAGCTGAACTGTTAGCAAGTTTATTCAGGCTGCAAATGGCTAGGTTAATTTTTATGCCCACAGCATCACACACAATGTCTGGCTAATTAACTAGCTAGCTAACTAACAGTCACACCAGCTGTTGACCTTGGGCTTGAGAAAGGTCCTATATAAGTTGAACTTATTATTATTATTGTTCTGCAGAAAGAAAATGGGCCTTGTTCTTGAGAAATGTCTTAAGAAAAAGTCTACGTTTAGATTCAGGACATGTTCTTAATCCGCAGGATTGCTCTCAAATTTGTGCTCTTGAGTGTGCAGATTATGTTCTTATCTGAGAACATAATAAAAAAAATAAGAAAATATTGTGAAAACTTGTGAAAACTGCATAAATAGATGTTAAGAAGAAATTTCTTCTTAAGAACAGTTGGTGAATGAGGCCAAATCTTCACATCCTTATTACAACATCAAAACCTGTCTACACAGAGTCAAAATAAAATGTGTATAAATTGAACTTTGCAAACTAATTGTGTAATTTTATCAGTAGATTTGAATTGTATGGCAGAATGAGAGTAATAACTCTAGACATCTGAGGGTTAAATAGGCGCATATCAGCCGCAGATTTAGACGCTGACATGGCTTTCACGGGTGGGGCGACATAGACTAGCCCCCCGCAGTCCCCCTCCTGCTCCTGGTTGGGTTTAATGAGGAGGAAAAGAAGTCTCCATCTTTGTGTCTGGCGTGTTCCACTCTCTGTCACAGAGAGGCGATTCATGGCTGGAAACTCGTCCCCTCACTCACCCAGCCGATTCACAGTGGCCGTTTTTTTTCCCCTCTTGGCCGATGCCTGAATTCACGCTGGCTTATCTAAATGGCAAAATTGCCTCTTAGTGTACTGACTATGCTTCCAGGTTCATTCTATCTGTAGGTTTTGTCTCCAGGCTGTTAAAAGAGGCCTCTGTTGGGAAGGCTCCCCTCCCGGGTCTTAATTTATGCTGGCGAATGTAATGACATTGGGTAAGATCCTGGCTATCGTTGCCCACCACTAAACAGGAGATAACAAAAGCTGTCCGTAGTTTTAGGCACCAGGATGTTAACGGATAAGTGGCTCCGAAAAGGCCAGTTTGATTGGTGGTGTGTGGGTAAAGAGAGGAACTTTGTGCGAGGCTGACAATACGGTTTGGCTTGTTTTGCTGAATGACTTTTAGAGTGGCATTTCGTAGGTAAACCATGCTTAGACTGAACTGCTTTTTCTCAGTCATGTGTTATCAGAGCGTGTTCACTGTTACCTGAGAGTTGCAGGCTGTAACTGCCATTTTGGCATGTTGTCATGGATAAAGTAATGTGAAAATTAGAGATGATGCCGATCTGATACTTAGAATCGGTATTCGATTGATATCAGCAGTGAAGGTCAGAGGAAATTTTGTAACAAATCTAGAATTGATTAGAAACTAAACAAGGGCTGCATTTAACTCACTTGGTTCAAAGATGTGCATTTTTTCCACATATTAAAAAAACTCCCCTTTCAGTCCTCCTCAAGTTGGGCCCTAGCACTATATATACCATTCTACCAAATCAGTTCAAACTGTGGTCCCACAGTAAAATAATAATAATAATAATAATAATAATAATAAAGAAAATTCTTTACTATTCAGACCTTATAATCACAAGGATTATGTTATGATTTATTTAAATCCCAGGCATTCATTAAGATAACCATAAGCTTATTATATATATAAAAACATAATTTATTATCATTTATGAGGTACTTTCCATTGGAAGGTGCCTGTCCCAAACTTTAACCCCTAAATTTACACTTGTGAAAAAAAATATTTTTAGTATTTTTTTCCAGTGTTTTTGTTTTAAAGATCTTTCTTATTTCTTTTAAAGTGAAGTTGAAAAATTTTATCATAAGTTTAATTTTAAAAAAGAAAACTTTATTCATGAAATGCTGTCCCATGTTTTCATGTCACTACCGAAACACTGTTTTAGACTATATGCGAAACCTTATTTTAGCCACACCCCTGCATTTTAGAGTATGAAGTGAGACTGCAACCTAAGAATTGTCACTACCGAAACATTTCAGTAAACTTTTTTGTGCTTCAATGAAAAATACAATTATTTTATGTGTGTACAGCTGTTCAAAGTTGAGCAATCTTGGTAAAATGGTCCATAAAACATAAGACAAAGTAAAGCTGGTCAACTGGTAACAGCAGCAGCTACATATAGTCTAACATTAACACAAGAACAACTTCTAACTAACTAAATATAATATTTGACTCACAATTATTTTATTTTAAACAGTCTATATTTGCAAACATTTCCACTGTAAATGATGTTTCACTTTAAATCTCTAAAGGCTCTGGTTTTGTGCAAGTCTTGTTGTTAGCTATGTTTCAGAGGCTGAGTAGGTGGTCATTTTTAGTGACATGCTCTAATGAAAAATAGCTCATTTTAAAGCTATCAAGCCATCTTCAATGAAAATGCCTGTGATGTCCTTGATCTGTTGATTTGAGCACTATAGACATCTGCAAATAAAATGGAGTTCTCTTAACAACCCAACGAGTCTTCGGACATAGAAGCCAAATATTTGACCCTTTTTGACCAATAGCCTCATGAAATATCGAAGGTCTTTTTCATTCAGGTCTTTCCTTAACGCTGCTTCTCTGTAGGGTGAGGTACAGCCACACATGCACAGCCTGACACCAGATATCTGTGCTTGTGTACACTATAGACAGAGTTACTCTATCAGCCACACTACGTTCATTCATCACATTACAGCTCAGCTAGGGAAAGTGAACTTCTCCTGATGTGGAGATAAGTTAGGGGCACCTTGCTGTTCAGCCACCTTGTTATTGTTGTAAGGCATTAACTTTGCCTTGATTTGGTGTCAAATCTTTCCCAACATTAAGCAGTTTTTACCTTGTTAGTATATGATTTTGACAAAAAACTAATATAGACCTGGTAATTTCCTCACTCAAATTAGAATACAAAAAAATGTTGCACCCAGGACCTGTCAGCACATTCAAACTTCTATACCTTAAGAATAAGTTTGCATTGAAGCCCTTGCAGTTACTTAACAATTTGCCTTGTGAAGAAAAATCACTATTTTCTCTTTACCCCAGTCTTGTCAATCAGAAAAGACATGTTTAGTGTCTGGAGTTTACTTCTGGAGCTAATATAGTGTATAGATATTCTGTTATCTAAAAAATGGACAAATTTCAGACTTTAAATAGCTGCTATTACTGGTTTTAGCTGTGCAGTACACTTTTAACAAGTTTCTTAGATAAAAGTATATCATACTGTGTCAAACACAGATTTCCACATGTCAGTCAATGCAAGTCCGAGTCAAGTCTTCTGTCCTTCGTAGAGAATTATAAGTCAGTCTTGTTATAAGCTGTAGACACTGCATTCTACAAAAGTAAACCAGACTACAAACGCATCAGGTTCAACATGGCTTCAAACAAGCCTTTCATTATAGAAAAACCTTCAGTCTGAAGGACAAAACTGAGACACTATATACAGTAAATGCAGTTCAAAGCAAAGAAGCAGTACAACTTGAATCAGTTGGTTAGTCTGTAGTTTGTATATCTTATATGCTAGCTATTAGCAGACTAGCCCAATAGCAAATCGCTGCTGTCGGAACAAAACCTCGTATCTCCAAAATGGTACCTTTACAGGAGAAGGAAAAAGCATACTTTACTTTTAATGCAAGTCAATGTAACAAGACATTTTGTCCATTTAATGAGAAATTTATACACAATGTGAAGATCCACAGGCATTTTCAAATTATGTCAAAAACTGAAAAAATGACAAAAATGGAGATAAAAGGTTTTGTTGCGACAGCAGCGAAATCTAGCTGAGGTTTGGTAAGTTTCAAATGAATGTGATCTGTAACTTACTAAAAGCTTGATTAGCTGAAGAGCTGCAGCTATAATAGCTGCTATACTGCTGTACTTGCTATACATGCTTGCCCACAGGTTCAAGCTGATCTACCTCTTTACTTTAAACGCCACGTTTACTGCATGTAGCACTTCTTTCTGTCCATCAGCCTTTTCTATAATAAAAGGCTCATATTTTGGAGCCAAATCGAATGATATTGAATGGTATTGCAGAAATGACCACACACAACTTTAGCAAAACTGACTGACTCACATATAGAGTTGGAAAGTAAATGTTTCATTCATTTTCCATCTTGGCCATCCTAATTTAATCCGTTTTTTTCTCAGGGTGAAATTTTACAGGTCAAGTCCGTATTGAGTCACAAGTCAGTCATCATGCGACTAGAGTTGTTTCCTTTTTCTCCATTTCTAGTGTCGCAAAACACATAAGCAAGTCTACTCAAAAAGTGTGTAATGTTCAGGCACAATACTAATTGGTGGTCATATGCTTCCATTATTTGTTAGCTATGTTAGTCTTACAGCTCCAAAACTACATTACACACCAAAAATGTCTTGGCTGTTCATCCAAATTTAGTGTATGGGTGAAAAATGCTTCGCCAGGCTAATCCTTAAATGTCCAACCGATCTCTGATCTCTTCCTCTGGCCAGGTTCTGGAGCGGAACATGCGTCTGGAGTGCAAGTGCCATGGCGTGTCAGGCTCGTGCACCACCAAAACCTGCTGGACGACGCTGCCCAAGTTCCGCGAGCTGGGTTACATCCTGAAAGAGAAGTATACGCAGGCGGTGCATGTGGAGCCGGTGAAGGCCAGCCGCAACAAGCGACCCACCTTCCTCAAGATCAAAAAACCCTTCTCCTACCGCAAGCCCATGGACACTGACCTGGTGTACATTGAGAAGTCACCCAGCTACTGCGAGCCAGACCCCGTGACGGGCAGTGTGGGCACCCACGGCCGTCTCTGCAACAAGACACTGACCCAGCATGCGGGCAGCTGTGACCTGATGTGCTGTGGCCGTGGATACAACACTCACCAGTACTCGCGCGTATGGCAGTGCAACTGCAAGTTCCTCTGGTGCTGCTACGTCAAGTGCAACACCTGCAGCGAAAGGACAGAGGTGTATACATGTAAATGAGGGTTTATACGGATTGTTTAGGGAATGCGTGGTAGGATTATAACGCGTTTTGTGCTGTCCACAGCATTCAAGGACCCGACTTGATTTGTGTTTGCTGTTGTCTTTTTTGCACAATGAATCCTCATGGGATATAACCAAGAGGGCAGTGCTTTACACTGGAGAAGTGTCCAGCAGACTTTAAAGTGACTTTGAAATGGAAAACAAATAGTCTTCCTTGGCCCTGGACTTGCTAGACCGAATATGATTCTGCTTTCCATCAGGCTCTGCTGAGCTTGGCCTGTGGAATCGATGCAGTGTTTTACACTCAAGAAAGTGTCCAGCAGACTTTTAAAAAACTAATTAATGAGGAAACAACAACAGTTGTCCTGGATTTACTGTCTGTTCCTTCTGATATCAATTCCATCCTGGATAATGGACTCCATCAAGCTTTGCTGACCTTCTCAGGCTTGTGGCATTGGTGCAATTCTTTACATTGGAGGAAGTGTCCAGGAGACTGTAAAATCACTGTGGAGTGGACAAAAGTCAACAATAAGTAGCCCTGGACTGAATGAAGTCCATTCCTTCATATAAGCCGCACCTGGCCTACCACCTCAGTGCAGCCTTTTGCACTGGAGAAGGCATCCAGCAAACTTTAAAATGACTATAGAACAGGAAAACAACAAGTTGCCCTGAATTTGCTGTCCATTCCCTCTGACACCCATTCCTTCCAGAATTCTGCAGTCCATCAGGCTCTGCTGACCTTATTAGGGCCTGTGGCATCAATGCAGCATTTGCACTGGAGAAAGCATCCAGCAGACAAAATGACAATAGATTGGGAGAACAACAACAGTGACCCTGGACTTGCTGTATTGAATGAGATCCATTCCATCCTGGATTCCATGCTCCATCGAGATCTGCTAACTTGGTCAGGCTGTCAGCATCTGTGCAATTCTTCACACTCACAAATCTTTGCACTGGAGAAAGTGCCCAGCAGACCATACAACTAGAGTGTAATGGGAAAAAAACAACAATGAGTGACTCTGGACTGAACAAAATCCTTTTTTCACAGATTCTGCACCTTATTAGGCCTACAGCATCAGTGCAGCCTTTTACAGTGGACAAAGTGTCCAGCAGACATTTAGCATACATTAAAATGACTACGACATGGAGAAAACAATGGTGGACATGAAAAACAACTAGGTTCTGGACATGCCTGGAGCAAATGAGGTCCTTTCCTTTGTGCAGCGTTTTACACTGGATAAAGCTCCCATAGACTTTAAAATAACTATGGACAGGAAAACAACAACAACAACTGCCCTGGATTTGTTGGACTCAATAATGTCAGTTTCGCATGATGTCCAATCCATCCTGAGTGGCGCTCCCCATTAGGCTCTGCTGACCATATAAGGCTTGTGAAATCAGATCAGTGCAATTCTTGACACTGCAGGCAGCATCCAGCAGACTGTAAAATGGCTATGGAATGGGAAAAAATGGCCCTGGACTCAATGAAGTCCATTCCTTCATAGATTCTGCACTCCATCAGGCTCTGCTGGCCTTATTAGGCCCGCGGCGTCAGCGTAGCGCGGGCGAGTCTGGAGCTGTCTGAAATGTGTCTAAGCTACTAGACTTTTCTCCTCCCTTGATCGATGTTAGACTGATAATGATAGGTGTGTGCACCTTGGCGTGTGGGACATTACATGATAAGTCTCTCTTGGCTCACATGCAGCGATAGGGAAGCTGACAATTTATGTAAAGAAACAATTTTATTTATTTATTAAGCAAGCTACTGTTGAGTGGATGTTCGTAGTGGAGCCTGCATGTCTATGAAAGCTGAAATTAGATTCACACTGGAACCTGAAATGCTTACTGAACTATGTACTGCATTGGTGGCGTGTTGTAGCATTGCATGTCCACCAGTTTTAGGAATGGCATGCGTGAGCAATTTCCCCCTTATTTGCTGCTAGTCTGGAGAATCACATATGGTGAGATGGTGAAAAAAAAATACTACTGACTACAAGCTTAATTTGAACTGGAATAGTGATACACCCAGACAAATGGAATTTACACTGAAAATAATTGGTGAGAGAATATATTTTGTGAAAGAGTATTTTTATATGAATGTTTTATTTATACTTTGTATAAATTTTCTGTTTCTAGTGCTCAATTGTGCATTGCCTCTGAATCTGGTCATGCAATAGTTATGGAACAATGGGTGACATTTACGTGGTTATACCTGAAGATGGTAGTGTCATTAAAATCAAGCATACGCATTCCACTGATTTACTGTCTTGTGAACATTTGTCGTGGTTACTAGAGCTTGCCAGAGCTGCCACAATTGCTCCATCATTCGATGTAGTATGCAAACACTGTTAAATTTCAAAACATACTATTCACTCCCCCGTCCATACAGTCAGTGTATAGAAATTCAGCTGCAGTTTTGAATTCATTGCTTTTGTGATGCCATTAAACCAACATATTTACATATATCCACCTATTTAGCTTATTCTAGCAGTTTAGCCCCACCCATTCACCCAGAGTGTTACAGCTTGAACTGCTTTTGAATGAGGAACAATACAGGGTAGCCAGTCAGAAGAGAGATCATTTGCATATGTTAGTCATAAAGGAGCAGTAACCAAAACAGCCTGCTAAAGTCTAATCCGCATTTTATTCATTTGCACTTCTAAATCTCTACAAATAAATGTTACGTTGCTCTGGAATGCTACTAGTTTCAGATTCTACATAGAAAATGTGCAAAGGCTTCATAGTTTTTGGTCATATTTTTCAAACGAGGCACCACCAGTTATTTTTTGTCTTAAAGTATCATGATAGTATATTTTTGGTATTCTGCCCTCCCCTAATATGTGTAGTATAGGCTATGTACTGTATATACAGTCATATATACAAAAGTTTCTTCACATTTTATTTGGATGGTCCCCTATAGATGCTCTACAGCTACTTGAATCATTAACAAATTTTCTGGCGATCCTCAGTTGATTATCAACAACATTATGGTTAGGGTTAGGGTTAGGAGTAGATGTAGGTTTTGCCTTGAGGTTAAAGTTAGGGTTAGGTTTAGGGTTAGGGATAGATTTAATAAACTCTTTCACACTGAACTTCAAGTTCAGTTGAATTAAATTGATATTTAGTAGAATGTTATGGAAAGACAGACTGAGCATTTACAAAGCATCTACAGTGAACCATATAAGTAACATTCAAGTGGCATTTAATGACTATTCAGTTGAATGTTACTTAAATATAGTGAACGTTTATAAAGAATCTACAGTGGACCATACAAAAAAAGTGTATATATTTTTTCCCAATTTCTATGGGGAAATTCTAAAAATCTAAGCAACTAAATAGAGATTGTGCAGTACAATTTACAATTTGCAGAAATATTTAGGTTCCCTGTAGAGGAAAATTATTTTCACTTAGAAAATTATGTAATTTGACATGTTCAATTTCAAAAGACTTGCTGCCTCTTTACACTATGTCAAAATGTTATGACAAATCAGCCAATAGAAAGTAAAATTAACTTACATTAAAAGTCAAGGAGGTTTATATTAAGGAAGTTAAGGAAGTTGCCATTTTGGACATCTAAGTTTTTTTTTCCAATAGCAATGATATACATTCTGACAGATAGGTCAGGCACAAAAATCAAACATTTTCCAAATGTAAGCATGAAATATGATATAACCTTATTAACAACAAAACTGTGTGACTTTGAATTGATTCTACTCAATAATGCTAACTTACTGCTTGGCCAGCAGTGCTAGGTCAGCAGATATAATGCTTGAGTTTTGTTCAGAAAGTGTCAAGACAGTGACTTGCTTTTGCGGGAGGGCCAGGGCCTGTCGAGTGATTAATGACGCTAACCGTCCATTGCATTCAACCCTAAACTGCCTGTTGCTACAACAACTCTGCAAGTGAGCCACAAAATGTAAGCTAGCCTCCAAGAGAGAACAGTTCATCCAGTAGCCAAACAAAAAAAAAAGAACAGTTTGGAGCAGTGATTGCATACTTTATGCCTAAAAACCCAAATAAAGATGCATCAGAAAACTTGACATGTGAAATGGATGATATCAGGAGTCACTTTCAAGACCATCTAGAATAAAGATGAGCTCCACTAGATCTAAAGAGGCTGGCTGGGTCGGAAATCTGGTTAAAGTTAAACCAAAGACATTAAACCCTTTAAGTCATTCATCGTATTCATCTTGGAGCCTAAAAGGATTGTGAACAAGTCCTCACTATTTTGCATCTCTGAGGCTTCAATATGAGTCATCAGCTGCAGGCCCATTGAGGTCATTGGGTAGTTATTCTTAGCGTTGGGGAAATTCACTGCAGGAATGAAGTTAATGATTAAGTAGTACTCAATTTATAGTGAAAAGCCAAAGTTCCTCAATAACCTACTTAAATTTCAGGGAGCGAATGATACGTAAAAGGTAACACCAAACTTTTCTGACAGTGTTGAAAGGGTATGAACTTGTATGGTTACAACAAAGCCTTCCTCAACCTTGTCATCTGGAAAGCTACTGTTTTGGTTTTTGTGTTTGACGAGCATGTGCTAGAGATCTTTTGTGTAGTAAAGAGATCAAGGAGATAGCAATTATATTCTTAGCAGTGTTTCTGTGTAAACAGAGACATATCACTGCCAATGTAGACAATGTTTGATGTGTAGGTTGATCTGAAGTGGAGCCCTTTTGCTCAGACTCCTGCGTGGCATTTACAAGCGCCCTGAAGTACACCTGAGCTGCTTCCGACCCTACAGTAAGTCCGCATGCAACAGCTTTTTCTCCTCTGGATCACTGCCATAGCTTCACTTGCTATGGAAATGGCCTCTTTGATATGTATCTTCAGGAGCTTTGAAATTGAGTCTGTATCAAGCATTCCTGCTCGAGGCGAGGTTCCACAAAGTTGAATTTTCAGCCCAAGGTTAGCATTTATCAGAATTGATGGTTACTATTTTTCATTTTCCCCAAAGTCCCGTTTACAAATGTTACACTAATGTCATAATAAATGGTTGCGAAAAGTGTCTTGACGTGACAAAAAGCTCTTCATGCTCCTCATCAAAAGGCAAATCGCTGCAGATAATCTGCAGTCAAAAGACAACAATGAAGACAGTAATTGGACGGAGTGGAGAGTGCCGAGGCAAATGTGTTTTCCACCTTCTGCCTGTCCATAAATCACCTGACACATAATTCCGTCAGTCATACTCTTGTTTTTTTTCGTCTGGTTGAGACATGCACGAGCACCTGAGACGTGTGCTGCAAATTGCAGAGTGCAAGGCAAAGGCCTTCAAACATATTGTATACCAATGGGGCCTTGGGGGGTCATGAGATGTATGAGATAATCAACAATGGTGATGTACTGTAATGCACCAAAAAGGGTTCTTCTGTTGTTACTGTGTTAAGCTTGTAACAACAGAAGAACCCTATATCGAACCACTTTCAAAAAGCTTCTGTGTAGAACCATGTACAACAGTCTGAAGAACAATTTCACCACGCAAAGAACCATTAAGGCAGGAAATGGTTCAATATAGGACTCATGGTTCATTCAGCTAGCTAGCGTAGTACACTTGCTACAGACAAACCAACCATTTCAAGTTGTTTTGCCTGTCTTGTTCACTGCGTGTCTTCAGTTCTGTCCTTCAGATTGCAGGTTTTTGGCATGTTATCTGAATCTGGGCTTTAAATCAGGGCTTTTGTACAATGTGATGCCTGCAGCTAATAACAAGACTACTCTAAAATTCTCTACTAAATACTCACACTTGCATGAATTGACTTGTTAACATCACTGTTAAGAGGCATGTGTATCATGGATTATAATATTTTTAAGAAGCAGTCATCATGTATTCAAATTTCCTGTCAGTATTATAAATGGCTGTTTAAATCACTAAAAGGAAACATGCCTGCAAGGTTTGCAATTGTTCAGTTAAGTCTGTTTTAGGGGTTTTGCAAGAACAAACACTTTTAACTCCCACTAGTTTTTGTTAGGATTTATGTTCACATTTACAGGCATAGAAAGTAGTTAGTGTCATGCATTTTTACCTACAACAAATTGTTGAGTTACAGTAAGATATGAAGCATCTTTTGAGTCAAATTGGGTAAGGTTAGGTTTTGGAAAGGTTGGTTAAGGTTAGGTTTTGGTAAAGTTAGGTTTTGGGTAAAGTTGGGTAAGGTTAGGTTTTGTGTAAGATTCAGTAAGGTTAGGTTTTGGTAAGGTTGGGTAAGGATAGGTTTTGTGTAATGGAAGTAACATTAACAATATATCTACTTAATGAAAGTAGATTTATCTCAATGTATTTAGATGCTTCACTACTGTTACTTCACTGATATGTTGTTAACGTATTACTGATAATCTGTTAAGAGTTTATTAATTATCTACAAAGGACGACTCCAGATAAAATGTTACCCAGTCTTATTCATGTCCCACATACATCTTCAAATATACATACATAAGTTACTGAGTTACTTTTTAACTGAAACTGCATTGTATAAAGGTTAAATCAAGACATATTTTAATAATTTGTGCCATTTTTTCTAAAAATAGGTTTAATATTTATGTGTCTTACCATGACGCTGGCTAAATGACCTAAAATAAAGTTTTTTTTCAAAGTCAAACCTGCTTTCCAAGGATGTCCTTATTGCAAATCTTTGTTTTCACATTTTCACTGTTTTTTTATTATATAATCAGTACTGACAAGGCTGACTGTTCCATTACCAGATCCGCTTTAGACAGTAGAAACGAGAGCTGTAAGCCATCGTTTTCCTGACATGCTTCTGCTGCTTGTAAACATTCCAAAATGAGCTCTGTAAAGCCCATAGGGAACATTACTAGATGCTGAGATTAGGCCTGTGAGGGTGCAGCACTGACACAAGCTCTTAATACAGATAGTGTTTGCATTTAAAAAAGAAAAAAATCCCTTTAAGCATGTGTTTCGCAAGTGTGCATTTGAGACATGAGTGAGTGAGCTCTGCTAAAGAGTTCCTTTGAAGGGCTTGCATGAATTCTGGCATGTGTTGTGGTATTCTTAAGGATCTCTGAACCCCATATGATACTTTTGCATGCTTTGCCGTGGGTTGGTGTGGGGTATAGTGGTCCCACATGCACCTTTCACTGAAGCAGGCTTAAACTTCATACATCTGAGCTATCTACATGTGAAACGTTCAGAACAGGACCACCAAACTCATGGCTCCTAGGGGTGGGCATTTTAATCACTGTTTGCTATCCAAATATCACCATTCTCAGGTAACATTCGTTTTATATGCAGC